TTACTCTTATAGTGACAGTCTATTTGCTGCAGCCATTCAGACATTCAGTAATGCTTCTGCTGCAAACACTTGTATGCAACCCACAAGTGTAAGCTATCATTGCATGCACATATTTAATTCAACACCCTTTTAGCTAATAATTATGTCTGCAGAAACCAATATTTTATTTAAGCAATTAAATTAGGGCGACCATATTCTGACTTCCCAAAAAGAGGACACAACTATGCGGGGGCGGAGTCACACTAAGTTAATTTTGAGACTTTTTTTGGGTCGGATTGAGTGTCTTTTACGCGCTTCTGACTCAGTAAGTCCATGTGACACAAACTCAAAACTTAAGTACCAAACCGTGGACATTTGAAGGATTTTATAAACTTCTCCGGACAGCCCCCCAAAAAGAGGACATGTCCGGGTAAAAGAGGATGTATGGTCACCCTGTATTTAATGTGAATACTGGTCTAATGCTAATAGTTGTCATGAATCGGAGTTAAACAAAAAGGAAAGGGCCCAAATGCAGAACAAAAAGATAAGCAACAAAAACTTACTTAAAATTTCAAACTGAAAAATTCCCCCAAAAAACACAAGAAGCAAAATCCAAGGGACCAAAATATCACTGAGGACTCTCTGGGGACACTGGCATATACACTGAACTCAACATACACACATACAGTACAACACAATGAAACAACAAAGAAACAGGGGAAGACAGGGAATATGTACACACAGGAAAACGAGCAACGAGAGGCAGGTGAGACACTGAGACACAGGTGGAGACAATTACAGAGGAGGGAAAACTGAGGAAGTAAAACAAGACAAGAAACGTGGGGAATAAACTACTACAAAATAAAACAGGAAACACTGAAAACTGATATAAAGAATAAAACACTGAGAACATGAGGGAAACAGGGTCAGACCCAAACTGAAAACTCACAAGACTGGACTACAGGGGAACAGGAACACGAGGGAAAATCACAAAGAAAATACACTCAAATGACCAAAACCAGGAGAAAACTAAATACTAGACCATATCATGACAATACTACTGTACATCCCTAAACTTAAGGGAAACTTCAGACTATAGTTTTCTTGAAGTCACTTTTGTCTTGGTAAATTTACAAGTACTCGTCCTGATTTGATCTTCTTTTTATTCAATGTTTTTTTTTTGTGGGGTAACAGAGGTAACAGAACATCTGCCTCCACCAACATTAAATTCACCTTAAATTAAAAAATAGAAGAATTGATTTAAGGAGGAAAAAAATCTGTCCAGTCAAACAGCAGCATGAATCTGAGAGCTCTTTTTTTAAGTGTCACCTTTCAAACCTGAAGAGCAATTGGTTGCCAATAAATGTCAGCTTTGTGTCAGGACAGCTTGGCCCGGCAACAAAACATCAATTGTTTCCAATTGGCAGAATTTCCTGCCCTCAGCCACGGCTGCAGCCAATCAGAGACCGGCTTGGTGGAACAGAGCACGTTCACCGTGGCAACCGATCCACTCTACCTCTGCTCACTGACACCTCTCGCACCGTCCTCTCTAAGTCTTCATCAGATGGCCAAAACAACACCCACTGGTGATCTGAAACTGGACGTAAACCATGACAGAGCAGAGGAAGAGGATTGTGGGTGTTTTTTATCTCATATCCTGCCTCGTTCTCCAGACAGTTTCTCCATTAAACGTGGGCTTAAAGCTCTTTATTTCATATCATAAGGGGAGGTTATCTCTAAGGTTGAGGGCGTTGACTACAAATGAGTAAAACATGAGACAGTCTGAAAGCAGAGGCTTGTGAAACACAACGTCCTCCGCCTGCAGCAGATGCTTGTTGGGGGAGGCAGTGATATTTGAGCTTCAGCACAGATGTGGGAACACAGCTCAAGACAAGTGTGGGAGGTGCTGTGTGTTTCAATGCAGCTGGGTCAAAAGACAAACCACACTTATTTGAGTAACCCTTCCCTGACCGCACAACAGCAAACACACAAATGTGCGCAGGAACAAATATACAGAGGTGCTAAACATGCAGACCTCCTCCAGAGGGGAGACCTGTCTGACTCAGGGCTGAATGTGTTTACTCACTTTCAAACGATAGAGCTGCGACCTGGAAACCATGTATAAAAGATAATCTTGTCCAGACCATCTGGTCAAGATTTCCTCTTTTTTCTCTGGATTTCCTTTTTCTTTCTTCCTTTCTCTTTTTTGGTCTGTTGAGAAAGTATTTCCGAGTCTTGAAATGCAGCTGAAATGTCACATGGATCTGATTCAGTTTTTAAATTGATATTTTATTTGAGTTTTTGTAGCATCCCAAGCTAGTGTTGATGTACTGTATGTATATAATCCATACTTACAATATTACTGATCACTTACAGTTGCTTCCGCCCATCTGGATGCTTTTACAATCCCATCGCCCTCCTAGTTTAATCGCTGTTGACACAGGAAATTTAATCTCGATATCTTGGTGATGATGAAAGTGGTTGTAATAGGATTAAAGTGGGCTTGACAGGAGAGTGACATCGCTACTGCAGAGCTTTACAACACTGAATTATACTGCTGGAGGATGCAACCTGCTGCGCATTGACCGTAAGACCCAGGCTGAAGAAAATTATTTAAGAGATTAAAAGAAAACGACTCTGCTTCATACACTTCTGAAGAGTTACACACCTGTAGTATTTTGTTTATTTGGTATTATTATACATGTGATGGAGAAATAAAAATACTAGAAAAATAAAATACTAGAAATTTACTTTGAAATCTTTTTAAAATCATTTTTAGATTACAGGAATTTTGCACATTGTAGTTAGCAATTAGCTATAACATTAGGCCAATATTGAGTGGGTCACTTTTTCATTGTAGGTTAGGACCAAAAGAGCCCTAACCCAACAAGGCATGAACCTCTTTAAGTGTACTGTGGTGTCTAAAACACCAGCTGTAGGTCCTCTGAATCCTAGAAGTTGTGAGGTGAGGTCTACATGGATCAGACCCTGTTGTCCAGCACATCCCACTGATGCTCAGCTGAACGTGTTTTAATCCATGCCTGCTCACCCTTTGGTCTACCTGCTTTCAAAGAGCCACTCTGGGCTTGATTTCAGACTACCTTTCCTTCTTTTTAACCCTGGAGGATGAAATTCACACGCTCATTTGTTGTTTCCAAAGTCTGAGTTAAGTTGGGAGAAAAACCTCCATCCTCATGTTCATTGGTTTTCTTTCCTTTGACCTCTTTTGGTGGGTGCTGACCCCTGAAGACTGGGAACATTCAGTTAGAGCTGCACTTTTGAGTTGAAAATGTCTCTTTAGGAAGCTGCTAGTTATGTGAACTTGAACAGCTGAGTTGAAATAAGCAATAAAAATCTCTATCCTAACCTGGACTGAAGTAAAAGTATCTTAAAGGCCTCTGCTCTGCTCATGTATCGGCCATGTTGTCTCCCACCATACGGCCAGATTACGGTTTGCATGGCTAGAGCCACACAGAGCCATTACTTAGGGGCTGCAGGCAGGAGTTCAGATTATCAGCAGGACCTCAAGCCAAAGAGATTTGTATCCTCGGGCATAACAACAGTGTAGTGAGAGGATTCAGGGGTTCAAATGGTTAAACCCAAGATTAAGCTAATTTAGGGGATGTCTGCGAGCATTTCAATGGAGTCTAAGGGGAAACCGTTGTTGACAATGACGTGGCAGCTCATCTTAGGGTCAGGTTTCCCTTACCTTGCCTAAAAAATATCGCATTTATGATACTAACCTTTGACGTAAAAGATTGTTTGTTATACTTTTATTTTTGCATTTTCTTAGGTTGCTTATGACCTGCATTTTAACACTTTGGTCATCACCTCCTTGGATTTTTTGGCACCACAAGCAATGAAAATACTTGATGGCAGTGGATACACACAGGCTGATAGATTGGCTTAGATGCCCTAAAGCATATTTTTACTCTTTAATTGTCTTTTTTGCTTACTTCCACTGAAAATTTGTTTTCCATCGTGGGAGATAATGATGAGCTAAAACTCTAAAATGAGCATCAATATCTGGCTGATTTGTGAAAAAATAAGAGGTTTCCTTTCCTCAGTGACTTTATCTGACTGAGAAGAGGCCTGTGCATCAGGGGAATTTGGAAAGGACACACAGTACAGTCACAGTGACATTCCTTAACAGAGGTTTTGATGTTGATGACCACGAAGCCTCCAGAGGTTCACACGCTTCCGGGATGATTTGTCATCATGACTGTCAGCTCATGTAAGCAACGGTCACTGAAGAGCGCTTTCAGGATCACCGACTCAGACCGCAAACCTCTTGCATACTCACTGCACACATGACCATGAAAGTTAAACATGTCCTGATTTATCTGAGAGGGTACTGATTAAAATACCAAACTCTGTGAGAGAGATTTATTTTCAGACATTCGCCTAAAACGAGATATTTATATACTGCAGGAGGTAAACGTGCATGGGGGGTGAATTTCTGCAATGCATGGACAGAATGTGGAAATAAGAGACTCAATGAAAGACGCAAGAGTACCAATTCAAAAGAATAACATTTTTTTTTAGCAGCAGAGAAACTATGACTGCAGGCTGTTTTCCTCCTTTAGCCTCTGGGTTACATTTTGCAAACATCTATAATTCACATGGAAGTCACATTGCTGTACACTTTCTGCAAAATTCAAGGCCCACTCTTACAAGCACAGGTGAGTATGCAGATATTAATGTCTGTAACTATTTAAAATTCTGTGTTAAATTTATAGTTGCATTAAGCTCTGCAGTATAAAGTAAGCAGATTCCAAGAAAGCCACGGTTTGAAAGCACATTTTTCTCCTGTAATGTACAAACAGCAGGAGACAGACATTAACAATCAGAGCAGTCACAGATTCCTCTCAGAAGTGTCAAACAATGGCTGCGTTTACATGGGCACGAATAACCGGAATAAATGCCCGATCGGCATAAAAGTGCATCATGTAAACATGTCGATCGGAAGATTCTGATCCAATTCGGCTCAATCGGAAAGAAATTGTATTCCGATCGAGAGGGGTGCTTTATGCAGATCGTTATTCCGAAACGCGTCAATGTAAACACTTATTCCGATCGCGACTCTCTTACCTGACTCGGTCTTCACTCTTTAACCTTTAGCTTATTTGTTGAGGTCAGTCCAGGAAGTTTCATTATTAACTCTGGCATAAAACACAACCGCAGGTGCCGTGTCTGCACTTCCGGTAACATAACAAGGCGTACATACAGCGTCATGATGTCACATCCGCACGCACAGTGCCGCCTGCCAATCCCACCTCCAAAAACTTCAGCAAGAAGCTCTTGAGCTGGTCGGTGAAAGCAGCAGGAAACATCTGAATTCACAGTTAGCAGGCAGATGGGGTGATGACTGTAATGTTGTTTGACTGAAGCAAACCAGGAGAAGCAACATGCAGCAGGATAAATCAAATCATCAAACCTCCAAAATAGATATAAATTAGTTGTGTTAGTCTGAAACTGGACTTTTAAAGTACTTGAAGACATGTAAATCTGATTGAAGCCGCACTGAATAGTTTCTCACTGGCACCTAAACAAACAAACGTTTTCTCATCCAAGTATCTGCCTCGATTAATCAGCCTTTTTAAACAGTTTTCACCTTTTCTTCTTTCAAAATTCCCAGACTGTCATAATCCAAAAATGATCATATTGTTTTCCACTTCCACAGAGTTTTGAAAACCTGGATCCTTCGGCCGCAGGAAAGTCTGCGAGCTCAGCACTGTCTCAATAAAATAGGTTGCATATTTCCATGTTATGCTACTGGTTTGAATTCTAGACACTTAATCGACTTTGTGCCCATAATCCCGTCTGGAAGACCCAAGAATGTGCGGCAGATTTCTCCAAGATTTCATCGATGTGTTTGTGTGAGCTTGTGGCCTGTGAACGCCTCCAGATTCTCTTCTCTCTGGGCGTTTGTGTTATTCCAGTAATCCAGGCCAGCGATTGATCCGAGCCTGACAGCTCCGTTCTGCTGCTGGCAGGTATCCACTGAGGGTCTGACTGACCTTTGACCTCGGGTCACTGCTTCTGGTCTTGCTCGACTGCCTCTAAAAAGAGATGAAACTATCAATCACTTCGCCCGGTGGATGCACATCAGAGAGGATGAATAAATCAATACGCAGGAGAGGCTGACTTTTATTTGCACTGATAATAAGGTGCCCAGCTGTATATCTGCTGCTTTTGGATTCTGTGCAGTCCAGGTGATGATCAGAGGGGCGAGCTGGGAGGTTGGCGTAGTCCGACAACCTTATCACAAATATTTATGTTAGAGAAGTATGTCTCATCCAGCTTGTGATCTAAAAAAAGTGGAGGAAAGATTTGATGTGGGTTTGCCAAAACTTGTCTGAAAGCTTCTCAAAAATATATGAAATGAGAGATCACTGAGAGATCTACACTGAGGAAGGTGAAGACTATTGTCAAGAATATGGATCACCCACTTCACAACACCTTGATGGACCAAAGGGCCAATGGTGGTGGACGGCTCCTCTCTCTTCGCTGCAGGACAGAAAGATTCAGAAGATCTTTTGTACCAACAGCCATCAGACTTTACAACTGTACTGTAAATAGTAGATGACTTTTAGAGACATATTATGTGAAACAACAGACAATTAAATTTCCCTTAAAATATGAAACTAAAATCTGCAGCAGCAAAGCATCAAACAAACATCTCATCGAGCCTGATGACTCATGTGTGGTCCGTGTCTCATCTGAATGTTGTACATGTTTTTTAATGATTTACGTATGAGATGTGTGTTGGTTACATCTGCAGCTCTTGACAACACAAATCAAATGATGCACAATAACTTAACACCTCTGCAGCTGTGCCAGCTCGCGCTGATAAGTGGAGATCAATGACTCACAGCTGATGCCTGTTGGGACTGGAGGGAGGGGCAGGCCGGGTGGAACAGCCTCTGAGTAACAGAAGATTAGATTTTGGATAATCCAGGACAGAACGTGCCAGAAGGTCAGATTACTTGATTCTCAACACCTTTGGGTCAGACTCAATCACTGCTGAGAGGATAGTTTGTTGAACATTTCAACCCAATTTTATATTCTCACACACGAATGAGTAATTTAGGAAAGTATTGTAAGTAAAAAGTAGGTCCATGCGTGATCGAGTCCAGCATGTTTAAGAGAGATCTCCAAATTCAGTCAGGAGACATTTAGGGCCTGTGTCCGCTAATGTCTTGAGCTGGCCCTGCCTTTATTCTCAGTGAAATGCATTTTTAAGCATTTGAAAATGTCAAGGAGCTAAAAGTTCTCCCTGGTTTCTTCCAGAGCTTTGACCCACATCTCAGTTCTCTTCAGTAGATTCAGATTTTCAGTGAGGGTATTATCTCGTTTTGTCGCAAAGGTCAGTGAATAACCGGTGAGCTTCTTCTCGGGTGATTTGGTCAGGAGTGAACTTTTACTGTTCAGCTCAGACGCTTCCCTCTGTTTATTATTACCGTTTCACTGACTAACTCTTGTACCAGCTCCGTTCACCGTGGAGCTGAAACCGTTTGAGTTCAGCATGAGGGACGACAGCATGGCACCGCCTCATAAACCACAGCCCCCCGCTTTGATGTGTTGTTTTTTATGGGTGAGGAAAGCCTCATGGGCCGGGCCTTTCTCCGCCTTTACCACCACCACAGCCTCCTCCTCCTCTGACCAACCTGGAATCTGACTTTCAGCACACAGCGACCAAAGGTAAGGCGAGCTCTGTGCTGGCGTTTGCACGGTGTATGAGAACGTGACTGTACCTGCAAATCATTAACCGAGCAAGTGGAGGGTCAGCTGAAAGACTGCAAAGCCAAAGGGCAGCACTGTACACGGCGCTGCACGTGACTCCGTGCTGCGTGGGAAACATAGAGCTAGCTAACATGTAATTAGCTGTTTCTATTTTCATTCTGCATCGCCCTGAAGGAGCACAGTGCTGCTGGTTGTACACCCGATGCCAGGAAAGTTTGAGGTCCTCAAAGAGGCTCTTTTACTTTCTGCACAGGTCTAAAGAGAGACAGAGGGGACAGTCCTAACCAAAAACCCCTCCCTGATTAAATGAATGATCCGTCTCACAGTGGACGGATTTAGGAAAAACAGCAAAACCTGTATGAAAAACAAGCCCACTCAGTGTTTTTTTTTCTCCAGGATATTGGTAATATCCACCACGAAAAGGGAACATTGTTCAGAGGCAGAGAAAGTCATGCTGAATTCATAAAAACAGATGTTGTCTCCACATTGAATGGAGGGAAATGTGCACTCTAAGAGAAGTGATAATGCTTTTTAAGGAGACTTCAGCCTGCTATTGTACAGTGGGTGATAAACAGGACTGTCCTCCGCTCTGTGACTTGGCTGTTAAGAGCTCATTTTCCCTTTCCTTAATCCCGCTGCACTGAACGTCATCCAAACTGCAAGCTAATGCAAACTCCTGGCACGGCTTCAAAGCAAGGCTGGTGCCTGACTCGCTTCCTCTGCCCCCTTTCCTCTGCTCCTTCGCTTCTCTCCACTTCTTGCAGCATTGGAGCAAAAACTACAGTGAAGACCGGACAGAAACAGCTTTCACCTCTGACCCAGATCACTGAAAAAGGCAGTGAAATGGAAATAAAACTAGGGTAGCTGCTGCAGAGAGTCCTGAAAGAAGCAGAGTCTCTCATCATGAGTATTTGTGATATGAATAAGTTTTCCATTGCTAAAAGAATTAAATTAAATGGAAACAGAGCAAGAGTTGTATGTTAGAAAGTAAAGCTGTTTGAATCCTTCAGCTACTAAACTTAAAGCTCCTGTAGGGAGTTTTTTGATGTTTATGAAATAGACTTAAATTCGTATTAATGCCTGATGAATGAAGATGCAGCCCTGTATTTACAATTCTGACATCAAATATTTATAAAATGACAGATTTGACTTAAAAAAAAATCAGCAGGATGCTACTTATGAACAGGGAGGACAAGATAAGCAAAGACAGCTTTGTCCACAGGGGGCACCAAACTTTACATAAACCAAAAGATCCTAACTGGAGCTTTAATCACAAGCATACAACTGACCTTAAATGGTCACATTTGACTATTTTGACACTATTTCTGTATGAAATGCAAGATTTACGACCCAACTGTGTAAACGTCTCTGATTGGTCAAACGCATCAACAATGGTAATTAATTCAACCTCTGCCTGTTGACACTGTGGCAAAATTTTTAGATTCTATCAGCAATTCCACATTAAAAAAACCTCTCTATTATGAACGTTTGATTCTGCCTCAGGCTGACAGTGTCAGAAGGAAAATAATGTCAGTTATCAGGCACATGTTTTTTAGCTGCCCGAGGAGCTTTGGTCCCAAACAATGCCAGAAATTTTGTCCTGCAATCCAGGCCACAGCAGCAGAACTGGCGAGTGTATTTTCTGCAAGGTAACTTAAACCACAAGTGCCTTGGGGTCCTGCAACAGATACTAATTTTCATAATGACCTGCTCACAGTACAGACTACCACACAAATTTTTTTCAATATAAACTGTTTTTCATGAAAGTCGGTAAACAATGTAAGATAAAAATAAAAATAAACAGGTTTTCTTAAGTTAGCTTAACAAATGTTGTGCCAGTGCCATTAGACTCTTTTACAGGATACTTTCATCCGATCAAAAGGACTTTTAAGAAGAAATTAAGAATGTGTGGATATTTTGCCCATAACAGAACATCAGTGAAAAAAGTGACTATAATATATGGTACTTTATTTCAATTATGAAATTGACAAGCACTCATCAATCAACATATTAAAACATTTCTGCCATCAGCGCAAAGTCACATGACAGCTCCTTAAAATAAATACTTTTAAGAGGAAATAATACAGACAGAATATGTGAGGCTCAAACCACAAGTACAAACAAATTATCCAAATGTCCAAGAGACGAAAGGGTCTGAAAATTCCCAAAGTCAACCCCGACTCTCCAACCAAAAGTGTTTGTATAAAACAGCTAAGTATTTTTAAAAATACGGAATCTTACAAAAAAGTTTTTTTTTTAATCTTCTCACTTCTTTTAATCACTGTAAAATATCAGCTGGTATCATGACAAGAAATCAGGATTTTTTTTCCATGTACAATAATAAAAAGACAGAATGTGCTTCTGCATTTTTACATTAGTATTCACATACATGATGAGATACTGTATCATTGAAGTCCTCCACCCCTCTGATGGTGCTGTGATGGAGACAGATGTATCGCACGGGGCTTCTTTCCTCCAAAAGCTCCTCTTGCAGAGTTGCAAATAGACACCGGTGACCATGGTAACAACAAAGGTGTAGTCAGTTTCAGAGATACCCACATATTTGCAGAACCGGCGCCGTTAAGCATCAGAAAGCCATCTACGCCCAAGCTATGTAAAACAATACACTTCACAGCCGAGTGTTCATTGTCTTTACGGGTTATATAACCAACCGCTTTCACATTTTTTTTGTATCTAAAAACATAAAACTTACAAAAAGTCTTCTTTGACAATTTGTCAACTTCAAAAAGGTCAAAAAAATGAGAGACAACATAGCCATTAACGGGAGAAGATTTCAAGAATACAGGTTACAGTACAAAAATGTGGTCCAGGTTGCACATGAAGCATGCATGTGTTTATGTTGCCTTGCTCACCTCGAAAACCCTCATGCGAAGACATACTGTATAAAAAGGCCACATGGCTTTTCCTTCACTATTAAATGCGGGTCTACTCTTAACGACTGGCCTCTTTGTCTGCTCTGCTCATCAGAAGACCGAGGAAAGGTGCTTTCAGATTCTTTTTTTTCCTGTTAGCTGACTCTATTGACGACACAAAGCCTCATATGGTAATTATGAAAAAAAAAAAGTGTTTGGTACATCTGCACGCTCCTGACGCTTCAGGTCCGGTTCAAAGTTCTGACAAACACAAAGTCACAGACAGTTCCTGGGATGGGTAGAGATGAGTGTTGAAAATCCGACATAGTAAAAAACAGCATTTGATATTATCATGAGCAGTGATTTTTTACTTTTTCTGACCTCAAAATGAAAAGATTTATACCACTCTTGTGCGCTGATTCATTTACTACAACTGGCAGCCTTGAACTTTTTCAGCTTTGCAATAAAACTAGAAACAGAGACTTAACTTCCCACTGAGCAGGAGACGGCTATTAGACGTCTAGGTTTTTTTAGACTTAATTTCAACTGTCGAGATTCTGTATATTGTCAGACAGAATTTAGACGTTGCACTTTAACCCATTTTTCGATGACTATTTATTTCAAAAAGCAACTGTGAGTTGCATAATTGACCTCTAAGTACTTAACCAAAATAATTATGATAGCTGTTGAGCAAAATACAGTGTAGTATAGATTCAGCCCAATGTCTAAATGTCTAAAGAACTTTCATTTTTAGACCTGTGGTAGCCCGATTCTAGACCAGTCATCTAGGCTACAGTTAGACGTCTATTAGACCTCTTTTAGACCGAAAAATGCTCAGTGGGTTGCTTGTTTCATGGTAACACAATCAACTTTCAAGCACCTTTTAAGCTCATTTATTAACATCATTTCTTGCTTGTTTTAATCTCTTTCTAGTCTATATGCTGAGCTAAACTGTCTTTTCACTATTCAAGCTTAGCCGCGCGTAATATTAACCTGATTCTGGCTCTGTACGGAGATCATTTTAGTGTGGATTCAATAAGCAGTAACAGGCAACAAAGTTGGAGTTCATGGTGCTGGTTGTAGATCCATCCTAACCAAACCATACCGAGTTTTGTCATTCTTCTTATCTGGTTCTTGTAAATACTGCAAATATTTACATGACTAAATACTGCTTTTAAATATGGAGTTAAAGCCAAAAGCAGGTTAACCTCCTTGTTTAGCCTCTTGTTTTATAAGTTAGTTTTTAGTTGTTGTGCTAAGCAGAGTGAACGGACACAAGAGTGGTATTGATTTTCTCATCCAGCTCATCCGAAACGTCAAAAGTATTCCTTTAAAACCTCGTCAAATTGATTGAAGCTGCAAGTTTCTGACTCAAAAACATCGATCTGGGTTTGTGTGTCAACAGACATCACAAGAAGTCTCTCACCGAGGGCTCTGTGTTTGCAGAAGGATCAGCGGGAGCACACTGTATAAGCATGTAAACAAAAGGCAGTTGGGCTTGAGCTTGAGTCTGCTGAGCTCCCTCTTCTTCAGATCACCCCAGCGGGACTCTCGAACCAGCTTCTTTACTTTCTAAGTGCAGAGGCTTAGCGAAGCCCTTCACTCCTATTCTTTTATATCTCTTCCATAATCTTCAACATCTGTACTGCAGAAATAACAACAAAAATATAACTTAAGATAAACTCTCTAGGCACTGTTTGATTTCCAAGGCGTTTTGTTGTAGACTGTGATAAAAGGTCAGCAAACAGATTTTTAAAAAATAATATAAAAAAAAAAGAAAGACCAGAGAGTGATGGCTCTGCGGACCAAACACTTTCTCCTCTGTGATAAATCAAGGTCCTCCAAGTTAGCTCGTACAGCCAGACAGACTCGCTTCAAGCTCTGTGGTGGAGAGGCTGCAAGGGCAGAAAGTCTCTAAAGGGTAAGTGTGTCCAAGTGTCTGTTGGGTTAAGTGTCAGTTCCAGTCTTTCACTGTCTTGTATCTTAAGCCATGATCTTCTGGGGGATCTCTATAGAGGCCTTGATGAAGATGCAGTTGTCTCGGATGTAGTTCCTCTTCTTGATCTCCTCGTGAGAGATGAATTTCGGGTAGCCAAAGCCCAGTGTGCTCTCGTCCAGCGAGTTGCGGGTGCTGCTGGGCTTCTGGAAGTTTTTCCAGTTGGGGTCGGGGTTGAAGGTCTCGGTGATATGTTGGGGTTTAGAAAGCGAGGGGTCGCTCTGGTCCAGGATGGAGAAAGTCACCTTGTAGGAGAAGGGCCACTCCAGCAGGTTGTCGTACTCACCGGGCAGCACCCGGATGTAGACGGAGAGGTGGGAGCCTTCGCCGCTGCCGTTACCGTTCAGGAAAGCGGACACCTGCAGCTTGTAGCCGTAGCGGTGGGTGTAGAAGGGCGGGCTGAAGAACTCGTGGTTGCTCCGGAGTTTGGCCTCCTGGAGTTTGCGGGAATAGTCGTTAAGCTTCCAGATGAGAACGCCATCGTGACTGACGGACAGCTCCTCCATCTCCCTTCGAAGCTCCAGGATCTCCTGTCGCTGGCGCCCCACCAGGTTACACATCATAGTCAGGTGAGACTTAGTGGTGTCCTCAAGGTGACGACCGATAGCGAGTTTGGGGCACTGCAAAAAGAAAGCGTAGAGATCAATCATCTAGAAGCTGCTGATAAATATCCTAATTTAGGGTATCACAGTTTCTGCCTCCTGTTTTGGGTATTCAGGCGTAATCTGTAACTTCTTGTCTGTGGTTTTAGTTCAGGAAATTGACTTCAGTGGCAAATTGTGAATAAAAAATACAAACCTCGTTGCATAAATGTGATCTTTAATTGATCTTATGTAAAAAAACTCAACGTGACTACATGAGGTGCACCTATTTCTGAGCCACACACTGAACGTTGCCAAGACAGGCTTTATTAAGATTAGTCATTACTGTTCTTGCTTTCAATCAAGCCATCTGTAGGTATCAAATCAAGCTCTCTACATGCTAACACGCAGAGCATGATGCACATCCGCCGCTTCTCTTTTGATTGACGTCAGCTTCAAAAATAGACATCATTGCGTGTTCAGAATATAAACGTGTTGCTCTTATTAAAATAGACCCCGCAGGCACAGAACTGTATGTTCAAGAAGGCGAAAATCATTACTTTGGACGCAGCAGGCAGGGACATGGAGGATATGTAAAGAAAGAAAATCCAAGAAAAGCAAACTGGCCAGTTGATCATCATAAATCAACATCCAGAGGGCTGGAATAATACAGGAAAAGGTTGAATGATGTGGGTCAGTCTTACTCTGTGTTTGCAGCCTGCATCTTTGAAGGGGCAGAGAACCAGCGCGCTGCCGCAGTTGTCCTTCACGTGGTTGGCCAGGTCCTCCCGGGCGATGTTGGGCGTGCCGCACTGATTCGGGCACTGGACAGGAAAGCGAGGGCAGTGGTACTGATGGTTCTGCAGAGGGGAATGGGGACAGTGTTTAATACGCCTGCACTTCAGCCTCACAGCAGGGACGCTGCACAGTGGGGTTGCAAACTAATGGCTGCAAAGGGAAAGCTGTCCTTGAAAGTTCTCAAAACACAGAGTGATAAAAACGAGGCTGCAACATCAAACCAGAGGAAAATGTTTACCCAGAATTCACCAACTGAACAAAACAAGACTGAGCTGCCAGTTAGAACATGTAAAACCCAGTATGTCCTCATGATCAGTGTGATAAAACCCCTTTAGCTGACTGAGATGGGACTGTTGATGGCCCTCAAATGATTTAACATTGTTTGTACTGATGAGACGGAGGAAGTATTTGGAGAGTTAACATGTAGTCTGGCCAGATTACTCAACAGGGAAAAATCAGCAGGTAAATTAAAAGTATCAGTAGGTTACAACTATTGTTTCTTCTCATTATAAAATCAACATTTTTATTCAATTTGCAAGAATATAAGACAAAATCTTCGGCTGTGAGGAGCAAAAAAGCTGATATCTCATCAGTGTCAGAGGGGAAAATGACTCCAGCTGTTGTATCTACAGACTAAACTGGGCCAAACTACATCTTTACATTCAGATCTCTGTTTTTTAATGTAAAACGACTCCGCCTCCTCCTGTGTCCAAAGGCAAGTGTTTCCACATTAAAGCCCTGCGAGCAGATCGCAATTCATACTATCATCCAGATGCCACACAACAGTGACACCGTGAAGGTAACATCCTGCAGCTTCAGCGGCTCTGCTGAGGCTGAAAACCCTCCATGAGTCACATGCAGGACAGGTGACAGGTGCATCCAAAGTGACAGGAGTCACATTTTGACTCTGAATAGGACTTGGCACTTACCTGGCTTGCTCCTGCCAAAAATAACTACATTTGAGACTGATTGTCACAGGATGTGACGGCAGACTGACCTGGATGGTGTCAAAGACAAACTCCTTGCCGCAGTATTTGCAGGGCTGCGTGCGTTTGGGACACTCGGCCATGCTGTGCTGGGAGAGCAGACGACGCATCATCCTGGCCCCGCATTTGTTCTCACAGTAGACGCTCTCCTGAGGACACACACCCTGGTGGTTCTGTGATAGAGATACAGATAGCATATATTCAGGATTGAAGGGAAATAGAGTTGTAAACACGACTGTTATTCCACTGTAAGAGCCAGAGGGTGACTGTGTGCAGAGGGGGCAGAGTAAACACAGGAGGGGCCGTGTGGTGGAAAGGTGTTAGTGAGGAGACTCTGGGGAACTTCATCCTGCCCACAGAGGAAAACTTCTCCCGTATAAAAGACCCAGTCACAGCTTCTTGTGTTATTTCCAAACAGACCGGCAGGAACACACGTGTTCGAGTCCCTCCTGCTGACTCGCTTTCAAAGATGTCTTTCATACGAGCATGGAAATTATGTGGCATCACTCGGGGTTGTTTACGTCCAGCTCCTGCTGTGTTCCAGCGGGAAAAAAACAGGATCGGAGGAGGGGTTCTGTTTACCTCATAGGCTTCACCGGTGAACTCGCTGCCACAGAACTCGCACTTGACCTTGCGCTTGGGGCAGTCGTGCTGCAGGTGGTCGGGCAAGTCGCGGCGCGTCAGCTTGACAGAGCAGCGGTTGGGGCAGGGTATCACATTGAAGGCGCAGGTGGAGAAGTGGCCCTGAGGGAGATACAACAACAACGTCAGACTCACTAAAACACATACGCACACACGACCACATGTCGGGCGTTCAGCCAGGAAGCTGCCAAGAGACAAGAAGATGCAACGTGAGGGAGGAAAGAAAGGGAGGGAGAGAGGGGGGCAACAGGTATGAGGGGGAGATAAGATGAGATGCATGTTTGATCAGGCAGCAGAGATAAATCAAGAGGAAATACGAGTCTCACCTGCAGCTGCTTCATCTGGCCAGTCCAGCGGCAGCCCTCCTCACTGTGGATGCAGCGGATTGGCAGCGCCAGGATCTGCTGCTCCAGTTCTGGATCCGGGTAGATCTGAAAGGAGGATACAGGACGTGTCAAGCTTAAAGACTGTTATACACCACTGTCACTCCGCAAAGATGTGTGAGTTTGCATCATGAACTAATGTAAATTTTGTATCTGTGAGCTCTATATCTATACTCAGGACGTCAGTTTGTCAAATGTTGATTCTGACCCGAGTTAAACCCTGCTCTGTCAGGGCACTGTGAACCTTCATGAACTGACAGTCATTGCTTTAATAAATGTCACCGTCTTGATCCGAATCCTGAAATAAACATGATTACTCAAAGGTCATCTGTACGGCTGCAGATAAAAATACCGTTGTAGCCGAGAGGACGATCAGCTCCAACATCTGACTTTCTTCAAAACAATAAATTTAGCTTTTTTTTTAATTAAACAACATCCTTTAAACTACTTGACATGTATGTAGATGTCAAGTCAGTGCCAGTCACCAAACTAGTCAATCGAAGCAGTGTATTTCTGGTGCAATATGTCGGTTTTAACATCATATATAAGAGTGTGATTGTGAAGCCTTCATCTGCACAATCCTCAACACTATACTGTGTCAGAAAGCAGCAGTCTGTCGCCCCGTCACTGCAGTGATAATGAGCATCTTTACAGCTTTATAAGACCTTTGAGAGAGCGGAGGAGAAGATTTATTTTCTCTGTGGTCACTGAGCGATGAGTATGAGTCAGTTTTTGGCCCAAACACCCCAAATCTTCCCCTCAAGTCCGCCGTCCTGAGGATTTACTGCTCTGCTCTGCATCTCCATCCCCCCATACTGTCACACAGGCAGAGCACTGCTGGTCAAACAAGAAAAGCCACTTCAACAAAATGTCACAACAGCCCTCTAAACAAACAACAGCTCAGGAACAGCGGGAACCGTGCTCACGTGCCTCTGCGCTGAAAACATGGGAGCAATTGCTTTCAAATTAAAAGTTAATTTTGACACTAATCCACAATAAAACAGTGTTAGAAAAAGACCGAGCCAAGCTACACAAGAGTATTAAAGTCGAATCCAAACCTGTTAATTATGCTCTGTAGAAACACAGCTATGTATAAATATTTAAACACATGCTTGACTTGCTTCACTCCACTTGTACAGAGAAGCAGATGTTTTCCTTTTTTTTGCAGCCATTATCACATTCTTTCAGCAGAGGCAAAAAGGGGCAAAATCCTCTAAAGCAAAGTGAAACACTCTCTCATTGTTCCAGTCTTGGAATCTGCAGGGAGACGGCAATGATGACCTTTTAATAACTTAGTCCCAGGCAGATCAGGGGGGTTAAGCTCTTCGGAGCTCCAACTTGAGGGTTTATTCTGTCTGCTTTAGCCATTGTTAGTCTCTCTACTACTACAGCGGCGCTTTAATGACTGCAGCGCTCTCGTTCTTGCTGGGATGTGAACGTGCATCATTTTAAAAGGACGGTGTGCAGCAAGCATAACAAAAAACCCTGAGAGTGGACCACCAGGACGGGGTAATTTGCAGGAGACTGGAAGCCTGCGAGGGTAAATAACAACGTCTGACAGGTGTGCCATGAGCACATCCTTCCCCGGGATGAGTCCCTGCTATTACAGGCGCCTCCATCGCTCTCAGCACAGCATGCAGACCCGCACTGCTGCACAGGATGGTCCCGCTGCAAGCTTTGGGTTTATGCCTTCATGGCTAATTCAAGCTAATGCTAACAAACTGCACAGGCAAAGAGAGCTGTGTGCTTTTACTGCAGCTCAGAAACAGGGTAGATCATTAGCTGTTCATTTGTAGGTCTCTCATGCATACTTCAAAAGTAAGCTTTTTTTTCCCTCTGCTGCTCTATTTTCGCTTTACAACGTGGAGATCACGTGCAAGAGAGAGAGAGAGAGAGAGAGAGAGAGACATCCTCTGAGTCTGAATACAGTTAGTCACCATCTCTACTGCTACGGCTTCATCCCCCCTGGGCACAATCTGATTAAAAAACAAAGGGGACAAAAGCTCAGTTGAAATTCAGATACAGTTTTCCTCTCCTAGTTTTGGAGGGATTTATTTAGGAATAACACACAGCAGTCCAGATCAGCTAAGCGCTCTACTTTCTCACTGTAATGAAATGAAAGGTAACCTCTGACTCTGGATTATGTTTTCAGAGGTTCACCAGGACAAACACTCCGTTACAAAGTCAAAGTACCATCCAACCATGAAATGCTTTTCCTCCTAAAATCTGGTTATTTGCATCTCATTCCCCGACTATATGTAGATCTAACATGGCAGGACTATATTCGTGTCACCATCAGCTCACTGGCTCCGTTCTAATTTGCATTTTACTGGCTGAACCGTTGCAAATAAGTTTATTCACATTTCTGCCGCTGTAGGCTATACTTACTAGAGTTGCTTCCTCCACATCTTTTAGATCTTTGTTTTCGAGTCAAACAACCTAACTGTCCTCTTTCGGATGTATTTGGTATCCTCCTGATTATCTAGATTTCAAGTTTTAACAAGTTCTGTCAGCAAATAATCGCAATACCTCCAACTGCTTCTGGTTTGAAAAGATAATATCCTTTAGAGCTCCTGTGAGGAACTTTTGGGTCAAATTCAGTGCTTGTTTCCAGAATATTTGCAGGCTACATGATAACAAGCCTGCAAATATTGGTATTTATTATCAGTATTCTAGTCTAGATGTGCACCAAACATCAGTTCATGATGTCTTACCTTGGCATAGTCCAACGGCAGCTGATCCTCTGGACACTTGAAGACGCCCTCACTGTAAGAAGACAGAAAAGTTTGTTTATTATTGGATCCCGCCTAAAAAAAACAACATGACTGCAGACAAAAACTCCTCATTATAACTCCACAAGGACCATCAGTCATTTCTGAAGTACATTTCAGCTGTGAGTAACATTACTAACTTTGACCCTGACGGAGACAGAGCTACCAGGCACTTCTCCTTTGACAGTGTGTGAAAGCGGCGCTGCATTGCCCTGAGATTGACTCGGTCTTTTCAGACAGTTTAAACATGAGAAGTTCTCTGACTCATCATTGTGTTCGACTGAAAAAGACGGCACTTTAAAGTCAGATCTGCGAGCCTTTAGCTGAAATGACTGTGGCTTTTTCATCTTCACCTTTCACGATTTCTTTGCTCTTATTTTTATTGCAGCAGAAGACAAAAGCAAGAGAATAAGGGGTGAATCTAAAGGGCTAACCGAGCGTCTACTTCAGTCCTACTTCTCTCGCAGCTTTCAATGTTTAATTTTCCCCTTGTTTCCAGGCTGGATAACAATGTGCTAGTTTCTGAGAATAAAGCAGAGTAAACCTCGCCTTCCTGCTCTAGGCTCTTCCCCAGGATAAAACAACAATTTGCTGGTTTGCCGGTGCGACAGGGAGGAGAGTTTTTTTTTCCCTTTTCCTCCTCCAGCAATTAAATCCAAAAATAAAAACGAAACCATAATTCTACAACAGGCCCCCTGTGCAGTTTTTGAGGCGTCCCAGGCCTGTTTTAGGGCAAATGAGTGAGTACAAGGGATCATTAACAGCCGTATTACAATGCAGCAACCCTGATGTTGTCATGAAATATTCACACTTGGTAATAATGGAGCTGCTAACCAAGTCTCCATGCACACCCACTCCCACACTATGCATGAAACAAACACACAATAAAACTGCAAAAATAAAAAAAAAAGAAAAGTCAATCATTGGTTAATCTCTTCAGATGACTGTCCTAAACCACCTGCTGTTTCTTGATTAAAGACGCCTACATAGACCTTCTTTATGTTGAGAGATGTTATCTTATTGATGGTTCAAGTCCAAGAAAAACGCAAAGATTCAGTGAAAAGAAGCTGCTTTTGTTCCATTTTTGAGTTACAACCCTAAAACTTTTTGGATGAATGTTATTCAAAGAAAACTGACCCTGCAGCAGGAATCTGACAAGCAGAAAATGACGATAATCATCAACTGCGGCCCTCATGCCCGATTTGGTTTTTTGCTGAATTTCTGCTGAATCCACAGACTGTTGAGAGTCACAAAAATGTGTTTTGTTTTGTTTAAAGCTTGAGCTGATCCCCCATGCAATGAGGCCTCCTTTGACCCCGACCATACCTCAACTATGCTTAACCTAATTAAGGGACAATAGTGTGCAAACATTAAGTGTTTGCCCCTGGGTGCTTTATTAAGGTTGGCTGTAGAGTCACCTGACCGAGACTCCCAGAGGCACAAGGACATGTGACGGAGCGGGAGTGCATGTGCACTTCGCCCCGTCCACACAGCTGCTATGAAACCAGGGAGTAAGCCAAAGGAGGGGGAGGGGGGAGCAGAGGTTAGGACGAAGAGGGAGGGAAGGAGGAGTGATGAAAGACCGGGGTGGAGGAAGGAGGGAGGTTAATGCATGACGAGACAGCAGTAATTCCCTTCCATTAGGGTCACTGTGTCAGCAGGGAGCTAGAGACCAATTAACAAGCCACAACGGACTCTAAAACAGGGTCAATCGATTAGAGGCTCGTAGAGCCCAGTCAGCATTTCATGTGTAGTGTGAAGTCATTTACAGTACTCATCGCTATCGCCCACCATGGGGGGACGAGGATAGAGCGCAACGCCTGTCCCACAAACAGGCAACCCAGAGGAGATAGGAGGTGACACGCTCTCAGCTCCGGACAGGGGACAGCCAGAGGCCTCGTCCTCCTCGGTCCCGTATCTGACGCACAGAGAGGCAGACAGGCGAAAAGAGCCTAGTCACAGACTGTCAGGATGATTCCACCCCTGGTAGGAGAGACGCTCCTGGAGCCGCACACTCATGTACGGGACCCACTGCTGATAATACTGCTCGAATCTCTCTCTCGGTTGCCTGTGAGTCAAACTCAGTGCTGCTTTGTGACAGCACATTAACTGTGTAAGCCGGGCTGAGGCTCCAGTTCAGTCCACCCAGAGCACCATCAAACACTTTCTTTCACTTTTCAGGACACAGGGACAATTAAAGATAACCGAACAGGGCTGTAAGTACATCCGTAATTCATCCACCTCGTATTTTTCACATTGAATTAATTTGTTAGTTATAAAAATGTCCTTGGGGGCCCTTTGTTAGCCTAATTGTGGCATTAATCACAAGTCGCAGCCTAAATGTGTAGTTGAAGGAGTGGTGTAACACAAAGCCCAAAGGGAGAACGCTTCTGGGTAACATCCGTACAAGTGGGAACTTGCACCGGCTTTTAATACAAGTTTCACACAAATGTCTTCCCAGCACTCATCTCTGACCACAGTTCACACCCTCCCAGAGAAACAACATGCCGAGGTTAGAGGCCGATAAACAAGCACTTCAGTGTCTTGTCTTGATGTCACAGGGGAGCAGCTTAAGTCCGGACAGCAAACTGTATAATACAATCACCTCATTAAAATTTCATTGCCTCCTTCTGTCTGCTCGTACCGAGAGAGGCTCCACAGCTGCTCCGCTGCCGGGATGATCGCGTTTAAATCACCTCAAGTTCACTGTCACGGAGGGGAACGCGCGTCATCATGTTGTGTTAGCTTCAGCAAAACACAGCCACCTCCATCCAGGTGAAATGCAGCCGTTGTTCGACCCGAGCATAACTCTCTCTCCTCTCTTATTGCCCCCTCTCTTCTCCCCGGGGCCTCAAATCTTCTTCGCTGGCACAGATTAAACAGCCGACCATTCATTCAGCCGTCACAACATGCTTCTCCACTCCGCGCACGGCTCCTGACAGGCAGACGGTGAGAATTGCAAATCCCTCAGGTGTAATCTCACTGGTGCGGAGCGGATGGGTGGTTTTTTTTTAAAGCCACTATCCCTGCAGGCCACACAGAGGGGACATGCTGGCGACAGGCCGACTCCTCACGCAAACCAGGACCACGGGTAACCTTGAGAAGCTGCTCCTTATTAACTAACAGAGAGACTCCTAAACAAACCTCCCTGTGTTTGCCATTGTAGCGGGCAGGGCTGTCCAGACTCACTAAACAAACTAAATCAAAAGCATGAGGTCTTTGGAGAAACCCAGTCTGTGGCACATTAACACTCTAAACAGATTCTGTCACACAAGTTATTTTCTCATTGACTCAGATAACAACATGAACTCTGACTGATCTTCCTGCTTATCTACTGCTAGAGCTCGCTAACAGCTTTCATGTTCATCCTGATGCTAAACCCTCTTTGTCTATTCAAGCTATAACCGGGATTAACATTTATACACACAAACAAAACCTTAAATTCCAACGGCGGCCTCTGCGCAGGCTCGGAGTCTCAGAGCTGAAACTAAACTCCTCGCAGGAAGTTTGGAGGAAAGTGGAATTTTGTTTCATCTCAGAGTGAGAGTTTCCATAATCCCCCAAATCCATCTGCTTTTGAGTTTGTGTGTCTAAGACTGTGTGAAGCAGCGATTTCTCTACTCTGATCCTCCTATTGTTAAAATAGAGTCTTATAGAGACGGGAAAATCTCAAAAAGAGCTGGAAATACTCGATTTATCAATAAGCTAACCGATAGAAAAAAAGTGAAACTATTGACAGACTTTTCTCAACATTAAACTTGATTCTTTGGGGGTTTTGGATGCTGCCCGGAGAAAACAAAACCTGAGAAAGAAATAAATGCCACGATAATCGATACATAAACATTACTGAACCGTGATTTACTGACTGGAGGTTCAAGTTCTTGATTAAGGCCACTTTAGATGGAAACAGTCTTCATAGAAATCAGAAAAGTGCCGTTTTGTTTTCAGTTTTTATGCTGTGTTTACACAAAAACGCAATGTGGTTGAAAACGCTGTAATGTGCATGCCAGGTCGCTAGGTGACGCGTGTCGGTATGACCGAGCTCTCATACAGACCAACAACGCATATGTAGAAAAACTTCCGTTCTACATTAATTATTTGATGCAAATAATTCCGACGCCTCCTCTGCTGAGCAGTATGATCCGTGAGGATTCTGTACAGGTCGAAATTGAGCTCCTGCCCGTTCAATAATAACGACAGCGCGACTCGAATGTCTAGCACGGCTGTTGTTATTTTCAAGGAAGCTGCGCATGGCTATGATGTCATAAAAGTGAGCCGACGTGAGCCATGGCGTCACAGGTTTGACCGTTTTCAGCGTTTTTGTGCTTTAGACGAAAGCGGGACTAGCAGAGCGTTTTCCACTCTGGAGGGGGTTTTCACTTTGTTACGTTTTCATCTCCTGAAAACGCAGTTGCCGTCTAAACGGACCCCCCTAAACGAAACTAAATTTTTCCGTTTTCTCTGGAGACCGTTTCCGTCTAAAAGTGACCTCAATCAATCCAAACGTATCTTAAAGTTTGGAAACAGATCTTACAAACCAGCTCAGACTGCTTCTTCTGCATTAAGTACTTGATTAAAGTAGGTGCATTTAGGATGGAAAAATCAAGGACCTTTGCAGTTTAGCTCTGATATTTAATTATGTGTGACTTTGGGCAGTTATTGCACTTTGTTTATAGAAAAAAAAGCAAATTGTTGTTCCAGAGATTTAACGGTTTATTTTGTGTTTTCAAAGCTGTCTCTAAAGTTGTCTCACCACAACCCACAATTTACTTTTATTTCATCCAAATGAAAATGAAGAAACTGCCCATGGAGGGGAGTCGGGTTTTTTTGTTTGAGGCAATTTAAAACACCAGAATACAACAGTTTTAGTCTGTAAATGGTTGTATATTTATGTATATTTTACTTTACTTTTACTGACACCAACTTAATCTTTGGAAAAACTTGAATGCTAATTTCCCGTAGTCCGCACCACCAGCCGGATTAACACCTCAGTAAGATCTACGGTGACTCTAAGTGAGCTGGAGTAACAGAGGCTGAGGCCGGGTGGTGTTTCCACCTGTGCAACCTGATACCCCATCAGTGCAGAGCTCCTTTCGCCCGCGGCCAGTTTGGCTTCAAGCCGAGCTCTTTTGCAGTCTGGAAAGGGCGGAGCGGCTCCAACTTTCACAGAGTTTGTGATGACACATCAGCCCACAGGTGGATCAACTGCTCCTTCACGAGCTTTATCAGTGTGTGTGTGTGTCGGGGGGAGAGAGACAGCCACACAGAACGATGCCGTGACAGGCTAATATGTGGGAATTAATACCTCTGAGAAAAGCAGTTTGTACCTGTGTGGTGCCGGAGATTATATTGTGTATAAACCCTTCCTTGATATTAATGGTGCTGCTTTTAATAGGGCGTCTAATGTGCATGAATAGGTCATCTTATAACTCTTTATACAGCAGCTGAGAAATGATCAAAACTGTTTTTCCTTCAATTCCCATCCTGGTGAATTTATAAGTTTGAGGTTTTCGGGAGTGTTGGTTTATCTAAACAGTAAATCTGACTTTACAAAACAACTATTCGGTCGATTAAAGAGATAATGGGTGACTTTATAACAATCATTAATGACACAAAATCTTTAAATGCAGCTCTAAATGTCAAGAGCTTGGCCTGCTTATCAGAAAAAGGCACATTTCTAAGATTTTCGATGGCAGATGGACCAGCGATGAAGGTCTTCGTCTTCAGTCTAAAACTGGAGCTGCTGTCTCATTTACACGTTTTTCCCACATCCTTCTGCCTTTTCACTATCTTTACTTCTTAATCCTTTTGTCGTCCCATCTCTTCGCTGTTTTGTCCTTTCCGGTGCCAAGAACTGAAAGTGACCAAATATGTGTTCTTGGCCTGCAGAGCTGACTGCGATTCTGTTCTTTTGAATCAGGCTAATTTTAGCATCTTCAGCTGTAAGCGAGTCAGACACAAAGGCTTGAAGGACAACTGACTCTACTCCTTGTTTATCTTATTATTGTCCTTTCGAGACCCAGCAAAGCCTTTCAGCCACTTAAGCAAAGGATGCTTGAACCTTGAAGAGGAGTATCCTGTCCGCAAACACCTCTCGCCCTTCTGTAATTTTACAGAAATGATTTAAGATCATCTGTGGACTTCGTCTTATGTCCTTACGTTGTATAGCCCTATGTTTCAGTCTATGCTGGATAAAGGATATGTATCTTTTTCAGTCATCCAGCTGATTCTACTCTCGTGCAAGTGAGACGTGATTCCCCAAAGTATACATTTTACGATACGGTTTCAGATGGATTCCAGGAACCGGTTTGTTGAGATTTGAGGCTCTTTCTAAATATGACACCTGTAAAATCTCATCTGACGCCCTCTGCTCGTTCTTAACAGCCACTGGCAGCTGTTGCACATGAGGTAACAATGGCTGACAGTCTGCAGGTCATGGTCATCAGCTAGACAAGAATAAATCACATCTGACTCAGTGTCAGACAACCCTAAAAAGACAGGCGGAAAATCAAACCGCATCTAAAGGTGATTACCACATATTCATACCAATCAAGCAGAGCTAAACTTTTAGGCAGAGTTTAAAATCTCTATTTTATGCTTCCTTTGCCAGACGGATACTATTTTTTTATTGTGTTGCTTTGCCAAAAGAGATGAGAAATGATGCAAGTGGAAGAAAGACACTACTACGAGAGTGTATGTGGTGTGTGGGTGGATGTCTGGCCTCTTTCCCTGGCTTCATCTCAAGCACCCCATGTAACACACTCACTGGGACCGGGAAAGAAAAAAACTTTCAAAAGGATGGTTTTAATAGAAGCTACACTCACACTACCTACAAAACGTGAACAAGAGAGATTTTTTTAGGCTGCTGGATCTTGTTTCTGCTCCTTTGTAACAATCCAGTGCAGAGATATTATTTTTTTTATGACTGCACGGTATACGGAGCTGATCCTGCCTGCCAGGACACCTGAGGCCATCCTCATGCCATCTCTGCTTACATAATGATAGCCATGTCTCCTTGCAGTTCACCTCACAGTGCTGACATTTGTGAGCATAAACCATCTGTGAGCGAGTTCACAACTCGGGATATAAAGCATCCAAAGGTTAACAAATTCTCAGCTTGTTTTGCTGAAATGTCAGCTTTGCAGCTGCATCAAAAATACATTAAAAAAGGTAATATAAATGTGAACCTGAGTTGCTACAGCCCACCAGTGGAAATAAATTATACCTCTGGCTAAAAATTTTGCAGAAGATAGGAACAGAAGATCATTTGTTGCATTATATTCTTTCAGCACAAGTACAAAACCCCAAATCCCCTTAAACTGGCAGGACTGAGCTCTTAATGTTGAGGCATATATACTAAGCTAAACCATGCCAGTTAAAGACTTCATTATGTGTATGAGTGTGAACTAACACATCCTGATCCTGACTTGCCTGCAAATTTTCGGGAATTTTCGAGGTTGTTCAGGGGGTCAAACTTGCATTTTCAGAGGCCGTAAAATAATAATAATAATAATAATAATGATCGAGAACTTCGCCGCACAGCTTTACTGTCGTCTCAGGCCCTAATGAATGAAGAGAAATGGACAAACAATGTGCAAAGTTGGGACACTTGTAGAGTAGTTTCTCTTCAGGTCCTTTCAAAGGGGTTAGTTTCCTTGATGTTTAAAAAAAATCTTAATTCTGATATGAAACAACCAGCTAAAAGTTTGGACAACAGTTGAGAAACAGTCCAAATTAGCTTTATTTTTAACACTGCTCAACGCTGGATCTCTAAGTTTGTCAAAATAGTCCGTCTAGTGTGGCGAACATTAGCAGAACCAGCAGGAATCTGGATAGAGTAGCACTACAGACGCTGTTAACTGGAGCTACAACTCTGGATAGAGGTAAGATGGTGGTGTAACAGCGTGACACAACATACAACAGGCATTTAGGGGGAAGCTTTTCCAGGGATGTTGGATTCTAAAACAAGAATGGAAAGAGTTAGCTGTAGTTTAAATTAACTTATGTTCAAGTATAAAGATGGACAATTCCTGTCTATCGGTGTTTAAAGATTTGAAGTATTAAGTAGGTCAATTTTTTAAATATGAAAACCTTTAATACATCCAAATCTATACTTAGAGTGTTTTAGGAGGAATCCATAATGAATGATGTCGCAGTTGTTGAGTAATAAGAGGCGATTACATAACGGATTTCCCAGCATTGTCTGTAGGTGGTGGATTTCTGTGTTACTCGTTAATTTGGTTCCTCTGTTGATAACAGTTGTGCGTTTCCTGGATGGAAGTATTTACTCGCGCGATGATAAAAGTAGCTCTGACATGCTGGCGAGGCGAATTCAGATGGTCGTTTCCAATTTGTGAGCAATCAGACGATGACTCATCAAAATGCCAGAGGTGAAGCTTAGACACGCCGCCGTGATAACAACCATAAGGGAAAGAAGCACCTGCTAGAGAACAAGCTGTCTGCAAAAACAGTAGGAAGAGGAGAGGAAAGGAAGGCAGGATGGATGGATGGAAGAGCAGACAGAGGGAGGGCCGGAGGGAGGAGGAGCAGCCATCTGCAGGCTGAGCGCAGGCCTAAGAGTTGCAATAATCCATCTTTAAGTGTGTGAGGAGGGAAGGCATAGCAAGCAAGTATTTATAATCCCCTTGCAGTGTCTCCCTCCATCAGTCTGATCTGGTTTTGACATGGAGTGTTTATCAGAGAGGGGAGGGCTATAACATGAAACGCTAATCCAGCCCTGCTTAGCTTGTTTCTCTAGACTTTATTAGCTTATGGCCTCGATACGGTAAATACAGAAACTGAGACCTATGGTAAAAAAAGAACCTGCTGGTTGACTGATAGTACTGATTTCACTCACAGTTTAGCTGTTTCATACCTCTGTGTATTCTTTTCTTGTGCACTTGGCAGCCGATCAAAATAATAAATCTGCAAAAGTGAGAGAATTCTGTTGGATCTTTTGTTTTCTCTGTCGATTTCATCCGCCAGAATATATACTGTGTGCAGGAGGTGGTACGGGAAAATCAATCCACTTTCACTAACTGCTGCTGATCTTAATGCAGGGTGGGGGGTTGGAAGAGAGAGAGAGAGAGAGAGAGAGAGAGAGAGAGAGAGAGTCCCACCAAGAGCTGAGCTCATGCTTGCATGAGTGCAGTCTCACCCACGCATCACACAGCAAAAAAAAATAAAAATGGGACCACCGTAATAACAGAGGCGTATCCACAAACACACACACACACACTCTCTCTCTCTCTCACATTCAGGCCTGCACAGCGTACATGAAAGGAAAAGAGGGCTTGAAAGGAGACGCTTCACGTTTGATCTGGTTTGAAGCGCGATTTTTGGAGAGGTGGGGCGGGTGGAGGACTGCACCCACGGATCAATGAAAGTCCTGAGCTTTAACATGTCGCACATGTGAGAGGTACCTTCTGGTCTGTGAAAATGTGCTAAAAGCTGCTGTCAAGGTTGCAGTAGGTGTGAAACACCCCACTCTCCATTTTACTACCCACTGACAAACATTTGTGAAGATGTAAATGCTGCAATGAAGCAAGAAAGGGATCAAGCCGACATTCACAGACTCAGCCCTAGATGCAAGAAAAGCATGCTTGAAAATGTTGTAGACACGTGTAAATTTTAACTGATTTAATCACAGATGGCTGGCCTAATTTTAGCTCAGCCTCGGAGGGCAGATTTCTACTCGAAAGGGCGATCTGCAGCGACGGCGGCTGGCTCTCAGGAGCTGCAGTACTGCCACACTAATCCTGTGGAATGCCTGCTGTGGACGGAGGGGCTCTGAGACTGCCAAGCCATTGCCTGGCCTATTAAAAGGAGAGCGGCCTGCCAACTGTATGCATACGGCATTGGAAAATAAAACTATTAGCCATATAGCTGCCTGGTTTCTCCTTCAAACGGCATTAATGAATCAGCTATCGGGGTCTCAGTCATGAAGAAGTGCAGCAGTGAGAGGCTGCAGCTTAAAGAGACAACAGAAAGTGGATGATGTGAAATTAAAATCTGTCAATAAGGTCTGCAGCTGTGTTTTAGAAGTGGTGCATTGTTAACAACTGTAAGTTTGTTGCTTGGCATGGAAGAGGCATTAATTAGCTTAGCATAAATTCTGCAAACAGAAGGAAAGAACAATCTGATTCAACAGGACCAAACTTTAGCAGACAAAATAACCACTTCATAGCAGTCTTGATGAATGCTTATCTTCGCTGACTAGCTTTAAAGTTAGCTCCATATTTAGTAGTTGTTTCTAAGTGGTATCCATTAGTCTCATTATGATCTAAACTGTTGTGCTTTCCCAAAATAACCAACTATTCCTCTTAATTTTAGGAGGAATTTATCGCTATTTTTAGACTTTTGACTGAGCTAATGTATCGTCTACGGCCAGAATATCCAGCAGATGGTTGATTCGGAGGTTAGGAGGTTAATACCCAGTAAATCCACAGATAAACATTTGTGTAGCATTTCAGTGCAAACACACTTTCTCTGATCGGTAAGGACAGTAGCAGATACATTCGTCGTTGGGGTGAGTATGACACAAGATTGAAATGCAAGAAGAGGGTTTTAGTGAAGGAGGAGTTTTTCCTCACTGTGGCAAAGATTATAAATATCAATCTGGGACAAAATCCCACCAGGCTTTTGTGTTACAAAGCCATTAAAATAAAAAGGGTGTAACATCTAGAGGTTTCCAATTAAGGTGCCGTGGATGAGGTCATCCCATTGTAGGGTAATGGGACAATACAAGCTGCTGCCTGAATTAGGTGGCGTGGATTTGAGAGTGATATAAGCGTCAAACTGCCTTTTTTCCTGTTGGGGCTGTCCTAACTCCTGCAGCAGGATGAGGAGGAATATACCAACGACTTGTTAGCAGATCCTGACGCCTCATTATTCCCCCGTAACGACCTCCTTTTGCTCCCCACGGGGTTCGTGTTATGGCTTCCAAAACTGCGAAGATAAGTTTCACCGAGCCTGACGGCCAAGAGGGACAGTTTATCTTTAAAGAGAATTTACTCAGCTTTTGGCCACCGGAGGCAACGCATCAATCAGAGGCCACTTGGAGGTAAAGTTTCACGATTCAGCAGCAGCACCTACAGACACATGAGCTCATGAACCGCTGCTCCGCACGCTCTCACCGTGAATCTTATTTTATAGCAATTCTTAGGCAGAGCACTTCAGTTCACTGGTTTATGGAGTCTTCTCTCAATGCCAAAGCCAATAACAAAGAGAGAGGACAGTTGTTTTAAATGCACGTGGATCTGCTGTAAATCCTGAGGGGAAAGAGCCTCTGAGAAACACAGCGCTCATCACCTTTCAATCAAAACATTCTTTGTTTTCCAGAGTGAGCGTCTCTCCTTTGAAAATATGTGGAGCAAGAATGAGTCGTAAACAAGCTTAGAGGGAAAAGAGAACAACGTCTGCAAAGAGAGTCAAGTTAAACAAAAAACAGAGCAGAGCGACTTCATGATTGAGAGGCTGACATCAGCTCCCCACATTTCTGCACCGACCACCCGTAACAGCAGGTGGGCGGTGCAGATAATCCCTCAGACCAGTAAGGTCTTAAAAACCGCAGATCTGATAATTAACCTGCACCTGTTCACCCCGAAACTAGAACAGGAAGTGGAACAGGTCAGTCGACTCAAGACAGTTTGTCTTTGTCAACAAAAGAGGTTTTTAGACGCTTCAAAATTAAATGTCAAACGCAGCTCGTTCAGCAGGAGGTGCAAAATAAAAAAGAGTCAGTGAGTTTCCTTACATCTGTTTTTTGTCACTCTTCATCTTAATCCCTGTGCTCTAAGAAAGGCTGCTGATGCTCTTAGTTTACTTGGCAGCTTTACTGTTTCAAACCGTCATGTAGTCTATATTCTTTCTTTGTGCTTGGAAGGCAATCAAAAAAATAAGTCTACAAATGTCATCAAGTGGTTGTAATGTTGCAAAGAAAAGATTCTGTGCTTGGCTTTAACCCAGTGGCCAAAACAAAGGCTGTGCAATTAAAAACATGCTTAGCAGGAAAAATCGGACACAACATTGACTGGTATTGAGTAAAGACGGCTGCAGATGAAACATCCCAACCTTTGTTATGTAGTGAGAGGCTTCCTTCAATATTTTCTCGCCTTTTCTTTTCGGTTAGCAACACCTAATTTCTGTGGTTTAGTTGGCTTTTGTAGATCTCGGTAAAAATCAGAAGTACAATTCGACTGAAACAAGGACTGGGCGATTATATGATCGTGATCGATGATGGTGATAAATTTCAGTTTGTTCACGGTGATCAGCTGTGAGCATAATTACTCGATCAAACATAGCGGAAATGTGCGTCACAACAGCCAATCAGAGTCGAGCTTTTCCTGCTCACTTCTGTAAGTTGCCAGAGAAGTAAACAGAATGACCGAATGTGGAGCTAAACGCAGAGCTGAGGGCAGCAAAACAGATGTCAGCCTTTGAGTCATCCTCCGAAGATGTTATTGTTGAGAAGTTATTCAACGTCGGTTGTGTGGCAGTGGTTCTGGTATCTCCAAAGTGACATCGAGCAATTAAGCTGATGTGAAAGGTATGTTGGCGGTCGGTGCCCTCAAAAACCGACAACACAACAAATCTGTTCAATCATTTGAAGAAGTACCTCCCAAATGATTATGCAGAAAGCATGAAAATGTGAGCGGATTCTGCACAGCCTGTCACTGCTGACGGCACGAGTAGCATTAGCAGTTTAGCCACAACTAGCGTTGCAGCCACTAGACCAAAGCAGCGATCAATCGCATCATCTAATGTTTACATCTTCATTATCTCTTATTTTGGGTCTTGCATACCTGCTAAAACACTCAGGACTGTAAACTAGTTCACTGTATTATTTAGAATTTATCTACATTTGTTGTACTGTTAAGTTAAAATGTTTTTTACATTTTTCTAAGTGTATCTTATTCTTTATTTACTTCATATCTTAATAAAATGTTGAACTAATCGAGTTTCTTTAGTATTTAGTACAGATGCTTTAAAACAGGCAGTTAAAAAAAATCGTGATAATAATTGGGATCGGACGATACAACAAAATACATCGTGTTTTTTTTTTTTGCCAAATCTCCCAGGCCTAATTGAAACTTGACTTTTTATTATTCTACCTGCTTCTTTTTTGAGTTAGTGGCACTTTAGACCTTCAGAGAGGATACGACAGTGAAAGCAAAAGAAAAACAGGAGAGAGAGGGCGTTGGAAGTGACATGCAGTGAAGGAGCTGCAGGTTACGCTGCTTGAGAGTTATTGCCTCTGTACATCAGGCGCCATTCTTGGTCTCTAGGCCAAACCGGTGTCTGTATACTTGTGAAGAGATTATCCTGAAGTGTTTCTGGTCAAAGGTCACTGTCGACGTGATGCTCTGGTATTGTGTTTTGAACATAAACTCCATCAAACTCTAGAAAGAACAGCCTTGCAGTCATTAACCAGCTGTCCTTCACAGAGAAACACTCCACGCTAACACAGGCGCTAACACGCCTCCTGACCTGGCCTGCTTTATTCTAGCAGACGTGGGTGAACCTTTATCAGCTTTGCAGTGTGAGGAAGTTATTACAGTTCAGTTAACGTCCAAACCCCGCCATAAAAAAGTGCAGCGTCCTTTGTGACACATCCGATAATTAGCTCAAGGTGGAGGAGTCCCATTCAGCAAATTCAGACGTTATTTTGTGGTGTGTCAACACAGCGTGACTCATCCTTGGAGTGTGTTTGCTTTAAAAGTTGTGGAGCTCATAGCACATTGGTCTCTGTATCGCTTGAACTCCTTGGGTCCGAGGTCACGGCGAGCTGAAGGCGTCACAGAAAGACAGATAGGCTAATGATTTGGATTTTTCTCCTTGTCAGAGTCTGAGACCTGCATCGCTGTGATTCACCGTTATTGCAGCGAGGAGCGCGGGAGGCTCAGCCGCGAGTCTGATGTGTCATGAGTCATTCGTGTTCCTCTCAGGCGGAAAAACTGCAAACTTCATTCTCTCTCTCTCTCTCTTTCTCTCTGTCGTCTTAACTTTTCGTCCTATATGCTGCTTACCTCCGAAAGGATGTCAAATCGAAGCCTCACTTTCTGCTTAAAAAGAAAAGTTAAACAAGGTAAAGTTTCTGCCTCCGACTCATTTACATTTCTATTGAACTCGGAGCAGAAAAGCTCCTTTTCCTGATTTGTCAGTGTGTGAGGTGTGCACATCTCTGGCAGTGACAATTTTAGGTCCTGTGCTTTTGTGTCCATGGTAACTAGGAGGGAAGGTGAGGGCTTTTAAGTGTATCTGTGTGTGTGTGTGTGTGTGGGAGCACAGTTGGCAGACAGTAAGCACACACAGGCACATGCACCGATTCACAAAAAATAAACAATCAGTGCCCTCTGCTCCCATAATCAGCCTCTATATCAGAGACACTCGGGCTGCTGTTAAGTCTCCATCAGTCTGAATCTGCAGAGCGCAGCACATGCAGATCGAGTCTAAATCAGGGCACAAAAGACGCCCCCGGCCTGTACATGCCCTCCTGTGGCTGCTGCCTGTGAGTGGCTCCTCCTGCACTTGTCCACCTCTCTGCTTTGTGGATGCAGTTTCTTTGTTCAGCGAGGCGAGGTGCTGATGTGAAAACGCCTCCTTTGTTTCAGAAGCGCCTCAGCTGCATTGTGCATCCAGTGTGAATTTCTTCAACCTGCTGCTGTTGCCGGGAGCGTCAGTGAGATAAGTGACCAGGTTTTTTTGAATCGGTGCATAAAAAGAGCAAAAGAGGAGGGACGGCTCGTCACTCGAATAAGAATAAAGGGTAAAAAGGAGCTCTGTATGAGAATCACTTTTCAGTTTCAGCTCTGCACCAAGTTTGATCAAGAATTTCTAGTATTCTGGTAACTGATCAGCTCCTTAAATCTAAATATTTGCTGTTCTTTCTTTTTAAAGACGGCTGTCTCATCCTCTTAAAGGTTGTGACAAAACACTCAATTTAAAAGAAATCAACCTTGGACTTCTTTGCTGTTTTCGCTCGATAATACGCAGTGTAATTGATAACCTGAGTTCCCATGGCCCACTTTTGCAAACTTATCACAACAATCAGCTGATCACATCCCATTTCCGCCGCATGTAAGCCGAGAGAGTCTGGAACAAGCGCTCCTTCATTCTGCAGAGCCGACTGAGCGATCCATCTCGACGTGCACCTGACAGAGCGGCTTCCTGCACAGCTCTTTCATTGGATCAATAGTGCGCTTGTGCAAAGGGAGGAAGACACGGTTCAGAGTATCAACGCAGTGTTGACATATCTGGAAAATGAGCTGCGAGCGAGAGCCGGAGACACAACACAAGGGAGTTAGTGTCCTCAACAGAGTCAATGAGCTGTTTGCTTAAAGGGCCACCGCAGTAAACAGAGCAGCTGGAGGAGAGGAGGATGGCAGGAAGGACGCCTTCACCGCCTGAGAGAAAAAACAAAAGGAGTAGAGGCTGAGGGGCAACTGGATGATGACCTTAACATTGACTGGGCTCCTGCCGGATAAATGACTATAATTCAGAGTGTGTTGGAGTGAAGGGTTGAACTGCTCTGCGACACCTGTTCGGCTCTACAGAGGGGCCTTTCACTGAGGACAGGTGCCTCGGCAGCGGGCCGTCCACTTCCTCACACTCTCTGCTCCGCTCCCAGCTGCTCGCCTTTCAGACCTCAGACACAGATTCCTCACATGCCGTCTGATCTGCTCGGCAACTTCTGCAGAGAAACCTCAGCTGCACGCTATCAAAGAGACAACTTCACTTTGCACACACAGTCTCTGTCAGAGCATCCCGGGAGCACCTCACAACAAGCAGACACGGGTAGTGTTTTTACCATAAACTGAGAAATTGGTACAAGAGCGCCAAGAATCAGACACATGTGATCCATAAACTAAGAAAACGACACAAAAAACCTGCCAATCAGAGGCTGAAAATTTGTATTTTTCTTAAATTTGCTTTAAAAATGACTCATTTACCAATTATTTTTTTGGCAATCCACCTTTTTCGTGATTCTCAATGGTGTCTGTCTCTGCTCTCTTCAGACTGGAGTTCATTTAACAGCCTGCTTTGCTAAGTCAGTTATGCAGGAAAAAAAAACAACAATAATCCTCCTGCTGGAATAATTTCTGTGGGAGTCTGAACATGTGTGTGTGTGTGTCTGCATGCATATGTGCGCTCAGAGTCGGTTTGCTTCCTGGCTCAGTGACCTGTGCATGAGACAAACAGACTGAAGGGGGGCAGGGAAGGGGGTTGGAGGTACTATGTTACGATGCGGATGAATAAATACTGAGCACTGGCGTGTTTTGAGTATGAGTCTGTGCGTCATAGCGTCAAATATCTGCTGTTTCAACCTCTTAAATGGTATTTAATTATAGATCTACAAAGTGAGTGTGGCGGCAGAGTGAACAGACAGGAAGCATGCATGTATTTATCAACACTGCCTCACATAGCATGCATACCGGGGCACGTGTACACACTAGCCATGCGCTTCAGATTGTGGGCCAATTGGCTGCAGTCCAAGCTGCAGCAGGGCTGGTTTTGTCTGCTCGGTCCCAGCATGCTCTCTGTGCAAGGGGAAAGGTGCTGCGCTGCATAGCTGGAATGTTTTCCGCCTTTGTTTGGCTCAAAAGTCTGTGAGATTCATTTAAAGAGCTCTTATACGCCAGGACAAGTCGAGGCATGTCCGTAACTGGCTCTTATGGGGGCTGCACAATAGTGATGGGCACCGCAGTTCTTTTAGATGTACTGAATCAACAAGAACCACTTCACTCAAGATTTGTTCAAAAGATTCGTTCACCAAATCACTGAATAATTTAGCGGGAGAAACCTGTGACTCTGACCGACACAGCTGAACGGTTCAGGATTCAGTTCGATTCAAAGCTTCTGGGACTGGGAGACGAGAGTGTTTGGCTGCGTTGCTTTGACAAACAGGTTTGTAAAAATGAACTTGGTTATAAGTCATGATGTTTTAAGTGTACTGTCCTATGGTGTGCTATTTATCAGGTCTGCACAGTAAATTGGGGTCAGTGAGTGATTCGTTCACTGGACATGCACCGTTCCCTCACAAACCACTGTGGGTTTAATGCACTACTTGTTACATGCTGTGTCCTATTGTATGCAAGTTGTTGTGGTGGCAATTGAGCAGTGAAAAAATAAGGTAGTTTTGTCTGACAAAAGTGATTCCAGAGAGTGGAGTTCAATGAGTGAATCGTTCACCAAATGATTCAGTAGTGGTGCGTGTGGTCCCTCATTTGCCGGCTGCTGGCCTGGCAATGCTGTTTCTCACTTCAGCTCAACTAAACGAATCACCTGAGGAAGTGATTCAGTTCCGTACGTTCACTTAAAAGATTTGGTTCTTTTGAACGAATCATTCGCGAACGACACAACACTACTGCACACACACACACACACACACACACACACACACACACACACACACACACACACACACACACACACACACACACACACACACACACACTCTTTTTTCCGCTGCAGCTCATTCAGATATTAATATGAATCAAATTAATACCCAGCAGGGGAGAATTTCACTACAGTAGTAGAAACCTGTTGTTGTAAGACAGAAGCCTTCATAGAAGGGGATCTGCTTCTTCTACTTCAGTTCTTTCTAAAAGTCTTTTTGTCCTCATGGAGACGGAAAAATAACAAAAGATAAAAAAAACTTCATTCACAAACCTACACAATAACAAACCGAAGCACCTGCGTAGGTGAGTTCGGCTCTTCATGCAACATGCAGTCAGACAGTAATTGCTGTAATTTTAAAGCCAGTGACTCAGGTGATTGGACGATGAGTCAGGGCTTTTCATACTTCCAACAAACCACAAATTGCCTCTGTCCTAATTTTCACATCGCTCTCAACCACAGAGCGCTGAGAGGACAACGTGTGTGGTCAGTTGTTTGGACAAGCGTTCACGGTTCATGCAGAAGTCAACTTGTCTTCTTAAAAACTACTTACAAATGTCTGAGTATTGAGAGTTTATAAGCTGCAGCTGGATGAACTCTGACGGCTGCTTTTGCTCGTGAATCAAATAAAATCTGTCACTTCTCTCGAGTCTCTCATAAGCGATGAATTATGCTTGAGCTAGCCGTCACTAACGACCTCCCTCACAGCGGCGGCAGAGGAGATGATGTGACCTGAAAGTGACGCGTGGAGAGCCGCCCCGTCAACATCCAGAGGCTCAAATGAGAAAATCCACCTAAGAATTTTAAGTGGCCCCTCTGACTTCTGAGAGTTTCATCCCCCCACGACAAGAGCGCCCGGCGCTCTAATTTCTTCATCCGCACAAAGCAGCTGTCACAATACCGACGCTCTTAATATCATCTTGTGCGAGTTGTTGTGCAGCTGTGTGAAACGGTCAGAGCTCGTTCTCTCAGCGATGTCATCATCACAGCTGCATCTCTAAAGCCTCTCCGCTTCCTCCCAGGAGATCTGCTGCGATTACCTTATCCTCAAACATCTCTGTGTCTCTGTCTGTCTGAAACTCTCAAGGAACAAACATTAAAATTCACGATGTCACTGCTATAGCATGAAACTATTCTCTTCGTCCACTTATCTTTCTTTTTTAATATTTCCTGAATGGTTTCACTGCACAAAAACCGAAATAATATTTAGTTATTGTTGCAGGTAAGTTGAGAAATTGGAAAAAAGTGCATTCAAGAATCTGGGAAAGTCATTGTAACACTCTTTCTTTATCACCAAGAAGGCTGAAGATCATTATAAGAGTTAAAAAGTAATGGAAAAAGTAAAAAAAACAGCTCTTATTCTCCTGGGCTGTGTTTGTTTTACTTCAAACCATGATAAGTAAGAACTGGACCAAACATCACACGGGTAATTTATGACAATGTTGATCCAAAGAAGTGAATTTCTTGACTATCTGTAAGAATGTACCTCCTGTCGGGTGAAAGTTTACTGGTTTTAAATCAGATTGTGGGTTCAAAACTTCACCATGAGGTCTTTTTCTCATGCTAGCCTTATAAACAGTGGGTAATTACCGGCTATCAGATGTCAACATCCATTTCCTAACACCCATAAAATACTGTGATTTAGGGTCGTTTCCTCTTGTTTGTTTTGGTTACATTCTCAGGCTTTCATTTTCAGCTTAGAGCAGCTACTTTCATGTGCATCCAAACTGAAGCGGCTCTTACTAAAGCTGAAATGAAGCGCAGAAACTCTTTGAATCGTTTTATTTCTTATCGAAATCGATCAAAGACAGGCGTCTGGCGTATTTCCTCTCTGCTTGTTGACACAGTGGCAAAAATGTTAGCTTCTATTAGCATGTAGATATTGAGGTAAAATGATCATTTTCTCTCCGGCTGGTTTTAAGAGTCAGGAAATGATGAGCAACATGCAGAGCCAAGGGGGCCCAGATAGAGAATAGTCCTGTCCTGCAATCCATGTAATGTCATCAAAGCTAATGAGAGGTCCTAGGAGTTCCCTATGGCTGAAAAGTTTGTTAAAAGTTGTGAAATTTGCCTTATTTATATCTATAATGTTCATTTATATTGAAATGTTAGGTTTAATGTTAGTAAGAGAGCAAACAGCTCATTATTAAACCAAAAGAGTCATCTTTAAATCAACATTTCGTGTCAGGAAGCAGGAATGTAGTTCAGTGTTAATGTCTTGTTTTTTTACTCTATTTCTGATTCAGATACTTCAACACAACACGTTCACGTTAAACTTTAAAGATCAGAGGCTTGTCTGTCAATAGTTTCAAAGTCCACAGGCGGGATCACGTGTGAAGTTCAGGGTCAGTCAGTCAGTAACTTCAGCCACTGTGAGAATAAAATGCAAAGAGTGGGCGTTGCAGCTTTTCTGTGCTGCGCAGGTACGGTACGTCACAGAGGTGTGGGTGCGTTACCAGCTGACTGTTCTTTTCTGGGATATATATACTGCTGTATGTTGAAGCCTTTCTCTACTCTGCGTGTCTCTCTTCCCTCAAAGTGAACTTCTCTTTCTCTCTTTTAGTCGTGAGTTTGAATTTACTGGGCTGTTTCCAGCTCTGTCACCCCGAGTTCATCAGCTGACAGCAGCCTCGGCGCTCTGCTCTGAGGGGCCTTCACAGACCCCAAAGTGCAGAGTGGAGGCCTGAGGGCTTTTCACTCAGCTGAACACAACCTCTCTCTGTGTGCAGATCACTGACCGCTGTTGTGGTAAGAGAAGGATGGGACGGCAGAGTTTCCCCTCCGACTCTCCGGATCTGGACTCAGGATGTCCTCGCAGCCTTTTTCGGACACCTGGTGGGAGGATGGGGGGGGAGCTGTGAATGTCCCTCTGATGGGACCGAGGGACGAACACACAGTCATTCATCAGCCATCCGTGGCATCGCTCTCATTCACATACAGATACCCACAGAGACACAAAGCCCCAGCTGCCTCAAGTGGAAGACTTACACACAACACTGGGCACCAAAGCAACACAGCTCCATTTAGGCCCCAAAGAAACGCCCCATCACAGCCGCTGAAGAGCCTCTCTATACGTCCCTCTGCACGGCTGCACTCACAATGGACAGACGAGGATTCATTAGGAGTTAAAAGGAGCGAAATAAGATAGATTAACACGTACTGACAGAAACAAACACACTTCAGGCTGCTGTTTTGATCTCGCACGACTTTTCAGAGGGAGGGCGAAAGAAAGCAAACTTTCGCTCTGTTCAGGAGAGAACGACACTTCAGAAAATGAAATACTGTTACGCAAAGATGTCAAACCAGCACCTGAGAGCTTCTCTAGCGCTGGTTGAAGGATTGTTTCACTTTTCCGAAGTTTCTGCAAAGCTCTGCTGCTAAGTGTCTGCTCCCTGTTTCACTTGAACGTTAGGTGTATCAGTATTTCTCCGAACACTTTCAGTGTATCAAAATGTTGAGCAGGAGACTAAATGGCTTATTAGAGAAAGGATTAATAAGTAGATTAGTAACAATTAAACCTTCATTACCACCTGAATAAAGGATTAATGCTACCGAGAGGGATTAACCACATCCTGAAAACTCAAGGTTGGATTTTTACCGAGGATGTTTCAAAGTGATGAATTTCCTTTTTGCTTAAATGGAAATTTTAATTCCTCCAAACAAACTGTGTCTACCTTTATCAGAGCTAGCACCACCAGCCCTCAGCTCTCCCTAAATAGTAATACGCCTGTTTTTCCCCCATTCTCTTGATCAAAACAGAACTATACTACAAGATCTGTCATCTGTGCTTGTTTACATACTGGTTGTAAAGCACTTTCCCATTATGACAATAGCCCTTAATCGTACCTGCAGCCCCAGCTATAAGCACAGGACTTAAAAAACAACACATGACACACCTCTTCACTTTTGCAGATCTTTAACTCATAATTAAAGCATCAATAAATGTTTTTTTCCTGTCTACACTCACTGGAATAAAAGCCTCTGGACAAAGCCACACATTTGATCATTTCTTTTTATTTGTTTTGCGACTGTGTAAGGTTATTTTGATTTATAAAGACTGAAAATGTTCAGACGTTGCTGCTTTAATTGACTGATTTATGGAACAATCAATAAAGCCCTCTGTGAAACCTTAGAAATCCCTCATAAGAGGCGACTCATCAGGAAGTGCTATTGATTTTTTTTTCTGCCACCTAAGTGCCCACATATTGAAATTAGACAAACAGCTGCTGGTGGACTAAGGGCAGAGGAGAGAAGAGGCGTTCGGCTGCGGTACTTAAAATGCTGGTGATTGTGCATGGGGGCATTTAGACTGTCAAAGCGTGGGAGAGGATGCAGAAAAAGCAAGTATCACCTCCATCAATGAGGAGAGAAAAGCAGCGCTACAGGCAGAGAATGTGTCAAAGTTAAAATGAATCACCACTAGTTCCAAAAGACTAAAAAATAAACAGAAACCTCCCCTGGCTCCAGGACAGTGAATAATGGAGCTGTGAAAAACTCTCACATTAGCCCACCTCGGAGTTCCTCGTGACTCCGGGTAAGTCAGCAGTTGCAGTGGCGCTACAAAACTGCGTGGAGGCCTGTGGGAGGACGCTCCGGAGCCGAACAAACCAATTACACCACTGTCAGGGCCGTGGCACCGCACTGCATCATCCCACAGAAACACCACCGTCTCATTGCACGCATCTCACGCACCTCATTGTACACATCGCTCCGGCTCAGTAAACCCCGCGCTGATGAGCCAGGAGGCCCGGCATGTGTGGCATGGCAATCAGCCCTGCTATTAAGTGCTGATTGTCCTTTATTAAGGAGACAGTGTTGCTAAAACACAAGGCCTGCCCCTGTCAGCACACACTGGATTGTTGAAGCATGTGACTCATGTGATTGCAGAGAGGGCTGGAGGCTGAACCGCTCTCACCCCATGACTCTCCCTCAGCGCTGGGGCAGCCTGCAGGACTCTGAGGAGCCTTTACATGTTCCTCCCGAGGCAGAAATACAGACTATTAGCATCGTACGCAAACAGATTGAAGGCTCAGACCAGACTCATGGTGGAGGTTCAACTCACGTGTTACCTTGAGTGCCTCTCAGGGAGCTTTGTTCTGATGTCTTTTGAAGTGGGGGGGGAAGGTTGAACCCCTTTCAAAATCTGAAGCATCCACAAACCGTATGAGCACTAAATATAGATGGTTTAAAACACCATGCAATGTCGTAGTAGGCGGTTAAAGTGTTGACTGAGGATTTGCCCTCCTCTGTGACGCATGATGGTTCAGAGACATTGGAAAGATTTTATCCACCATATTCAACTTTTAACTTGGGATGCACCGATCCGATATTTGGATCGGATATCAGCTCCGATATTGACCAATTAACTGGATCGGATATCTGATGAATGACGCCAATCCAGCGTTCCGATCATAGACTGTATATAGAATGGACGTCGTCTGCATCCTCGCTGGGTGAAGCCACTCCGAGAACAGCACCCTCTGGTGACAGGCTGCAGTATAGTTCGTAAATCCCGAAATTCATTACACAGAATATAGATTTTTCTCCCCCCTGCTTGCAATGTTGACATGTAGTTACTGTAAGACTGGTTTGTGTTTAAGGATCAGTATCGGTTATCAGCTGATATGCTCAGCCCAGGTATCGGTATCGGATTGGATCAGAGAAATGGATTGGTGCATCTCTACTTTTAACTTTTACAATTCATACTTTTGACTTAAAAATTAAATCCTTTTATTGCTGGCTTAGCAAAATCAAAATCAAACTGTATGATTAATGCCTGACTGCAGTCATGGTTGCATAACTAACAACACATCTGCAGACTTTCACTTCCCTGAGGTATGACAATTACTTTACGATCATTGATGCTGCCACGTACGTCGACAATAAACACGTATGCGTTTTAAAACTTCTTCACGTTATGTAATAAACCACAGATCCACTGTTTTATTCCGCCTATCAACGGTAAACAGGAGGAGTGTCAAAGTGATGAAGTAAGATCTGATTTCAGGAACAACTGTTTCCTTGTAAAAGGATGATTAACACTGTGGCCATGCCATGCAGCAACATTCCTTCGAGGCTTGTTGCGACAGAGCAGCGGGGCTCTAGAGGCGGCGAGGAGTCCGTCAATGTGAAAGTGGGCAGACTCGGCTGGCAGGCCCGGGCTCGATGCTCCATAGCCTCCAGTAATTACGAGAGAGGGATCAGGCTACTTGCACAATGGGAGTGAAGCATTGGCTAACTACTGTCTGTCAGCCCCAATAAACTCGAACGCCCCTCACAAAAGATGCGTGCGCTCGGCGGAGAGAGAGCGGGGTGAGGACGGCCTGAACTGGCACACGCTGTTCATTAAAGAGGTGAAGGATCTGCAGCCTCGCTCCGCCTCTGTTTCTGCTGAATGATCACCTGCTGTTTATACACGTGTTTATTCCAGATTTAGTTAGCATGAGAAGTGAATCAGGAACTATCAGAGGTGATATGATCTTTCACAAACAAATCTGAATGACTGACAACTCATTCAGAGATTAGATTTTAAACCTGATATAACAAATAGTGAAACGCCACTTATAACGAGGCTGCCTTAGTAAAAGTTTACAAGTTGTGACTAATGGCTTTATAGATGTGTTGTAAATATTTTCATAAATACTTTAGAGTTGAAAGCTTGTAAAGGAAATGCTCATTTGAAAGGTTGTAAATAATCTCATTAGATGGTGATTTTATTTCTTATTTAGTAACTGTGCAGTAAACTAAAATCATCAACTACAATTATCTGTTATCTAAAGCTGCTGTGTGCGATTTTAAATGATGATAAGTCACATTTGAGAGGTTTTATAGTTACTCTCTGCAGAACGAAACTGTAAAATGTTATGAATGAAGAAGTGAAATCATCAGATCTACAGAAATAAATCTCATTGTGTCTCTTGAAAAGGAGCAGTTACACATTATTTGGCCAATTAAATGTTGAAAACTCCTCAGTGGATGATTGTCATAACCATTCCTGCAGGAATAAATGTTTACAGAGATGTACAAACAATTTTTATTGGTTATGAAATATGACGAGCTTTGACTAACGAGTTTAGATCTTATAAAGTCTATCTGTGAAAGAGCTTCCAGTGACTTAAAGATACTGTGAGGAGTTTTTGACCGACTATGAAACAGACTGATACCAACACTGGTGTCTCAAATGACCCCAAAAGCAAACTAAACTATAAGCAACAACACTGATATCTCCTCTACAGAGACGTTTGATGGCTGTAATTCCTGTGAGGCGGTTGGTGAAACAGCATGAAGAAGAAAAGCCCACTTTTAAAAACTTTTTCCAGCACAAAGTGAGTTATACACGGTATCAGAAGAACCAGGATAAGATTTGTCAAGGTCATGACAGTCCAGGTATCACCGAGTTCCTCAAAGAAGCTTTAAAACTACAGTATCAATGATTCTTTGACATATCTCCTGTCAAAAAGATGTGGTTACTATCTAAAGGGGAATTTCCACAAGTTCTAACTACTTCATATATGTCCCGTATTACAGAGTGATTCATTTTAACTTCTATGATTCACTTCGACTGAACTGTATGTTCCCCACAGATGCTGCTCCAGCTGTTTGATCTTATCCCCGTGTAGCTCTGACAGAGGAGGACTCAAACCAATACCCTCACTCACATCTCCACCAAACGGAAACACAGGAAGCTACTCATCAAAAACTTTCAGGAGTTATGAAACTTTCAGTCAGCCTGTGGGAGTGAAAACAGGAGTGTAAACCGGAGGATGAGGACGGGGGCGGAGGCAGGATGATGCAGACAAAGCGTCGGGACCAACTGACTGATCAGCAGCAAGCAAAGCGCGCTCTCCCCCCCTTCTCGCTCGCTCTCTTTGTTCATCCCAGCCTCTGCTTTTCAACCAGATGCGATCTGCTGCAGTTTGGTAAGCCAGAGGAGGCTTCCTGATGACTCAAGGTGTGAAGCTCGGAGCTCACGACTACAGTTGTTTATGAATTCAGAGCACAAACCCACATCCCTGGCTCTCGTCAACCAGCTGACCGTTTTTATCTGACAGAAGGAGGTTAGGGAGAGTTGATACAAGATATTTTACATTTAGACGAGATGTTCCTCTATTCCTGAAAGCAAATGTTGTTTTCAAAGAAGTTTTATTAGTTTGCCAGTCTTCCCTCGGGGCGTTTTCTACTTTAATCAAGTAAAACTGAAGACATTTTATGATCTTTTTCAGCGCTGGTTACAGTGAAATGAAACTGAAGACCAGCCACATTCAAATCCTGCTCCATGAAAAAGTACAGCACAAACAGAAACCACAGCGGTTTTACAGGCTGTAAAACAACTAAAACGCTATTTTTAACTAAATCTGAGAGCTCTGGGGCTTTAACTCCAACCCAGGGAGTTGACAAACGTGTTATGTCTTTCTGCGTTTAATCTCTCCAAACACGTCGCTGAAACTCTGATTTCACGCACACGTCAACACTGCGGCTCTCCTGCATCAGGTTGATATGATACAACATTAGTATAAACAACAGCAGGATGTCTGTGCGAGATAAAGAAAGACTCCGCAGGAATGAATGAAGTTTTTACCACTGATTCATCTGCACATCTCTGCACAGCCTACACAAGAATCAGTACTCTCATATCATCAAGAGTCGGTCTCCATTCACTACAACCAGAACAGTTTCTACAATAAGGAACCTTTAAAGCTTCAATGAGGAGTTTTCTGAGGTTTATGACATAGATGGAAACTCATATTGATGCTTTTTGTGTGATACTAGAAACAAACAGGAACATCAGAAACAAGTATTGTAGCTATTAATGCCTGAAACCAGTGTGAGAGGGTAGGTGTCAGCCATTTCTCACATTAAATATTCACAATAACTAATTAACTTGACTGTCAAAAGAGTACAAATAAGGACATGTCTCATCAGAGGACACTACTTAAGCGTTGATGACTGAGAGAGCAAAAACAGACACACCTAAAGTTCCCCACAGGAGCTTTAATTCGCATAAACAAACTATTTAATTGAAAACTTTTGGATTGAGATTTGAGCTGCAGAAGTTGAATGATTAACTGATTAGACACAAACTAACTACAAACTCAAGGATTTAGATTGTTCTTACAAAAAGTCAACAAACTCCTGTCCCTGATCCTTTAACGTGAACACATTTAGGCTGGCTGTCTTCACTGAATACATTTGAGGACATCATTTAAAGATTTCAGAGACACTTCGCATAACACTTTATCGACTAAAATACTCGCTCTGTGATCAAGAAAATAACGAACAGAGGTCATCCAGTTCAGGAAACTATCAGTGGTTGTGGTCTAGGTTGTTAGCCAAGTACTAAAGAAGTCTGAAAACACTCTGGGAAACAGCATGTTTGTTGTGTTGTGTTTTAGTATAGTAAGGAAAACAGGAGTAGATTCAACAATCGATTCTTCTTCTGAGCGTTTTTTTAATCTGCAAGAACAAGAACTCCACGCTTCTACTTTTCACTTGAAGATCTCTCTGAACATCACTACACACCCTTTAGCTCTCCTGGGAAACTAATACGATTCTCTGCACATGTGGATCCTAAATATGACCGCACTCCGCCTGCTCCTCCAAAACAAGTTTCCCAAAGGATTCAGGGGGGGAAATCAGGGACGAAGACGTCACATGAGCCCCCTTTGGATGACTGATAATTAGTGACTGTTTCAGGACAGTGCTGTCTACCTTCAGATAAGACAAAGGCTTTCATTCTAAGGGTGCAAACACAGACTTCAGTGTTCAGTGGGTTACAATAGGATGTGGTGGAGGTGCTGCAGGGGGGGTCAGAGCAGACTCAGTCTCCCTCATCATCCCTGAGACCCATGCGGACTCAGTCAGTTACCCTTAGGGGCAAAAACACAGACAGGATGGAGAGGCAGAGGCCCTTCCACCAAAACACAAGAGGGGGCAAAATCACAAAGAAACCGACCATATGCAAAAAAATTCTTGCCAGGTCATCCTTTACATGTCGTTAAAATACCTGCATGACAGATCAAAACAACACTAACAAAAGATCCTTAGTCATTGTGTTGACACAGTGGTTCATAATGCATTAGATCCACGCAGAGTGGGGACACAACACCTGCAACTACACTAAAGGGGATTCAGTCAGGCGTTGTTTACCATTCCCCCTGCACTGTCATGCTCAGTGTGCGGCTGCAGAAAACACTCAACGACAGAAAACACAACCTGCTGAGGAAAGGTGAGGAGGACACACCTACATGCACCTCCTTTATTTACTGTTGCTCGACCGAAACTAGACACAGCGCGGTCTCCGGTATCGGCTTTAGACTGTACCTGAGGAATTCTTGCAGACAGGTGTCACAGAACCGATGTCCACAGGTAGACACTTGGACGGGCTCCCGCATCGCCTTGCTGCAGAGCGGACACTGGAAGCGTCTCTTTGGCTTCTCCAGAAACTTGTAATCAAACCCGGGCATCGCTGCAGCCTCTGTCGTTCAGTCTTTGTCAGGGTTAAAGGTACGAATGTCCTCTATGGCCTCTCTCCTCCCCCCCTGAAATCGGGGCTATTTATTAGCTGCACAGCCGTTTTAAGCCGACGAGGGGTTCATATCACGTCCCGTCTTCCTTCCTTCCTTCCACCGCCGACAGATCGGGATTGAATAAAAAGGAGACGCGTCCTTCTCCTCCTCCTCTTCTTCCTCCCCCAGCTTCTCCTCCTGCAGCCCGGACACAAAAGGAGCGACTCTGTCCAGGAAATGCTGCAGAAACGCTCACTGTCGGCCTCTTTCTCTCTCTGTGTGTATGTGAGTGAGCAGGTTTCCAGCTCAGGGGTTAGTGAGGCCGTGTGTGGCCTTCTCCTCCTCCTCCTCTGTGGATGCAGAACTGACACACTGAGCACAATGCACAACCCCTCCGTCTGTTTAGGTGCTCCGAGTCCCGCCTCCTCCCTCTGCGCAGGAGGAGTCAAGAAGCTGAGACGCTCACACTCACACTCACACCATTTTAAAAACACATTTTTATCTCTATTTTATAGACATTTTCACTCTAATTCTGCTAAAAATAATATTTAGTGTTTTTTTCCCCTAATGCCATAATAAACATTTGCTTTCAATGTGCATTTTTATTGAATAAACACGCAATATTTTCACGATTAATTTAATTACATTTACTACATATAAACAATCCTGAATATGGAAGCAAGAGAGAGGTTGTTTGCATTTAGATTTAAATCTAATAAATATAAAAATATGACCTAATAATAATAAGTGTAGTTCAGTCAGAGGTGACAGACGCCCTCTGGTGGTAAGAGAAGGAACACAAAATACAAAAGTGTGATATTTCCCCCTGAATTAAATGTTTGAATCTTTCCTTAATTCACAAGAAAAAACAAATATAGCTCTATAATTCAACACTTGAAATAAAAACTTACACAAGTCAGATATAATATGATAGCAGGACAAAAGAGGATGCCCACACACAGACAGACAGACAGAGGCCCCAACAGACTGATCATTTTTCATCTGCTGTCTTGCCACCGGATTACATCATCATTACATCATCATACAGGACAACAATGGTAAACGATCTGTGTCTCCAGACAAGGTGTGAACACATCCTGAGGCTTCATTACTGAAAAAAACTATAAAGGAATACATGATTTGCATGTTAATCTACAGAAAAACAGGAAATGTAGTAGGTAATAGGGATTGAATCAAAGCAGGTGATACCAGCTGTGTGAAAGTGGCACAGATTAGTGTTCGGTGGGGACAGGGATTAGAGATTAAACCATTGAAAAGTGTCACTTTTGTGCAGCGTATCTATTCAGTTTCAGGTGTATTTGTGCAGCTGTTTTTATCTATAAGATCTTGATAATAATTCAAACATTAAATGCTTTGTCTCCAACAGTGCAGCCTCCTGAAAACTATCATATCAAACTAAGTTGTTTACAGTCAAACTAGTGTATCTGCATGCTGAAATAAAGCAGATAATACTGTTTCCGTGACTCTGACAGTCTCCAGAGTAAGTCCTCACTGGGCATTAAACTCTGTCTCAGATTTATCACAGGATGTCTCAGAAGTTTCCAGCTCTATGCTGCCATAAAACGTTCTTTATTTTGTGGCTTTGACATTTAAGGGTGAATGACACCAGTTCATCAGGAATGAAAGCATGGGATGAAAACATGCCTGAACAAGGGCAGGATTTCTGCAGGAGTACTACAATGTGGGAAAGTGTCACTGGTGCATCAAGAAGCCTAACTCATGAGTGTAAGTTTTCATAAGGCATGTTACACAAAGATTTAGACAATAGGACCAGGGTACAGTTTGCTCTGTTATGCTGGAGTGTGCAGGGGTTGTGGTTTGTGGGATTGGGTTATAAATACCATTACAAAACGAAAAGGCATACAAAATGATGAGTCACACCTTTCCCTCACAGATGAAACACACAAAGTCTAGCTGACAGACTAGTTTGCAGTGAAGAGGATTACAGTCCTGCAGTAAACATAATCCTCCAGCAGAAAAAAAAACCCCTGATATCCACCTTAAAAGATCTGAATAAGAATGCTTAGTCAGTTTTTACCATCCTGTTGGTCTGTGGAGGGTTAGATGTTACAGCCAGCCTGTTTTGTTTTGTCTATACTGTGCTGACTCCAACAATAAATAAACAGATAAGTGATCAAATTCAAGAAAATCAAAAAACGACATGTATCAAAAACAGTAAAAAGTGACAAGACACTCGATTTAATCAAAGACGCCATTTAGTATGAAGCTTCTGTATGTTTCTGTATTTGTTTGGCAGCTTTAATTATGTCATTTTACAGTCAGATTATAAGTACATCATAAAAGGAGGTTTATGATAAATAGAAAAAGTTAAAATTGTTAAGATAAACCTATCTTGACAGAATATAATAACTTCAAATTAACCCTTGAAAGACAAATTAGCATGAAGGCACTTCAGCAAAAGCAGCTCATTTAATACTGATACCTGAAATAGAAAATTTCTTAAGCGTGGCTCCAACTAAAAGGGATTTAAGTCCTTCTCTCACCACTTTGGCAGTAATGGGTCATCATATAATACAGATTATACACGATAATTAATCATGATAAAAATAGACATAACAAAACAAAAACACAAATTAATTCCTCTTATGGCTCTGTAGTGCACTTCATTTACTGTACCAGTCTCTGCGCTGTAAATGGTGCACTATAAGATTCAGACAAGTGAATAAAACTATTGTTTAGTCCCAAATGTGTATAAAAGGTGTGCACCTGATAAACTTTCATTATGTGCAAAAAAAGATGCAGAAGAGGCACAACTTCAGTCAGCCTGACTTCAAAAAACCAAGTGTTTAATGCTCACCTTCACTTCTGCAGAGAAACTTTGCCCTGTGTAAACATACTTTCTCCTCTGGTGCCATTTGTCACACTTAAAAGCCGTTGGTGTGGATGATTCATAAGCCTACATCTCGATCGTTAGCTTTTAGAGCACAATGCTGCTCGGTTATAACACACAAGCGGAAGAGAAGACGAGGGAGAAATCCTGGACACAACAACACTCATTAAGTCCTCAAACTTTGTTCAGTTGAGCTCCAAACAACAGACTGTAATCTATTTTGAACTCTGCTAATGCATTACAAATGTATTCGGGGGACTAATCCAATAAAGCACAATGTGACCACTGACGATGTGATCAAGATTAACGTGTTTGCTCCACTTGACTGATGACTTACTAAACTCCCGAGTGGCCTTCATTCTTTTCCTTTCTTTGCTTTGTATCATGTCATTCATCAGTGGCTTAGCGGAGCTCAAACCAGTCTGACTTTTTCTGCCTTTTATCATGCTAAAGTCTGCACGTGAGAGAGGACAATAGCTGTCCACATGAAAGCTGCCTAACGACGACTTCCTGCAATCCTGCCCGAGTGACGGCAGTCCTTTAACTCACCTGTTGTGAAATACACCTGCTAACACACACATTTTTCTGATCTTTTATGGGCTTCCGATTCCAGCCTACTGAAGGAAACCAGCTCATTCCTGGAGGAGGAGGAGAGAAGAAAAAAACTAGAGAGGAAGAGAGTGAAAATGTGAGGCCGCAGCTGCAGTGTGAAAGGGAATCTTTGAAGTGCGGCGCAGATGGGCCTTTGGCAGGACTTATTCAGAGGAAGCTGTCCTTTACCTCACGCTGCCGCCGCCGCCGGACTTTGTGATGAATGCTGACAGAGTTTGTTTTATTTTGTCAGGATCAAATCATCTCGGCACAGGCTCCTCCAGCAGGGCTGAAACGACACCAGAGGAAAGGGCAAACTGTTAGTTGAGCTGGCCTACAGAACATAAAATTACAGCTATTTTAATTCCATCTTCTTTTCAAATATAAAAATTCATCTCTGCTCTGGTGGGATGGATGAGAAAATGAGAAATAAAAAGGTTGCATGTGGGATTCTTAAAATATGAAGAGAAATTTCAGGATTTTCAGACAGACTTATTGTCAAACCAAGTAACCTGAATGGATTAACCTCCATGTGAGATCAGCCTTTAGTCGATGCGTTCGATTCTTTTTCTTAGTGACAAATAAATCAATTTCCCATTTACTAACTAGCAGTTGCTACTTCAAATCCATCTGTTATACTTAATATAGCTCACTCTGTAATAAAATCATCATGTTGCTCAGGTACAGTGTTTTCAGGTACTTGAATGTTGGTAAAAACTTCAGACTGTCCATGAAAACAAGCAGCGACACCATTTGAAGATGTGAGTTTCAGGTCTGAACTGTCACGACTTAAACTGACCCTGTTAACCACTTCTTTTTAGGTCATGTCCTTGTCTCATGGTTGGTAAACAGAGGCCCTGCACACTGTGGTGAGGATTACCAACATTTCTGTTAGTTATCAAATTGTGATGCAGTTTAATCTCTCTCAAATCTGCAGCTTTTTTTCATTTTAGAGAGCAGAGGGACGCTTTAATCCCACCTTCAGTTCCTCAGAGTTCATGGTCAGAGATGGTCACAGTTGGAAAAATAAGGTACACACTGCTGATCAGGTGAAATCGACAACATTAAAAATGTAAACTGAATTATTACATTTGACCTGCAGCTGAGGGAAACAACAAAGAGCAGCTTTGACTGGAGGAGAAACAAAACTTTCTGAAGAAGCAGTGTCTGTGTCCTCAAACGATACCTGTCCTAAGTTTGTCTTCTTTCTCATCTTTCAGTCACCACAACCTGACATCTGTGTTCTTTTAACAAAGGGGGTAATAAGCAAAATATTACGTTTCACTGCCAGCAAAGTGTTGCCATGACAACAAGCCACTGATGTCACTGTGAAGGGGTGACTCTCCTCCAGCTGCACCGCCTTCGGTATCCCAGAGTCCTCCTCTTTCCTACCGAGGCGGCCACGGGCCCCCTTTCCCCAGGTGTACACCTCACCGTCTGTGGAGAGAGAGAGAGAGAGAGAGAGAGAGAGAGAGAGAGAGAGAGAGAGAGAGAGAGAGAGAGAGAGAGAGAGCAGGAGGAGAAAGGAGAAAGAGTTCGTCATCATCTCTCCAAATCCACAGCACAGACCCTAGAGTGCATTAATCCACACAAATCTTTCAGTGACAGCCTTGTCTCTCCTGCAGAGGGAGAAAAATGGCTCAATTTGAAGGAAGTCAAAGCTGAACAAAGACTTTTCACAACAAAGAAACCCTACAGGCACCCTACCACTGCTGGATTTCTCCCCGGGGAGCCAATCACTGGCACAGTGTGACATTTCATCATTTAACCCTCAGCTTCAAGAACAAAACCCCTCACTTAACATACTCAGCGCTTACTTTTGAAAATAGTTGCCAGGCTGGCAACATGGCATCTGCTTTTTGTTTAAGTATGGTTTCCATTTTTTCCTAACTCTGTATCATGAGTCTGCAGACTCTGACACTGTGCAGCAACTGTGATGTGACATAAAATAATGTTTGAAAGCTTCAAAGAGAAACCATCAATTTCTGATTATTTGCAATTTATACTTAATATTATTTAAAAGTTAAAGTATTATAAGATTATTTCTCTATCATGAACTACTGCCCTGAAAAACACCAGAAGAGTTTCTGACATTCTTTTGTCTGTTGTCTTATTTCTTTACGTCCAAACTCACTTAGGTCAGCCAGACGACTTACACAACTATTTCTGAAAAGGTTTTGGATGCATGTTGCAGTGTGACATCCTTATTTCATCTTGTGATCGCCTGTCTCGACCAAAAACTAAAAGTTTGTTTCAAAGGAATATGTGTGTTGTTTGGACTTAACATGCAAGAGTTTTTCTGTGTTTAGCCTTTTCACTTGAAGACTAACTCATTGACATTTTGGCTGAAATGCTTTAAAACAATTATTTAAGTAAAAAATTAGTTCTTCAGATGTTCATAATGAATCTTTTTGGATCTGAGTAACACTCTTAAGTTATTTAAGTAGCACTCCTGTTTTGGGATCACAGCCGCTCACAGTGACTGTTTGAATCGCTCATTAGGATGCATGAATATCCCAGAATCCCCTTTTTTCTAAGCTGCTAAACCACAGCTATCTGAGAAATGTTCTGTCGACACAGAACTAAGACAAACCCTGCTGCGTTTTCCTGTGCAACTTCAGCTTTTGCAAAGGTTTAGACGCCTTTTAAAGCAGAGGATTATTAATGAGGAGTACAGAGAGTTCATCCTTTTTGAAAAATACTTGTGCTGTCTGAGGTCAGACGCAGAACAGCAACTAAAATGGCGCAGACCAGGTTTTACTCTCAGAGCACTTTTTTGTGGCGCTGAAGCTGACACATCTGTTTCGGTTCTACGATAACACGCCTTCTTGACTTTGTGCGAAGTTCAATGTTTTTGAAGTATGTCATGTGACGGCTCCTCCTCAGTGCCCGGCCGGTTTAAAGTAAAGAAGCATGAGCCAAGTGGTTTTTGTTTCATAACACCAAGCCTAACGCCACCTTAGCAGCAGAAAAGAGGCAGCTGTTTAGCCGTTAAACTTCTACCCTGTTCGCTCTCAACCTGCTCATATCACTTCCTCTTCCAAAGCTTTTGGTCACCCCAGGTGTGGAAATATGGCAAATCAGATTTATGTCTGACTAAGTGCATATGTGACTGTTTTTTATAACCTGTCCCACTAACATTCACAGTCCAACTCACCAGATCCAATAGCCAACGTGAAGGCGTCTCCACAGGCAGCCATGGTGATGCTTTGCAGCCCAGGGACCAGGTAGGGCACACGGGTGCTACGTCGAGAGCTGCAGCCCATCTGACCGTGTTGGTTGCTGCCAAAAGTGAAACACTGACCCTTGTCTGGAAAAGAGAAACGTTGGTGAACTAACATAACTTTGAGTTTAGTAATTAGTTGCTCTATTTTAAGCCAGAATTAACTACGTATGTTAGGTACTAAGAATAACTCTGGTTCAGCCAAAGGCTCAAGAACAAGTTAGGCTGGTGCCAAATGAAACACTGACATTCTTTTTTCTCACGGCAATGTTGAGTTATTAACTTCAGACACAAATACAAGCCACATGAGTCAGCTGATTGATATTGTACCTGTAACAGCAACAGAGTGTGCTGTCCCAATGTCAACGTACACAATCTTCTCCTTGTTAAGTGGGACTGATTGGATAGGTGTGTAAGAATGGACTTCCTCCACCTGGTTTGAGGGGTGTGGCTCTTCTCCAGATGTTATTTTATCCAGCCCTAGCTTATTGAACCTGACACCAATAAAAAAACAAAGATCAATCACTGTTTTTTAAAACAGAGTGAAGTGTGTCATTTATTCTTCCAGACAAAGCTCCAACATCACAAAACTCATATTTCACATTCATGTTTTATAGTCTGCTGCAGGTGAGTAATTCCGCTCTGACTTTGACTTGAGAAGAACACTTCGTTGTTTGCAGCTTAACATCCGGCCCAAAAAGAGAGGGATTAACAATGAAAGAGAAGTGTTTGTCATTTTAGGAGAATGCTGCCTCGCTGGTTGAACATCAAAGCGCTTCACTAGAAGCAAGAAACGTGATTGACAAGTGATTGCTCCTGCTATGACCTCTTTATTCTAAATTAAGTATATCATAGAGCAGAGCTCAACATTTACTGATAATGGGGTCTTTCTTCCTGCACTATGTAGACCTCATAGTACTGCACATACTGGTATCAACTCCAAAATTCTCAGGTAGTTTTTTCTTTGGCTTTGGTTTTTGGAGCCAGTTAACCCCTTTATAAAGTGTCTCCCATAAATTTTAAATAAATACTTTGATCAGAGATTCCTTTTCAAAATTTACTTTGAGCATTTTAAATTTCTTTTTCAAATATATTTTCCTTTTAATTCTTAATGGTGTATACAACTTAAAAAAAAAAAAGATGATTTTAAGATTCATCTGCTTTCTTTCATATCTTTCCCGTCTGGAGTTGGGCTGGTTGTTGCACTTTTATCTGGCGTTAACTTGGAGGGGAATCAATCCAAAAGAGAATCCTTTCAGAAAAACATGTACCCTACTCATTAAACATGGAATTAGATGTTTCAAAGCTGATTTTTGTCTCTCAAGTTTACCAAGACTAAAATCAATGGGCTTGGGTTGAAAAACACTGAATAACTACCTGTTGCTTCCACAGGCCATGATGCTGTGCTGGGTGCTGATAATCATGGAGCAGTCAACCCCACACACCACCCTCTGGGCTTCAAATTCCACAGGTAAACACACCTGCTGGGGAGAGTTGTGGGTTTCTTGGGTGCCGAGCCCGAGGCGACCTTCCAGACATTAAACAGAAACGAGTACATTATGTGCCGAGATGCTGGCGTCATAAATCAGTCGATCACAAACTAAAACATAAAGATTAACACAGAGATAGACTGAGTGAGACTAAAAACAACCATCTCATTTACGATACCATTGTCTCCTCTTCCCCAGGCAAATACTTCTCTTTCATTGGTCACCGCCAGAACGTGGGAAGCACCGCAAGACACCTGAACCAGCTCATAGCCTAGGAGAGCTTCAACTATCTTTGGCTGAGAGGGACAACAGAGAAAGAGAGAACAAGTGAATACAATAGGAGTTTCATGTGAGAGATTAAAGGTTCATAGAACAGTTTTAAAAAATACATGGATGAATTTCAAAGAAGTCATATCACTACAAAAATAAAGTCAAAGTAAAGTCAAAACAATTCCAAAAAGTGATGATAAAGCTGTAGTTTTGGTATCTGATGAGCAGCCATTGCATCAGTGTTAAAAAACTAGCAGGGTGGTTCACACTGCCTACATGCTCAAAGAGTGAGCAACTACCCATGCAATGCCAACTGTCTGTGTTTTTTCATTGAGCTCTATTTGATCAGGGTGTTTAAACTAGTTTCATCACCGAGCAGCTTTTAACCACATCACGTTTTGTTTCTGCTCTGTCTGGTTGTTGGATCAAGAGGAATTTTTGTCACACTTTTAAAACAATCCTCAGTCCACGTTTCACTGACATGGTACTACACCTGTTTATATCTTTAATGAGTCTGGCGATGTTAGAATAGGGGTGACTAAGGAGTGACTAATGCTGTGCACCTGTTAACACGTATGTGTAATACCACACAGTGCAACGCGACAAAAGTTACCAGTTTGTTGGGAACATTTAAACTTCATTAATAACTATTCTTTAATTCTCTGTTTATCAAAACCACCACATAGTTTTTATTCCTACTCTCAGTGATGAAAAAGTCTAGGATACTGTGACTGTATGACTGTGTGACTGTGTGAGTGAATGAATGATGTATCCATTGTAAAGCGCTTTGAGGGTCTCTGATAAAGCGCTAGACGAAATCTGATGCATTATTATTATTTTATTTGAGCACAGATTGAGCTGGTATATCAGACTAGAGACTGTTTTCGTGAGTCAAACTTAATGAACTTCATGTATAATGTAGGATTCAAGTGTTTTCCTTTAATGACGGACACGTACCTGGGTTACATCATTGAAGTTACCATGCCCCAGGCAGCCATTACTCCCACTTCCAAATGTCATAATGATTCCTCTGTCTGCAAATCAGAAATAAGAGAATAAGGTTATATTTGGTGGATGAGTGTAGGTGTATTCAGCAAACAGTTTATACTTCATATTGAGGAGAAGCTGCAGTGAACAGTGATGAAAGAGGGGGAACTAGGCTGAGAGGCAACCAGTGTTGTCTGATGACAGCCTACTGAAGCACCCTGGCTAACAGAGCAGCACAGTTCAGACATTAAATGCCAAGTGAACATTCACAGGTTTATTTCACAGGAAAAAGATCTGAGCCTTTCCTCGCTTTCATCAACGTCAGAAGTGCAGAAAAAAGGGAATCAACGTTGATTTCCTTCAGCGAAGTGCTCTGTCAGGCTGACTGGTCATGCATCTCTGATTGGTTTTTACAAAGCAGAACTGCCTACCAACCTGTCATGCAGGTGGTGAAGAGATCGCCGCATGACACAGACTTGATGGTGACTCCAGACTGACCCTCCAGGAAACGTGAAATGAACTGAGGCTGCATTTGCTCCACCACTCCATGGAGACTGGCCTCACCAGAACCCACTGATGGAGCCTGAGAGGATAAACGGTTATAATGATTATTAGTCGACAGCTGGGAAAAGGAGGATCTTTTAATGAGCATGTAACTCTTTCCTGGAAAATGTAAGTAATAAAAGACTTGAGAGGAAAAATGTAGCACTTAAGCCAAGGGTAGGAGCCATCGGTCCGTTCAATCAGGTTCAGCGCTTACTGCCAACTGTTTTCTCGTTAACTGTCCATGTTTTCCAGACCTAAACGTCTAAACTCTACCCTCTCTATTTTTGTAGTTTAGAGAAATTACATCCCAGAGAGTGTTGCTTTTAGCAAAACAGACTTTGGTCACTAAAGCAGCTGCTGCTGAGAATGCACACATCTCTACAGCGTGTAGTTTTCTCCTCTGATATGACTTACACCTTTTGTGTTATTTCTATAGTATCTCTTGTGAATATTGTTTGATGTCTTTAGCAATATTTGTCTGGTCATCTGTGAATATTTGACAAAATTACATTCATTCATCAACAAATTGACTTAACAGACCTCCCATGTTATGAGCCGACCTGACTTGGTCACCCCCATCCTCTGAGTACGGCCCAGAGACACTTGGAGCACCTCAGTGTTGAGCATCGGCAAACGGAGAGGCGCTGAGATTCCACTTCCCCATGTATAGACTGAGGACAGCGGGAGGGAGGTCACCTTTCCTGATCCAAGACCAACTGATCCGTCTGTTCCAGTCAAAGATAGAACAAATTAGTAGTGATGATGACAAACCAGGTTACTTTTGAGTTAAGTTAGGGAGTTATGTCTCTGACCTCTGGACCTGCTGGTAGGGACTCTCCCTCCTGTTCTACCTTGAGGCCCAGTTTGCACAGTAGATAATGGTTTTTCAATCCTAAAAAAAAAATCAGGGCTGGTGAGTTTTTTCATCAGATAAAAACTCCAATCATGTGTCTCAGTCATAAACTACCTGCGCATTTTGACATTGCCAATATCCGTGTACAGGTTGAGTAACGGCCTGATGCATATGGGTAGAGCCATTATTTCATTGAGCTGAGGTCGTTTGGATGGATCCAGATTGAGCATGTTGAGGATGAGCTGTCGGAGTTCAGGGCTGTACCGGTCCGATATTGGAGCAAATGTTCCACTCATGATCTTCAGAACAAGGGCTGGAAGATTCTGGAGGACAAGAGAAAGCATTATTGAGTAATAGTTAATTATGCATCACAACAATGTGAAAAACCCTGATTCCAACTGGCAAAGAAAAGAGATTTTCACATTCATGTTTTCACACATAGGGCAGATTTTGTTGATTATTTATGCGTTGGAATCAGCTGCAATCTAGATTTAGAGTAACAAATGCTTTGTCAAATACTCTAAGAAATGGTGTTTCTACTGCTGCTCTGATAGTGGTTAGGATTGTTTCATCGCCTTGCGCAATAATCTCTTGTATTTCACAGTCAGTTCAGAGATGATACTTAAAAAGACAGCACATTTATTTAATCAATGCATGCAAGGCAGTGAGGAATGTTTTAGAGAAAATGTTTTACATACAGCCGCCTCAAAGGCCCTCTTCAGACTTGCCAGCTCATAGAGCACGCAGCCCAAAGCCCAGATGTCGCTCTTCTGGTTATACGGCTTTCCCTCACACAACTCAGGGGAGATGTAGCATGGGGTCCCTACCACCTGCAGAGTGAAGAAGAAACGACACATTGATTTCTTTGAGCACAACTGAGGATTCAATATATCAAGAAAAAGTCATTACATTCACTCACTGTGTAAGCTTTGCTCTTGCTGACAAGGATTTTGGAGATGCCAAAATCCCCAATTTTGACAATCATCTGGTGCTTGTCAAGAAGAATATTCTGTGTCTTAAGGTCCCTGTGCAGGATGAGTTTGTTGTGGACGTGGTACAGGGCCAGTAAGATCTGAACGAAGAAGTGGAGAATGGTGTCCTCGTCTAGCAGAGAGTTACAGCGCTTCTGTATGTAATCAGCCAGTGTTCCACCTGCACCAAGGAAACATGGAAACAGTTTAGATAGTGAAAAAAACACAGATTAAGTTAGTGGCTTGAAAGACTGACACGTAAGTGATGATATCAAGGCCAGAGGAGGTGGATTTTACAGGTTTTGAGAAAACAACAAAACACTTTTCTTGATTCATTTCATCATTTGATTCACAGAGACTAAACTAAATACCATCCATTTGTGATTTACCTCAATGTCAGGAAACAACATTTAAAAGAAAGCAAGGATGAAAAATATCGCACAGAAGACAACCTAGAGCTTTAGGACCCTAACCAGGTCAAGTCTGGTCTATCGCCCAAACATAGAAAATTTATGGCTGAAATTTCTTTACTTTATGGCAATCTACTTATGTAACATTGTGTCCTGTTATGCTGACAGGAAAGTTATCCTATGATACTGTTTTGACATGGAAATAAGAGATAACATGGAGCCCTACAGTTCTAGATCATGGGAAAGTGAATCTTTAGTCACCAAACAAAAGGGGTTCATGTAATTAGATATTACAGTGAGCTTACCTGGTGCATACTCCATAGCTATCATAAGAGCCTTGTCCTCAAGGAAGTTCTCGTAGTACTCTATGATATTCGGATGATTGAGCAGTTTCAGGACCTGACACTCATTCTGAGCTGCCAGGCGTTCATCTCGGGACATCTGTTCCACCGGGATCTCCTTCAGGATGACGAAGGCCCCGTCGCTGCGTCTGCGGCACAAATGAACGATCCTGACAGGAGAGGAAGGTTAAGAAAATGAATTTGTTCAGCAGGATAGTTTTTGACCCTGACTGAACCAGATTACTCACATTTGGAAAAACCTGAGAGGAAAGAAAAAGTCTTAACTTATATCAATGACTTGCCTATCTCCTGTTGTAACCTTCTCCCCTGTTATTTGCAGATGATACCTGTTTCATAGATGTTCATGCTGACTTTGAGACTCAAACTTCAGAATTCACAAATACTTCTCCTCTGGTAAATTGAGTGCATTAGTTAGACAAGGTCCAGGTTAAACTCAGTCCCAGTGTGTGTTTGTTTTGATGGAGTATCTGCAGGCATTGTAGAGAAATTTACAATATTTTCAAAACAGTTTCTTCTTACAAACCCATCAAAGCTTACTAAATACACAGTGAAGTCAATTACACAGAGTCATGTCCTGCCACATTAAACAAATAGTCCCTGACAAGAAACCCAGACAAACTTTTAGCAGACATAGACACATAAACTTCTGTTTGGGGATAAAACTTAACTAACAAGTTTATGTAGAGACTAGAGACCCTTCTTTACTTTAGCAATAGCCTCAGTTTGCTTCGTGACAACCTAGTTATCTAAAAATGTATCTAGATGGGCGATGTCTCTGAAGGAGGGTGGCGCTTGTTGGACTCATATCCCGTTACATTTAGTGGAAAAACTTTCTTCTAACTGCCTTCGAGTTTCATATCAGTTTACGGCATATCGACGACGACTTTTAAAGATTAACATGCTTTTACAACACAAAACACGAACAAAGTGTCAGTGAACTGTGAGTTTACCCGAAAGCTCCTCTTCCGACAACTTTGATTTTCTCATACTTCTCCATCTCTGCTGCTGCTCCCAAACGTTTCCGCGGTTTCCAGGCAACCCGTCCCCAGTCCTACAGGAACCGACGAGGGACAAACAGGACGGAGGATGAAATGTTGCTGCTTATACAGACGACATAAAAACTGAAATCAACATTAATGAATGATTTTTTTCTTACAAAGGAAGATATTTACCAACAGAGGGGGAGAGCCTACTCTATAAATACAGAGTATGTTATATTTTTCCTTCGAATGTTCATGCTAACCAACTCAAGTGAATGGTAAGGGTGCATTTTTGTGTCAGCATATAAAGCTTTTATTTTAGAGTTGGTTGTAAATATTTGCATTTAATATTTAATTTAAGAGATTGTATTAAACCTCTTTGCCATTGTCCACATACTACAAGCTCTGGTAGGATTTCAGGTATTTATAATAGACTTTTTTTCCCAGAGACTTTGTTTTATTGTGAGAAAGTCTTTTATTTTGTTTCAACAGAATTCATAGTTTACAGTGAATCTGTTTATTCTAATAGGAGAATTTTTCATTTACAAATGTAAACTTGGTAACAAAAAACGTATTTTATTATCTTTCTTATTCCTTTTCCCTTTTTAATAAAGATTCTTGGAGAGAAAAAAATCAAATCTAATTGATTTTAAGCAAATGTGTATGGTTCATTGTAGACACAGCATAATTATTTGTAACAAACTTAAATTATCTTGTAATCTAAACTCACATCCGACCATCCTGAAGAGGGTCTTGGTCATTTTGGTTTCAAACAGCTTTATCAGTTTCTAATAAGCTTGTTTCTGTCTTTATTTGTTATAGTTTTTATCAGACTTGTTAAAGCAGCCCAGTGTTTGTCTTTCAGGTAAATTTCATTAGGTAGATATTAAAACAGAGACAGTCAGAAGTGATTAGAATAGCGTCTTGAACGGATACTCCAGATACTTCAGTCTTAGAGACGCCAGCGCCCTCCTTTTGTCTGTGATTAGCAGGAAGGAGGCTGTATATGAGCAGTGTTTCCTCTCTCTGCTATGATAGGGATAATAAATGCTTTGTGCTGTGACAAAGACACCTCTGTGCTGAGCTGAGCCTCATACCTCCACTATTATCACCAATCTGAAAGAATGATATATCACCACAAACAGTCATCTTCATATAATTGAACCTTTTCTAGACAATTTGCCAGTTTTTAATGAAGTTTGATAAAGGAGAAGACAGATGAATAGGTGCTTTCACAAACAATGGTTTGCTCTTTCTCAGGGATATAACATCTCAACAAGAGAGCACCTAAAGGAGCCTTGCAGTATATGCCACTCCTCAGACCAGCTTAGTGACATAGTTGGCCTTTCTTCTGTCAGCAGGAGATCTGCTTGAGATGCTCCAGTCAGTGTGTAGGAATGCATGGTGATAGGACAGTGAAACTAGAGCTAAACCCCAGCTATGAACCTGTGCCTGAGGAGCCATTTACCTGGACAGATTTATCAAGGTGCGACAGGAAGTTGTGGGTGAGGTTATTTCGTCACGGCCATGCTTTCACCTTTAGCTATATTCTCAAACATGAGACATTGTGACATTAATCAGAAGAGAAGGTACAGGTGTGAATAATAAAATTAATGATGGCTGGATCAGAACTGACATGAGTAACACCTGTTCTTTTCTTACCATGATGAGTCAAAACATGTGCTGTGTAAAAAGCCTCCTGGCATATCTCAAGTGTGTTTATTTCTCAGTGGGTACTCTACCTTTAAGAGAAGACTCAAGACTTGCCTTTTCGTAGGTTTCCCTGGATTGCTGCTGCAGGTGTTTTGCTGCTGCGGACCTACCTGTTTGCAGAATTGTCCAGGACAGGAGAACAGGACCCTCCACTCCATCACAGCTGCAATATTTTAAAGATTAAAGCTCCCACTAGAGTCCCTGTACCAGTTTACACATGACAGATTGCAGTTCACGTCATCAAAATGTGCATAATCAGTTGATTTAATCAGTTTAATAACATCACAAACATAATTTACCATTAAGCCCCTCTTTTCTAAAACTTTGAAGAGTGTCATCTTACCAACCAGGGTTGAAACTTAATCCCGCTCTGACCGAAGCTGACCCATTTGCGTTTGGATATTTATGATGCACTTGCAAGAAATCAATTTACCTCTAGATTTGCTCTCAGTTGGCCTCTGCAGAGACGCTGTTTCTCAACAGGCCCTTGGGGAAAAGAAAAAACACCCTGAGATCAATATGGTTCGATGCAGAGCCAGGCACAAGAAGATTCACATCTCAATGTATCACCCGTTGTGTATATCAAGTATATCTAGTCCTTGCTTTAACTGTGGTGCATAGAAAAGTATAACAACTACCACAACTGTGTTACTTTTTTGCATCTGCTGTCAAAAAATCTTAAGCGGACTCTTTGTAAACCTGAAGCTGTGACTAATGACCGTGAGAGCAAAAGCTTTGTTTTTCACTCACACTTCAACTAAAGGGAATCAACCAGGAAACACAGCCTTGGTATCAGGTAACATTTCTCTCTTTTGAGCTGCAGAGCCCATTAATCCAAAGGCTTAGGTTTCATGGTGAGTTTTATAGTCTTAAGAAAACAGAGAATCAGATATATAATCAGAAATGAAAACATATCAAGTCTCTCAGTAAATGTGGGATCATATTCTGTTTCAAATAAAAGGGCTGCAGTTTTATTAATCCCTGGGAAGGTTCTATCCTAAAGGAGGCAGATCTTTGGAGACAAGTGCCCCCAAGTGGTTTGATGAAAAACTAGAAGGACCGCTGAGCTGAAAAACAGGCTGTTTGCAAGAGTTGTTTGTCTTTCACTAAAGGTTTTGCTGCCACCTAATGGTTTCATTTTATACTGCAATGATGTTTCATATGCGGTTGTCTCAAAAGCTTAAGTCAGGACATCAGATAACAACGAAAACCACTAATATTTACTTTATAAAAGAGAAACTGATTTCATCAGGAATGAAATATGCATGATAGGGGGAAACATTCAGCAGTTTAACAAAGAGAGATAAACTCCTCCCATTCAGGTTTCTGTTTCACACAGACAGCTGTGGTGCAGGTGGTGCCAATATGTGTAGTTCTGGGGGTCCAAGCAGCAGTTTTTTTTCCCCCCAACTCACCTCCAGGATGTAGAGAGGCCAGCTGTGAGGAATGAGAGCCTCTCAGTGTTTATAGTAATAATGAAGGCCAGAACAGAGGCCTCCACAGTGCTGCTGTTGGGCTGCAGATTTATATTGTTAAAATGACCAAAACAATACAAAGAGCCTACTAACTGCTGACGTACTTTGTTTGATGATGTAATGTAAAAAGTGTCCTAATGTGTCTTCTTGATAGTTGTAGTTTCTGTTGTGTTCAGTTTTGTAAGACCTCTTTTATGGAAATAATCAGAGAATGTGTAATCTGTTAACTCTTCTCTCCTTTCTGAATTACGATCATTAGATGATTTTTCCCTTATTGCTCTCTATCTTCCTTTCCTTGCTTTCTTCTCGGTTTCCGTTATTTCACTTTCCTTGCCTCATCCATGTTTGTCTCCACCTTAACTTTGCACAGTTCCTGCCTCCACCTTGTTCTCTGTTAGCCCTTGATTGAAACTGTGACCCATTTGGACAAGGCAGCTGCCTCACCCTGTTCAGACCTGCCTGGCAGTGCTTGCATTTTTAGGTCTTTTCATCTCACATTTTTATTTTGACTGTTCAAAAGTACCACTCACACTTTAGTGCGAATGGTGCCATTTCACATATAAACATTTGATAAGGTTTTTTTTACTATTACATTTCCAATGTGTAATTCAAAAGCACAGCTCAGGCTTCTGTGGGAGGAAAGCCTCTCATATCTACATCATAGTGTGGATCCCTGTCTGGGATTTTCATGACGAACCATCTGACTCCTGACAGCAGAGTAAACCAACCTTCCCCATGTTATTTGATCGTTTCATCTCAACTTTTCATGGTTTTCATTTCAAAAGACAGTCTATACTACATTGCAATGGAGCATTTCATCAAAACCTTACATGAAGGCTCCTGTTTGGGATCTGAACCCAGAGTAATTTGACTTAAAGATAGCTGCCTGACATTTTTTGTTTCTTTCAGGTATTTAATTTTCATATGTATAGTATTTCAAAATCACAACTAACACTGTAGTGTTTTTTTTATTATTTCTCCATTATGTAGTGAGCCCCAGGTAGTGTTGTGTTGTTCGCGAACAATTCATTCTAAAGAACCGAATCTTTTAGGGTGAACGTACTGAACCGAATCACTTCCGTAAGTGATTTATTCGTTTCTCACTTCAGTTGAGCTGTCGGGAGGGCAGATGCTATGGCACGAAGCATTGCCAGGCGAACAGCCGGTGAATGAGGGACCGCATGGACCGACGCCTAGTAAACGAATCCCGCATTAAACTAAACTCTCTGGAATCATTTTTGTATGATTTGATGAGCGAATCTTTTGAACGAATCTTTTTAGTGAACTGATTCTAGTGATTCATTACATATAAAAGAACTGCTGTGCCCATCACTAGTCCCAGGTCAGTAACTGAACCCACAACTAATTGACTTGGTTCAAATCCCATAAGGCAGCACTGCTAACCTCTATTAGAAATCTTTGCTTTTAGTACCTTGAAAGGTTTAAAGTAGTTTGCCTTCATATTCCAGTCTTGCTCCGTAACTTAAGTACTGTATTTAAAAAGAAAGGAGAAAAATCTCACCAATTATTTCTTGTAAAACTTAAACGGATTTTTCTTGTTGCTCTTATGTTTAAACCAAGCAGGGAGGGGCTTTTACGCACGGTGCGTAAAAAACGCGCGAGAGGAAACGCTGGCAGCCATGCCATGTTTACACTACGACAATTAAACATGAATGTCGGGCTCAACAAGCTTACTCGAAATCTGTGATTTTTTCTTCTGTTTCGTAATATGAGCACAGTTTCTGCCCCTCCTTGTTTCACTGGTTTAAGGGCGCAGCAGAGGCAGCAGCACCGCCCACCCCGCTCCCTCTCCACTTCTCATTCTGCTCAGTCAGACAGGCGGGCTGAGAGCGGGAGCGCATAACAACATTACAAGGCTCTGCGTGAAAACAAACAGTGGTGTTGGCATGAGCTGTTACGGGAATCCCCTCCAAGCCTCCCTCCTCGGGCTCCGGACGCTGAAAACGTGAGAAGAAGAAGAAGGCTGCAGCGTCAAAAAAAGAGGACTTACAAAAATAAACACTGAGGGTCATCTCTCCGGAGCCCCCTATAGTGGGAAAACACTCCTCGAACATACCTTACACATCTATCCATTACCGAGCATAGGAGACGCTGACAGAAGCGCGAGACAGGCGGAAAGAGAAGAGGGGGAGTTGTTTTGGAGAACAAGAGCAAGCGTTCAGAGACAGAGGGAGAGCCTGGGTGAGGGGAGGAAGGATGGACGCCCTCATTCCTGCGCTGAGGAATCACCCAGGGCCGGTAGTGCTGGTATTTTCTCTGCTTTTCAGGGTGGTCCACCGGTTGCTTCAAAGGCTGCCAGTGCCCAACGTGGTGAAGCAGAATGAGCTCCACTCGTGGAAGTGGAGAAACCTCTCTGTCTCCATGGTGCACTCCACGCTGACCGGAGTATGGGCCCTGACCTGGTGAGTCTCAATCAAAACATCTGTCTGCACATCCAGCGACACTGGGACACCATTGTCTATTCACAGTGCACATGATGTGTTATGTGTGTGAGTGTGTGTGTGTGTGGGTGTGTGTGCAGCAGTGACAGTCTGTGGCAGCCAGTAGAAGAAGGGCATGTTCAGACAGGGTGAGGGACGGGGGAGAGACAATGGCATTTATAAGTTGGGAGGGAAATGCCACTGTACGGCATGAGACACACAAAGATCTTATTGCTTGTGCTGGTGAGTTTGTGTGCCAGTGTTTTCGACATGGTTTTCAGCTAACAGACAGGGCTACTTAAGAAACAGCCCTCAGATATAACAACTGGAAAAACCTGCTGGAGTAATGATCCTTTCGAAAGCATCATGAAAAACTTTTTGGGGCGGGGACACACACATGTGACTCATTTCTAAATGCTAAGAAATAGGAACAAGGTCACATTTTTTAGCTATTTGCAATGGCATGTTACAATTGCTTCACACTATAGGTGATAGTATGAGTTAGCTTTGATTGATAACTTCAGTGGAGATGACAGAAGTTGGACAAAGTTCTTTTGCACACCCCATGGGCGAGCATGTGTAACAGGACACACAAGACTATTGGTCATTTATTAACAAAATCTCATCTCAAGTGTTTATATAGGGAGGGGATACAGGAAAATATTACTTTTTGAGGTGTGTCCCTTTTTCTGAAGAGCAGTAAGAAAAAAGGAAGAATAATGAAGAGTCAGGGTCTGATATTAATGTCCCTGCTTAGTCAGGCTTTTCTCTCCAGGAGTGAGCCCATGTTTGTCTGAGTGAGGCGAATACAGACCCACCTATCCATAACATGTGTCCCTCTCCAGTGCATTGGTTTGGCCCGAGACGCTGAGCAACATCCACTCGTTCCACACCCCTCTGTCCTACCTGCTGGTCTGTGTCTCAACAGGTCAGTAAATGCATCACACAAGACACAAACATTTAAGAGTAAAGGTTACATAACTGTAGTTAGGTTTTACTGTCTGAAAGGTGGTGCACCATCTTCATACGCTCTAAGAATCATATAAATTTAATTATTATTTTTTCCCCCCAGTAGATTCAAGAAACAATAAATGTCATCAGCCTGTAAAGAGATTTTTTCCCCCACTTAAAAAAACAGCCTTAGCTTAAAGTAGTTATATTGTATCTACTGAGAATCTATCATTCAAATTTTGTCTTGTGTTGCGTTTAAATGGGTCGAATCTTTATGTTTGAGAAGCTGGAAACAGCAGCTGCTTGACATTTCTCAGTTCAGCATCCAGTGTGCAGATGTAGTTTGATGCATGGAGGGAAAATATGGTGGGGTTGTTCTTGATTTGCAGCATTTTCTCTCCTCCCTCTTGTTCCTGGGGGAGTTAAACTGCCACCCTCCACTAGCTGCTTTCCAGAGAAACCACCTTAAGATCCGCCCCTCTCACCTGATTCTTAGAACAGGCGAATGGGCGTCTCCTCTCAATCACTATAGACACCAAAGACAATCCGCTGAGGACTATGTGGTCTGGTTTTGAGCTGTATGATTTGGTGGTGTGTGTGTGCTTCTATGTTACCATGAAGACATAAATCTGTAGAGATCTGCCCTGACAACCACTAACAGCTATAAGCTCCGCAGAGACCGACCAGATACTGGAGGTCATGCTCTTAAAACACAGGGTCTGGTTGTGTGTCGGGCCACAGCCACAGCGTGCCAATCATACAGATGCACAAAGACTCTTAGTCAGTTCGATACTCCGGGCTGAATGAGGCCTGTAAAGTGTAATAACCGTAGTTAATGTTGTGGATAGCTAAGAGGACATCTTTTAAGAATGGTGGAGAGGAGAGACAATTTCATGTGCTGCTGGATTAGTTCAACAAAAAACAGACTCCCAAAGATGGTGATTTTCACCACCTTTTTTTATGTTGTATTCAGCCTTTGGAAGGGTTAATGGGCATCTTACAGTACATGATGACCAAATTATTGATCAACAGTATCAAAATAGTTATTTTGAGGCACCGTATTACACTTTGTGTTCTAAACAGGGATCAAAAACTAAATGTTATACTCTATATGAAAGGCACCATGAGGAGTTTTAAACCAGTTCCAAATTTACACTTACATTCAGCAACTGAACATTTGAAATTTTCACCTGTTTAACCATTAAAATAACATTAGACTTAGCGTTTCCCTCCAAATTTAAGTCAGTCAAACTCTTAACAGATGCAGCAAATAAAATCGGTGTCTGTTTTCTTCAATTTAATTAATGTCCCTTTTAATTGTCTCCATGTGTTTTAACATCCCTGGCTAGATTTTGCATCATTTTCTTTACCTCTCATCTACTTTTCTCTGGCGGCTGGTCTGCCAAACCTCAAGTTTTGTGCTCAACAAATACTGAGGGAGTAACGTTAAAATTATCCTCCATGTTGTCTACAAATACTCTCTGAAACTATCGTTTTTTTGTTGACAGAAGAGATGAAATTGTAAACTTAATAAATAAACTGGATTCTATCTGTAGATTTTGAGATGGTATGAGTGATCTGATTGTTCCAGTTATTACTTTGATGATTCAGAATTAGTAATCATTATTATGAGTTTGTAGAGTTGGAGTGACAAAAAATCTTTTATTAGGGAGCTAATGTAATTTATCAACCTGTACTCATGAAGAGACCATAATAAGAAGTCAAATCTAAGAGATTGCTCTATCAGTGTGTGCGTCCTTAGAGCTCAGATATCTCACTTTGTCTGATTCATTACTCATGATATCAGTTTGTATCTTTAGGAGTGCGGTTCATGCTAAACCAATACACTCACTCTGACTGTCAACCACAGATTTGTCTGGTTTATCTTGTCACACCTGTCCGGTTTCACTTCTAACCACGCCACCTCAGCCAGCGTTGTACTTCCAGTCACGTAACTTGTTGGTTTTTGTCACTTCAGGGAGGTGATACGCCTCCCCCTACAGCACATAGCTTTCTATCTGATTTCTTGTTCTCTTTGTAGTTTTTATGTTACTAAAGTTATGAGAAATAAACACTAGAAACTAAGGCTTATCATGATTCAAGTGTAAACTTTAGAAACTTTTTTTCATAAAAGTTAGTATTATATTTATATAAGTTATATTTGCAGCAAGACATTGGACCTCAGACAAGTTCTTCTGCTGTCATTTAATAGTATTTATTTGCTCGGATTAGTCAACAGTGAATGACTTCAAACAAAAAAAAACAAACAGGAGACCATTGTCTTTGTTGTTTGTAAAGATCCATGTTTGTAAGGATCCATGTTTGCTTACTGTTTTAATCCTAATAATGATCTTTTCCTGATTTGAGCTGAACATAAACACGACCTGACAATACTGCTGGTGTTCACTGACAATCAGCCTAACACCATTGTTCAGTTTTCAAACTTGCTCTGAAAGACTTATCCTTACATATAAACACATACTTATGATATTAATTTCACAAATTAATTCCATAATGTCATCTTACATGCTGTTTTGTTTTTGCTTTTGAGAATAACCTGCATCTATGATGTGTATGTGATAGCTGAAACAGGCTGGAATATGGTACAGAAACATCTCCACTAAAAACTAGTTCAAAGTTTATTTCTTTCCATAACCTGATCTACTTTAAATCTTTGTTTTGGATTATCACACACAGAGTATGTCAATTTCTCTAAATTTCTTGATTATAGACTTTCTGATAGAAGTTAAAAGATGCACATCCAACTGATTTACCCTCTAATTATCACACTGGTGACGGATATCTTTCTCCTCTTTTTAGGATACTTTGTGCAGGATGCAAGTGATATTATTCTGACAGGACATGGAAAAGGATCATGGGAATTCTTACTCCATCATGTACTGGTAAGACAGCAAGCCTTTACTTATTGTTTTCAACTCTGAAATATGCATTTGTGCATATTGGCTTTAAAATTTGCAGCCTCTGTAGCTGTTTTGGACTTTATACTATTTGATTTTATCTTTGCTCAGTGTCTGTGCATTTGAGTTTGTTGCTCCAAAACTGTGGAACTCTCTCCCTCGAGAACTGAGGACTGTGGACACTGTAAAAAAGCGGTTAAAAACCCATTTGTTTACACCTTTATACAACCAGGACTTTGGCTACTCGTGTACTTTTTATTGATTTTTATGTCTTGTTGTCTCACCCTTTTACAAAACAGTGCCGCTATAAAAGAAAGTTTATTATTATTATTGTTAAAGTAATCCTAAATAGGGGACTCATAACAGGGGGAACAGTGTGTTACCACTGAGCAGAAAGTCAGTGTAACTCACACGTCAACAGACTCTTTAAAGCGCTCTTCAGGAACTTAGTTATACTTTGAAAGCACACCATGCTGAAGATTTTCAGCTCTGAGTATTTTCTCAGACCCTCTATATGTTTTCATGCCGTCTAATGTCAAACATGCAACAACACTTTATCTGCAGTAATGCTATTGTTACGCAGTTATCAAGTCAAGCCAAACTGACATTTTTTACCCCCTTACAAGCGGGGATTGAGGATTAATGAAACAACCAAACAAACAAATCTGTATTTTGCAATCAGTGTGCCAGAGAGTCTGGATAATCCACATGCCTCCCTATTAAAACCAGTATGAAAAAAAAAACATGTCCTGGATGAGCCAGAGTTACAGGGACATTTATTCCTACCCTCACAAGTGTTTTAGTTCACCTTTTGTCGTAAAAACCCTCTCTGAGATCCTTTCCATCATCAAGCCCAACTCATGGGATTACCGAGCAATATGAAGAAAGAGCCTGTCAGTAGAGGAGGACTAATAAAGTTAAAATGCAAATAAAGGCAAACATTGTCTGAGGATATTAGCTGTTACCTGTAAACACCTCTGCCTCTCTGTCACTCTCCTCCTCAGGTGATCTCCTCCTTCCTGTATGCCCTCTACACCCAGCTGTATGTGGCCGGGGCTGTGATCGCTCTCTTCGTGGAGGTCAACAGCGTCACTCTGCACCTGAGGCTGATGCTGAAGCTGGCAGGCGCTCAGTACTCCTCCTTGTACCACTTCAACAAATATGCCAACATTTTGACCTACGTCATCTTTCGTCTGGGCACCCAGTTCTACCTCACCTGGTACATCATCGACAACTACTCCTGGCTGGACCATGGCACATATTTTCTAATCGCCATTATGTTGATGAATATTATGATGCTGATTTATTTCCACCGCCTGCTCCGTGCTGACTTCTCGGTGAGGAAGAGCTCTGCGGAACAAAATGGGACACAAAACAACTCCAGAAAGTTCCTCAGTGACTGACGAGGTTTACAGAACTATGTTACAGTTTCGTTTAGGATTGATGTTAAGCTTTTTCTCGAACTGACACCATTTCTCATGACAGCGGGTTCTCTCTGTTGGACCAAAGATGAACCTCCAGTAAGAAGCTCGGCTGTACAAGCTGTGGTTTTAATCAGGTGCCTCAATAAGGTGAAGATAGAAAAGTCATGTTTGGCTTTACATGGGGAAGATTAAGATGCAATACTGTTTTAATGGAAGCAAAAAAATCCAGGTGAAATCCTGGCTGCATTTTTAAACCATTGCAGCACTAATGATTCATCATCATTTCCCCATTACCTTAAAGAAGAATTACACTTTTTTTGCTTTCCAGCCAAAGTTAAATGAGAAGTTTGATTCCCCTTTTTGTGTGTTTGTAGTTACACAACTTGTTTATTGATAAACATATTAATATATAGATATATCCCTTGGTAAACTTTGAGTCCAGATTTAGGGCTTTAGAGGTGCTGATAGACAAGCTTTCTTAGTCGGGCCAACAAATACTCCCAGTTATTCGTCTAAATGCAAAATTGAGCTTACTGGTAACGGCTAAAGCCTTTTGTATATGTCCTTCAATAAAAACTGCCAATCTTTACATCAAACTCCCAAATGAGAGTATAGGCTAATATCTTACACAACTTCTAAAGCCAGAAAGAAAACTAATTCAGCTTATTTTTTGACTTTTAAAGTGATGATAAAACACTCCATCCGGAAAATTGAGTGAAATCTGCTTTAAACCATAGTGAACCATAGTCTCTGGACTGCTGTTTCACATAGCGAGCGTGATACTCTGAAACTAGCGTAGTCTGACAGTGCTTCAAGTTGACAGTCTGGTTCGTGCCAGAATGGGCATCATTGGTGCTTTGAATAGCCTAAATATTTGCTAATACACTGTCAATATGAAACTACAGTCAGCAGGCGCTCAACTTAGTTTAGTAAAAAAGTCTGATAATGGGGGTAAACAGCTCCTGGCTCTGTTCTCAGATAAAGGAAAATCTACCTGATGTTTACCTAAGGTATAGCTGTGTTTTTTTACAAGCTTATGAGCAGATATATTCTGGTTCCTTACAGACAGACTGGCTAAAGTCAGGCTGTTAACACCTGACTGAAGTATTTGTTCAGCGAGCAAACTTTATCACGACTAGCTCAAATATCCTTTACATTACACTCACCTGAATGGAGGTTTTTTAAAGATGTGACAACTAATGTCAAATTGTCCCTTTTTTGAAATTCCTGTCTATCAGACTGCATTCAGTTTTGCGTCACGTTGAGATGTAGAAGTACTGTTGATCATCTCAGCAGCAAACCTACTTTTAAAATGTTCAGCTGCTTCTTTAGTGTTTAGAAACTGTGTGATAAATACAGTAGTTCCACACATTTGATATTTGAAACTGCAGAAAGCAGTTGTTAACAGTCTCAAAAACACAACACAACGTAACAAGGATTTCCCTTCATTGGACACACAGCTTTGCTGGCAGCAGTCCCATATTTGAAAAGATTGTCCTCTCTTGGTCTGTATGATGCCATTTGTGGTTGAATGGATACAGAATGGGGGCTATTTTATATAACGTTTCTACCAGCCAGGTCAACTGATAACACAGACGTCTGCAGGAATATCTCTAGTCGTCTTCTGGATCTCATACAAGCCGATAAAGTCTGTTAGTATTTGTGACAAGTGGAGCTGATAATGGTAATTGCTCTCATGAGTAGCAGCAGCACAATCAGTACTTATACTGCTGAGATGTGAACTGTTAGTTTGTCTGACTGTTGGTAGAACAGCACCACAGTGTGGTTGGTTTGCTCATTTTCCATATGGTAACACGTTTTGAGGAAAAGTCGTTTCTTTCAGGACATGGAATAAAAAGCTTCAGGTGTTCAGCTGCCCTCAGTGTGGGCATACATCGTTTTGTAAATTATGTCATGTAGTGTGAATCCCTTAATAAAAACTCATTAGTGGGCTTATAATCTCCAAATAATGCCTGAAGAAGTTCTGACAAAGGAATTTAAAAACCCAGAGATCTTTGTTTTTCGTTTTGTGTTGGATTCTAGTGAGTCCAAGCAGACATGGATGAAGTTTGAATGTGCCTGATCTGCGCTTTTGTGCCTTTGCCACTGTGCCTTTTAAAAAATATATGTACAACTTCAAAGCAAAAGACTGTGTACGTATGAGAAAGCACCATCAATATAGGACCTGTAAGATCTTATGAAAGCCAAATGGAGATTATCTTAATTTTTTTGGACTAGTCATATGAAATGTGTCAAATACAAAATGGAGTTTTTGGACCCCTGTGTTGTCAATGATGAAATGATACAGCAAATTAAAAGAGTCCTTAAGATTACGGAGGTGTTGATGTATGGTTTTGTGAAATGTTTCAGCTCTTACTCAAAGTCTGATTCAAACAGAAGAAAAATTGTAATGTATTTGATATCTATTCAGGAGTTTGAGCTTATAGAGTAATTTTATAATGAGTTTTTACCATCAGATTGTCACTACATTTTGCAATGCTCTATGGGAAATTTTGAGTCGCCTATATGGGGCATTGGAATCGATCACTGAGGTTTCGGACACCTCTGAAAATGGCGCTAACCCCCATATAGTCGCCTATGTAGAGGTTAGGGATCCATTTTGGACACAGCCTTGGACTCTGTCTCTCTACTCTCCATGACACAGTTGTATTGGCACACCGCCATTAGTGTTGACATATTAAATCAGTGAATTTAGAGCCAGTAAGTATTACAGTCAACTACATCCAGAATACAAAATAATGAGATTATAGTTTACTTCTGCATATCATTTTCCTTAGACTCAACTTTGGTTTTTGCTTTTAAATACATTTTACAAAAAGGATAAGTGGTAAGTATTTTCAACATTACAGTCTTTTGAAAAAAACAAAACAAAAAAAAACCACATGAAGTAGGCTGTACTGTATGTGTTGACATTACCCACATCACATCTGCTTTGACCACTGACTTTAGATCTAGCCCACTGTATCATTTAGCATATAAAGGGTGGCAGAAGTAAGAAGGCTAACCCCAATATCATTGTACATTTTATATAATCTGAAAAAAAGACAACAATCATACCTGTGAACCAGAATGACGAGGGAAACCTTAGTAAATTCAGCCTCGCAGCCTTCCCTCCTCTCCTACACAGACAGAAACACGGGCTAGTTTAACTGAATGAACATAAGTTGGCACGAGTGACGCTAAGCGGACACAACACGACAAAACTAACACTCGGGATGATACATGAGTGAAAAGAAACTAAAAACTGTTTAATAAACACACCACGAAAAGTAAAAGTACACACAAAATTTTGGAGAAATCAATAATTAGCCAACAGACACCTACCTCCATTAAGGATGCCAACTCAAATACTAAGTAGAAGAAACCAACGAAGAAGAAACAAACAGGAAGCGGGAGTCTGCGCGTACAAATAAATCAAATCCACAAAAAGGTTGAACAGTCACACATAAAAACACACATAATTTTGGTAATTAAAGTAGATAAATAAATAATGTACATTTAACCTTGTTACATATACACCGAGAGGAAAACAAGTAATTAAAATCAAAGGGTTTGTGCTCAAGTCCTCTTTTTTTCTGTATAGCTCCGTTTTTAAAAGTTATTAGGGGGTTCATGTTTTCTATGATTGACACCTGATGTAGGCTATTGGCGTTCAGGGATTGCATAGCTCAGCCAAGGGATACACTGTTTGAGCTGAGCGTCATCATAGCAACTCTCAGCGACTCTCCCGTCGAATGCGCACACTGCTGCTGGGCAGCACTGGTTTCAGGAAATGAAGAAAAATCCTGGACATACTGAGAGATTTTTGGCTTCAAATTCGTATACAGGCGGGAGGCGGAACCAAGTTGTCCATAGTATATACAGTCTATGGATGTAACGTGATCTTCACTTCCAGCAGGTATTGGCAGTTGATCTAATAAACTGCAAATGCCTGATACAATGAGATTTGAATACACCACGCTGAGCTCGATCGTCACAGAACACTCTAGTTACACAGTTTAATTCAATCGAACATCATAGGTTTGCGTTTTCTGCATTGAAATGAAATCACCCATCAGTCTAACAGGTGTGTGTCCACATACTCAGGGCAAGTTGACCATAGGAGACCACTTTTTTTGGCATGCTATATTATCAAGACAGTTATGTCTACTCTCATTTTGTTGGTTTACAGGGATGTACAACATCTTAAAACATATACAGATACATTTGTGAGAGACAAAACTATGATTGACTTGATGCAGTGATCTGAAATATGAAAAATGGCTCATCCTACCCCACTCTCCCCTACTCTCCACAACAGTGAACTCTTCAGTAGAGTGTCATTCCTCATTTTCTCCAGCAGGGGACCCAGTGGGGAAAAATGTGGGAGTAAAAGAAGGAAAATCTGGAACCAGGGGTCTGAGTCAGCAGCGGGTCCAGACCAGACCGCTTCCCTCCAACTTCCGTGCATCGACTTCAGGTCTGTGAGGCACAAAATAAACCTTAATCCAGTGTCATGTCTTTGAATGGGTTTATAATACGATAGAGACCATCTGTGGAGGGGAGACGGGTTGGACCTGAGACGGTAGAAGAAGAAAATCGAAGCGGACCATCCTGACTCGTCGTTAAGGTAACAGCTTTACGGTTTTTCGCCCTAAACGCAGTTTTAGCTCTTAAATCTGCTCGTGTTTGTGTACCGTAAAGCTTGCTTTATTAACATTTAGTTCTAACGAGATACATCGTTTCTTCGTCTAGTGTTTATGCTCAAAAGTTGACCTTTAATTGCGGGTTTTCTGCTGTATGATGAACCAAACTTAGTGCAGTAAACTGCTCTAGGTCATAAACAGGAGCTTTGATGAACAAAAGGATTATAACATGAGAGGATCAGCACCGGTCAGAGTTGTCTGGTCTGGCTCTACATGTGGTCCTACAGCTACATAAAGGATAAATATTTTCCTTAATAGCTGTTGTACTTAGATATCCGATCTGGCAACCCGAGTTTTTAGAGGCTGAGGGACGGATGTGGGTACAGTCTAAGTCCTGGTTGTCAATAACAACGAAAAACAAATGTAACTTTCGAGATAAAGAACATAAGATTATTCACCTAAAAAGTGGAAACTAATGCCAGTTTCCCCCCTAACAGATGTTAATAAGTCATTGTTTGCATCTTAAAGACAATACTGATAAGAAAAGAGTGTATTTGGTGTTTTATTATGTTTGTTAAAGACGTGTTTACAACCGGTAGTTTGTGTAGGCCTACATCCAACGAAAAGAAATGCTGAAGTATTCGGTTTATTTGGTTTAACTCCATTGTAAAGCATAAATAAGAATAAATGTACACCAACATTACTTATAATACTCTTAACACTAGGCCTGGCTAATCTAATGCAACCCAGCCTAACCATATATAATACATTTTCATTATGATAAACATTTTACATTTGTTGTTTGACGTGTTCAGAAAGGTGATATTCTTCCTTAAATTAACTGTTAAAGTTGTCATGGGTGTTACGTTAAAAAGTGTCCCTAATATTTTGCTACCTTCATGCCTAACGTTGATGAAGATGCCAAAATATAAGGAACACCTTAGAACCAACAAAAATGAACATTTATATTCTTCCAGATTCTTGTATTTCTTTGGCTGTTCTCACTTTTATTGTTTCCCTATATTGTTTTTATTTCCTTTCGTCTGTCAGTAGATTATATTATTTTTAACCTGTGTTATGGTGGTCTTGATTCTTTTTTTGTCTGTGTGTCCAGCTCATCACTCGTCCATCTACTCAACCCTCACCACCAGGCTTCATGTCTGTCCGTATTTCAGCCATGAGTGTTCTCCCTCCTGTTCGAAAGGACCGTGTCATCGCTCAGCTCCCTCAGGTAAAGTCATGAACTCTGTAAGCGATAATCCGCATACCTAATGAGAGTCCTAACAGGGTGAGACATGACCTCTTTTTTCACTTCTCATCAAAGTCTTGTCTCACCCTGTTTGGCTTCTCATTTACACATCACCTGCTCACTCTGCATCATGCTGCTTGTTAGCTAATTTTACATTCTCCCTTCTGCAGTGTTATAGGAAAGAGGCAGCCTTACACACGAAAGAGGAGTTCAACAACAAAGTGAAGACTGCCTGTCAGGAGCAGCGCACTGGCACTGTGGGGTGAGTCCTGCAACCAGAGAGGAAATAAGACGCAGGGAGTGGTGTAAGGGGGCACTTGTTTAATATTTTCTTTTTTCTCTTGTTTTTATCTCAGCAGATTTAAAATCTCTAAAGTCATCGTGGTGGGTGACCTGGCTGTGGGTAAAACTTGTCTGATTAATAGGTAAGCTTTAATGCATTTAAAACAGGGCAACTTCTGGGTAATAAATAACAAAACTGAGGAAGACTGTGAACCTCCTACAAGGAAGCAATATCTTCAGAATTCATTATTATTAGTTTTCCTTTATTCCTGTGAAATAACTCTTCGACTGAAGGTTCTCAGAGGGCACTGCTTTCAGCTCAGCAGTTTGGTTCAAATGAGGGTCGAAATCAGGTCAGAGTAGCTGGATGATCTGATTTTTGAATGACACAAATGATTATGAAGTTGAGCTTAAATGCTTGTCTTGTAGTGGTATTGGTACTACATGTGTAATTCTCCCCAAATTGTAAAAATAAAGCTTTTTCTTCAGCTGCAAGGCCTGGACCTTCCCCCTAACACCAGTGTCAGACATAATGAAAATAAGGTTTAAAAATGTCAGTCTTGTCTTTGCTGCTGATTTTTTTTTAACCCAGTCGCTTTAAAGAAATCAAAATGTTTTTTTCTGTCTATTTATTTAATTAAAAGGTTCAGGTTTAGCAGTTTTGTTCTTCATTTGTTAGTACTATCAAGTTTTTGTCTAACAAATGTAAAAAAATACTGTGATATTAGCATCAGATATCAGCAATTTTTAATCCTGCTTTCGCTATTGGAGTCATCATTGGCTGTTAAAATACTGATATTTTTTTACCCCTGATTTGCATCCCGTTTTTTGTGTATTTAGGTTTTGCAAAGATGCCTTTGATAAGAACTACAAAGCCACGATCGGGGTCGACTTTGAGATGGAGAGGTTTGAGGTGCTGGGAGTTCCTTTCAGCCTGCAGCTGTGAGTCTCTACTTTCAGAAATAACACAGTGTCAGTAAACTGTGTCTGTCTGTTGTGTGCTCACTGATCTCTCTTTATGTTACAGCTGGGACACTGCTGGCCAAGAGAGGTTCAAGTGCATCGCGTCTACGTACTACAGAGGAGCTCAGGGTGAGAAACTTGTGTTAAAACACTGTTTAATCAAAAACATGATGTCATGATGAGAAAAAAATGTTTTTTAAGCATCTGTGATATTTCCTTTAATTGCAGTTGTGATCATCGTGTTTGATGTGAATGATGTTGCATCTTTGGGCCATGTGAGGTAAAATGATTCATGTAGAGCTGACATTATTTACACTTTTATAGCTTTTTTCCCCCCAAACTGTAGGAATCAAACTTGTCTGTTTGTGTTTGCAGGCAGTGGCTGGAGGACGCCTTAAAAGAAAACGACCCCACCGCTGTTCAGCTCTTCCTTGTTGGCACAAAGAAAGACCTGAGTGTGAGTCCGTTTGACTGTTTAAAGTTTAAAGTCTGTGTCTTTTACACAAGTCAAACGTCCGTTGTTTGGGTCTTTGCCAGCAGCACAAAGAGCTTGTGCCCTCGCTCAGACCTCAGGAATGTTGTTTCTCCATCATTAACCAGACTGGGGCCGAAAAGATGGGAATAAGACTTTCATAATAAGATATTACTGACTGTAGAAAGGAGGTTGTTTATTTAGGTTTCTGATTGGAAGAGAAAAAGAGCTGCAAACTCAAAACTCCTTTTTAGTTAGGACTTTTTAGGGACAGTCAGTTGGAAAAAGGTCTTTGAGCAGAAACTATAATTTCCTGTCCTTTTTTAAAACTATGGGGGCAGCATCATGAATATAGGGGGAGTTTCAACAAACAGGAGGAATGTTTGCAATCAAAAACTTTTCAACCACATGCATCTGATACTGAGGGATCCTTTGAATCTACTTAAGAAGTTTGTAATTTGAACTATGTTACATGTTGAGAGTTTTTATCAGCTCGTAAAAAATGTTAAGGAGAGTCTGTTTGCCTGGGTTTGATGTGAATATGTTTGTTTGTGATTGTACTGTCTTTGCCGTCTTCAACAGTCTCCTGCTCAGTATTCTCAGATTGAACAAGATGCCCTCAAAATTGCACAAGAGATCACAGCAGAGTATTGGGCCGTGTCGTCCCTGACCGGTGAGTCGGATTATTTGACTTAAGAGTGAAATTCAGTGATCATTTTTATCACTAGATCACTTAAAAGTTTGTAGTAAACTTTACTCAGAGTATCTCTTTTAGTCATTTATTCATTTTTTTCCCTGGAAGAGTAATATCAGCCAGTGAGACAGCTAAAAAAAATCTACATATACATGACATGGCTGCTGATAAAGAGGTTTTAATAAAGTGATGGGGTTCATTTGATGTCTCTTCCCTATTTCAATAAACTTCAATAAACTAATTTTTACATCGTCAACTTCTGCCTGCAGGAGAAAACGTGAACGAGTTTTTCTTCCGAGTTGCATCCTTGGCCTTCGAGACCAACGTTCTTGCTGAGTTAGAGAAAAGCGGAACGAGGCAAATCGGGGAAGTTGTCAGTGAGTATCCGATGATTCCTCTGTCATTATTTATCACATTTGTCAAGTTTTTAAGACTTTGATTTGAATCTTTCAGAAATTAACAGCACCTCGAACAACCTGTACACTACATCGAAGAAGAAACAGCCGAACTGCTGTCAGTGAAAAACAGAATCTTAGAGGGGGAGCAGCAGCTGGAAACAAGGTTTTCCTCAGTGGAAAAAAGACTGTGGCTGCACTCAGCTCATGGGAGGGATTTCTGTGGTCGTAACAGGAGGAGGGACGCTGGACTTTTAACTTCCTGACATATTGAGTTCAGTTTGTGCTGGACTAGAGAGAGTTTTCTCTCTGTGGGATGTGGATTCTGGATTCTTGTGGTGTTGCTCAGTTTAACTCGTCTGCAGTTACAGGGTGACACAGCTATTACACATTTTTCCGGTACTTCAGAGATTCCAGAGGATGACGAGTTTCTGAATCTTTACTCCTTACTTAGGGCTTGAATTGATTATCCTATGCTGCTGCTGCTGTAGTTTGTTTCACAGTCAAAAATATTCTTTTCTATAATACTGTAACAACACTTTTGAGTTTTCAGGCTCTGGTTTTATTGGTACTTGGTCTCATTTCTATGTCTGTTGATCAGATGCTCCTAACTCATCTCTTAGCAGTACAAAATATGCAAAAGGGACACACAAAAAAGGCGAATTCAAGCAAAGTTTGGGAACATAAACTGAGTTTTTTAAGCAGAAATGTATTTTTGACATCACCACACAAACTTGGTATGTTTGTTGGTTTAACCTCTTGTTGGGTTCATGATCTCCAGATTTTAAGCAATAGTTTAACATGAAAATTTCAACTTTTCTTTCTTTCTTTATTGTTTGCTCAGTAGGTACTAAGTGCTCTTTGTTTATAGCTACATGATTGACTGAGTTAGGAAGATGCCTTTTGTAGTGTCGCATTTTGTAGTACAAATCCATTAAGAATGCTTTGTGCTGTAATCACAGTATTGTTTGTGTTACTTGACAAAAGGGGTGGGGGGGGGGGTCATTCAGACTTATTTAAATGATATGGAACATGTTCTGATAATCACTGATGTTAAAAGAAGATTTAATATTGAAAAATGCAAGGGAAAAAAATCAAGAAGAGCAAAGATATTTTTTTGTATTTTAACAGTGCTCTATTGTTAGTTGACACAACAGTTTTAAATCATCTCTGCAGCCTCTTAGCTCTTTATGAAAAAAATCAGAAATCCGGCCAGTGTTCAACGATGCAGCCTTAACCAAAAATAAACCGCTGTATTTAAAAAGAACAATGCAATGTTTGATTTTTTTAAATGACCTGTGTTTTTGGATAAACTGTATTGTAATCAAAGTTTGCTGAGCAAAAACTATGATTGAAATTAATGTTTGCAGTAGTTTACAGCTTAGAGTAAACAAACAACGGTTCAAGGAGAGTGATGACAGCAAGTGACCTTTTAAACTCCTGTAAGTGGTTTTCAACTGGAGAGGAAACAGACTCAAATCAACACTCGGGCCTTTACATGATCTATAAAAGGAAATTAGTCCATCTAGACTGAGACTGATGATATCAATAATGTAGTTTTTAAAGCCACTGTGAAGGGGATAGGTGTCAAATGAGACGTTGAAAACTATACTAAAGAAGTCCCACAGCAAATATTCAAAGGGGTGATACATTTGACTGTTGTGAAAAGAAAACACTTGATAGGCATGTGCAGAACAAGTAGAGTGGCGCCAGAATTGAGCCTAGACAGAAAACTCCACATAAGAGCTTTAAAAGTGGGGTAAATAATTCCTGTTCAGTGTTATTTTGTCTTATATAGATAAACATATTTCCTTATGGTCTGCTAACTGTCAGTATTCTTTGGTGTGATGTTCAAACAATAGCACTGGTGAACATCTCTGACTCTGAAAAATTCAATCTGTACAGTCTTGTTTGCACTCGAGGCTCAAATTTAGAAGTGTAAAGGCAGGTTGTTGGATTTCAGCAGCTCTGTGTTACTGAAGCATGACGGTTGTTACAGTTTAAAATGAAATACTGTTTATATAAAATAGTCTTTCTTCATAGATTATGACATGTTACTACATACTCTTTTTTTTTCTCATTTTCATTTTGTAAAATTCACATTTTTCAGGTTCAGTTATTTAACAGTTTGAAGGAATCGAGTCTCTTTTGGTCAATTTGGCTCTGGAGCTCTTCAGGGATACAGTGAGAAAATTTGTAGTTTTCTTTAATCCACTTTCCTCCCTCTGTGTTCTCGATGGCCACGGCTGCAACACCTGCGGGTAACAGACTGTGAGATGAATGTGAAGATATTCTAGATGATGTTTTTACACAAGTATCCTGACAGACCTACAACAGTGGATCCTAGCTTCTCCACCAGCTGGATGGCAGCCTTCATTGTGCCTCCTGTCTCAATCCATTGGTCCACTAAAAGCACTCTCAAACCTGTAGGGAGGAGACACACGTCACCCTCTAATGTCTGAGAATTTAACAACTGTTTCAAAACGAGGCTTATTTTTCAAGACATTAAGTTAACCTTCCTCCTGTGTAAGTTTTTCCTACGCACCCACTATGTTAAGGGTCTTAAATCAGTTGTAAATCACGCTAAAAAAATTTCTCTATCATTCAAGTTGGTTCTCATCTCTAGGTTACTTTGTTAGGCTTCATTATCCATGAAAATATTGCTTATAATAGTTTTTGTAGTGGGCCTCTTGACCTTTCTTTTTCAGTTTACCCCTCACACAAAAATCTATCCTGAATTGATCTCACATGTCTGGACATGCCCGACGTTTTTTGTGCAGAGAAAAACATGGAAAAATGAGAATTTTTCTCACATGACTGGAAGATGATCTGACTGTCAGTGTGGTGCCTGATGGTGCACTTATGATTTCAGTTTTTACTCTAATTATTAGATATTGATCTAACCGGGTCAACAGCGACCATAACACGACAAGTGCCATAATTTTAATAAGAGCGTTTTATAATTTAGTAAATTTAATTTTTTTTATTTTTATTTTGTTGAAATAGAGGTTCCTGACAAAGTCAAAAAGTCTTGATGCAAATAAACTAAAGTGGTTCATGTCACTATTTAAAAACAAAACCACAGGAGGAGGGTTAATAAGTGAAACATTGTGATGAAATAAGCAGTGTTACCTTGCTCTAACCATCTCATAATAAAGAATTAATGACAACATAGAGCAGGAATGCCGTACACAAGCATGCAAAGTTTGCATCTTAACAGCTGCTGCAACTGTTTTGAGTAAAAAATGTCAGAGGTACAAGAAACAAGTTTGGGATTATCCCACTCTAGCAGAAAAATAGACCAAGATACATTCAACAGATACATAATTTGCTGTTTTGAAGACTTGAAAAAGGATATTTGTATTGTCTTGAATGATGCTGAAGTGGCAAAAAGTAACATCTAATGGAGAACACTAGAGGGTGTTGTGCTGCAAGTAATAGCTGGACATATAGTCGAGAAATATTTCCTCTCAATTAATGGGTAGATGCTGTAAATGTTGGGGTTTATTTTTGAGTGCTAAGGTTAAATCAGTTTACAGACTCAGCTGTTATTTAGGCTAACCCTAAATAAGTGATTTACACTACAGAGTCATATCTGCTCAGATCACTGCCAACAGCCGTGACTTTTTATACAGATTTCTTCAGCTTTTTTTGGTCTTTTAATGATATCATGGGTTTTAGGAAAGACTACTTTTTTATTTCTGAAAAATAGAATCTAAATATCAGATATGTGAACACAACAGTACTGATATCTAATCTTGTAAAAGTCACTGCAAACACACCATTAAAAGTTGAATGTGATCTTGTCAGCTGAAGCTCTCCCGGTCATGAAGTCCTCTAACATCAGCAGCTGTGTAAACACACATCTTCTAAGCTGACATTTGGCACATTTAAGGGCCACAGAATAAAAAAAATATAAAAATAATAAAGATTAACCTGGTCTTAGCACATCCAGCCTTACTTCCATAGTCTTTTCTTTGCCTGTGTAATCACTGTAGTTTTGGTTGTCTGTTGCTACACACAGATGTCCTGCTTTGCGTATGGCGAGAAAACCTTTTCCCAGGACGGTGGCGACAGACGCTCCTGAAAACAAACAAAAACCTTATCAGTGACATTTCTGCACATCTACAAAGTGTACATGTTCACCCCGTGGATGACTTGCCAGTTTTATACACTGCTATGTATCAAGGTTTAGAGTAGCTGGATATCTAAATTTAGAGTCTTTGCAAGAGGAGTTAGGTTTCCTGACCCATATGCAGGAGGAGTAACTCAGTGAGTTTACAATGAGTTTACACAACAAGAGTACAATCTGTTCACCAATTTTTTCCCTCCTGTGTTAACTGTTTCTTACCTAGAATGAACCCCATTGCATCTATCCCGGCAACCAGGTCAATGGTGTCATTTAGAAATGGACTGATCAGGTCTTTGACACAGTCTTCAAGAGCCTGAAAATACACACAGTTAATGTGTTGCTGCAGTTAGAAAATAAGTTTTTACAGCTAAAAAGTCTTTGAATGAAGTACAGCTGATCAAACCTTGGAGTTGCAGTAGAGTCTGGAGGGGTCAAGCCAAGCGAACGTTGGTCCTTTAGTGTTTGGTGCCATCAGAGATAGGTACCATCCTCTATGCCTGTCTGCAGGAAGCTCCAAAGCGTCCATTTGCAGCAACTCGTGTCTGCACTGTGAGAGGGAGAAACTGTGGTGAATGGTCTGGGCTGCAGATGAGTGTGAGAGTACCCCGTATAAAGTTCACACGGGGCTGCTGGTGGGTGGGAGGGAGCCATAAATAACATTACACAGCACTGAGACAAATGACAGCTCTCAAAATGACACTAAATATTAAACAAGAAGAAGAAAGGGAATGGATAATATCAGTCATTGAGTTAGTGATCAGATTAATTTTTTAAAACTTGAGAAGGAAAAGTGAAATTAAACTTAATACTAAGATGAAAACATTTAATAAACAAAATGAGAAAGAAATATAATTAAACTTAGGTTATTAGTATTTTAAATATAGTCTGTTTTTTAAGGAAAATAATAATGATAATGAAGTATAGATTTAAACAGAATAAGTTTTTAAAAAGTTCTATCAAAACAGTTCTATCTTAGTATATTTCTAGACTGAGTGCAGGCTGACTCTGTTTTAAGCTGCTCTGGATCTTTATAGGTCAGCTGATTGCAGACACAGCTTCTGATTGGTCGATGGACCAACATTTACATGACAGCCTCTGTATTCATCTGAAAACAAAGATAATGCATCACACAAAAATAATACAGAAATTGTCACAGCTTATTTTCTTTAATTTTTCATTTATTTCAAGAACAATTGGATCTGACCAGTCTCTAAAAATAAACAGGTCCTTTCTGTGAGATACAAAAGCCCTGGATTGAAACAAAAGCACAAAAATACACGTGCAAAAAGTTAAAAAAAAATTTCAGCTGACTGCATGTGATCAATGGAAAAGTGTAACACCGATCCTCTGAAAATGTTAATTTTACCCAGGGTGCACACCTGATGTTGTTGTTCTCCATGCTGGACAGAGGAAGGTCTTTGGCCTTCGTCTTGAGAAAAGGCGTTCAAACCAGCTCAGGTTGCAATCACAACCAAACCTTTTCACCGTATTCACTCCACATCCTCCAGTTCTCAGTCTGTTGCGGTTATTAAATGATCTGATATTAAGTTTCACTCAAGTTTTCTGCAACAGGTTTCAAGCTGAGTGCTCTCCTCATCTTTGTGTAACCACAGGCCGTACTTTCCCACAGCCGTACCTGATGTGTCTCTGATGTGTTTCGTAAAAAGCTAATCAGTTTTTCAAAGAAAGTGGAAGAAATCAGAAAAGCAAGTTATAACAGGCTAACCTGTAGTGCAGTGATGAAAGCTGCTGCCTCTTAATGAAAAGATTGTGGGTTGGCTCAAGATCAGGATAGAGACACATCTGTGAGCCTAAAAAAGAGGCCTCAACTCACATCTATGCTAACCCGTGGTATTAAACTTTATCACTTAGAAAATTAAGTAAAAAGCAGCTACAAAAGCAAGTACTGTCAGCCTAATATGAAGTGAAGTGGGGAAAGCTGCTGCCTCACAATCAAAGGGTCTTGGGTTTAAAACCAGGTCTGAGCCTCTTTGTATCCGTCTGAAACAACTGCTTTCTGTGCTCGTAGCTGTGCTTTTCAGTTCTGTTTTATATGGTGGCCAAAAACTGCCACTGCTGCAAATAAAAAATAAAAAAATTAAAAAAAAGTAACTTTCTGCAAAAATAAAAGGGTACAAATTAAAAAAGCCACAACGAAAGTGAGCTGCAGGGGACCGATAACGGTGATGCGCCGGTGTTTTACGATCGAGGCACAGAAGACGACGGCGAGAGGACGAGCAAAGAAGTTAGTGATAAGGTTTTTGTTTAATTTAGCTTTGTGTGCTTTTTAATGCGTCATGTGGTTAGGCCATGTAGTGCCTGAGTCGATATTAAGTTGAACTGAAGCTAACACTACACCAGCATCCTCCAGTCCAGTTTAAAGACCACTGAGAACACTTTAAGTAGTAAAAAAAAACTATCAGAGTGGAACTTTAAAGCTATTTCATGCTCTGTCTTACACTTTGTTATCATAAATCTTAGAGCCGTGAACACTATTTCATTCGCTTTAGTCAAAATAACACTTTTTAAATTAATCTGACAAATTAATGAGTCAGTCTCAGAATTATAAGAAAATGTGAAGATCTTGTGGTTTTTTAAAAATTTCACTTTTTCTAAATTAAAATGATTATTTCATTAATTTAGAAACAGAGATTTTTTTATCAGATTTTTCCCCCCTTGTCATATAGAGTTAAAACAGTGAATAACTCTTTACGCTAATAAATCAACTGTAAATGTTCCTCTCTGTCTGAGTCAGTGACGCCCCAACTCACCCAGGGGGCGCTGTTTCTCCCCTTGTCTGTCTGTCTGTAGAGCAGAGTGAAAAGAATGAGCATTACCCAGCAGCTACTTAATCAAGAGTCAGCCTCTCTCTGTTTCTCTGTGCGTGTGTTAGCTGACCCCACATCTTTCCTCTGGTCAGCAGGATTAAGCCCCTCCTCTAGTGGCCACTCTAATTCATGAGAAACTTTTTTTTCCTCCCTCAAGGTTTGGTCGAATGTTGCCTCTGGTGATTTTACATCATTTCTCTCCGCCTTCCAACAATCCGCTTTCAGTGCCTTGAGTAGGCTGGATCCCCGCCTCTAGAGCTCCCTGTAAGACCAACCATGTGACTAAACACTGGGCTGATTAGAAACCCAACCTGACAAGAGGTTTTTTCTTTGCTTCTTGGAAAGTCACAGATGAAACAGATGCAGAGGACTGTCTGCTTTGCATCATTTCAGAACTCACGTGTAACTTTACAGAGGTTACGCTTACTCACACAGAGAACTACAAAGCAACAGTGCGTGACATTTTGACCTTTCAGAGTTTTTCTGACTGAGTTCATGTGACAGCACATCATCACTGCAACTGCTTTTGGCACTGTTGGATTAGTGCAGGTGGATTTATAAGAGAACATAAACATTTAGACTTGATTTCCTTTCACACAAAAACACAAAATCTTGATTTTACTGTTGTTTTTTTCCTATAGTAATTTAGTTCTGCTTGATTTGTCTGACACCGGTGGGTTGTATTTTGCACATTTATATACAGTATGTCTCTGTGAACAGTATTTGTACTCACACTAAGTTTAGTTTAAGTCTCTCCAGTGTTCCTTCAGCACATGGTCCAAAGTTAACAGTTTTTAACACCATGTTATGAGGATTTTGTTGTTTGTGTTGATTTTGCCATCTCCTGCAAAGGCGTAAATATACATTCTCACTTTGCTGATCTTGTCCTGTAGAGGCCAAGACAAAAATATCCCATCCTGCTTTATTCTGTCATTGGTGTGATATTGAAATCAACCAAGAAACCCATGAATAAATCAGAGATTTGAGTACCAATCGGTCATGGTGGGTAAGAAGCAGTTGGACTAATTTTTGGGTCAATTCCTGAAGTCCATGTAAGCTGTTTAAAGTCGTGAGCGAGGAGGGTTTCCTCTGAATCAGTTCACACTTGAGTCTGTGAGCTTTGCGTGTGACAGCGCCAACCTTTCCCACATTCCACATTGAAAGAGTTTTGTCCTCACATTGTGATTTAGGTCATCACCAATTCACTGCCTGTTCTGTGGCATTTGAAAGATGTCCAATCTCCTAGGTTGGCACAATCACCCCATGCCTGTTACCATGGAAAGAGGGGCGAGCAGGAACCTCCTCTATGCGTGTTCCCAAAGTAAATCTCCACTTTCTGGAGGGCCGAGCTGAGGGGGCTGGGAGGTCACTTTCGTTCATATCCCTCTCTCTCTCTCGCTCTCTCTCTCTCTCTCTGAAAGGACCTTGAGTTCATGCTCTCCACACCCACATGTTCACCCTCTCCCCTCTGCTGGCACGTTTGATGTCAGTGTGTGCGTGAAATATATACAGTAAGGGTCAATGGATTAATGGGGTCTGAGTGAAACAGTTAAATATCCCCCACGCGTGGGTTTAGCATATATAGGGCAAACCTCTGAAGTGTGTAGGTCCATACGGTGTGACAGAGATACTCGAACCAGGCTGGAAATCTCTCTCGAGAGGTTAACTCGGCTAACTCCTCCCAGCTTTGCCATTTATCGTATTAATAATCACACCACATGCGCGCGCCTTAAAACCGGGAGGGCTGCGCGAGGGCGCTGGAAAACCGCGAGGAGCTGTCTCCATTACGCGTGGTGCTGAAAGTGCCACACGCCGCATCATGTGGTCGGTCTTCTTTGTCTTTCTGTCTTATCTGGACAGAAATTTTGTCATGGGCGACTTCCTGAGCCGCGCTTTGGACGCAGAGAAGGAGAGTAAAGAAATGTTCTTCATGCTCAACGGCACCTTGTGCGCAAAAATGTCAACCGTGAGGGAGAATTTCCTCTACCAGGTGTCAGACGGAGCTGAGGCTGTCCGCTCATTCGTCAGCCCCACAGGGAAGCTCATAAACTGCTCCATCACTGTCAACCAAGTGCAGGTGAAATCGTTCGTGCATGAGTGCAGGATGGGACAGAAAGAGCAGAGAACCGAGCAGCGAGTGGATACGCGCTTTACGCACATGGAGGAAGCTAAACTGGCGTGCAGGGAGTTCAGAGAAAGGTCTTTGCGCACCGGAAAGTTGGAGATGGAAGAGAGCAATGACTCAGCGCTGCGGGACAAGGTTTTAAAGAGATCCAAGAGAGGATTCACTTATCCCGGGACCCTGTGGTGTGGAGCTGGAAACATGGCTGACCATTATGAGCAGTTGGGTAGGTTAAGTAATTTCATTATATTCCTGCAGATTAAGTTAACCTTATGTGTTTTTGGTGAGTGTGTGCCCAATACCAAGCGGTGTCTGACCTCCGTGTTGCAGGAGAGTTTGCAGAGACGGACAGCTGCTGCCGTGTCCATGACCACTGCCCGCATGTCATCCACGCTTTCTCCTCAAAATACGGCCACACGAACTTCAAGTGGCACTCTATCTGCCACTGTGACTGTGACACTGCGTGAGTTAAAAAAACATGATGCATCCTCACATTATCACCCATGTGCGTAAAACACAAGATTTCCAGCTAATGTTCAACCACATTTAACCCTTAAAAGTTAGAAACAAACATTACAGCATGCTGAACAGAGAAAAGTTATCCAATTTCATAGATTTGTAATGTCAAGCATTGGCCCATTGAACTGTTTTTGAAGAAAATGAAAGACAAAATACTTTCTGGATGAAGTGAAAGATCACATTTCAGGACCCTGCCCTCAACATAAGACTTGAAGCTCAATCCAAAGATGTTGAGTATGCTACTTTTTTTTTCAGAGGCTCATAAAAGTATCACATCTCATGCAAGGTGTTAGGCATCAGCATTACTTGACATAATAAATACTTCAGATTTAGTCTGTGACAGCAAGCTTCAGTTAAATCTTCTCACAAGATCCTCTTTTTCCTGATATCTGTGTTGCGATCAGATGTTGTACTTGAGAGTGAAAGGCTCTCTCTTCTAGGAAATATCGGGATATAGGCCAGTCAAAAAGGTCGATGGAGGCAAAATACTAAACTACAGTAACTGCAAAACTGAGTGATGAGTCAATATAGCTGTAAAAAATAACATATAACCAGACCACAAGGACATCCTTGTAGACCCCTAACAGATCCTTACATTACTTGATAGTCATGTATCTGAATCTTGACCAGATACAGCCAAACAGCTACATCGCTCACTAACAGCAGGGAACTTCTAGATAGATAGATAGATAGATAAGTACTTTATTAATCCCAGTCAAGAAATTTAGGGGTCATGTCACTCACAGACTCATACACAGTACACTAACAAAGACAACGACAACAAACAACAACAAATGCACCTCTGCAGACCAGCCAAGTAGAATAAAACCAGTATAAAAGTGCAGTAAATGCAGTAGTGCTAGCAGTCCAGTATGTATATAGTGCTGAGGTGCACAGGTCCTCGACCACAGCAGCATTCAAACATGGTAAATATCTTGAATCTGTTTTTGTAGAGACTCTTTTTACAGGTCAAACTTCCACCTCCTGAAAGACCATCTGCATTTTCGATGATTTTTTATATTATCTCTTGTCTCCTTTGCAGGTTGAGAGATTGTCTGAGGAGGGTCAACGACACGTCCTCCAGGGTAGTTGGTCAGGCATTCTTTAACGTCATCGGCGTGCCGTGCTTTGACTTTGCCTATGAAGAGCAGTGTGCTGAGCGGCACTGGTATGGCATGTGAGTATCAGTGGACCCCTGTGCTGAACTTTTAAGTAGATTTGCAGCACATTGAGCTGTACGACTTTCTGTAACTGCCTCCCTCTCGTTTAGGTGTAGACGATACGAGAAGCTTCCAGTTGCTGTGCTAAGGGAGGCGGTTCCCTATGACTTTGGTGGCATTGACGTCATTGACGTGTTGACGTTGGCTCCTCCCATCAAGAAAGAGTCCGAGAGCGGCCCAGAGGAGAAGAAACCAGACAGTACGACACAGTCTACCCTGTCAGGCCCTGAGGAGCCGTCACTCAGAAACGTTGTCACAGCCGCCGAGGACTTCATCAAAGTCCTTGCTACCGTCTCTACCTCTCAAAGCTCCACTGCTGACTCTGATAAAACAGAGACGCAAAGCTCAGAGAAGAAGAAGAGGAAGAACACGGGGAAGAAGAAGAAGACTAAAAAGCAGAAAGGAAAAGGTAAGGGGAGGAAGAGGAAGCAAAAAGCAGAGGCAGGTGTTAAACTGGAGGAAGGAGCTGCAGTTTCCACCTCCAGGAACAAAGCAGGCGACGGTATTTCTCTGAGCAACTTCATCAGTGAGTCGCACAAACACGCCCCATCGAGTACAAACACAAATGGTGTCGAAGACGGGGAATATGAGCCTGGAGAAAGAGAAGAGCCCTCCAATGAAGTCATGAAAGATGAACCAGCAATGGGAGAGCCTGTTTCCATAACAACAACTGCAACAGAGGAGGAGAAACCAGCAGAGTCAGAGCCTGAGTCCACAGTACAAGTCCCCTCCCCTACAGGCAGGACAACAGTCGCTCCACAGAGAGCAAAAGTCAGAAAGTTGAGAAAAGAGAGGCGGAAAAAGGGCAAGAAATTTCACTTCCCTGAGAACACAACAGACAACTCAAGATCTACTCCTGTCTCTTCCATCATTGCCACATCCCCAACAGCAAGACCCGAACAAAGCACCGAGAGTGACTCTGAGAAGCGACCCATCTCCAGCACTGCCAGGACGGCTATTGTAATCCCTAAAGTCAAAAGAAACAGGTCAAAGGAGAGAGGAGACAAAGAAAGGAGGAAAAAAAGGAGAAAAGTCAGCCCAGCTTCTCCCATTGTGACCATCGCTCATGAAAATTCCTCTACGGACAATCTGAAAGTGATCCCTCTCACTCCCACAGCTCCCACTGCGCCCTTACTGCCCACAACAGAGCGACAGATCTCACACAGGCTGCACTTTCATGCGGTGCAGACAAGCTTCCAAGTCCCTGCCCTGAACTCCTCCTATAGTGTTTTAAAAAGGCAGAAATCAAAAGGAAGAGGGCTGAGGAGCAGGAGGAGGAAAACAGTTTTGCCTCTGCAGAGTGACTATCCACTTTTTCACAACAGCTCGGACATTCTGCTTCCAATTCGTCTCGCTCTAAGGACGAGCAACGCTCTGGACATCCCTGAAACTTCTACTACAGTTATCAAGCCCATAGAAGTGACAGAAACTCACAATGAATGGAGGCTTTTTCCTTTCACAGCGGCCCCTTCTATCATCGCAAAAACACACAAACAGACATTCAGACACAGAAAGTCAAGTAAAAAAGCCTTGCCCCTTTCTCCAAGTGATGGCATGTCTTCGCCCAAACAAACTGAACAAACACCAACGACATTTACAACCACGACATCCAAAGTCACCGCTGCTATAGAGCTACACCTGCAGATGTCCGAGAACCACTTCAAGTCCACCTTAGCAACTCCCATCATGAGTCCGCTTCAGTTATCTATCGAGAAAGCAAAAGCGCAGTTCATCAGGAAGAAGAGACGGAAAGCCGCGCTGTTTTCCCGACACCAGTGAAGCTCAAAGGTGGATAATCTGAACAGATTTACTGCAGTCAGTCACATGAAGATGAGCACCTCCTACTGTATGAGCAAAACACTTTATCAATGTACAATAACGGCGTAATCTCCTGAGGTTCAGCATTTAAATCACAGAAATGAACGGGAATCACATGTGATGTCAGAATCATATTGAGCAGAAATGTATGCTGCATGTCTCAAATAAAATTTGCGAATGATTGTGAATGTATCTGACGGTGCCTTTTATTAGATATAAAGTGAATTTTTCCTTTTTTTAGGGTATTTGGAAACATCCTGTTCTGTAAGCAAACTAGCTGTCAGACGATTTTAGTGAGTAAGTTTAGCTAACTGCTGCTAGCCCCAACTTAACATGTATGTTAAATGTAAAAGTTGTGTGGTATTTTGTCTTAGTTTATGTAAAAATGAGATATAAGGTGATCTCCCAGAATGTCCAACTTGTTTTAAGACGTCTTAGGTTGTATATTCTGATGAAACGACGGCACAGTTTGAGCTGACCAGCTTGGATAGACTTAGTTTGTGGGCATGTTTTCCTTCCATCTCAGCTGAAAATATTTAATCAGGCGAGGAATCTCAGATTCAGGAGCTTAATGCCCACCTGCTCGACCTTAATCTTAATTTTTGTGAACTGAACATTTACAGAACATGCAAAGACTTTGAGCAGGTGTTCTTTTGTTCAAAGTGGACTCGAGGCTTTGGCCTTATAGTCGGACTCCTGTGCGGTTCGAGGCAGGGGTCACATTCTCGGGACAGATTAGGCACTTTGCACATTTACTTTCACCTTTAACCCATGAGGGTTAGTTGTAACACTCAGTGCAGAGGCCGAAATCCTCCCAGTCAGCTGATTCTCACATGATTGCGTAAGAGGAGTTTATCTGGATGAGTCCGGAAAAAGTGTCCAAACAGTCCAAATTAGATCTTCCTCACTTCTGGCACATGAAAAAGCTCTTTTGTCATGTCATGGAGAGATTCTCAGACATACTGTTGAGCTTCAAATCATCTCATGCAGAGCTCACAAACAATAAGAATCTGAGGAACAATGAAGACTTTCATGCTGCAGCTCAAGTTCCCAAATTTTTTGGAAGACACCCAAGCATTCAAAGGAGCTTGGCACTCGGACACGATCATGAGCTGAAATGGTAGAGCAACTAACGCAGTTGGATCTGCGATAAGACCATTTTCTCACAGCGAGGGGGGAGAAGGTGGCAGGAATTTTCCATTACATCTGCAAATTAAGATAGTTTTAGGTTCATGCTTTAACTCTGCAGACTGTGATGCTCTACAGCGACGACATAAATGTTTATTCACATACTTAACTGGATATTCTTGCACAGACACCTCTTATAATGAGAATAAAATGAGTGTCTGTGTTTCAGTTATGTTACTTGAGTCGATCCAAATGAGAAATATACAAGAATAACACACTTCAACTGCAACGGTGTTAATGTTTGTGTAGATAAACAGGGTTTAAAGATGCAGACTCTTGCGCTAACACCACATTTTCACATTGAAATTCTACATGTAGTCTGATTTGCGACAAAGTCAAAATAAAATCATTGCAACTGAGGTGAAGATGACTCAAGCAGCAAGGGGAAAGTTTATGTAATACAGTTAATGTGCAGGAGCAGGAATCAGTAATAAGGTCGGTGGACTGAGCTCATTAAAAACAGTGTGACAGAAAATTAATCAACTCAATTTTACTGTACACACACCCAACAAATAGTGTGCGCATTAATTAGAGGACATCACAGTCCATGGCGTCCCATTAGGGAGGGAATCAACTACCCCATTACATTTGCCAACACAGCAGAAAATCTATCGATGAAAAGGAGCAAACCAGTCGTGGATAATTGGCCGCTGTGGCACTGATGGATGAGGAAAGGGTCGCAGTGACTCTTACATAACTTCTGCGTTAAAGGACAATAATCCTGGAGCTCCTGTTTCTCTTGGTGGTGCAGAACATGAAAAAGAAAACACCGAAGAGTCCATACATTTGATATTCTGCTCATTGTGTTTAAACTGTTCCTCTTGTTTCTCTCAGGTGATGATGGCAATGATTAACCCAATTTCTCTGACACACTTTCTCTGTTTGGGTGTGAGGAGATGCCCAGAACTGAAAGCCAAAAAGGACTTGTTGCCAAGTGCTTTTCTAGCCATTCAAATTTAAAGTCTTGAGTAAATGAATGTTAATTAACATCTGAAAGACAGTGGGTGGTGGTTGGCAGCCCCTGGCTAACCTTGGCTTCTCACAGGACTGGTCACTGAGGAGGTCTTTGGAGACCACGGATGGAGAATGAAGCTTAATTATCTACAGGACCGCCTCCAAGACCTGATACTCACTAGAAAAGTAGTTTTTTTACATGCATTTGTGAAGGTTTGACAAGTTAACTCCACAAGTTTAACACTTTCCTTGCTAAAGGTTGTAAATGTACAATGTCAAATATGCACATTAGGGCTCTCCATGCACAACAATTGAGCAAAGATGCATGGATGTTTCTAATGTTTCTAATGTTTAAATCCAGGAAAACCCTCTTGTTCTCACACCATACATTGTAATAAACCAAAGGTGAAAAAACATTAAAATGTGTCATTTAAAAAGGGCGTTAAGCTTGGGAACATACAGTAGACATATACTCTCCTTAACCCGGCTCAGGACTGAAAGTAGGTGGAAACAGCCTACCAGGATTTACCCACAATGAACAAAATCTACTTAACACCTTTTTCTTAATCCCTTTAATTAAGACCTCGGGTCTAGTTTAAAAAATATGCGCAAAAAAGAGAGTAAAACAAAGTCATGTTGTATTTAAAGTCTGGGGTTAGGGTTGAACTTTGGAAACATACAACTGTGAAACCGGTCACTCTTATTAGACACAGCAAAGCACTGAGATAAGTGCTAACTTACCTTTAAGATGTGCACAATGCAATGCTGACATGTTTATTAAAATTTAAAAGATATACATACTTATATTAGTTTGGTATACAAGCAGGTCAACATTAGGTAAGAGGTCTTTAAGTTTAGATCAGATACAGGTGATAGGAATAGTTTTTGAAATATTTGGCAGAAAAAAAAAAGCCCTTGACTGGTTTAATATTTAGATAATAAAACTTTTATCTTTTCCTGATCTTCATAACAAGGCCAGTTCAGAAAAGTTTTGGTGTAAGTCATAAATATTTACACTTTAACAGAGACGCACAAAAAAACCCTCGCACCAGATAACACAAGTGGCTATGTGTGGAAGGGATTGAAGGGATAAAACAAAGATTTTTAATAACGATAAACAATAAACACCTCCAGTCAGGATTCCTCTCCTCCCAAATCAGAGGAAGATCTCCTGATTTTGAAGCAGGGAAATCCTGACTGGAGATGTTTAAACACACCAAGTTCCACTCTTTCCCGGTTAATAAAGTCACCTCTGAAACTCAAGATTGATCAGAGTTTGTTGTCCCTTCTTCAGCCACCTCAGCAGTGAAATCAAAGTGTAAAAATTAGGTTTCATTTCTTCGGTTATATGACGCACAAGACGTGTCCCCCATGTGAGCCGTACCCTTAAAAATAGAGCACCCACCTCATGATCAATATTCTGGAGGCGAGTAATGTTAAACTTGTGACCTCTAGTGGGCAAAGCTTGGAGGTTTGTCGAGGAAATGAAAACTGCATGTGTGAGTACATTACTTGGCTTGACCTACTTTTTACAGTGTGTAAATAACTCAGTTAATGATCCGGAGGCTGCTTTATTTTCCACCTTTTCAAGCTGCCCTGAGCTTGTCAATGTGAGTCATTTGGTTTCTCTTGTGAAGTTTTTTTACCTTATCTCATCGTTTCATTTCCGTCGTGTGAGCTCCTGGTCCAATAGTAGATCAAGCCTCTAAGTTTATTCAGTGAGCTATTTTACTGACATCTGCTGGACTTTTAAGTCTTTGATTGTGTGTCTCACCTTTACCTTCTTTAACATGTTGTGCCAAACAAGTAAGCTAAGCGAAGGAAGACCAGAATCTGTCAGGGGTGGTGAGTGCAGGATTGTTAAAATGTGTCTGTCAGGGACTGATCGTCCTCTGGGGTAAACACAGGAATCTTTAGTTTGGCTTATTTCTCCTTTTGGATTTGTTGCATGTTTACAAACCACAACAAGAAAAACAGGAAGATCTAGCAGACGCCTTTAGGCCTGCATAAATGTTTAAAGATGGGTTGAATTTGTAGACTTCAAAATTAGTTGCATGAAACTTCATAGCACCCGACAAGCCTTGTCCCAGTTTTGTAGACTTCTATTTTTTTGTGATCTAAAATCATAAATTATTTCTATAAAACATCTATTTTTTTTCCATAAAAATACTTTGAGAAAACATTCCTGCACTTTTTTGACACTGTTGTTTGTTTTCATTCGACAGCCTCGCCACAAAGCAGAAAAATCTGATTGACTACAGCTGCAACCGATTCATACTCAAATCAGACTTTTTATTCTGTGAGTGCAAAATTACTGTACAGTGGTCACATTTACAGATGTCACATATTAGTCGAATCAATCAAACACGGAGCCGCACTTCTACAAAACCTGCCTCACGGGCCGCATCTGTACTTCTCCTATCTGAAAGAGGACATTAATACAACTTATTAGAGGTTATGCAAGGTTGAAGACATGTAAACATATAAAACATCACTATTACATATGAGAAGGAAACATACCTGCACGTGTGGAGGGGCACTCAGGACAAATGTAACTGCATTTGCCACATCAACAGCTTCCAAAGGCTGTGATGAAAACAGAGAGTGAAGTATTACGCATTAATTTTACCTGAAATACTGAAAGTATGAGGAATATATTTACCTTCATATCAAAGAACGGGAAAGTAGAAGCTATTTCAGGCTTGTCACGGTAGAGTCGCTGGGTAAATTCGGTCTCCACCACACCAGGAGAAATACACTGCAAAAGCAAATTATATTCATGGATAGTTTATGTAACGAAGCAGGTAGCTTGGTTTTAGACAGGACTGTCAAACGCAGCAGTTCCTAAAAGGTGGAATAAAATGTTCACGTTGAGTTTTAGACAGACGGCGCTGAAGTCTTACTGAAGCTCTGATGTGGGTGTTTGCTTCACGCAGCTCCAGTCTCAAACCCTCCAGCAGGGCCGTCACAGCAAACTTGGTGGCACAGTAGACGTGTACGTCAGCACTTGGAACAACACGATGTCCAGTCATGCTAAGGAAGAAGAATATTTATTTGAATGTTGACACAAACCATGTTTAACTACAGTACACATATTAATGATTGCAGCCTAATGTGCCTCATTCAATAAACAATGACCTGCAGGTAGTTGAAGACAGATTTTTCTTTTGTTTGAGTCATGCTATGTCTGGACTGAAGATCTGCAGCTTGTCCTCTAGCTGCATTTCAAAATAAAACTGTACCTGTTTATGTGTATTATTTGCCCATCATCCACATTTCTTTCTTTCATAGATTGATACGCTTCACGTGTGCAAATACACAATGCAAGAACGTTCACCTGCAAGATAATAAAGTAGAGAGTGAATGCACATCAGGTAATTGAAACCTCTGTAAAGAGCTTTTACTTCTCCTTTTACTTCCTCCTAAATCTCACCTGACCAGTTGCAAAGCACAAATGTTGCAGCTGTCTTTTGCTAAACCGCTTTTCTGTGTTTGATTAACTTACAAGTTCAAGCTCAAATACACACGTATGTCCAACCTTCACCCTGAAAATGTTTAAAATAGATCTACTTTGCTCTTACATCAAACATTTCCTTCCAGCCGCTGGTTCTTCCACTTAACAGCGGCTCAGGGTGAGCCAGACCTGCGTTGTTGATGCACACGTCCACACCTTTGTGTCGCGATTTGATGGCAGAGAACATGGACAGGATGTCCTCTTCCTTGGTCAGGTCGCATTTATAAGGCAACAAAACACCGCTGTAGCCGGCACTCTGACACTCAGCTGCCAATTTCTGAAAATATATCAAGCAGATGTGACCATGTGTTTACCAAGAAACCTACATTTTTCTCTACAATCAACCCTGAGTAAAATAAAAAACGCAAGAATACCATAAACAGTGTGAAAAATCTGCATTTTTGAATGATAAAGTTTTTAAATTTCTGATAACCTTTTTCTTCAGGTATGATATGATTCTTTAAGTCTGTGCAATCAAATTATCTCTGTTTTTGGGTTACTGGAGGTGTTTTTAAAAAAGTTGGAAAACTGTCCATAAAATAAACCAAATATTTTAAAGAGTCGACATTAAAGCTGAAGACAGAGGTGAGGAAACTGTTAAAACACTGCTGTAGAAAGAGGGAGGAGAGGATTGTGTGTATTTTGTCTACATGTAGTGGACATCTGCCAACAATCAGGAGAATCATTAACAAATACAGTTTTACCTGCCCATCCTGAAAGGGCTTATGACTGACACTGCAAAAATTACAGCCCAAATGTGTAGATTGTGTGTTTGACTTTTAAGTTTGTGGATTTTAAAATGAATGTAATTTGAATTGCAGCTGGTATTTACACTCTGTGGGTGACCAAATAAATATAAAACTACACGTACGACCAACCACTTTTGATGTTCTGTAAATTAAACATGTTATTGTTGTTTTCCAACACACACTCACTACACTGAGGAGCTCCTTATGAGAGGATGCTCAACCTAAAGTGTGTAAAGGAGAGGTATTGCAGGTCATTAAACCATATTATTATTTATATTCTGTACTCATGTAAATATGACTCATGTACATATCTCTTTCTTTTTTCTTAACTTAACTCTAAGTTTCTTTATCCTTTAATTTCTCTTTGTATGTCTGCATGATGCTATAAATTATGAATTTCCCCCTGTAAGACTATTAAAGGAACATGTCATCTTATAACCTTTAATATGTTAAACTTTATTTCTGGAAATATATTAAGCCAGTCTAAGCTGCTCTGCAAATTTCTTAATTTAAGGGGCCATATCGATTAATAATATCTTCTTAAAAGAAAGAAAAATAGTTCCAATATCAACTAACCTGTATTCTCCCCACGTCTCTGGCACAGCCCACCACCTTCATACCGTGCCGGACCAGCTCTTTGGCAATGGCGGCACCGATCCCCACAGACGCCCCGGTCACCAGAGCCACTCTGCCCCTCCAGCGGTCCATCTCAGCTCTGTGACAAACACTCACTCCCGGCGATGTCAAAAGCCACAAGAGAGTCAGAACCGAGCTCTGGGACAGGTGTTCGTGAACGCAGCACGGTGCAAGGCTCCTGCTCCGCCTCATGGTGTTGGGGGTGGAGTCCTGGATATCATATTAGAGCAGAAACGGTTAGTAGGGGAGAGTGGGGCAAGTTGAGTCAAAGGTTAAGTTGAGCAACCTCCTGTTGCTTGGAAATGGTAAAAGAAATTGATCATGTGACCAAATATCTAGGAGATGGACATCAATTCATGGAGTCTGTGGAGGTTAGCAGTACATGGGTGAAGGGGTTAGACATTTATTAACAAAAAAACAAACAAATATGTTCACTCTTGAAAGTGAATTTAGTCCGTCATAAGTTTTATTAGAATTGTGTTCAGACCAAAAAAGATCATTTTAGATTTGTTTTATACATCAATTGTGGTATCTATGAGCTACAACATGAGGTCAAAAACATAAAAGTCAACCATTTTAGCTTAGAGGACTAATAAAGTCATCATAGTAGTTCTGGGACAACTGAGAAAGTAAAGGAGTCTGATGAGAGGATCAAAGTTTCAATTCAGATTATTAAAATGTTTTACTTTTGCTTTTCAAAAATACAGCTGTGAATGTTCTGAATCACTTAAAGACATTCTCAAGTTAAAATGACTTTTTACAAAACAGCGTTTTAGCAGTTAATAAGAATTATTGTACCAGTTGAATAGTGTATAGTAGATAAAAATACACATGACTGTGAAGAAGTGACTGTTATTTAGGGAGAGAGAAGGGGAGGGAGGACTGAGGTGGAGAGTGTGGGGGGGTAGTAGGGAAACGGCTCAACTTACCCCATACACAGGGTAAGTTGACCATAGGAGACCACTTTTTTTGGCATCCTATATTATCAAGACAGTTATTTTTACACTCATTCTGTTGGTTTGCAGGGTAGCACATGTTGAAATATATGCAGATACACTAGTGAGGGGCAAAACTACGATTGCCTTGATTGTAGGTATCCGAAATATGAAAAATGACTCATCTTACCCCACTCCCCCCTACAGTTTGGGTCCAGCAGCCCAGGGTTGCTTCTTAAATTCCCACATGTAGTTAATTTATGCTCTCTCTCTATCCAACTTAGACCAGAGCACTTTTTCGAGTTTGGATTTAGGACTCTATGTTCTACAAATATATTAACTTTACCACACTTTCTAAATGAATCCCTCCAAAAATATTAAAGATAATAATCCAGTGTAAAATGCATATTCAAATCAGTCATTTTATTCATTTTGTTAAAAGTCACAGTACAAATTTAAGATACAGCCAGTCAGAATTACATATGTGAAGAGTCAGTCAGTGGAAGTCCTGATGGTGCAGATCTACAACACCTGCTCCACAGGTAGCATCTGTACATCTCTGATCTGTTAGAGAAAGCATATTAAAGGTTATGTTATTATAAATATTCATAATGCAAAACAAAAAGGAGTGAGGGTTATAAAAAATTTATTCATTACGTTCCGACATATATAAGAAAGAGAAACCACACACCTGCACATGTGGAGGGGCACTCAGGACATATATAACAGCGTTTGCAACATCTATGGTATCCATAGCCTGTAACAGAATTAGAGTAAGAGATTTGTTTTTCTAATTTTACCAGAAATACTGAGTATGAAAAATATATTTACCTTTATCTTAGAGAATAGAGCAGCAGCTCTTTCAGGATTATCAGGGTAGAGCCGCTGGGCAAATTCAGTCACCACCAAACCAGGAGAAATACACTGAAAAAGCAGAGGATTGTCAGAGATAACTTATGTGTTAAAGTGTGGGAAAAAAGTATGAATATGTGTATTTTTAATTGAGCACTATGTGACGTTAGGTCAGCCATCAAGTCAAGCTCAGCCTTGGATAAATCAGCTGATCATAACCCCAAGTTATCAATTATCTTCTGCACATCCAAATGTCAAAATGGACTTCCTGTTTTAACTGCTTCAACCTCGAGCTATCACCGCCAACTCTTTCACTAACTGACTCTTTGCTGCCTTGGCTTTTCACATATGCACGTGAAACCCATCCTTCTTTACTGCTCCATGTGTTTTTTCACAATGCTTTCTGTCACAAACTCATAAGAATCACAAACACAGCTGCAAAAATCATTGATCTCCCTGCACCCAACCTCACAGAACTAAACAGGTCCATCACTCTTCTCGCAAACACCGTAGTACAGGGGATCACCCACCCACTACACCAGTACATCATCCCACTACCCTCAGGGCGCAGGTACAGATCAATCAAGTTCAGGAGGGCTCGCCTGGGGAGAAGCCTGATCCCTGCAGCCATAGCCGCCCTGAACAGCAGGCCCCGCTGATCTGTCTGCCTGTCACTGCATTGTTATTGTCACTGTTGTTTACTGCCATGTCGGCTGAATACTGTCATTGTCTGTGATGTCCAGCGTTGTCTCCTTGTAATGCACAAACAGTGACAATGAATTTCCTCACAGGGACCATGAAATGCACGTAGAGGGGAAGGGGGCCACCTGCTTAACACAACTTATCGGAAGTAAATAATGATAATCTGTAGCTAGAGTGGTTTTGTTCAAAGTAGATAACCGGCGCTGAAGTCTCACTGTGGCTCTGATGTGGGTGTTCGCCTCACGCAGCTCCTGTCTCAAACCCTCTGTCAGGGCCGTCACAGCAAACTTGGTACAGGAGTAAAAGTGTGTGTCAGGGATTGGCAACACAACATGTCCACTCATGCTGAAACAGAAGAATAAATGGATAAACCAGGTCGGCATTTAATCACACAGTAATCACAAGTAACAGCTGGAGATAAGGCTGACACACCTTGTTTGATAACCAAGTTTATTTCTGAGTCATACTTTAAACTTCTTTTCTTTGGTCATGAAAAAACTCCTTATTGAAACATTAACTGTACCTGTTAATGTGTATTATGTGCCCATCATCCACATTTCTCTCTTTCATTGACTGATACGCTTCACGTGTACAAATGCACAACGCAAGAACGTTCACCTGCAAGACAAAAAACAACAAATCAACAGTAAATAAAGACACCAAAGTTTGAACAGACAGAGGTGAAATGTGTTTTTTTCAGACCTCATAACCTACTGTTTGCTCTTACGTCAAACATGTCCTTCCAGCCGCTGGTTCTTCCACTTAACAGCGGCTCTGCATGACCCAGGCCTGCGTTGTTGATGCACACGTCCACACCTTTGTGTTGAGATTTGATGGCAGAGAACATGGACAGGATCTCCTCCTCGTTGGTCAGGTCGCATTTATAAGGCACCAAAACGCCGCTGTAGCCGGCACTTTGACACTCAGCTGCCAGTTTCTGAAATCATATCAAACAGATGTGAATTTTACGATGTACTCAGTGAAGTTGGTTTTATTTTTAATGTGTCTAAAGAAAGTTCTTCAGCCTCTTCTGTAAATTAAATAGTCCTTTCTCTTCGCAGACTTTGTTGACATCTGAAGGAAAAGTTGTAACAGCCAAAGTTCAGTAACTGTAGTAACTGTTTATCACAAGCTTCTTTAAATGTGTGTTTTTAAAAGAAAGACAGCTTATGAAATTAATATACAGTCGTGTAAACCACAACCTGTTTTTATGTGTGTACAGAAGAAACACCTTTAGGGAAGAAGATTAACTGTTTTTTCTGTTTTACATAAGAACCAGGGATCAGTTTCACCTTTGTCATCACTTGGAATTTAGCCAACGAGCAGGAGAAACATTAACAAAGTCATCACTTACTACCAAACCTATATGGCTGGTGAAAGACTTACAAAGAGAAAATGATTTATTCAAGACAACAATGATAAACAACGACCAATTTTTCTACTCTACTTTGAAAATATGATGAATTTGCCTGTTAGACTACATTCATGATCTACTTATTCAGCCTATTTAATACATGTTAAATTAGGCTGCTGTGATAGGGGGGGAAAAAAAAAAAAAAGAGTTTTAATTTATCTTTTTTAAAAACTCCATCTAATCACTTTTTTTTAAATATACGACAATCAGGACGTTTATAGCAAGTAAAAGCTGCGCTCTCTGCAACTACCAGTGATTCTTAAGGAGAATAGAAAAGTTTCAAGTCACAAACAGACCTGTATTCTCTCCACGTCTCTGGCACAGCCCACCACCTTCATACCATGCCGGACCAGCTCTTTGGCAATGGTGGCACCGATCCCAACAGAGGCCCCGGTCACCAGGGCCACTCTGCCCCTCCAGCGGTCCATCCCAGTCAGCAAACCTGATGTAATACATCAGTCTGGACAGTCCAAAGGAGGTGCAGTCAGGTGCTCTTGAACGAAGCATGATGAAAGTTTGCAGATCATGGACTTCAGGATTTGCCACTGCCCCCTGCTGGTGAAGCATAAAATAATTACACATTTATTCTGTTATCAGCCAGGTCATTTATCATCAGGGATTCAGACTATAAATCCACCCAGACTGTAAAATGCAGGTGACTGTTTTCTCTTGAATGAAATCAGTCACCTGCTGTAGCTGAAATTAAGCTTTTAGACTTCAGAGGTTCAACTTAAACAGTGAAGTAGATGCTGAATGACAGCTTTCCATTGGGCTTAATTCTCCTTAGAGATTTCATAAATCGGTAGAAGCTTCAATCCTGATAAGACTTATGTGGGTTACAAAAAACAACAATAATTCACCTTCCCATCCGTGACATTGACCAAGCTGACACAGTTTTGGTCTATTTACTGTAATATAGATTCGACCTACTGCCCCTTTTTTCTGTACATGCAAGTTTATCATGGTGAAAAACAAAACCCTGCACTTTCACTCTTACATAATTTGCCCTTTGCACCTCCTTTATCCTGCATATATGATCTTTCAGAACTTATTTATTTCCCCATTTTGCTTATGCCATTTGCTTTCTATGAATAAAAACTTTTTTTCTCCACTTTGCCATGTCTGTATTCACTTTTGGACAATTTTTTCTACTACCTGAATGAATAAAGCACCAACATGTCTTATCATCGCTTATCTTGTCAAACATGTCACTACATGTAACATGTCAAACATGTTACATGTAGTAAGGAGTAGTAAAAAAACAATATATTTATCTACTACTTTGTTTCATGCTGGCAAAAATCTAAAAATATGCTAAGTACGTAAAAGTGTCTGTATATTCATTAAAACACATCTTGGGAATATTAGTCTATGTTATTTAAAACATGTGTTATGTTTTAGGATCAGTAATATTAAATCCCAAACAGAGGTTTAAAATCAAACAAGATCAATAGTGAATCTGAGTCTACAGCGTATCATTTACCATACTGGTGTTATTTTCTTAAGTTGGAATAATAAAAATAATTTTCTGAATAAATTTTGTTTGAGATTTCTTTCTGTGCACATAAAAACAGACTGAAAAAAAAAAGAGAAAAACATCTTTTAAATGTCTGACGATGTGGAGTTTTTCTGTGAAATCGGACCATTAACTTTCCACACTGCGAGTAAGGGTCCAGCTGTATTATCCTGTGTTTATCAGTGTCCGCCGTCTATCAGTAGACACAGAACAGAACAAAGTCTTGTTAACCCAATTCGGGCATGTGGGCGGTATCGCTGGTGGTCTTAACCTACGTTATAAAGAGGCTGGTTGAACATTTTCCATCTATAGATAGGCTCAATGCGTGCAGACTGAGACAGACTCACTTCATTTTTTACAATGGCGCTCACATTTGCTTTCCTCTTGTTTGCATTTTTCATGGAGTTTGCATCAGGGTCAGGTATGTTCTGGAAAGACTGAAGTCTGTTTTTGAACTCAGACATGTATGATATCAGAAATTATTCAGCCTATGGTTTTAATTGTTTGTTCTTGATGATTTAATTTCTACAAAATGCTGATTTCTAACATGTTTTTGTAGACTGGTGTTACCATGCTCAAGATGTTTGCGGTCACAGCTGCACAGGTAAACTTGACACTTAAAAACAAAGACAAATACATAAAGTTGTGAAGTTACTGATTTCAGCCTTTCTATCTTCACAGGACCAGAGGTATGGGGAGCAGTTTCACGTCACTGCAGCGGCAGATATCAGTCTCCAATCAACATTGTGACAAAGAGGGTGCTACCAGACGGACGTCTCACTCCTTTTTACTTCACTGGCTATCAGAAAACTTTTCATGGTCGTCTGATTAACAACGGCCACACTGGTATGATTTAGTTTACTAAACAGATAATAAATGTACTTCTCAATTACAATAAACCTCGTGTTAGATCAGCCACTGAGATGACACAGAATTAAAGTTCCTTACAGCAGCTTTAGTCTTTTCAAATATGCAAAAACTGAAAGGGAACTAAAAAGAGCACCACTGTAGATATTTTAGGGTACTTTTGTACATGTCTGATTGATGAATTTATCTGAATACTAAAACAGCTGACTTGTTTTATTTTGTAGTTCACCTTGATTTGCCCTCCAGTTTGAGGATCAGAGGAGGAAATCTTGCAGGACCGTACAAAGCTCTGCAAGCTCACCTGCACTGGGGCAAAGATGGAGAGCCGGGATCTGAGCACACAATTGATGGAGAACAGTTTTCAATGGAGGTATGAAATATGGGACTTTTTTGCGATAACTTTAACGTTTAAGTCAGTTTTGCATAGTTTGATTTTTAATATTTCTGTCCACAGATGCATGTTGTCCACATAAAGGAGGAATACGACACCGTATCCCAGGCTCTCAAAGACCCCACAGGCGTTGCTGTTCTTGGATTTTTCTTTCAGGTAATTTTGTCCCAAAGCAAAATTATAAAAAGAGAATTATTAAAAGCAAATCAAAATCTACAAGGAGGTAGCCTATACTTAAAAATGCTTGAGAAGAACAAAATATTTTTCACTTATTGTCGTGTCAATAATGCGCCAATAATAAAGTATCACCCACACTCAACCCATCAGTATACTTCTGACCCAGAGTGTTAGCCTACTGCTGTCCTGTAGGGATACTCACAACGCTGGCAGAGCTTTCCCACTTTGCTCGCTGTATTCTGCGCTGTAACCATAGACTCATTTAGAATGGACAGAGTCTGCCTCCTCGCTGGGTGAAGCCACTCCGAGAACAGCACCCTCTGGTGACGGACTGCAGTATAGGTCATAAATGCCTCCTCCTCCGGCAAAGCTTATGGGGCTGTGGACAAACTTTAGAAATTTATTACACAGAAAATAACGCTACTGCGCAAGTGGTGGAGTGCATTCAACGCTACTGCGCAATGTTTGTTTCAGGAATTAGGGAGAAAACGCGGAATTACCGAGAGGTTTTTGGCTTCAAACCTGTACACTGGCAGGAGGCGGAACCAAGTTGTCCATAGTAAACACAGTCTGTGGTTGTAACACTCTTTCACTGGTGAAGGTTGGCTCTCGGTCTCAGCGTCTCTGCTGCAAGTTCTGCTTCCCGTCGTGCTGGTTTCCAACCTCTCCTCCTGCTGTCTCCGTCCGTGACACTCGTGTCTCCCCACTCTCGTCTCTCCTCTGTTCTGGCCGTCTCCTTTACTTCCTTATTTTTTTCCGACCCTGACCCTCCCTTCAGCAACTGATTGGACCAGCGGAGACTACTTGTCTCCTCATTGGTCCACTCTATTGTCAATCAGAGCAAACAACCACACCGGTGCAGGTGATCAGTAATCAGTCTCTCAAGGCAGGGGTTACAATCATGATAAAAATATTCCCGAAAAGCTGAATATCCAATAATTGAAGATATGTCGTCACATCACAAGAAGTGCGTAGGAATCTGAGATTGTTTAATTAAGACTAACACTGACATAAGGCTTTTATACATTTTAAAGCTGAACCGTAGAAGAGTAGGACATTTGTGGAAAAATATAGACCATTTCCATCTTACACCTAAGCTTGGATGGTTCTAAATAGGTTCCAAATATGGGCCCTTTACCACTGATTTGTAGGTTTTATTCATTGGGTTTTAAATAACTCATAGAAGTATGTATACTGACCTTAATTTGTTTTAAGTAACAAAAAAATTAAAACATAAATGGGCCAAGTATTGCACCTTGAGGTGTTATTTTGCAAAAATCTAACTACTATTCATTTTCTTTAGTATTCGCTCCAGAGAGTTTAAGTCTTGTTTTGCAGGGTGATGTGACTGATCTTGTCTGACACCTACCCTGTACCAGCGGTTACAGTTGTGAAAAGTAATGATGACAAAAAAAACAGTTTTTGAGTTGACGGCCTTGTTTGCTTTTCCATGAAGAGACATTGATTTTAAGTCTATCTGATAACCGATAAAAAATGAGCTTGAATATTTTTATAAAACCATGGAGTATCTGTTGTCTTAACATTACCAAAGTTTGTCATTGTTTTGCTCAGTGACTAACATTTTTCTCTTTCATTACAGGAAGCAGATTTCCCCAACCCCAAATTTGATCCCCTCATTAGAGCTCTGAAATATGTCCCCCGATCCAGTAAGTCTTATTTTTACAGTTCTTCAAAGATAACACAGAGATGTAAAACACTTTCCTCAAACCTTGACTGTAAATTGATTTTAAAAATGAGAGGTTTAGCAGGTTTCCTGCTAACTTGGTGTCTTGTGCATCTTTGATTAAAATCAGGCAACTCCACCACACTGAGAGCCGTGTCTTTAGAAATGTTCACCCCTCCTCAGACTCTTATGGCAAAGTACTATCGATACCATGGCTCTCTCACGACACCCAGCTGTGCTGAAGCTGTCATTTGGAGCGTGTTTGAGAATCCCATCCCCCTCAGTAGGAAGCAGGTGAGTAATTATCACATTTGTATTGATTTACTGATCTGTAGTTTTCTTTTGGAGGGTGCCATCTGCTTCAGAAATGTAAAATGTCCCTACTACAGTATCCACATTGAGTTTTTATGGAGTTTGCCTCATTATAAGCTGCATAGAGTGTTTTTTTTTTAACCTGTCTTTTGTTATTTCTTCCGTGTTATAGTTGGCTGCGTTCTCCCAGCTGCAGTTTTCCAATGGGAAGCAGATGGTCCGAACGTACAGACCGGTTCAGCCCCTGAATGGACGGCAGGTGTATTACTCCAGAGGTCACGTTGGAGCAGTTAGCACTTTGTTGCTCATCTTATCTGTGATTGTACCAAGTGCACTGTCTCTGTACATCACAGGATGATTTTAATTTATCATTTGTAAATAAAAACTTTTTATGTTTTTTTTAATGATTGTGAACTGCATGAAGTTAATGTACTGAAGGTGTAAGACCACTCACTTCACAGTCCCAACATGTTTCCTCATCTTCACCCTCACATCTCTTGGGTCAGGCATAAGCCATATTTGTAGAAACATTGGTATGGGTGCCTTTTAAGACTCTTGTGAATAAGAGTATGTTTTTATGGATCTGTGTCTATGTATCTGTTTTTCTTTCTTTCTTTTTTTTTTTATAAATCGTCTGTTTCTCTTAATGTTTTGGTGTATGTCATGCTATTGGGACTTGAGCCTGTAATAAAATTCATATTTATCTCTCATGCTGTCCTGTTGAGTTAAAGGATCAATCAGAAAAAAAAACTTAATCAGTTTTATCTGACTTAAAGGGGTCCTCCCAGTTCCTCAGAAAACAGCTCTTCTGTCCTTCCAGAGTTTTGGCCTCTTTGCTCATATTATCTGAATAATCATGTAGATGTTAAAAGATTCATGTGATGAAACATTTTAAACTTTTAGAATTGAGAAATACAAATTAGAAAGCTTATTTTCTTGCCTTAAAAGTAGTTATATTAATATTTTAGCAACTAATGAGTGTGCAGATTTTGTCAGATACAGAAACATCAAGCTTTGTTATGGTTTACTTCAATGCAAAGAACCTTAGTATCCTGCAGAGCTCCCTCTAGTGGCCAAAGGTGCACAGGAAAAATATCAACAGTAGATTGCAAAAGTATGAAATAATGTCACTTACATCTTATCAGAGAAAGAAGAAGGACATGAAGCAAAAGTTATATAAGACACAACATCCGATAAACATAGCGCACAATGCATCAAATAACAAGTGGAGACTGTGAATTCAGAGTCTCATTAGGCCTGATTATTCAAGTTTGTATGCAATAAAGTATAAATACATACAAAACAATGTAAATATAACATCTCCACTTTTGGGTCAAATATATTTATGTTTGTAAAGTTTTCTCCTTTCATGACTTAAACTGGATTCTTACTTGCCACTTTCACTTTCATCCACTGGGTGGCAGCACACAACAAAGTGGACCTGCTGTTTGTCTCCTGTGCACCTGCAAAATACTGTTCATGAACTCCTTTCAACCTGCACATAAATATCCACAAACCTTAGAGTATATCTACTTTTAGTAGAGTGGCGAACATTTCGTGTCTTAAATCATAATTTGCTAATATTTCTTCAGCCTTTTACTCATGAGACAGTTTCGGTTTGAATGTAGAGACTCAGAAATGTTAGCTTTTGTGTCACACACTTGCTTGCATACTCAACTGTCAGTGCAAGAAGTCAAAATATGATTCAGTTAGACTTCTTTTTTTTTTCTTCCCTCAACCGTTACAAAGATGAACTCAGCCCAACCAAAGTCTCAGAGCCCCTGGGTGTGGTCGGTGAACTTAGGTGAGAGACATAATTCAATCAGCCCTCTGCAGTAACAGGAGAGGATAATACCTACTGGTGTCAGTGGATGCTGAGCTTGTTTTTGGCACCCTGACGCTATCTATACCACCCTAAGTAGTCCAGGAGATCACTTTGGATATAATCCCATGTTGCACAGAAATAGACGTCTGATGCAAGCACATCCTCTGGCGCAACAGTGCTGAGCTAATCTGCAGGATGCACAGTCATGCTCTCCTGCTGCAGAGGGTCATTCCTTGTTTCACTTAGACAAGAAAAAGACCAAACCAGTATTGTTAAGAATCACAGTCTCAATATGTGTGTGTGTTTGTGTTTGTGTGCAGGGTGATGTGTGTCAGGAGAAGGACTTGAAGATGTGACTCTGCAGCAAATCAAGGTTTTAGTCGATTCCTTTAAAAATGAGTTTTTCTTCATGTCCTTCATTACTAAGTGGCTCATCTTTTTGTCTCTCAAAGACATCTTTTCTCAGTTTGTGAAGGCTGCCCATCCCCCACTTCCTCTCACTACACTTGGTGTGACTCTGTGGTTTACGTTGTCGTGACAGCAGAGGACACAAGCCCGTCTATACTCTATTTGCGAAGTTTCTGTTGTTGCAAGCGTATTGCACATTTGCAGCTGCTTGGATGGGGAAGGGCCACCTCGAAACGCCACCTTTACCCCACAGCGTGTGAGAAACGTGCAGGCGTTAAGAAGTTCTCAGAAACAGAGGACCTCTTATTGTAATCTATACTAGAGATTTCAGACCTGTACTGATTAATATTAAACAAAGTGTTTGATTAAAGTGCTGTTCAAAACTATCTTTGCAAAGCATCTTTAAATTTAGCTTAATCAATACGTCTGTCTGCTTCTAACCTTTGATTCACTTTGAATTTTAATCGATATATTTCTCTCATAGTGTAGAATGAGGCATCCACAAGTTGTCTCTTATGCTGAGTTAGTTTCAAATACATTATTACTGAGATCAATATCTTTCTGCTTTAATGTTCCCTTTTAAAATCAGGTGACGTCTCAGAGCTGTTTCTCCTTAAAAGGGATGAACTCATGCTTTGCAGCAGTGCTGCGGTCTGTCAGGGCCTCACTACTGTTGGCTCTAAATTTGCATATGTGTATGAAAACCATGTAAGGTTCCTCAAACTCAGTTTCACTTTTAGTGTATGAAACTTTTTGCCTATATGATGAGTATGAGACAGCCACACTTCCTTACATATCTATACTTGTACACAAGGCCAATAAAATACTCCAAAATATGAAGGTTTTATGATATGAACACAAACATACATGGAGTGATTGATGAGCAACAAAAAAAACATGAAAAGTATTATGATAGTGCTCTGAAATGGGTCTTCTCGTCTGTATTTCAAATACTACTCCTGTTGCTATGTGAGTGAGTGTGTCTGCATGCAAGTCTGCACACACCCTGCATGTATAGCTGGTGAGTGTGTGTGTGTGTGTGTAAGTGTGTGTGTGAGTGTGTGTGTGTGTGTGTGTGACAGTTAGAGCTCTTCCTGTGTTAACCACGTGGCTCAGGCGGGTTAATAAAAAGATCGTGTTCACTTCTGGGTTTTCTCTTTTCTCTGGAGCTCAAACACGGGTGAGGACCTGATGACAGCTGATATCTTTGTGCCTTTCTTTTGTTTTTCATGTTCAAACTTTAAGAGGAGATGTATCATTAACTTGTATAAGTGTGTGTCTTTTATGTTCTTATTACTGTGAATGTACCTGATTTAATATTTCTCAGTTAAAATTGTACAGTGATGAGGATGGACGTTTGAAGACTTCGTGTTGGAGCGACCAGGATCTACTGATGTACAGTGTTGTCACCCATAAAGTAGAAAGCACTACTAAACTTGACTACACAGTGTAGTGTTTCCTACTTTATGGATGAGTGTACTGTTGGCGGCAGAGGAACAAGAAGACTTCAACAACAAGCTCGAAGACCCGTCGTGAAAACCTCTCTTCTGTTAACTTTGCATTGTGCTCAGCTTTAAGAAACTCACGGTTTAAAGTAAAATATTAAAACCACAAACTAGAACAAGAGAGAAAGCTGGTTTAGGTGTTGTAAAAACTCAGATTTATTAGCATCTTTAAAGTTTTTGCATTTCTAACATGAAAACCACATGAATCGTTTCCTTCGTACAAAGTTTCTGTTCTGTGTTTTTGACTTAAAAATCACTGAAAACTGTGAAAACTTTCTTTCTAAATATTCTGTGATTAAAAAAAAATGAATCTGCAACAATAGAAAATATAAAAACAGGGTATAAGGCAAAGGAGGATACACTATGTACAAGCTGGTCTGCAAAGAACTGGGACTAAAGCTGCGTTAATAAGGCTAAAGTAATGCATCAGTCTTTCACCCTCAGGTATTCTCTCCTGGTAGATTTCACTTTGTCTTGATTTTTAATATGCATACCCACTGAGACTCTCTGTACCAAATGATTTCTAATTTTTTCATTAAAATTTCCAATAAACACGACATTTGAATCTGTTTTTACTTTGACCCATAAACTAGCACTTTTAAGGTAGTCAGCTGTTTTTTCCTGAACCTCCAGTAACTTCTGTTGCTGTAATCCAGCTATGATACAATATAAAACCCTTTAAAAAAACTCATTTTGACACAAAGACTTTAAAGTTACATTTGATTTCTATAAAAAGTTCGGCTCTCTCACTGTGTCCAAGACTTGGCATTTGAAGCAAAGATCCTAACGTGGCGTTTTCGTCTAATTCCAGGGTAACGGCTGCAGGTAGTTTGAAGGAACCAAACCTCGCCGTCCGTGCAAATCCCCCTGAAATAAGATGAAGTATAGATAAGTGGAAAAATCAAACAGAAGTTTTTGAACTTAAGGTGTAAAAGTGACACTCACATAGTAAAATCCATCTTGGTCCATGTCACCCAACACATATATGATTTCTCCTGAACGGAAGCCGAGTTCAGCCTAAAGAGACAAAAAGAATAAAAATATCACTTTTAAAAGCATAAGATCACACTGGATTGTAAAAGGAAAATGGCAAAATATACAATATGTATGGTGCTTACTTCACTGTCCAGGTTGGGTGAACTCTCCCAGGGGTCGTAGTCGAATAAGGCCACCATCCGTCGAACGATGACATCCTCAGGGATACTGACGATGTCACTCGACGCTGGCGTTATAGACATACCTGCAGGCAGAAAAAGACACAAATCAGACCCTCATGATCACCAACCTTTCATGCAGATATGACAAAAATAAACCAGTATATGTTCATATAATGGTCAGAGGTCCTTTAAATTATAAGGCAGGTTAAAAAAAATACAATCCTGACAAATATAACACAGATGATGGTGTTTAACAAACGTGGGCTTGTAGTTTTCAGATTATTCAAATTAGACACTTCACTTCTCTATAATACAACATTCAGTATTAAAAACATCCTGGAAAAGTACAACTTTGAGGCTAAAACAGAGAGTCAGTGTTCGCACAGGTCAGTGAAAGCATCATACCAAAGATAAGTTGAAAAAGGTAAACACTGTGACTCAGTTTTGACTGTTTTATCAAAATTTAAAGGACAATTTTGTTTTTTTGTCACATTATTTTAATCTAAAGTCAGCATGCGTTTCCCTGATGAAACTTTTTTGAAAACCTTCTTTTGAGTTTTTGTGCTGCAACATTTTCTACAACAATATTTTTTCCTTTTTTCCATAAATTTTATGTGTTTAATTTTCCTGTTTCATTCTTGTTTCAATCATAATTTGACTTTTATCATCATTAAGATGTACCTTTATGATGTTAACTTTGCACTCGATCTAAGTTGAAAAGAAACAAAAAGTAGAAATGAGAATATTTAAACCCGAACTACTCATCAGAATCTAGAATATAACTCCTCTGCTCACCTCTCTTACTGTAAAGAAACAGAGGCCTTCAAGAACAAGAATCTCTAGTGATACAAAAAAAAGTATAATTCACAGTTAAGCAAGTTTTTCCTTTTCTTTGTCATCAAACTTTTCAGCAGCCACTCACTAAGAATAGGAAACACACACTGTATGTTACTCGTTTGTCTGTTCTGTTTCTACCAAGTCTGATAAATACTGCAGACTGCACCTTTAATTTTGCAGTCCATCCATGTTATGTGTCATTATTTATTCTGATGCAGTTATTAGCTGCATGTCTTCTTAGGTGAGTTTTTATTTTGAAGATTTGATCAGGTTGAACGTTTTCATCCAACCATCCTGTCACTTATGATCTTAAACTCTGTGTTACTGATAAAGCCCAGAGTCCCAGAGGGTTTGTACCTGTGTGGTCCACTGGTAGGAACCCCTGCTGCATGAGCAGATACTTCAGGTACTCATCATTCACGGGGATTTCAGCCACCATGTTGCTCGGTACGTAGCCTGAGAGCCCACCAGACTCCCCGTGATAGAAACCATCAGAGTCTTTGTCTCCACATACCTGCAGAATGCAGAAGCAGCTACTTTTATTTTCTCTGAAACTGTGGTGTGACAAACAAACAAATGCACAGGGGAGTTAACAGACCGCAGCAGGTCGGAGGAGAAAGGCGGCAAATCAAACCAACCGGTTAGAAACAGTGGCAGGAAATAGAGAAAAAATCTGCAGCACCCTGAGCACAATCAGGAAGTGTTCTTTCACAGATTTAAACCAAGGAAGTAAGAAAGTACAACTCATATAAGGTATCAGCTCCACATGCTTTGGCCTTATAAGTGCATCATGTATGTCACTTACTTTGACAAAACTTTTAAACTAGATTTAAAAACAAAATAAATCACATTTTATCTTTACCTTGATGATCTGGCCTGGTACAAACGGCAGCTCCTCAGCAGCCGTCTCATGGTTGGGCGACATGGCAGCAGGGTTGTACGGATAAAGAGCCACAAAGAGCCTGACAGTCGGTATGGACACCTGGCTCGCAGTCTCAAGTTCCCATTCTCTGATATCTTCTGGTGTAGCAATCCTCACTTCATCTGGATATATCAAAACATCCAAACTCAGACTTGTCTCCATTGACAGCAGCAGTAAGCGTCCAACTCTTCGACCATCCACTTGGCAGACAGATGGCTTCTGTAGACGGCAGACCTGTCCCTACCCTTATCCTAATTTGAAGTAACTAAGCTAAGCAGAAGGAGCAGTAATCCTCTTTGAAGGCAGAAGAACGATTCATTAGTTCAGCTCTGCATGTTGCTTTGTGAGGCTGTGCGATGTAACGTAATTGGAGTTTAATGGTTTTAAACGGGCTCGAGGGGAACTTATAGTACATTATCACGGTCAGATGATAGCACGACCTCAGCGTGGGGCTGACTCGAGTTTAAAAGTCACAACCGAGGAATAAAAATTAACAAGAAACTTTTAAAAACTTTGAAAATGTCCTGGGAATAGAGGTTTTTGCAACAAGTCACAGCTTTTGACCTCAAAACTGGCATATGAATTTATGGAGAAAGGTCAAAACTGTAAAATATAAAGTTTAATCCTCCTAAAGATAATACAACCTGAAATAAAGCCTTTAAAATTCAAGTCAAAATGTAAGAATACATTTCAACAAACTCCTTTTGCAGAAGCTTAAATGTCTTGTCTTCGCAAATACATCATGTTAAAAAGTAAAAAAAAAAAAACTTTAATTCTCACATAACATAAAATAATCTTGAATTGAAACCACATCAGCTCTTATTTAAATTTGTTAAAACATAAACCCATATTTAGGTGTAGAGGCAGTATTTTCCACCTTCACAAGGACTTGACCCACTTTACTCGTCACTGAAAGTCAACACTTCCTCTGTTGACCTCCGGCCAGGTTAGCAGGTGATAATCTGCTTCTGCAGAGGAAGAGACGGTTTAACAATTCTCTGTGTGTTTGAGTGTGCGTGGAGTTGTGTGTGTGAGAGAGAGAGCGAGAGAGAGAGAGGATTGAGAAATGTGTGTGGTTCAGAAAAACAAAGTGAAGCAGAAGCTGGGTACCAAAATCTGTCAGATCAGCCGAGTTTGAGAAGCTCATGAGAAATTCTCAACCTCCAGAAAAGACATCCCTTCGATTATTAAATATCTTCTACACTTATGATCGATAAGGAAAGACTATAGCGTCTTCAGACCCCCTGAAAATGAGGGATCAATCATGTTGATGCCTCAGTGTTGCTGTGCAAAATGAAAATTGTAAACAACACAACTAATCTGATTGGGAGAAAACTGCTTTATCTAATTTTGAGATCGTACCTAGACTTACTAATGATGTGAAATATGTCTGAGTATTTTCAAAGTAATAAGATAACAGATAATCAGATTAGCTTTTTTCTTCAGTAATCAGATTACCCTCAAATAAGTATTCTCGATACTTTCAGGGATGAGGAGGCAGCTGTTGTTTTTGTCTCTTGACTCTCCATGAACTCTTGCCTCAAGGGGCGGCTGGGGCTCAGTTAGTCATCTGTCAATCTGAGGGTTGGGGGTTTGATCTCAGGGCTGTTCATGCGCCAAAGTGTCCTTGGGCAAGACTCTTGACCCCTGCGGTGCGTGAATGGAATTAGTCAAAACTGATGGGGCTCCACGTAACAGCCTCTGTCATCAGTGTGTGATTGTGACGGGATGTGAAGTACAATAAAACTGCTGAATTTTAACCAATGGCCTTTTTGAGCAGTAGCGTGACGATCCAGGGTGAAAAAAAAGGGAAAGGACCCAAATGCAGACGAAAAAAAAAAAAGACATATTCACACACACACACACACACACACACACACACACACACACACACACACACACACACACACACACACACACAGGGAAACGAGGGAGTAAAACAAGACTAGGAACTGATCAACTACTACAAAATAAAACAGAAAACACTGAAAACTGATATAAAGAATAAAACACTGAGAACATGAGGGAAACAGGGTCTGAAAAACTCACAAGAAGGGACTACAGGGGGAAATCATGAGGTTTTAAATGTACTGTCCTATGATATCCTATTTATCTACTCAGTAAATTGGGCTCAGTAAGTGATTCATTCACTGAACGTTTACCCCACAGTACATTCAGTGACGAATTCACACTGAACACGCACTGTTCCCTCGCGAATTACCCCAATGATAGGATCGAGTCACGCATTTCTCAGCTGCGGGTTTAATTCACTACTTGTTAAATGCTGTGTTCTACTAAATCTATTGAAACAACGGTCACCATCAAAGTGTATCCCTCAGACAAAAAGGATTACAGAGAGTGAAGTTCACTGAGTGATTCGTTCACCAAGTGATTCAGGCGTCAGCGTGTGCCGTCCCTCACTTGCCAGCTGCTCACCCAGCAATCCTGTGTGCTGTGGGGCTTTGCTGCTGACAGCTCATCCGAAATGAGAAATGAACAAATCACTTGACGAAGTGATTCGGTTCAGTACAGTCACTTAAAAGATTTGGTTCTTTTGGACGAATCATTCATGAATGACACAACACTACACTCCTCTGAGGTCTCAGTGCTAAAAACTAAACTAATGCACCACTTAGAAGACTCATTTTATGATACCATTATGGTCATTCAAAAGCATCGTCCACGCAGCAGTAACAGGAGAAAACAGACAAGACCTGCTTACTGTGAGATGTCAGTGTAAACAAATACACAAAGTTCATAAGTTGGAGGACTATTGTGGTCATTCAAAAGCATGGTCCAGTATAAATTCATTTTTTATAAGCCAGACCATCTTGATATCATATAAGTGGCCTCCCCTGTTTTTCCAGCCCTGGCTTTGCTTGCTGAGAGGAACAGTATTAGTGCCAACCACAAAACTGAGGAGCCAGTTATGAGGGTCTACTTCTCCAGGTTTTTTTTACTCTTATCATCAAAATTACTATTCAAACTAAACTTTTTTGTTCTTAATCCAATTAAGTACTCATTTGCTTCTTTGGGACCCTGAGATGTCAGTCCTGATCATTACACTTTTCCCTTTGCATCTTCCTAAACCCATTTGGACTGTGAACAACTCGTCTGATACCCTGCCTCAAGTCCACTTCTCTTTCCTTTCACTAACATCTCTACATCACCGCTAGATTCTTGACCAGGCCCTACTTGACGTGTCGGACTCAAAATAAAAAGTGTCAACAAATTTCTGGCTCAGGCTCTCTGGCGCTCTTCCAGATACACAGACAATCAGCTGTTTTTAGAGACGCTTAGAGCAGCTTAGGATTAATTTTTCCAAATTAGCTTTTGTCTGTCTGATGCAATTGTGTTGCAGTTTATTTCTGGTTTGGTTTATTTTGTTTTTGTTCTTATTGTGAATGCTTTGTGCAGCCCTCTGTGACCTTGCTCTTGTGGATTTACCAACAGCGTACATAAATGCATTACAGTCATGATCATGTTTTTTAAGAGCTTCTGTTTGGTTTATTTGTGCTCCAAGTATCATACCCACAATTATACCTACTGTCCTTATTTTCATCCTTCTTTCATTACCTTCTGAATTTCTTTAAATGAGTTTTTAGTTATTGATTTGAGGTTGTTTGTACCATTTTAGATTTCTAACCTTTAATTGTTTTTTCTCTTGTTTCTGTCTTTTGAGTATTTATCAGATGAGCTTGGCTAAATTTTACTCTTAGTACAGAATTATCTTCACCCAGTCTCTACGCCCTTATTTTCTTCAGCTTCATTCTGACTTGCTTCAAAAAACAAGAACATGAAGTCTCATCCTCTGATACTTTCGGTACCATTTTTGTCCACAAGAGGGAGCCACGCAGAGAGGTTTCAAGGGCAGAATTATGAGGCAAATTTGAATAAAGATTTCACATATAAAGAGTGATATTTAATGATTTAAATGTGCTGGATTCAAACTCTTTCATGTTTCTCTTTCTGCCCTCTGTCGCTTTTCAGAAACAGCTGCACAAATTCAACCTCAGCCAGAGTTTGCCCTTTGCATCGCTCTCTAACATTTGAGGGCAGGAAGTGCTGTGATCTCAGATTACAGTTTATGAGCGTCCGGCGAGCTACTCTGCAGAAATAATTATATCAGGATTGAGAGAAAAAAAAAAGATTATTCCACTGTTTACGGGACAGAGCGATGTTTATAAGAATACAAAACAAAGACAGACCAGGATATCAGTCGATTCAGGACATTATGTTTACAATAATCATCTGGCTCTTATCTTTAATCCAGATATCAGGCCCAAACATTGCTGCAGTTGAATAAATGATCCTGAGAGGAGGGAGGAAAGTGAGTAATGTCAATCTGGCAATCCAAACACAGCTTTTCCAGCTGCACAGTGCTGTTAAAATTCAACACTTGGCCTTAATTAATCTGATTTGACACTCCTCTAAAAGGTCACTGAATTTAATGAGAAAGGTCTTCTGTGACTGTGTGACCAAGTATGATTTTAAAATTCACTGCAGACAGGAAAAGACAACTTTATTTTTGAGGCTCAAAACCATTTTCAAGAAAAACTTAGGATAAAAAAAACAGCAGAATTATTATTTAGGCTGCACGTGACAGTAAAAAAGAGGTTAATATGGCAAAAATATGAGGGGTTGAGGTGAAAATGACATTGTGGCTTTTCTATTTTACCATATTGACTTGGTGGTGCTTTGCTCTCATATCAAAATCAGGGTGGGAATCCTTCGATCAGGTGCTGATGCATCTTTGTGGTGATATATTCAAAGATGGGAGAAGTACATTTTTCAGCATCTGTAAAATCACAATTTTACTTCTTCTGAAAATTCATCAGATGGTAAAAAAGAGACATTTCTATCACAGACTAACCCTCCATTGCTGTTTTAATGTCCTGCTTCACTGTTGTAGGTTTACAGCTCCTGAGAGGAACTTTCCATTTGTGTTGATTTTGGCGCCCCCTGTGGTTAAAGCAGCTCATCTTATCTCTTAGCCAATTCCTAACCTGCACATGCCCAATGTAGTGTTTCAATTTAAAGTGACTATTTTTCACTGTGGACAGGAAAAAGTCTGTTTTTGCAACATGCTGCGGGTCCCTTCACTGAGTGAGGATGTGAAAGTGAAATGTTACTCACGCACAACAAGAAAGTCAGAAAAGTACCAGGAACTCCTCATGAAAGCATGAATGACTGAATCACAAGACCAAAACCCCCGTCCTCATAAGTACGTGAACACAAATGGCCACCCCTGATCATTTGTTCTTTTCAACTTAATCACAGTTGTCTGGTTGTTTCACTGTTTGCCATTTTTTTCCGTCTGGAGACGACGACCAAAGATCTCCATGTTTTGTTCACACACTTGCTGACACACTTCCTTTGAGCAGTGAATCGGGCCTCCTCTATCTCAGGAGACTGGGCCTCTTGGCAGACAGGATTTCACAGTCAAAGTGTAGCTTACAACAGTAGCACCCCTGGTAATTAGACGGTGTCACTGAGAGTCTTGGGAAATAAATTGGTGTTGAAATTTGAAGCCAAAATGTTGGTGCAGAAAGATGATGTAGTGAGCGTTAGAGCGGTTTGGTAACAGAAGTACAGTGAGCTGGTCAAGCTAAGTGAGGGTATTTACCATTTAATATTACTGCTGATACCCAAGCAAATGGGTGTACTGTAGGTTTAAAGGGATATTCCGGCGTAAAATTAAGGGTCAAACACACTGTAACACCAAGTTAGACACCCCTTTGAGAGATGAATGTTGCCGACCGCTTGCTTCTCTAGTTATACCAACTTTAGAAACGACAGCAGGATAGTAATACAGAGAGCCACACGCTCAACTAAAACGCCACTCTGTAACCACAAATAATGCCCAGAACAGCACCTAACTATATCAACAGTACATATAAGGTCCATAGCCACAGCACTAGCCACCAAACATCCTTTTAGCTTTGCCTAATTTCTTTAGCAAAGAGACTAAACACAACTCACCTACTCTCTTCCAGCATTGACTTCAGTGGGGTGACACAGCTCAAGGAAGAACATTTATGATCATTTCTTTATCATTTCCATGAATTAATAATCATCATATTAATCATTTTGCACTGCAGACGCGGTAGGTCTTCTGCCTTAGTGTCTCGGTCTGATTGCATTTCCATAAAGAAATGATCATAAATGTTCTTCCTTGAGCTGTGTCACCCCACTGTAGTCCGTAATGGACTAGCCAGAGGTCTCGCTACAAACAAATGGCTGCTGGAAGAGAGTAAGTGAGTTGTGTTTAGTCTCTTTGCGCAAGAAATTAGGCAAAGCCAAAAAGATGTTCGGTGTCTATTACTATGGATGGGACCCTATATGTACTGTTGATGAAGTTAGGTGCTGTTCTGAGCATTATTTGTGGCTATAGAGTGGCGTTTTTGTTGAAGTTTGTGTGTGGCTCCTCAGACCGCTGTGTATTGCTATCGTGCGGTCATTACTAAAGTTGGTATAACTAGAGAGACAAGCAGTCAGCAACATTCATCTCTCGACAGGGTGTCTAACTCGGTGTTAAAATTAATTTTACTCTGGAATATCCCTTTAAACTATGTGTATAAGTATTGTAGAGTCAGCATTTCCATCTTTGGGCTTCATGATGCCTCTCCTCTTTGGAAAACTACTGGGTGACTTCACTATGACTACATAGAGTTTATACAGTCAATCAAAATAAGAACACCCCTGTGGTCTGTAGACGGCGAGTAAACCCAAATACAGGTTTGGAGATGAATCAGCTCCATGAGATTTCAACCCCCTTACCCCCACAGGAAGTGCGCCCACCTGGATCAAATATGTTTCACCTTGGCCCTCCTCCTATCACCAGTGGGAACATGCCCCTGGCTCAAGTGGACTCCATTTCCCACAAGGCCTTTGGTACAGCTGCTCCTATCCATCCACCCATTCCCTGAAAGCCTGGCCCCTCTGCTTCCCTTGTATGGAGTGTTACATCATTGGCACAGACACCCACCTTTCTGAGTGATGACGCAGCCGAGGGAGAGTGTAGGGAGGAGGAGGAAGAGGAAGAGGAGGAGGGGGAGGAAAAAAAAAGAGGAGGAGGAGGGGTGAGGGAGGAGAGAGGAGAGAGAGGAGAGGGTGTCCCGTCTGCGCGGAGCACAGACAGACAGCAGGGAACAGCTGCAGCGTTAGGTTCGCGTAGGATTTCACTGCATTGCGATTTAAAAATATCAATCATTTCATCCCCAAAACCCAAAGTAGAGCAGCTCGACAAAAAGCAACCAAACCTCGTGTAAAAAATGGTCGATCGCGAGCAGCTGGTGCAGAAAGCCAGGCTGGCTGAACAGGCTGAGAGATATGATGATATGGCAGCTGCTATGAAATCGGTAAGTCCATTCAAACTCAGATGTGAGATTTTCTGCTCATGTATGTGGATGATCATGTGTTCCAGCTGCGCGCTCCGTGCGTAAAGGCGCTCCCGCAATCTCGGCTGTGTTGGCTGTAATTCTGCTCTTACACCGGCTTTATATCACTGCACATCAAGTCGAAACCGAGGAGAAAATACTGTGTGATGTCTGTGTTGTCTTGTCGCCAATCCATCCACAGCTTATCGCCATTTCTCCCCCTTGTCGAGTCCAAATCGTCTACTCATTGGGCGGTGCCTTTTCTCGTTCAATGAAGAGACATTACAATGAAACGCACACAGGCCTGAGCTTCATCTCTCACAATGAGAGCCTGATGTCATGTAATGTCACAGCTCAGAGTACATTTGCTGCTTTTTGTCCCCCTTTCTTTCTCAAACCAACCCCACCTCTCCTCCTTCTTCCATAATGCTGAATTTCACCAAAGCTGCTGCTGTTTCTGCTGCTTGGAGCCATGTGAGGTTGCTCGGAAAAAGCCCATCTACTGCTCCTATTTCCTCCCTCCCTCCTTCCTCCTCCCCCTCCTCTCTTTGTCACGTTTATTTTAAAGAATATAAATCATAAAAATCTGCTTTCTTGAGTTATTTTATGCATGGCTGCCACATAGAAAGATGCCCCCATAAAATCAGAGCCTTAAACTGCTCTTTCCACTGAACAAACGTAGGAGGCAGTAGAATCTCTCTAGAATATTCTTTGTCATATTGCAGTGAAGCAATATGAGCACATTTGTGGGCTTTGTCTCCTCTTGTTCTCGGTGTGTGCATGTGCTGCTCCTGTGTCGGATCTGTCCTCGTATTCAGACGAATTGGACTCATTTTGAGTAAAAGGAGCCGGAAAATGTGTTAAAACATCTGATGCAATGAGGATGACATGAGTGGCCCTCCTCTAGATGAGCCTTCAAAGCTCTCATTGGCCTCTGCTGAGGACAGAGCCTTTGTCTGCTTTTCTCTTTTTTTTTCTAATCTGCCCTCTCAAGAAATTCAGGGAGGTGGATTCACTAACGGGTTAAAAAAAAACTGCTGTGTCACACCAGCTCATACTGGAACCCAAAGCACCCTGGGAGTCTCACCCCGGGCCTGTGTGACACCTCACATATAGGTTGAAGTCGTCATGCGTGCTTTAGAGGAACATTTAGTCTTACGTTCCTTCAGGGGGGGAGATGGAGTGAGATTGTTTGTCATCGAGGGTTTCTGGTTGCAGGAGGTGGGATACTGTGTGTGTGTGTGTGTGCGTGTGTGTGTGTGTGTGGAGGGATTCCTTTCCCTTTAAACAATCTGCCATGTCAGTGCGGTCCAAAGCGGGCCCTTTTTTGCAGGGGTGTGTACTCTCACTCTCTAATCAAAGGGAATCCCTTGCCATTGCAGCCAGAAATGACAACGACAATGACACTATTGGGGGGTGTAATGACATGCACCAAATCAAGTTAGGACTAATTCCACGGTCAGTGTAGAGGACTACAGCCTCTGTAAATGTAGTGCCTGCTCTATCACCTGAGCTAAACCTGAACCTGCAGCCCCCACCCCCCAAAATAGGGATATCTTTAAATCTTTTTCCAATCTGACGTCCAAAACCTGAATTTTTACATTTGTGATGCTGAAAAAAGAGACTTTAGCTTCATGTTATGCCAAAAAAATGACGGATTAATCAATTGATCTCCTAATTGATTGATAACCTTAACTCCTGAAGGCGTTAATCTCTACTTAAAGATCTAAAATCCACAAAAATTCAGTTATTTATAAAGACTTTTCCGCTTGTTTTAAACCAACAAGCATTAATATTTGTCGTATTAGCTTTCCAAGCATTATTACACTTCAGAGCGATGACCTAAAAACAGCAGAAATCATCTCAGTTTCACTGTAAATTTCATCCATGTGTGTCCCTACATCTGTGTCACAGCGCTGAGCAAACAGAAGGAAGGTGCCCCCACCTCTCCGTCCGCTCTGTGAGTGAGTGAGTGAGCGAGTGTGAGAGCGACGCCGGTGATCCTGCGCCATCTTTGTGCTCCTCTAACCGAGCAGAAAATGTCAAACCTGCAGGATAAGAAGTGTCTGCACATCAAGAGGGGAGCTTTTCAGATTCAAAGCAGTTTAAGGGTTTGGTGAAAGCTGAGCATGGCTTTCTTTTTCTGCGTAAGGTTCACTCGCGGTGCAGTTATTGATCCGTTAGAAACCATCTTCCAACACAAGGCTGCCTTTCCTATCAAATAACTGTGGCTGAAATGGTCTTTTTATAGTAACACCGTCTAACCAGCTATCAAACCGATCCGTCAGGGTCTAAATTTAACAGTCGTGCTCGGGGTGATGTCACTTTGTGGCGCTTTAAACAGGTAAAAAGGTCAGTTTGAGCCGGAGAGAAGGTCACTGGGACATGTGAACCCGCTGTGCAGTGATGGTTTTCACTTACAGTGCAGCTGCCCCTGAAGGGCTCGTGGGAACATTTCGCCATCTCCGGTCCTCCTTTCACCCCACCTCTCCTCCCTCCTGCTGCCAAAGACCGTCTTGAATATGTCTCTCACGAACTAGCATAAGCAGTCCACATGGCGGCTGGTGAACTAAATGAATGGATCGGCGTGGAAACCGTGAAATGGGGAAATATGTAAAAGTTGATCTAACGGACTCATCAGTCGTTTTCTTGACCGTTAGTCGATGCGTCTTTTCGAGGTTATAGAAACGGGTAAAAAAGCTGATTGTAGTTTTAAAAGAACCGATTGTTGGTCCCTGAATTTCATCCTTTAACCTCACAGGAGGAGTCAAGGAAAAGAGAGAGAGAAGGCTCTGTCCAGTCTCTGTCCCTTGGTCGCCATATTGGAGCACTTTTCAATATGTCTTCCCATAATTGCTGTTTTTCTCCCATCAGATAGTCCAAAACTAAAAGCTGTCCTTTTCTGCAGTGATGTACAACAAAGATAAGCAGATTATTCTCACTCTCGAGAAGCTGGAACCAGAAAATGATTGGCCGAAAGACTCGCCAGTTCTTCAGTTTTGCCAGATTTTCTTGGACGAAGCGTCCTAATAGTCTCATTTGTATAATGTTGATGCATCTGCTGATGCTTGAGATCTTGAGTTGGTGATTAAACAGTCCTGTCCCTCCTTCTTTCAGGTGACAGAGCTGAACGAGGCCCTGTCCAACGAGGAGAGGAACCTCCTGTCTGTCGCCTACAAGAACGTAGTCGGGGCTCGCCGCTCCTCCTGGAGGGTGATCTCCAGCATTGAGCAGAAGACCTCGGCCGACGGTAATGAGAAGAAGATTGAGATGGTGCGTGCCTACAGGGAGAAGATTGAGAAGGAGCTGGAGGCCGTGTGCCAGGATGTGCTCAACCTTCTGGACAACTTCCTGATCAAGAACTGCAGCGAGACGCAGCACGAGAGCAAAGTCTTCTACCTGAAGATGAAGGGCGACTACTACAGGTACCTGGCCGAGGTGGCCACGGGGGAGAAGAGGGCCACGGTGGTGGAGTCGTCGGAGAAGGCCTACAACGAGGCCCACGAGATCAGCAAGGAGCACATGCAGCCCACCCACCCCATCCGCCTGGGCTTAGCTCTCAACTACTCTGTGTTTTACTACGAGATCCAGAACGCCCCGGAGCAGGCTTGTCATCTGGCCAAGACCGCCTTCGACGACGCCATCGCCGAGCTTGACACCCTCAACGAGGACTCCTACAAAGACTCCACTCTCATCATGCAGCTGCTCCGAGACAACTTGACACTGTGGACAAGTGACCAGCAAGATGACGAGGGAGGGGAGGGCAACAACTAAAGAAAAACCACACTTCGAAAAAAAATATATATGAAGGGCCGGTGGACTTTGGCAGCCGCTTTTGCCGATGAAACTACCGCAGCAGCAGTTCTTTATTTTTCCATGTGTTAAAAGAAAAGAATCAAAAGAGAGGTGAGAGTGGAGGTTAAATCTTAGTTTAAATATATATAGAAATATATATACAGTTGAAAGGGGCCTCCGTCTTCTTGATTTTCTCTTTGACATTTGCCAAAACCACTGAAATGTCAGTCAATCAGCCTGAAGTGGTTGTTGTTGGATTGAAATGGCAGCCTCACACTGGCATAGGAACTGATCTTGTTCTGTCAAGATAAGCTGCTTAGTTAGGTTTTTGCGTGATAAGAGATGCATTTGAGTCACTTGAGAGAGAAAATGCTTGAATGGGAATGCCTCACAAAAACTAGTTTGCAATGGTTCCAGTCGTAGTCTAAAAATGAGAAAAAGGGCCCTGAGAGCGATCGATCTTAATCTCACACAAACGACGACAAAGTTTTAAACCGATTAATCTCCACCCGACAAAAAAAAAAAAAGAGTAAAAATAGAGAATGGATTTTATTGGAGGTAAAATGAGGTCGGATAATAATAAAAGAAGAAAAAAAAACCTGATCCCCTACCTTCTGTCTAAAGTGTATCTCTGGCATCTCACAGATTAGTCTGTTATGTCACTGGAACCATAGATTCTTTTGGAGGTGAAGATTATAAAAGGCAGAGACTTAACGATATTAAACAAAACAAACAAAAAAAAAAAAGACAAAAAAATAAATAAAAGCAGCTTCAGAGTTTGTGGTTTACTTCTGTGTTTGTTTTATTAAATGCACTTGCCTACTATACTGTTTCTTCAGTGTAAGATGATGACAACAATAATATCGATTATTCAATATTGTGCATGCTGGTGATGTATTTATATACAGTAGCTTGACTTTATTAACTTATACTGTGGGTGTTAAGTATTCATATGATTGAGAAAAACAGGCTTTGTCAAATGTTGATTTCTAATTTCTAATTTATTTTTTTGTTATGGTTTTTGATTTGCTATACCAAAATGGTGATCGTAAAAATTGACCTGTAATGGGCGTTGCTATAGTGACATGCAATATGTGTATTTAATTTGTTAATGAAAGAAAAAAAAAGGAAGATAAAAAACTCACCGGTGATCACTTAATCTTACCAGCTGGTGTTTGTAACATTGAAGTATGATTATGATATATTTTTGTTCTTTGAACAGTATTTAAGTACTTTTTTTTTTTTTGTCATGCTATCCAGTTTTAATAATGGTGACCTTTTCAGGCTCAATGTTTCTGTTATGATTCACAAACATGGACCATATTTTATTTCTGACAGTATACATTTTTGTTTGTTCGTTTGTTTTTATACATTTTAGCTGTTCCTGAGTGACAAAATATCTTGAATGTGAGTCATTATGTAGCAGTTGCACAAGAACCGAAATAATAGCTATGATAATAAAAAAGAATATGACTAAATTATACATGCACCATATCCGTGGTGGTCTAGTGTATTGTTGTATCGTCACCCATGAAAGAGAATTTTGTTTTTAAGGGAAAAACCATTTCACAGGAAATAATGTTTGCTTTGTTTTGTGCTCAGAGTACAGTGCGTGCTTTCTTTTGGTGCCTGTTTTATGATTTCAAAAATGCCTCATTTGCAATTTAACCGTCACAGAAAACAACAAAAAAAAAAGATCTGCCAGTATTTGAAAAAAACCTACAAGCATGTGTACGAGATGTAAGCGTTATCCTGCAATGGCTCCTCACTTTTATGTGTGTACTGCTCTTTGTACAGCACACAGACATGAATATTCAGCACTAATGCACAAATAGACTCAAGAATTGGTCGTCGATCAGCGAGAATTCACACCCGCAGAAAACACTACGAAGCTGCTTAAGAGCACAGATAGCTGCTGAACAGATTTAACGTCATACATCTGCTGCTATAGTTCTTCATTAATATATTCGTACAGATGGCAGTTTTTAGGAGTTTTATTTTTTAACTTGCATGTGATGGCATAAAAGAGAGAGAGGAGAAACCAAAAGCCTTAAGGTCGGTCACACACAACCTCCTTTATGTATGCCAATTATGTCACCGTCATGAGTCAGCCTCCATGAGCTCTCACTGTATGTCACAGCTGCTTTGATTTATTTTTAACGTGGTTTAAACTTGATGGTCCTGAAGGCTCGCTCGAATAAAAGCATGAAATCCTGATGCCGCTCCGCACAGCTGCTCACACAGATTATTACAGATATCACGGATGAAGTCAGATCCTACACTTTGATTTACTGAAGTTTTTCTTTTTTTGTGTGCTGGAGAAAAAGTGGAAAACTGAATTTCTCTTTCACTTTTTTCTTTGAATATTTTGAAAAAAAAAAGAAAAGAAAAAAAGCCATGTCAGCAGATTTTCACTCATTGCCAAGAATACATGCATTGTGTTCCTTTTGAATCAGTATTATTATTATTTTCACTGTGGTTTGTGTTTTTACGTTTTCACTGATTTGGATGTTATTTTTTTTTAACATGCAAATAAAAGAAATGAGGAGATTAGAGTTCGATTTATGGAGGAGTTAGACTCAAGGACATCTGACCTACTGGAAATTAGCGAGCGGGGGTGGGGATAGCTGAAAATGGTTTACAAACTGTATGCTCTGAGGAATTTTTGTTGCCATCTGTTGCCCATTAAAGTTATTTGTTTATCGGTATTATCCTTTATTTTCATTTCTCTCTGTCATTCCCTGAACACCACAGATCATTCCTTTTCATTCGGAGAGTTGATTAGTGAACAGATTTTGGGCGATCAGCCTACGCATCGATACAGGAAGCAAAAATGACCTTATGTAACCCCTTAGTGGGCCACATAACAGGTGTGTGCGTGGTGTGTTTGCACGAGTGTGCGTCTATATTTTGTGTGTGTGTGTGTGTGTGCTGTACTGTATATGCCCACACTGTTGCATGTGTTGAGGGTCTGTGGGTGAATGTATGAGATGGAGTCTGTGTTAGCTGCAGTGCAGAGACACTGCCAGGCTTACAGTATGTCTTAAATGAGGCTTTTCAGATGTAGATTTGCTAGTTATTACCAAAATTAGGGCAGAGTTAGACGAATATTTGTTCAGGATTTACGATCGCAGGAGAGTACCGCTGTAATTTAGTATAATTCTGCTTCTCAGGAGTGATAACAGGGGCAGCTGTATCTATCTTCCACATACATACAAGCAACATCTCAACACCCACATCTGGAGTTTATCAGAGTAATTATGCATTTCTGTGTGTTTCATACTGCAAGTGGAGGTCTCACTCTGATTGTTGAGCTGAAGTGGCAGGTTGCTGGATTGCCCACCCTCAGACTGCAGCCTCTTGCTGCAGCTTGCTGCACTGAACCTTTCATGAGATGAAATTCTGTTGCTTTGAACGCTGCTCCTCGCCAGCCAATAGCCGACAGGCTCACTCTCTGCAGCAACCAATCCCGTTCCTGTTGCTAGGGCTATAATAAGTATCCCACTATCAGCTCAGCTTCTTGCTGCACTGCTCAGACACCTATTGCATCCTGTAAAAAAATGAAAGCTCAAAGCACACAGGAGGCATTAGGATTCAGCACCAAGCTACCTTACAGCATGTGTTTGAATGCGCTGCTACACTTTCAGGGACGTTGGTGTCACTATTGTCGATCAATGTTTGTGACACTTTTCAACCCAAAACACACTGAGGCCTACTGATGGATGTTCAATACGATTTACAGCAGCTACTAATCAATTCAAGCCTTTTTATCAGCATTCTCTGTCAAATTACAAAAAAAAAATATGCATAGTGCCCCAAAAATCTATGTAAAATCCATGCAGCCGATATTAAAAATACTTAGTTATACAAAACGATTTATTAAATGAATCCAGAAACATCCTGGAAAAAGATGGAAGCAGTTTAAAGGTCACATCCAAACAGGAAATTGCTCTGTGCGTCTTCAATCAGGAATATGAAATACCTGCCTGATCGGATCACTTTAGCCTCATGCAGCATTTATGAAGGTAGGCCAGCATGACGAAGCATCTTTGAGTCATATTTATGTCACACAGGAGCCAAAACTCTCCGCTTTAGCGTGTTGCCACCATAATACTTTTTTTTTTCAACAGTGTCCATGAGGAGAGGGTCTGATGATATAAAAAGATTTATATCTTTGATGGTGGATTAAAAATAAACTGTGGAAGCCAGCTGTATTTTGGAGATTAAAAAAAAAGGTGGGTTATTTTTGTCCTCTCTGGTTTTCAAGAGCTCTTTCAAGTTTATGGACCTGATCTCGACAGATTCGATAAATCTGCTCTCTGCTTTTTGAGAACTATCAGTCATTTTAGAAACTATACTTACACAGGGAACCGATGGCCTTGTGGTTGAAGGGCGCCCCGTAAACAACGGCTGAAGTCCTCGTCGCAGAGGTAGCTGGTTTCACTCTCTGTCATGACTTTGATGGATTTCTTCCTCCGTCTCTCAATTCAACCAATTTTCTGTTTCTCTTCAGATGTCCTGTTAAATAGAAACAAAAATGAACAAATGACATCAACTTAAAATAGTTAAATGAGCTTTTTTTTAAAGGTAGGACATAGACAAGGCTGTTACTGACAGAAAGGAAGCAGCAAGCTTACACTCTGACTTTGTTAAACTATAAATACATGACTGCTAGTTAAAAGTGAGCCAAGGGTTGGGATTTCTTTTGGTTTTTGAAGCCCTAAGATCCTCCCTTTCTTGTTTTTTTTTTTGCATCAGGACTTTGCGTTTAGCCGTGCTAGCTAAGACGCCAAAACTGGCTATGCAGCACTTAGCACTAAGCTAAAATATTCTCAAAAATACTCAAACTGTATTAGCAAACGGTGCATAGTTCTTTTCACTGGCTGATATCAGCATTTTTCTGGACTCAATGCTGTATATAAAATGGACATCGTCTGCCTCCTCGCTGGGTGAAGCCACTCCGAGAACAGCACCCTCTGTTGACGGGCTGCAGTATAGGTCGTAAATCCCGCCTCCGCCAGCAAAGCCCATGAGGCTGTGGACAAACTTTAGAAATTAATTACACAGAATATACATTTTTCTCCCCCCTGCTTGCGATGTTGACATGTAGGTATTGTAAGAGTGGTTTGTGCTCAAGTCCTCTTTTTTCTGTGAAGCTCCGTTTTTAAAAGTTATTAGGGGGTTCATGTTTTCTATGATTGACACCTGATACAGCCTATGGGCGTATAAGGATTGCGTAGCTCACCCGGGGGATACACTGTTTGAGCCGAGCGACTCTTGGTGACTCTCCCGCCAAATGCGTACAACACTACTGCGCAATACTGGTTTCAGGAAATGAAGAAAAATCGAATACTGAGAGCTTTTTGGCTTCATATCTGTATACAGGCGGGAGGCGGAACCAAATTGTCCATAGTATATACAGTCTATGGTTGTACCCTAAAGGGTCACTGACCTGCTGGTAGCATCGTCTTGTGCCTGAACAGCTCTTTTTCTGCCTTCTTGGTAAATTCAGCCTCTTTCGCAGCACTATACCCGCTACGACAGGCTCTTAAGTGTCTTTTCCTCGTCTTATTTAAGGCATTTGTCAGTGATTAGACTAAAGGTCATCACAAGGTCTTGGCTTTATTGCAGATCATTGATTTCCTTTGTAAACTTTGCAGTGAATGCATCTTTTCTTGCTGTTTACAACCAGCTGCACTAAAAGGCGTTTAACCTCCTGCGGCTCGGGCTTTTTGACTATCATGGTCGGGCGAATCATCATCAACCAAACCACATGGTTGTCACGTCTAGTTTTGGGGCTGCGGGGGGAAAATGACAGCTCTGTGGACCGGCTTTTGGACGACAGCTGCTGGAAAACAAACAGCCCCAAGTTTTACACGGATGAAATTCAACCGTAACACATTTGCGCTATGAATATTAAGTCAGATTTTAGACCATAGATGATAAAAATGGAACCAAAGACTATTTAGGTATGAGAAATAAAGCTTTGGATTAAGACTAAATTCAACACTTTTCCTCAGCCGACACCAAAAAGGAGGGGATTTATTCCTGAGCCTGGGTACGGATAAAACAGACGAGACACGCCAGATTTTAAAAAGTTTATGATCTGACTCAACGTGATCTGCACCTCAAAGATGCAAAGAAGATAATAGCTGTACAGCTCCAGAAATATCAGCCCATTAGAGAGAGGGAAGGAGAGAGAAAAGAGAGAGATGGAGGGAAAAAAGGGGACTGATGTAGAAGCAGAGATCAGAGACGGATCTATAAATAGGCCTCCCTGCAGCCTGTGAGTAGACAGTGAGTAGACCAGAGACATCAATGTGACAGCCTCTCAACTATGAAGAATATCTGCCTCTGTATGGATGGTGAGAGTTCATGTCTTCGGTTAAGAGACTCTGATTCACCAGATTTACCCCCTGCTGAGCAAACACATGACATGACATGAAACTTCATAGACAGGACAAATAATCCGTACGAGTATCTGATTTCTTTTTCCTTTTCGATCCACCATGTGAATTTTTTTTCTCTCTTTCACGGGGTTGAAGTTATGATCGGACAAAGAGCGCCGCTGACTCTTTCTGGCACAAAGACAGCTGTTATGCATGACTGCTGCAAAATGAATAATTCAAGATAACATTTAGACTTTGTATTATTTATCGAGAAGTGCCACAACATTCAGCTGAAGGTTTTAAGAGACTATTTTTAGAGCGCACTTGTCCCAAAACATTGCAGGATACATTGCATTTGATAGGCAGTGGTGGGGAAGTATCATCAGATCATTTTTAAAAATGAAGGCCGTCTATCTGGATGCATCACTGCTGTCGTTAAAATAAATAAAACTTCCTCCTAATAATACTGGAGGTGACTATTCATAACTTCAGAGGCTCGTGTGATGAGCAGAAGTTTTTCGAAGGTGAGTCTAAAATTAAGTCGTCTCCTCCTCCTCCTCCTCCCTCTGTTATTACGTCACTCTGCATGTGTTCTCAAGGCGTCCCTGTGCGGGAGAATCACAGTCACACCGAGTTCGACAACATCACGTCATCTGCATAGAAATAGCAAAAAGCCCCCCTCATACTTGACGATTTAAACTTTTATGGGACATGCTTCATTACATAACTTCTATCATGAGTTTTCCTTGTAATAATTCGCTGTTGCCGAAAATAAACTTATGGCGTAAAACTTCTGTCAGTGTGAGTGAGGATCGTCTGCGAGGCAAAGCAAGGTCAATGACTGACTAATTAACATGGTGAGGAACTTTTTGTTAATTTTGGCACCCCCTGTGGACAAAATGATACCTGATATTTATTCTCGAGTGTCTAATTGTAGTCTGATTAACTCCCTCAAGACAAAATAAGTGAGAATGAGTTTTTCAGCAGGCTGTGGTGTGAATCTATTCAGTGTAAAATCTATTTAGGAGGTCTGAACTTTCAACACATGCAGGGTCACGATGTGATAATGAACTGTTGATAACTTATATTTAATATTAACACTTTTTGTATTGTGGACTTGTATCTTTCTCTCAACAGTAATTCATCAGTGCAAAGGCTTCTGTCCTCTTGAAATGATATCATCTTTGTCTTTTCTTCTTTTATTGTACTTGTCTGTCCTGAATGCCACTCATTTGTAATGTTTGAATTCATAGATCTAAATTGATCTAAATCGTCTTTCAGTTTGTGCAGTCCCTCGGGTGAGCTACCCATCCCTGAATGCCAATAGGCTGTATCAGGTGTCAATCATAGAACCCTAATAACGTTTAAAAACGGAGCTTTACAAGCACAAACCAGTCTTACAATAACTACATGTCAACATCACAAGCAGGGGGAGAAAAATTTATATTCTGTGTAATAAATTTCTAAAGTTTGTCCACAGCTTCATAAACTCTGCTGGAGGAGGCAGGATTTATGACCTATACTGCAGCCCGTCAGCAGAGGGTGCTGTTCCCCGAAGTGGCTTCACCCAGCGACGTCCATTCTATATACAGTCTATGAGTAATCCCCAGATGGGCCAACAGAGCGCTCTGAACAGCAAAAACCAGAATTTAGCGATTTTTGCACAAACTGTAACAACACCAGACAGTGGATCTTGTTAAAAGGGGAAATTTGTCATTTATCAAAAAGAAACTTAACATTATTGTATGGCAGCAGTGAAGGAGGCTTCTAGAATGATGGAATGTTGGCAGGGGAGGCTGAATATGTCGAACTGTAAATCATGTAAAGCTGCTAAGAAGCGTTCAGAGGGACGATATTAAGCCAAAAATACAAGCATCATACTCCCCAAATAAACTTTAATTTGTAGGTTGTAACAGAACTATTTAAATGGTAATTATGGTAAATGCCAAGGACTAAAATCTTATGGTCTATTAACACAAAAGTTAAAGTAATTGTTATGCTGAATGAATATTATGTTTGAATGCTTTGGCTCCTAAGTTCAATAATGTCAGTTTTGTGCTACAGCTGAACACAACGCTAATCCGAAGCTCTTTAATCGTGTTGATTCACAAAATAATTCAATATTAGCACCTAAAATGTCAAACTTGGACTAAACAGAAATGTTCAAAAAGATGTCAAGTACAGTCGCAGTGTGAATGTTTAGCTACTTTATTGCTTTCAGCTCATGAATCAATACTAGATCTGATAAAAGACATGCATCTAATGCTTTCTGCAAATCATGATGAAGCAGTTTTGAGTGTTTCCATTCTCTCACTCCTGAAAGAGCCCGACCTCTCGCTCTGTGGGAGTTGTCAGTGTATTAATTTACCATTTTCTATCCGACGGCATCCGACCAGTCATGCTTTGTTTTACAACTAGCTCCGCAGGTGCCAAGAGGTTGACAAATTATACCCTCCAGTGTTTATGGGTCTGCTTGATGTCTGAGCAGGTGACTCATTTTATATGTGGGCAGAGGGGGTTCCTAACAGGGCAGGAAAGACTGAGGAGGAAGGAAAAAGCCTTCCATCCACTTTACAGCCTTGAGGGAGTGTACAGTTCAGCTGACAGCAGGCCAGTGATAGGAGTGGCAGGGAGGAGTGGAGGATGTTGGTGTTTAACGTGGAGCTGGATCAGCCTAAAGGAGTGAAATGTGGCGATGTGACGAGCCCACACTGACAGCCAAGGATCAGCATTTAGCTTAATATCTGCTGCTGGGTCTGGATGTGGAAACTGAAGGGAGTCTGGGTGTCAAAGTTTCCCCACTCATACTCACAACAACAACAACAACAACCTCACATGTGTCACAGCCTAAAAACTAAAAACCTAATTTGTACCTAAACACACAGAATAAAAAAGAGCGGGATAGAAAGGGAAGATGAAATCATGGCGTTGCTATTGAGCTCTCTGCTGAGGAAAAAGAGCAGTCATACACTGAAGTTACTACCCTGAATGAGCGCAGTATTGTGCTGTTGCATGGCAACAGTTTCCACAGAAATCCTAGCTCAGAAACGCTCCTCTTTGGTCTTCACATAACTGCAACGGCAGAAAAACAGGCTGACTGCAGGAATACAAATGGCCTAATGAACCATTTTAGCCTGAAGAGGCTTAAGAGCTGGTTTTGTTTTAATTTCACACGTTCATCGAGCAGCTCTCTCAGAAACTGAAACAAGAGACTTAATTTAGCTTCACTTATTTATACGTTTTAAACCTTTTTTTTTAAAGGCTGTAGTATATTAGAAGCTCCTCGAGGATACTGGATGTTTTTACTCAAAGAATATAAAGGACAGAAGCTCCAAATGAATGGATATCCATAATTTAATGCCAGTCCTAAATCAAATCAAACGTGAAGGGCAACAGAAAACAGAAGTCCTATAGAGGAAAAATCTAATGATAGATCGACAAAATTCAATAATGTGACTCAGATTGAAACTGTGACTCTCAATAAAACAACGATGGAACTAATTAATAGTTTTAACTTTTTACCAATTCTGTTTTCAATTTGATGGAAAATAAAGGCCAAAATTTTTTATTTGTTTATTTTACATGTTAGGCCACCTTTATGGAACTCGACTCTCTGACTGTGAGGTGGACAGAAAACACATTCACTTTAAACCAAGAGGATTTTTAAAAAAGGATGAGACAGATCCTATTTTAATGATGGTATGATAATCAAACCATCATTAAAATAGGATAATTAATAAGGTACAGTGATCAGAATTGCTCCCTTGCTCACCCCTCTTATCAGTGAATTACCAGAAGTTATGGTGGCCTGTGAGGACAAAAAGGTCCAGTGATTCATATGATCCTCCATTTGTCAGATCATTACTACTGAAGTTGATAAAGCAAACAAAAACAGAATAGTTGTATGTTTCAGGCGATAAGACACAAATTAAAACAAAGTTGTTGATTTTATTTTCCATTCTTACTAACCCGGTTCTGCCAAATGCCACTAGATTATTTTTGTAAACTGTGGATATTCTGTTGTATCATGTTGTGGCGTAAATACAGCGCACTGTACCTTTAAGTTGACTGAAACTGATCAAGATGTAATACAACTTTTATCAAAGTTATTGGTATTTTTTAATGACAAAAATACCAATAACTTAACGTGTGTTTGTGTAATCAGTGTTTTTCCGAGTTTTAACTTTTCACCAATGCTGTTTTTAATCAATTCAACAATTTCTATCGGTACAAACCTTGAAAGCAATAAACATTTTTAATAAAAGTCTGTTCAGCATGCTGTTAAAAAACCTACATAGTGAGAGTGTTTGTAAAAATGAGTCAAAGCAGTTAGGTAAGCTGATATCTTTTCTCATAAACACTTCAGCAGAGAGGATCGTTGCTGTTTCATCTAATGTCTCCATCCCGAGACAATGCTGCCCTCTACTGGTGAGGAGAACTAAGTACAAGTGATCCTGAAATGATCCAAAAATAACTCAGGCGGTGGTTTAAAGATGTTTTAGTGACTGTAGAGCAGCAGAGCCTCTTTAAACCTGTTTACTAAACATGTGGATCTGGAGTTTGTCTTTTTAAATTCCTGTTTGTTATCATTGCTGAACATTTAAGGACATAATTAAAGGCTCTCTGTTGTCTATATAGTGTTTTAGACAAAACACAACAGTAAGGCTTTTCTTTTTTTTAAATAATCAGCACTTTTATTTTCTGCTTAAGCTGTAGGAAAATGTAAAAATATTTTCTTCATGGAGCGTATTTACAGTTTTCACAATCCAAAGTGAATAAATTACGTGTCAGGACTCACATTCATGCTGTCTGTTATTTAGATATTAGCAAAACAAGTAAACAAGCAAAGCGGATAAATTAACATCTAACCTCCCTCTGGATCATTTTACACATTTGACACAGTATTCAGTCAAAATGTTAAATAATATATTAAATTAGATTGCAGAACTATTACAATCTTTTTGCTTAAAGTAGGAAAACAAGATTTAAAGCAGAAATGCAATAAAAGAGGGAACAATCGGCTCGTCTTCAGTTTTTGTTTACATGTCTTTTTCATCCGTGAACTCTGTGAATGTATCGTCTTCATACAAGTCCTCCAGCTCTCCGTCTCTGCTCCCCTCATTGCTGACTTTCCTGCTGAAGAAAGACGTCCGTTCATGTTATTATAGGTAATCAGGGAAATTGCAGATTATGGGAAGGAAGAGAAGGGTAAAGGGGGGATGACACTAGACTAAAACTGTCACAGGGTGCATGCCCTCCTCCTCCTCATCCACGTCAGCCTCCAGAGGACACATGACAGAGACAGGAGAGTCAACACAAAGCACTGGACAGGAACTGTGTGTCCATTTATTTCAGGTACAGCTCGTTGTTGAGTGCGTTGTGTTGTCTTGTCTCTCTTAAATCCTCTTAAGGCTGAACAAACAACTGATGAGCTGAGCCGTGTATGAAGCGCATGGAGCTCAAGCTAAGAGCAGTTAGAGAAAGTTACCTCAGGGAAGGATGAAGCTGAGGCGAAGACCCCAATAAGCCCCAAGTGCCGCTGCAAAAAGGAGATGTAATGTCACACCGTGTTAGTATTTTAATGGAGCTGATGGCAGACACAGATTTTATAGTAACGTTCCAAAGGCAGAATCACATATTATGTTTGTTTTTGCAAAGAAAAAGGCAGAATGAATGTTGCGGTCACATCTGTACAAAAGGTTAATTATTAAGCTCCAGCCAGATTAGCTGCTTAGCTTAGTATTAAGACTGTAAATGTGTTAATCGACGAGCTTAACAGCTTTGAGACCAACACTGAGCAAGCCATACCGTCCTGTTCATTCATGATCACAAAGATGGCTGAGAGACAAACTCCAACTTCAGAAACTCTTTTGAGAGTTTTTGGAGAACATTAATCGACTGAGGTGTTGGAGTTTAGGTCTGTGGACGAGCGAACGGCCACATAAAGAGTATGCAGCTGTTTTGATGTTTTACCAAAGGGTTTAGCGCTTCTTCGTCACAGTTAAGATCTTAATGTCTCCGTTATTCCTTTATCCAGTACTGCTATTTTTTATAGGATACATCTGACTAAAAAGAGATGCTTAAATAGATGAAGTAGAAATTACATGCAAACTGGAACTATGCTCTCAGAATTTAAAACTTCTGTTTGAGTTTAATGAATTTATTAGCCTATATCGTATTGTATCATAAAATATAGTATCGAGAGAAAAATAAAAAATATACAAGGAGACTGAACCAAACTTTGAACTTTCTTTACAGGAGCTTCTCACACAGCTCCGTATAAAATCTCATTTGGACTTGGATTCAAGGAGAATACAACTCACTTTCTTGTACAATATATTGCACAAATGTTATGTCTACAAATAAAAGCGTGTTCATATTAATAAAAATACTACACACAGACTCACAAAGGTACTGTATGATTCTGAGCTGTCATGCTAAGCAAGACAACAAAAAAGGACCAAAACCTGAGAAAGGACACATTTTCAACAGGTTTCTACCATATTAACTTTTGTATGTTATTACTGCATTAAAATTCAGGGGGGAAAATTCAGTTTTTGTTTTCTGATTCAGGTAGATGATGAGTAACATGTCATGTGATCAGCTTTTGAGAAAGCTGCAATTATAGTAACGACTTTATGTAGAAAAAAAAGAAAATTTTGACATTAGTGCAACCGCCAGAGTTGAAGAAACATTGATATTAAATTCATAATGCAGTAAGAGTTATTTAAGACAAGCTGGTATAGAAATATTACAGCACTATACGATGTATTATATACTCCTACAATATAGTTATTTACATATTTTGTCTATATTTACTCACAGGGTCTGACTGTTTGTTATTTGGGTCCAAAAAAAGTTCATAGCTTCTTTAAAAACAAAAACTCAAACTAAACTGAAGAAAACATTCAGCTATAAGAAATAACGTTTAGGTGGTTCTGAGTCTTCACAGTCATTCTGCTGTTTCTCATTCACGTATTAAGTGTCAGGCTGCCTGATCTGCACAGATTTCACTGTGTGGGAGTCCGCAGAGCTGGCGGAGCAGCCTGGTCATGTATGGAGGAGGCTGCAGCTCCACATCTCTTCACATGGAGGTGTAATTAGCTGTGCCAGCAAACCCCCCCTCACTCACTCCCACCCCCACTCCCCCCTACACAGACAGGCCTGCCTTTTTAATGGAAAAACAAACAAAAGCAGAGCAGCCATTACTGCTGCTGAAGCATCCATGTAGGAGATAAAATAGATGCTTTTACCTGCCTGAGTGAGCTCCTAATTTGAAGCTCAAAGCAGAATAAATAGAGTGTAAGAGCTTGTTAGCATTCAGAGATCCCATAGATTTGATAAGTGAGACACACCTCGCATATAAAGTATGTAAGTGATCTATTTTTATCCAAGCATCTGCTCACTGCTTTGTTTTGTTAGAGGCCTAATCGCAGAGCTGGCGGTCTGTCAGAGCGGAGCAGCAGGATTTGCAGAGTAGGCTACTTACGTAAGAAGACCTCCAGGAGCAGACATGGACCTCTCTGCCCGTCTGCCCTGACACTCAAAGGGATTACTGAAAGAGCGCTTCCTCAGCATGGACTTTACCAGGATCTGTAGAGGACATTAAGAGGGAGGAGGTACACTAACGTCCTCCAATCACATAGAAACAAAGAAATACACACTTTGACAAGGTTTAATCTGTATTTTTAAAAAAAAAAATCTGAAATCTTGTTTTGAATTTAATCAGATTAACTCGTTTAAGACAAGTGTATGATTGTTGTTCCTGCTGGGTAAGTGCTTTTTGTGAAACCATTGCAAATAATTTTCTCCCAGTGTTGTAAAACTGAAGTTATCCTTAAAATTCATTATTTTGTTTCCGAATTTTCATAGATTTTTATTTAAAATTCACAAAGTGTTCAAGCCTAAAGCCTCTGAACACTTTTATAAACATTTTAACTCAACTGAGTTTGTTGAAGTTAGTTTGATGGGAACGGCAGTCCTTTTAGATGTACTGAATCATTAGAATCAGTTCACTAAAAAGATTCGTTCAAAAGATTTGTTCACCAAATCACAGAATCATTCAGCTGGAGAAGCCTGTGACTCCGATCTCCTGAACTGATACTCAGCTGAACGGTTCAGGATCCGGTTCAATTCATAGCTTCTGGGACCAGGAGATGAGAGTGTTTGGGTGTGTTGCTTTGAAAAACAGGTTTGTAAAAATTAACTTGTTTATAAGTCATGATGTTTTAAGTGTACTGTCCTATGGTATGCTATTTATCAGGTCTGCTCAGTAAGTTGGGCTTAGTGAGTGATTCGTTCACTGAATGTTTGGAAGAATTCAAACTGAACATTCACCGTTCACTCGCAAACCGCTGCAAAGATACGATGTGCAAGTTGTTGTGGTGGCAATTTAGCAGTGAAAAAAAAGATAGTTTTGACCGACAAAAATTATTCCAGAGAGTGTAGTTCAATGGGTGATTAGTTCACCGAGTGATTCAGGGGTAGGTGCATGCGGTCCCTCGGTCGCTGGCTGCTGGCCTGGCAATGCTGTTTCTCACTTCACCTCAAATGAAGTGAGAAACGAACTAATCACTTGAGGAAGTAATTTGGTTCAGTACGTTCACCTAAAAGATTCGGTTCATTTGAACGGATCCTTCACGAATGACACAACACTAGTTGTAGTTTGTAAAAATTACCAAAATCTGCAGAAATATCACCTTGTGCTCACACTTGTTAAAAGTACTAAATAAGTCTAAATAAGGACAGCTATATTGATAAAAGAGAGAATGAGAAAATGAGACTTTTTCCTGAGACAGATTTGGGCACTAACGGGTTAACTCACTGGTTAACTGTAACCTCCCCTGTTCACTTACCCTGATATATTAACACTGAAGTCCCACATGTTTTACTGCATCAATAAGATTGCTCTTATTGAGTCCGACAGCTCACCATAGTAGAGAGGCTGGTGATGAGTTTGACGCTGTTCTGCACCTCCTCCTCAGTCACCTCCACCGCCGTGCAGTGCTCCTCCTCCAGAGGGAGAGGGTTGGAGCCGTCCTCTGTCACCCACGGATGGAGCTGTCAGAGCACGGACACAGAAAAGCACAGTTTGTTTTTAGAGAAAGTTACACAGGTAAAATAAAAAAAAGAGTAAAGTTTGTTCTGTTGTCACCTTAATTTTCGGGATGGTGATTCTGGTTACGGGGTTTTTATCCAGCATCCTCTCGATGAGATCCTTCAGGTCGTTACTTATCGTTGGCCTGTAGAGGAAGTTAAACAGGACTTACCTAGGACTAATCTTACACATGCTTATAAGGAGTATTCTGGTGTTTGCATCTTCTGCGGCACATTTAAAAATAAGTTTTGTTTGTATTTTTGTCTGTGCATCATGAGCAAAATCATCTGCTGCTCGGCGTTGCTTTCACCCTCTGGAGAAATACTAACTCTGCAGCAGTCCCTCCTCTCTGTGGATCAAAAGTGAATGAACTGAATCTGATTTTTACAACCAGCTGTTTTCTTACGTCTCTGGAAACTCCACCGGTTTGTTCTTGATCTTGTTGTGCAGAGCGACGATATACTCATCGTAGAAAGGGCACTGCAACAGTTCAGAAAGAAATCCAGTCACTCAAACGTTGGTTTTGTTTTGTGAGATGCACTTTGCTGCAAACCTGCTTACCTTCCCAAAAACAAAGCAGTACAGTGTGACTCCCATCGCCCACACATCCAATGCCTGGTAAACAGAGTCATAATCAGGGCTGTGCTCTCGGCAGGCAGCAGCAGGACATAATTTATAGACAATTTCTCTCAGTTTGTACTCCACAGGTTGTTTAATTTCTTGTTCATGTGAGGCTGAAGTTTCTTCTCACCTTCCCGCTGAAGCTCTGCTCGTACTCGGTCATCATTTCTGGGGCCATGAAGGCCGGCGTCCCCGCTGTGCTGGACAGGAGGGCGTCAGTCCCCTCAAACTCGTTACTCACTCCAAAGTCCGCAATTTTAACGTGACCGTCGTCCCCCAGGAGCAAATTCGAGGGTTTGATGTCTCTGTGGACGATCTTGTGGTAGTGCACTGCTCAAGAGAAGTCAATATGTGAGTTTTACTGATTAAACGCAACTAAAGTCATGCATGAGTTTAAAACAAAGATTAATATAAGAGCAGTAATTGACCAAACTTACAGTACTCTATTCCCAGGACAACGTCTCTGAAGTGAGTGCGAGCCTGCTCCTCTGTGAAAGGATCGTCTGTGGGTACTTCCATCACCGGCCTGACCGACATGAAGAAGAGGAGGAAGAAGAAAAGGTAAAGGTTTTATGAATCACACACTCGATGGACGGGCTAGAGTGCTAGCTTTGAAACATGAAAAGACCCATAAACGCACAGAAACATACCCTTTTGTCATCAACTCGAAGGCTTGAGGGCAAAAATCACACTTGAGTGAAACAGAAGTGATCAAATTAAAATTGCTGCAGAAAGATTGATTAGGTTCATACCCATATGGAGTCCGTCTTCATCCGGATCATCAAGAACCTGCAAGACACATTAAAAAGCTCCAGTGAGGAGTTTTTATCGTATGATCATCAGCATCAAGACTCACAATCAAGTTTTAGTCAGGAGACGCTCCCTACACAAGATCGGCAAAAGTGATCAACATAAACCAGACATTCCTCACAGGAGCTTTAAATCAGTTTATATCCTGTACAAATGAATAAGTCCGGTTTTCAATGCAACCCTTTAAAGTCCTATTCCGATTGTTTTTTTTTTTTACTACTTAAAGTGTTCTTAGTGGTCTTTAAATTATGTTTATGAAGTTTTAGCCAAAACTGTGTTACCTGTGTCTCATTTTCAAGGACTTTTCTTCTGTAGCTCATTAGCAATTCACCTCTGAGTCGTAGGCAGACTAGCATGAAGACAAGTGGGCAGAGACAGCGCTGCTCTGCACACTCGTCTTCATGCTAGCTTGCAGCCTAACACTGTCGGTGTAGTAGAAGTGGCAGGTAACATAGGAGCTATTCAGCTCTCGCACACTAATGTCTTTAGGGGTATGATGAAAGTTCACAATTAACTTTCTAACAAACATCACACAAACCATCTGCTAACGCACATGCTTGTTCCGCGATCATCCTCTCCATTTCTCTGAGTCGGGCCTGCATATCGGGGCTCTGGGGGCGGAGCTTGGATTTGCTATGTAGGAAATCTCACTGTATCTGAACCTGCTGATTGGGTCTGCCAGAAGCGATGGAATACGAAAAAACTCAGAAATACAAATTTTGCACTTTGTTTTTTTTTCATGATATGTCCTTTAGTGTCAGAAAAATGCCGTATGAACATGTAGACAACAAGAAGATGTAGACTCCACCGACACCTAAAAAACTTCTCAATTTTATTCCTGATGGTCTTGTTTGCTTTTTTATATCATTAAAGGCATCAGTATAAATTTCAGTCTATGTCACTAATGTAAAAAAACCTCAAACTGGTTTCGAGGAGCAGACGAATGACTGACCTCCACCAGTTTAACCACATTATGATGGTCCAGTTTCTTCAGGATGGCGATTTCTTTGTACACTTTCTCCAGAGGCAGCACAGCTTTGGGGTACGGATCCTGTGGATAGTTTGATCCCTGAGGCGAGGGGCGGCCTGAAATTAAACACAAAATCAATGAGACAAGAGAGCAGGATGATCTTTAAATGCTGAAATGTTGTTGCTACTCACGGAAAAATCCACACTGCTTCATGAGCCTCTTTTTGGAGACAACTTTCATCGCCTAGATTTAAGAAATGAAGAATATAACACTCAGTTGTACAAACATGTAAAACCTCTGAGGATAGACAGTATCTTTAATTCTTCTTACATAGTACTGCTCAGAGTCTTCATTATAGGCCAGCCTCACCACGCCGTATGAACCCTGTGGAGTAAAAATAAGCGTTTTATAAATTCTCTGCCGTCACTTCTGTCTCAAGACACATCATCAGTTTCCATGAATCACCTTTCCGATCTCTTTTTTCAGCTTGTACTGGTTGAGCTGAACACATTCCTGCAGAAAACCAACAGAGAACTGAATCAAGGACACATCACTCTGTTCAATCCTCTGCTGAATAAACTCAAACTGAGCAGATTTCACTGAGCATGATGTGAAGTCTCCTCACATCACCGTCTGTGATGGACACACGTTTGGTCTCGATGGTGGGCTGTCGGGCCATGCGGCTCCCCCTCTCCTGCAACGACAGCTTCCTGTCTGAGAACCGAGCCCTCTGGGCGCTCACGGTGGACCTCGGGGTTCCTGACCTGTAGCCGTTAGGAGGGGTCACACGGTTGGCGGCCACGTTCATGGCGGCTACAAGGTCGGCCAGCTCGCAGTTGTGCTCCGAGTCCAGGCCGTTGTGCTCCGAGTCCGACTCGGTTCTGCAGTCGGTGTCTGCACTCATGGTGGTCGGTTGTGTTTCGCTCACAGCTGAACTGTCCATCTTGGAGGAGGCAGCAGAGGAGGCATCACTGCACTGAGACGTTAGACAGAAAAGCAGAGACATCAGACTGATCTTTAATGAACAGAATTTATTTCAGGGAAGAGATTTTTTTAAATGATGTGTCTCCAGCTTCAAATTCTATAAAGGCAATTACAGGGTTAGACTGTCTACATGAATCACTAACATTTACCAACAGTCACCAAAGTGTGACCGTGTGAGCGAATGAATGATGTATCCAATGTAAAGCGCTTTGAGGGTCTCTGATAAAGCGCTATATGAAATCTGATGCATTATTATTATTATTATTATTTACATATCATGTTGTAAATCTCATAAAAACTGCAGAAGAGCCTTAATTTGTGCACAGACACACATATATAAACCTCCTTTTGCAACCGAGGACCAGTTACTGCTGAGTCTGTTTTTCAGTCTGAGATTAGGATGATATAATCTACCAACAATCTGCTGCAGACTCAGATTATTATTCTGCCCTCGACTGAGAAGGTCTGCCATGAGTGTGGCTCAGACTTGTGATCAGGAGTCATGTCTTTTATAACCATTAATCATTCACTGGTCTGTCAGACTCTCTGTTCTGTATTTAGTTCTTTGTGCTTTTATCACATTGAGTATTTTGGAGATTAACACTGAAAAAAACCTTCTCATGGTGCAGATCAGAGTTTTTTTTAACTTTGTTGATTTGTCTGCTTCACAAAATCAGCGGCTTTCATAAAGTTTTAAGTAAACAAATAAAACAGATAAAGAAAAGCAAAACTTAAACTAATGTGTGACTGAATCGACTTAAGAATCACAGTCAATCAGACAATATAAGTACAACAGATTTCAGATTGAAAGCTCCTGTGATGACTTTTCAAAGTGTGTGATGATCTGAAGTTAAACAAAACGAAAAAGACCCAAAATGTAGAACACAAAAAAGGATTTATTTTAAAATAACCAAATGAAAAGCAACAAAAACTTACTTTAAATGTCCAACAGAAATATTCTCAAAGGCAAAAACAAAACAAAAAAAACACAAGAGGCAAAATCCAAAGAACCAAAAATCACTGGGGCAAAAAGAAAGATAGGCACACAGAGACATCGACATACAACACACACAATGAACCATCCAGGACAGAGGGAAGACAGAGACTATATAGACTCTGGGAAACGAGCAACAGGTGAGGCAGACGAGACACAGAATGAAATGAAACCGTAAATAACCTAATAATATCAACCCCAGAAATTAGTGTTTTTTGTTTACAAACTATTACGCAGACCAGGCTGACTTTTGGTTTGACAACTTCATTTTCTGTAAAGTACACGTTAACTCTTGGATTTCTTTTCCCAGAAGCTCTTTTAATACAAAAAAAAGGCTGTTTGTCTTTAATGGATGATAGATTTTGGAATGTTAACATGTGTCTCATAAATTGAGTAAATTATTACACAACCTTTAAGTCTCACAGCATCCAGGCTGCAGCTAAAAACCTGCTAAGAGTCAGACTCCTGCTCCTCCATGTTGGGTTTTCTTCAGCAGATGATGGTACAACTATCAGAAGTCTGACTTTCATTGGAAATAGAAATGAAAGGAAATGGAAAACCTCACCTTTGATACGAGTCTCATGGCAGGTAATAGAAAACAACTCTGAGTTGCTTGAAAGAGCAACAGTGAGTTGTTGCCAGACTCCTGAAAAGCCTCTTACGTAACAAGGTGGAAAGCTTTAATAAGCTAATAAATTACTTAACAAAAACAGACATGAGACTCCTTCACTAAAAATGTACGTTTTAAACACATCTGCTTCTTTGTGATGTGCAAACCTCTCTAGAAATATGAGTCAAACTAAAAAAATTATCACTACTGAGCAGAAAAATCCAAACTATCATCTGAATCTTCCCAAAACATGACAGTCAAAGATCAAGATGAAATATGAGGTACATGTTGTTCTGGACTCACCCAGTGGAGGTGTCCTGCTGAGTTGCGGGCTGTCTACTGTCATCTTTGTGTTGTCCTGCAGATCTCAGGAGGGAAAGTCCTTTGTGTCTCAGTGCTGGACTTTGACTGACAGGCAGGAAGGGAGCTCTGCAGCACTCGTCTTTAAGGATTAACTCAGGCCACATATAGCCGAGTTATTCTGAGGCAGGCTGGCAGTGCAGTGGTTATCTGCTGAGCAGGCTCCTGCGGCAGCTGCACATCATGTGAAAAAACAAGATCCTACACAACACATCAAAGTTAATATACAAACTGTTTTAATCACAAAATAAAAGTTTGTCTGCTGAGTGAAATGTTGACAAAAACAGATATTTAATCCATGGATGTGTAAACCCCTCATGCATCCACAAACCATCACAGATGTTGGCTTTTGGATGCTAACTTTAGATTGAAAGACCACAGAACAGTTTTTCACTTCACATCAGTTCATGCTAAAGAGGCTCAGAAGTTATTAAAGTGAAGGCGGCAACAAACTGTGTTCACAGATGGTGGTTTTTAAGTGATTTGGAGCCTGTGCAGTGATTTCCACTACAGTCATGTTTGATTTTAGAGCCCAAAGATCAGAGCCATCAAGTACTACCAACACCACTACCACTACTTGTACTATTAATAATGATAATAATAATAATAATAATAATAATAATCTGTTTATCTGTTTCTTCATGCTATTGTTTATTTTTCTCTTAAACAGACAGCTCGTTCTTCTCCCTGATTCCACTTTTCTGAGTATAAAAAGATACAGAGGTGTCATTCTTGGTCATATTTTTATAGTTTTGTTGAATTTTGCTTTGATTGCTAAAATTGTATTTTTCACCTGCTCAAGAACTCCCCAAAATCTGCACATGCCAGAGAAAAGGTGGTGACGCACCTATACGCACTCGCAGCCTCGGCTAGATGTTTCAGCTTGCTCAATGGTCGTTCATAACTTGTTCTAATAAGTTTAAAACAATCAAAGTTCTGTATATGGATATGCCAATCCTTATTCTTTTTGCACAATAAACCAATAAATCAAAACCAAAAACCAGCCGCCAGCCAAAAAAACAAAAGCCTGAACCAATTAGTGGACACCGTAAATATTCTTTTTGCACCACACAGAAAAAAAATAATTTATCGCCAGGTGAGCTACACAATCTTTGTACACCCATAGGCTGTATCAGGTGTCAATTATAGAAAACATGAACTCCCTAATAACTTTTAAAAATGGAACTGCACAAAAAAAAAAGAGGACTTGAGCACAAACCAGTCTTACAGTAACTACATGTCAACATAAGCAGGGGGGGAAAAAAATTATATTCTGTGAAATAAATTTCTAAAGTTTGTCCACAGCTCCATAGAGATTGCTGGAGGAGGCGGGTTTTATGACCTATACTGCAGCCTGTCACCAGAGGGTGCTGTTCACCCAGTGAGGAGGCAGATGGCATCCATTCTATATACAGTCCATGGTCAAGACATTTCAACTCAAAATGGGTTTCCGGTTTAGAGAAGCGGTTAAGATACTCACCACATCTTTACACATAGAGGCTGAAGTTCCTGTTGCAGCCGGTTGCTGGTTCGACTTCTGGGGGAGTCTGCACTGGATTTAATGCAGTTTTTCTCCTTGCAGTTGTGCTATGGATTAAGGCTCCAAAGAAACGATGGAAAAGTACATCAACAAGCCAGTGTTCATTTACAGTCACAGCGCCCTCTACTGGCAACATGAAACCCCCTTTTCAGTCATTCATAGATGCTTACATTTGCAGCTTGTGAGTGTCTGAGACTGGTACTAAAATCTGACAGTAAGCGTAGAAATGAAAGCCCTCTGCAGATTTGTGCACATAACAATTGTGTCTGATAAATATTGTCTTTACTGCAGAAGTTAGTTTTCTTTTTGCTGGTCAGATATGAGTCTAAAAGTAATTTTCTGCTTTTCTGTAACAGATGATGGAAGCATGAAAACAATTAGATCTTACACTCATGGGATTATGAAGCCCAGATCAGCTCTAATGTGGTATAAAATAATGCTTATTTTGTGTTTGGCAATAATGGGTCACTGGCCAACAATGCTGCCGGATAACTTGAATTCCTTTGCGCAACATATCAGGATTTTTGTGTTGAGGAAACGATTGAGTGTTAAATCAACACAAACACTCAGGGAGATCGAGAAGTAGGCTACTCAGCAGATTTAGAGAAAGTGCTTCCTGGTCCTGCCACCCTCCACTCTTTGAGACCAGAACAAAAATGCCCATCAAGACCACCAGTTTTTAGTTTCATACAGTTAATGAAACCCTTCCAGCTGTTCCTCTGACGGTGCAGCAGGACAACAAAAACATCAAGACAATCTCCAATCCTGTCTCAGAAAGAGGTTTCTGCTTTTAAACCTGGAGCAGCACACTAATAAGCAATGCATCCATGTGGTGACTTCTACTGGATTTACATAAACCGTACAAGCAGAAGGCCTGACAAGTTTAGGACATGTGATGTTATTTGTTTCAGAGAGGAAACTGGATGAACAGCTACAGCAATAAAACAACAGGATATAAAACCACACATAATAAAATTGAATAAAAACACACGTAATTACATGTTATTTGTTATTACAGCTACACGTTACCAGTTTATTTTATTGGATTTTCCTGGTCAGATGATTAGTACTGTTTTCAGATATTATTGATGCTGAATGAAGAGTCTTTGTGTTTTGGGCTATTTGTGTAGAAGAAAAAAGTCATAAAGAAACATCACTGAACATTTCTCAAACTTTTATATTTCATTTTTCATGTTTTATGTGCAAAAATTATGAAAGACTTTAATGATTTATTCTATGTATGAGCCAGAGATTTATTTATCTGTCACTACTATCACATTTCAGTTTCACGCTCAGTTCATGAAGGAAATAAACACCTCTAAAAGTGATTCGTCGTTACTGTAACATCGTAACAAACATTTAACACATGTGAGGGAACCGGTCCTGCCAGATGACTGCGGCGACAAACAACAACACCCATTTTAAACAGCTGATTGCTTAGAAAGTAAAGGAATCAGTCATTTTATGTGCTTGGAGCATATTTGTGTTTCCTCGAGATGGATGAATCGAGGAAATAATCAGCTGGTTCAGTGTTTGGATTACCGCAGGAAGTTTGATTACCCAATAACACCAGATATTTGTAGTTTAAGAACAATTTCACAGCAATTTGAATCAAATAAAATAAGGGATCTGGTGGGATTATAACCTTTTTTGTTTAATTTCTATCATGTTGACCAGACTTTAAATTTTTAACTATGTAAAGAAGACAATCTGTGTTCTGCTTTCCTCTTGCATTGATTTTACCACTCTAAAATAAAAACAACACTGCTCGCATTATTGTAAAATCTGTAAGAAAAATCTTCTCCTGCTCACTTTTAATAAAGTAAAAACAAACATATCTGCTTTGAAATTTTGTGCGTTAAATCTCTCAAGCTGAATCTTAACAGGTCATAAAATCTCTAAAAGTAGAGACCTGGTAAAAACTCATTATATTGGGTTTATTCATCAGCAATAATGACATACGATGATCAATAATAATAATAGGGAACATTAATTGCATCCCTTTGCCCTAAAATTAAAATTCAAAAAGATTTTCTTTTTTTTCCCATGATCATTAGAAGTCGAAAGTTGAGTTGAAATCAGATTTAAAAACCAAGTGAAGTTACTGTGCCTACCCACAGCACTGTATAACCCTGTAAAACCCTTCCACAGAGGGGTAAGACTCTGAAAACAGGCCGTTTCACAAAAGACATTTGGTCAAAATAAGAAAAGCTTGAGTGTAAATCCTTAAATCAGAGACGGCTCTGTTCTGCGGAGTGTCCCAGTAAGTCCTGTAAGTCAGGGAGCAAACACCACTCCAGGAGCCTGAACCTGAACCAGCTCATTTAACATTCAACACCTCCACGTCTTCTTTTTAAATATTTGAATGTTCTACAAGTCAGCAGAAGTTTCACACAAATCACCTCTGCTGCTTTTCTTCTGGGTACAGCCTCCTCAGTGAGACTCACGTGCCGTTTTCTTCTCCCTGAGGAGGAACAGGTTTGAACCAGCAGAAGCCGTAACTAAACAGTTCCTCAAAGGCACGTGCTTCTCTGTGCTGTCTGTCCTGTATTTGACACAGTGAGAAACACCTCCCCTGTGCCAAACCAGCTGTCAGACAGGTCAGAGCGGAGACTCCCAGGACTGCTGACATCTAATCACAGCTCTCTTAATCTGCTCGAAGCTCACAAACATGACAATGTTCCAGGAGCCCAGACGGAGAAAAGATGGCACAAATCTAGAAAGAGGATGAGAAGAAGTGATGTTGTAACTTCTTTATTGTTTTGACTCTTATTAAAATTCCTCTTTTGCGACTAAGACAACATACCCCTTATAGAAAGCTGTAGGCCCCTCCTTTATCAGCATGGTGAAGGCACAATTCAAAGCACCGCTGTACTGCCCTTGTACTGAATTCATGTAGCGTGTTTTCACCACATCCACTGGAGACGCTACGATGGTGGTGCAGAAACCTGCTGCGAAGGCCGCTGTGAAGTGACACGGCATGTTGTCTGTGGACAACAAATATTTATTGAGTAATTAGGGGTCATTAAAAAATTAAAAGAAAAATAAAAAACAGCGAGAAAGAGTGTGCAAGGTTTGCTCACCTGTCATGAGGTCGTACTTCAGGATTTGCTCTTTGATAATGTCATAGGTCACCAGCTCGGCACAGTTTACGATGGCATTACGAGTGATGTTTGGTAGGCAACCTTAATATTTGAAAAGATATAATTATACGATATGAACCTTAAAAAAATCCACATAACAAATCCACAACAGCTGAACCATAGCAGATAAAAAACAGTTAAAATAAGTACAAATAAGTTATTGATTGTGCATATTCCTCTTCCTTGTGGAAAAACTGCTGCCTACATTACCCAAAATGCAACATTATTACTATCAGAGGTTCTATTGTGTGTTATGCCAGTGTGGCTTTCAGAGGTATGTTTTGCTAGACTGTGTAAAATGATGGACGACAAGACAAGTCCTCAAAAGTGAAGACAAAACGTTTGATGCTCCTTGTAACTCACTGGCTGTAGTGTAGCTTATGAAGCCCGACCTTCTCCATGTGAACAGATGGGACATGAGCCTGAGTTTAAACTCAAACTACATGCCAATGTAATTTTTCTCAATCATGTTTTCGGCTCTAATCATTAGGATTTTATTTCAAACAATAATTTAAATCAGTTATTTAATGCTAATAATAAGGTGTGAGTGGGTGGGCGCAATGGTTGAAAGCACTGCAATGTCAGCATTCGTCGTGTGATTATGGAGTATTCAAGTTCATTATTTAACTAAACAGTTGTTGCATAGACATGATGTTGATGTTTGGAGTCCTTCTGTGGTTTTAGAGTCACACTCGTCATAAATTCAACAATACTTTAAAATGCTGTCACGTACCTTTCCAGAGTCCTTTGAAGCCTTCGTCCCTGGCTATGGTCTTGTAGGCTTCAATCGTACTGTTGTACCTCTTCACCGAGCCGTTTTCAGGTAGGCGGACCTGAGCCTGAAACCTAACCTTCACCACATCAGTGGGCTGGGCGAGGGCCACCGCCATCGCTCCTGTGGTGCAGCCCGCTAGCAACCGGGTCCCGATTCCTACATCTGTGATACAACCAATGAGTATTAAACATTTAATCAATTTTAGTTTTAAGCAAGTTGACACAAATACCAGGAAAAGTTTAAACAACAGCACATAACTTCTGATTTTAGAGTGTCATTTAGGCTGTGCCTGGACAGAAGGATGTTGTTTACAATGACTAAAAAGTTAAAAGCAAACCCTGCAGCTTGTTGTCTTAACTGGTTTTACTTGTTTTCTACAAGAAAATGGGACAGTGGATGTAGGATTCAGCTCTAGACTTGACTGATGTGTAAAGATAATGACACTGTACTGATGGATGTGTTGTAGGTAAGCCCCCGGCATAAACACACATCTGTTCATGGAAAAGGAATCTGCCCTGTGCTCTATATATCTTCCATCTTCCTGGAGCTGAATTTCTGTCAAACCAGTTCTGACGTTGATCTGTAAAGATTTGCATTCACGTATACTTTCTGTTTGCAGCAACATGATCAGGATTCTTATTTTACTACAACCTTATGTAGTTTGTTTCTGACATGTAGGGGCAGTGCGGTCTCAAAGTACTCCCTTAATAGATTGATATACTGTAACTGGTCAGAGCAACCCATTAAAGTGTTGTGTCTACATGATAGAAATGCCTAATTTTACACATAAATATGGTTACAGCTAAGAGAAAATAATCCAATACTTTATTGCCACTGTAATTATCTCATAAACAAAGTCACAAAAAGTACCTCAGCTTGTGTACGATTATATATAACCACTAGAAAAAATGGTTACTGCTCTGAACTTGCTGATAAAAATAGATGTTATGATTATTTAAACGGCATATTTATCAATCTGTTAAAACATTTAAACACATACTCTCTGAGCCCCTGGTGTAGAACTGCTTCATGGTGTCGTACAGGCCGATACGGACTGAAGCAAAGCTCATCTGTCTCTGCAGTCCCGCCACCAGCCCACTGTACAGGCTGGTCGGACCCTCGGTCTTCACCATGGTGAAGATGGTGCCAAACACGCCTCTGTATTTCGCCCTCTGGCCTCTGATGAGGGGCTTGGCTTCACCCTGAATCTGGAATATATTGAATGAATGTTAGATATGGAATTTAAAAATGACATTTGCTCTTCTGTTTACACTGAGCAAAATTCAGTATTTAAGCTCCAGAGATAAGTAACCTCGAACTGCGTGAAGTCTGGTATTCAACATACAAAATAAAGTGACATAGCTGCAAAAGACCAGGTAGAAAAATAGGACAAAAAACAAATGTTTTCAAAGACCAGCTACTTGTTTGAATTTGAGTCACCTCTGACCCTTTGTTCGCTCACCTGCAGTCTGACTTTGGCTGTGTCCAGGGGGAAAGTGACCAGATCAGCCACACAGCCAGCAGTTCCAGCTGAAAAGACCTTAACAGCAGCTGAAGGGGTCACATCTGTGCTCTTGAAACCAACCATGGTAGAAAGGATCAACAAAGTTTTACCAATAAAAAAATTAACCAGGAAAAGACAGATCTCCTTCTGTCCGTGTCTGCAGATTAAATGCTGCTATTAAAAATAATTCATCACAATAAAAATACGTCCCCTCATGGCAGATCCAGATGGGCAACAACCAGCGTCAAGTTTCAGGTATTGAAAAATGAGTCCTTTGACAGCCAAATCTTTTGGTGGAGTCACAAGCCATAGAAAAACTCCAAACTATCATGTCACTTCAAAATGCAAGAAAAAAAATAAAGGAAAACACAGCAACTGTCTGTCTGTCTGCCTCCTCAAATAACTGCGCGGCAACTTAAACAGCCGGCAGCAAAATGAGAGGCGGTGAGCAGACAGATTGCTGAGTTAGTCCAGCCTCTTCTGCACTTGTTGACTCTTTTTAAGGAGCTGCACCGCCCTCAAGGAAAACCCTCCATGCACAAGCAGCGAGGCAAGACAGTGCCACAAACTGCAGCTCCTTGACTGGCTGCTGAAGGCCTGCTCCAGAAGTCTATAGCAGAAACACACTTACAGCCAAGTACAAGAAAGTTTTAGTTTACTATCATGACAAGACATTGAAAGAGTTAAGAAAATCACACTTCACAAAATCTAAAGAGAAAGGCATTCAGTTTTTAAAACAGTAAAGAATTGATATTTATTTATAAAAATACAAAATTTACAGTAAATTTACATGATCTCTTTTTCTTTTATATCCAGCTGTGATCAGAAATGCGAAACAAATCAAGGTTACTCCTAAGCGTTGTCAAAGTGAGCAGCAAATATTTTTGCTATCCGCTCAGTCTCTTTCCTCATGGATGATGGCGACATGTTGGGACGCCGTCTAGGACCATGGCGATGTGACCTGGAGCTTGAACCCTAAAAGAAAAAAAGATTTGATGAACCTTTTTTCTTAAAACACTGCTTCACTATAAGAAAGATGCACTCAAACATACATCACAAGGTGTGTCTGAAAACAAACACTCACAGTCGAGGGTTAACACTGATTTGAAAAGGTGATGTCGTCACCTCTCACGCAGGCCAATCCTGTTAATGTTTAAGTAAATGATGTTCAGCACTATTGTTGGTGGCATCAACTACAAAACCCCACCTCACGCTGCAGCAGCTACACCTGAATGTGCTTCACTGACACACCTTCAGTCAGTCAGGATGCATTATGGCAGGTGTGACATAAAAAAACAGAAAAACATGTCCATCTGTACAGGAGATCAGGAGCTGTAGAATCAACAAATGAAACCTTGGTAACACTTTACTTGACGCATATCTCTATAACACAGTATTAATATATGTAAAATGTGTTATAATCATGTTATAGCACCCTAAACATAATTTATCATAATGCTTTATAGCAATAATCATAACACATTATAAAGCATTTTATCATAACTTACAAGGTCAGGTATTATAATGTGTTATAGTTGTTAACAACTCACTAACAATGCCCACATAGATAATGTAATGCGACTGTTGTTAACAGTTATAACACATTATAATACCTGACCTTGTAAGTCATGATAAAATGCTGTACAGTGTGTTTTTATTATTGCTATAAAACATTTTGATCATTTATAAGAGTTTATAACTATAGTTATACAGTGCTATAACATGATTATAACACATTATATATATATTAATAATGTGTTACAGAGATAGGTGTCGAATAAAGTGTTACCGCAACCTTTAATCACTCAAACTGATCACCAGGTCAGTGTGAGGAAATCACACTGATAGTTAAAGGCAGCTCACTTGACAACAGATTGGGATTGTTTTCTGGTGTTTTTTTTTGCAGACTGGGTCAATCTTACCTCCTGATTATGCAATTTAAATGTACAGTTTTACCTTTCTGTATTGCTTACTTTTGTACATCTGAGTTACAATGAGTCATAAAAGCCAGTAAAATTGCCAAGTCTTAAACTTACAGCAAGTTTCATCATTTTCAAAGTTCCCAATCCAAGTTTGATGGATTGATGTTTGTGTTGAAGGAAACGTACGACGCATTAAGGCTTTTAGTAGGTGTGCATAAGTAACATTCTTCAGTAACATAAACTATCTACCCTTTTAATTATAAGGTTAACCTGTTTAAAAATGAGCAGTTACCAGTCTGGTGTTATTATGAAACAGCATTTCCCAGATGCCTGAGCTCTGATCGTTGGAGTCATTTTCTCTTATGTTTTGTTCTCGCAGTAAAACAGGCGCAGCAGACCTTCGGTTACATCACTGCAGTGTCCATAAATAGAGCGCACCAAAGGTGACAGATGGGACGTACACACACACATTACTCGTCTGTTCTTAAGACTGTTCCAACTAGTTTGTTAGCTCTTTTCAAAGAAAGCTGCGAGCCAGATGTGACATACTGAGAAAACGTGAAAAAGGAAACACATTAACACTGAAGAGGAGGGCAAGTGAGGGCGGAGAGAGGGCATGTTTACGACTTCAGTGTAATCAAAGGATAGGACAAAGTACATCCAATGTATACACACACTCTATAAAAGTATGTGCAGGATGTAAAAGGAATATTTGCCCATGTCAGATTATATAACAGGGGTGGAAGCTGTCCTGTTATAAGAGTCAAATTACAGCCAACATAAACTTGAACACATTGTCACTTTTCTCTTCACATAAAACCTGAAGCGATCCATGTTAACGCCCTGATTCTGAGGACTGAAGATGGGAGCAGGTTGACAGATACTTACTGGGTCAGTGGACGAGTGAGAGAAAGACGGAGCTAAGCGTATGGCTCTCATGGAGGCTTCTAGTTGTTGAGAAGGCAGGAAGAAATTTGGGACCTCCACGGGGACGGAGCTGCGTGTAGATTGTTAAATAAAATAACAAGGAAAGACTGACTTTAATATTTATGAAAGAGAGAAAAGTTCCTATTAGATAACCTCCTCCAGCAAACAGATTCCCCTCACTCTGAGCTTAAGGTTCATTTTTACACGACCTTCTGAAGGTGGCATCTACAGTAAGACAGAGAAACAGAGGTCAAGGATACGGTTTAGGAACAGTTTCTTCACTGTCCTGAGCGTCTCCAGCCTCATGAGTATCTGTGATGGGCTGTGATGGACTCTTCTCTTCAGAGCTGTCAGGTTCTTCTCCTATTTCATGTAAATTTTGAGAAGTCCTTTCATCGTCTCTGTCTGAGTCTGAACCGTCTCCCGCTGATCCGTTACAGCTTCCACCACTCTGTCCTCTCTCCTCTCCTCTGGCACACTCCACTTTCGCACAACAACCGCCAGTTTGCCGATTCACCCTCTGCCATTTTTCTTCCTCTTCTTGGCTCTGATCTGACTCCTCTGATACCTCCAAGCTCTGAAGAGAAACCAGGTCAGGGTCTGACAGGACGCTGGTCCACGGGCTGGTTTTGTCTGTTAAAGAGGTCATTTCATTAAGAGGCCTGGGCTTCACCACCTCCTCCTCGTAATCTCCATCCTCCTCCTCCTCCTCCTCCTCCTCCTCCTCCTCACCAACATTATCAGCTTCTTCATCCCTTCTGTGGTGTGTCCTGTCTTCATCTGATCCATCTATATTTTCACGCTCAGACACAGAGGCCTCGCTGTCACGGCTGTCCTTTTCCTCCTCACACTCAGAGCCTGATTTGTCTTCAGGCGTCCTGGGCAGAGGCGTCAGCAGACCTAACACATCGTCTAGAGAAGAGTGTGAAGCTCTGCGAGACAGACCGGAGACGCTCTCAGGGATAGTTTGCAGGTTGTTGTCTGTAACAGGGGCCGATGTTGAGCTTCTCTGTGGGTGTGAAGAAACCTGGTCCAGGCTGTGTTCTCGCAGACCTTGTGAAAAAGAAAGTGACACATTAATCATCATGGTTAACACTTCTTTTTGTGTTTCATCTGTGTTGATTTGACCGAAACCTCCTTTGGAAGCACAGAGCGACACTTTCAGGCAGACAGCCATGCAGGGCTTCTGTTATAAGATTAGCAAACATTTCAACACCACCAGCCTTTCCTCGATCCAAAGAAAAGGGGCCTTCTTTTATGGTTAAAATGTTTAAACTGTGTCTGCATCAAAGTGGGTTGACCACCAGTAAGAGTCACTATAGAAAGAAGTTTTTTTGTCCTGTGTAACTTATTCAAATGTGAGAATAATGCTGTAGATGGCTAATTTACTTAAACTATTTCATGGGTCGTCTTCCTCTCACCACTTATGATGTTGTTGACTTCTCCAACTAACTGTTTGGACTTGAGAAGGAGCTGACTTGAGTCTGTCTCTTCGTCCCTCTCTTCCTCCTCCTCTTCATTCTGTGAGTGGACATCCTGCTCCATCATGGGTGGGAATGTGGGAGTTGAAAGTTTGCGGCTGAAGTATCTCTGGATGTTATCCAGCTCACTTAGTTTTCTCCTGTAAAATCAAAATCCCCACCTTTTAAAAATTCAATCCACAGAGAAATTATTTGGAATTTTTTTTTAATGAGTCAAAGTATGACCTGAGTGTGGACAGCAGAAAGGAGCTGGACGGGTTGACATCTGCAGCGCTGCTGCTACAGACAGAACTATTTGCTGTTTTCTCCTGCAGACTCTGATGGTACAGACGCACTTTGTCCATGTGCTCGAAATGACGCTCACTTTCACTGGACCTGAAAAGTTGTTGAAACGCTTCGATAAAACTTTGTCGGACTGTGGAGACTGTTAGTTTTCTGTTAGTTTTCTACAAACCTTTCAGAGAACAGCCTGTCGGTGTGGTCAGGTGATGAAATCTTCTGCTCTGTGTATCGACTGATGTGCGCTGGGAAGCTGCTGTAAGTGGCTGTGGTGTGATAGCTGAGAGGGAGAGCTGGAAATACAGCCTGTGAGTGAAACACATTTGTCAGTATCTTTTTAAAACCAAACATTTTTAAAGCTGTTTGTGAGTCTGAATATTCTCTCTCACCGCTGAGTTTGCCACTGTTTCTTCACTCACAGCTTTCCTCTGTGCTCGGAGGTCTTGGACCCCCTTCAGTGGAGTGACGGACACTTTCAGCTGTCCGTGACACTGGCCGCTGAAGTCTGTGATGTTGTACCAACCGCACAACGACTGGAACCCACAGAGTAAGGGGGACAGGTCTACAGAGGCAAATCCAAGCACCCTCTCTGTTTCTAGGAGAGCAAAACATCCCGAGAGTGAACAATCAGATAAATCTAAAAACGGTAAAACAAGAATCTGCTTCCTGTACCTCCTTTATGCCAGACTTTGAACACGAGGGATTGTTGAGGGTCCACCAGTAGCTGCTTTGAAAGCCTGTAAATATGAACAATATCATCAGCCTGATGTTTGATACGCATCAGTAGGAGATTTAGGTTCATGTTTCTGGTGTTAGTGACCTGCACTCATGTTGGTGGTCCCACACAGGGCAGTCAGAGTCAGCTATGACAGCTGTGGATGCGGGTTCATCAGAGTCAGCCGTGAGGTATGACACACAGCAGCACGGCGTCCCTCCGCTGCGCTCTGTCAGAGGACAACCTGCCAAAGAAACACACAAAATGATCAGCGTTGAGTGTAAAATACTAAAACACAAGGAGGGGGAAAGGTTGGACCTCACCTCCCAGATTCAGGTGCATGGCTCGGTCCACTGTAACCGTCACGGGGAAAGACTCATCCAGGCTTGTTCCTGCGTGCTGCACAGATGTGATATCCGGAGTCGTTCTGGTGGGTTTGTGTTTGTGTTTGCTTTGAGTAAAGGTTTTCTTCGGTGATGCAGGAGAAGGGGTTTGATTTGCTGCCTCCGCCTCTTCCTCTAAGAGCTCCTCCTGGCTGTCTGAGTCCACTTGAGTGTCAAACTCAGCAGGTACCTCTGCAGGAACAGCATCTACTGTAAGAGTGACGTGTACCCTGAGAGCAGCTCCTTGTAGATCTGCAGCTGAGCGTCTGAACAGCGGATACACTCCTGTGAAACCAAAAAGTGTTACTACACACAAAAATACAACAACCATTTCCCTGAGCGAACAAAATCAATACATTCTTACCACTCAGAGTGAGTTTCTGCTTTGCTGTTTTTGCAAGAGAGGAAAGATCCACGAACGCTGAACCCACCAGTCGATCGGTGTCTCGTGGTCTTTGGCTTTTGTCTTTTTTAAAGGCGACCCACACCTGAACCTCCAGCCTCTCCTCTCGAAGATACCACATTAAAGGCTGAGTGCGCCTCAGCTCCACGGTTCTGCTGCCCTGGAAAGTCACTGTAGCTTGGCCCTCCTCCTCAACAGAGGGGTGTCTCATGTGGGAGCAGAAAGCCTCCTGGTCGTAGAACTTGTACCTGAAGTAACAGTAGGTGGAGCGCTGGAGCTCACTGTGGCCTGGCAGGAGTAAACAGTGGATGGGGATCCACGCTCGAGGCAACGAAAAAGTCAGAGACATTTTTCTTGGGCTGCTGCTCTCGTCGTCTTCATCGTCTTGGGTTTCACTGCAGGATACATCCCAGCCCACACCTTGAGCAGATTTAATCACTCTTTCTCTGTCCGAGTGGTGAGCGAAGTTGATGGAGATCTCAAGTCCTCCTACTAATATGTGCTGAGAGGAACTTGTTTCTTGTGGTACATAAAGTCCAAACCATCCAGAAATACCTTCAAGTTTGGAGGAAGAAACACGATAAATGTGTGATCATCAGCAGGACTAATAAATCACCAAAGTGTTTTTTCAGGGCGCAGCATACCTGTTCTTTTCTTGATGAGATCAGTCAGCGGTATTTTAAGGGTTCCCAACATCACATCCTTCGGCTTCTGAGTGAGCGCTGCATCAGAGAAGATATGACAAATAAGTAACTCACAGACTTTATCGACGGCCAAATGATTTAACAGATACAGAAACTGTTATTCTGTATTCTCAATTCACAATTCGACCACAGTCTGTCTCCAGCTATTCAAGAAGGCTGGCTGCACTTCTGATATCACCTTTTAGGTTTAATTTATATATTTATTCTCTCATTATTATGGCTTTCTCTCATTTATTGGTGAAACTTTCATCTTTATTGTCATTAATTTACTTTATTTTGTTATTTTACTACTTAATCCTGTGACATTTTCTCTTTAGACTTCTCACATAGATCTGCAACTGTATTCATATATTATGTCTATATGATTGGAAATTTAAGACTTAAATCCTGTAAATATACGACTTTACTCTTAAACAGTTTATTTGTAATTTATGACTTCACTGATGTGATATTACAGCTGTATTCTTGTAAATTTGGGACATTTTTTACTATGATTTTATTCTTATCAAACTACAGTCATACTCTTATATTATTACAACTTCATTGTTTTTCTAAATTATCGACTTCATATTTAAAACTTAATCTTTTAAAAATATTTCTTTATGTAGTCACAATCTTCTGTTATTTAAGTAAGAAGACACTGGTAAAGATTTGCATATTTTAACAACTGAAAATCAGAATATATAATATTTGTCTATGAGAGAAACTGGACTCACTTATTCCCTTGCGATTGTCTTTGTTCCAGACGGTGAAAACAGCTGAAGCCTCTTCCAGCTGCTCAGCCAGGCTGCAGGTTTCTCCGCTGCTCCTCTGAACCAGCAGGTTACAGGACACCTCCATGTGGTGGTCGAACTCTGGGCAGAAGCTCCTGGCAGCCACCCGGGTGGACCTCCTCTCGCTCTCAGGCAGGAAGGAGAGCTGGACTGTGACGTAAGAGTTCACCCCCACACCAGCAAAGTAACCGAGTCTCTCATCCTGTTCTGATAAAACCCTGAATGCAGAGACAGACACACGATACCAATGTGGAGTCACTGGAGCAAAATAATGAATACTTTTAGTGTGATGTAGTTACATCGATTTAGTTAGCTGATGACTTTGAGGAAATGATAAAGGACTTTTGAGGAAATGATAAAGACACGAAAGGACACAAGAGGATGCTGATGGTGACGTACTTTGCTGCCGCCTGTAATCCTGATGCTCTGTGCACTTGAACCACGAGGGTCACAACTCGAGCTGCAGCTCCCTGAACAGTCAGCCCTTCAGGTCTCACAGGTCGGTGCTTGTACCGGACACACACATCCAGCAGGCCTATGAGACACAGCGGGAGAGTCTCAACATTTAAGTGAAATGTTAACATATAAATACAGAATTGTGTTAATTTACTCTGTGTCAGTGTACCTGAGGGCTGAGGTCGATACCCGCTGGGACTGTCAGTCCTGGGGATGAGGGGCAGGGAGAACATTTGAGTCTCATCAGGGTGCTGCCTCTGCATGGTGACCATGGCGCACAGTTTGGACAAGGGAAGCAATCCTTTGGCCACGAGCTGGTCTCGGACATTTGGATAATAATATCTGCAGGGAGACAACAAGACAACATTAGCTTCTATAAATTAAAACCAGCTGCTAATTTATTAAGTTAGCAACAGCTTGTGGACTAAAAGAGAAACAAGGATCAACCATGGTCTACATAAATCTGTGGTTTCAAGTCTCACTTTTAAGTAGAACATTTGTATTTCATAAATCCCCTTGTTGTTAAAAACATGTTCTTTTTCCCACACCGCCAATTTGAGATTTTGGCACCGAAGGTCAAAAGACAACACGTTTCAGGATGGTGACATTTTCATTCTTGGGAGTCTGCAATTAGAAAAAGCCTGAGACAACACAAACCTGCACCACACTTCAAACTGAACACCACCGCCACCGCCCAGGCCTTGACTTGAAAGAGAGCTGAGCAGCAGCTTCTGAGCAGGAACACCGTCAGGAGCCAGGAGCACATGAGTCTCAGTGTGGCCAAACACCGGGTCAGGGATGCACAGAGTGGTGGTGGTACGAAACTCTTTCAGGTTCAGGCCTGTTGGAGATGAGAATCGAGTCAGATGATCAATCTAATTTAGGGAAATCTCAATTTGAAGGTTTGACAGAAAATGCGCCGCACTGCTCTCTATGAGGTCTTGGTCCAGGTTTGCAGCAGGGTCTCCCTCCTGACAGGGGAAGTTGTACTGGACGTAGCAGTCCGCTTCACCCCACACTGTGGACTGCAGAGGTGTCAGCCCGTTGACCTTCTCCACTCTGATCACAAACAGGTGTTCCCTCATAGACAGTGAGTGTGCTGTGGTAACCTTAAAGGAATGAAGCGACTTGTCAGCACAGCACTGCTTCCATTGCTCATTTATGTACCTATAAAAACATTACTATGAAAAGTGCAGACAAAAAGCTTCTTTGTCTGCATTATGCATCAGCATTTTTGACTTGAAGTCCAGAGGAACTTGTCTGTTTACAAGCCTAAAGGTTTGGCAGGTGATCAAACATGCCACCAACCCACAATTATCTGTTTAGCAAGCGCAAACACAAAGCAAAATGCTTTGAGCCTTTTGTACGAAACATTAACACTGACCTTTGTTTGAGAGCGTGGCTTGTGATCGAGCAGATGAACTGGTCTTACAGCATGAGATAAAGAGCCGTAGTCTTCATCCCTCGTCCGCTGAAAGGCGACTATCTGTTCTGAGTGTCCAAGAGCTAAAACAACCCTGAGATGACCCCTACAAGTTCCTGAGAAAACATCAACCACGGGCATGTAGCAGTCCACCCCTAAAACAGGGTACTGTGCCTGAAGGAGAAGGTGGGTGATCTTTGGATCCCTGGAGAGAAGATGAGAAAGACAGTTACAGCTTCACTGTAACCTAATTATTAATATAGGGATATGATTTTACATATTTTGCATTAAAATCAGCTTTCACACATTTCTGTTAACACTGATGCACAATAAGCTTACATGTAAAATAATACAGACTCAGAGTAAACAAATGTTACTGCTTTTGCCTCTGAATGAAGTGGACCACAGCACCACCCAGAGGCAATTACAGCCATTACAACTGTCAAACAATTCAAGTACTGTGAGTTATTTACATTCAGGCAAAAATAAGTTGTACCGTAGTTTTCTGACTTGCCTGAAGGACATGTAAAACTGGTGCAGAGGTAGTTTAACCAGGCCCAGAAGTCGATCCTGCCCTGAACTTCCAGTTTTCTGCCACACTTCGATCACCATCACATTGTTCTTCATCCGCTCCAGCAGTTTAGATGTTAAAGCCACAGGAGTCACCTGGAAAAAGAAGTTAAAAAAGTCACAACAGATTCTACATTTGAAAGTTGAAATCTTTGGACTCTCTGTAGCAGTAATCAGGGGATTTATTCTCCTGGACTGACCTGAACAAAGTTGAAAGATGGATTTGTTTGACCCCAGCTGATGACAGATCTCGCCGTCTCATCACAACAGAACAGTTTGCAGTTCAAGTATATATTTGGAGCCTGCCCGGGCCCACAGTTCAAGTTCTTGCCATCTGGCACCATGAGCAGGGTGTGCAGCAGGATCTCAGGATCCTCTTCCTCCTGCTGCTGATAGGGTTTATGAGGAGGAGTGTGGAGACCAGGATGGAGAGAAGGATCTTTGGAGGATTTCTGTGGACTCCAAACATTCAGCCTTGATTCTTCAAAAGAGCCATCTGCTAACTCGTCCCTCCTTAAATCAGCCTGTTGGGGTCTGGAGCTGCTCTCTCTCTGTGGACTGGGAACAGTCTGTGAAGGCGATGCGTCTCTCTGGGCCAGTTTAATTTGATGTTTTTGAGAGGAGAAATCTTTGTTGTCTGTTGCAAGTTCCAGCGTCACCTGGAAAAAAAAACAAACATCATGAGTTACAAACATCAGGGTTGCAAACATGAACTCCTGGAGGAAGGAACAAAAAGGAACTTACCTTGAGAGGTCCAACCTCCTGCACCCCACTGCTCCCCTCCACACTCTGCACAGGCAGGATAACAGACTGACTGAGCTGTTTGCTCCCCAGAAGACAGCGCAGAGGGTGAACCGCCTTACCGATGGGAACAGGCTGCAACAACAAAAGACATGGACCATTAATGTCCTTCTTGTTTATAAGTTACCATAACTCTCCGCCTCTCTGTGCCTTTCTCTAAACAGGAAGTTTAGAGATAGCGTTTCCTTTTAGTGACTGAAATACTATGCTAGAAAACCTCCTTAAAATATAAAATATCATAACTATTCCTTAAAAATCTTTGTTTTTAATTCAGAATAAATTTGAAAGCAGAACCTATGATGAGTTTGGCCCTGAACTTTTGCCACCGTTGGGATAAAGGTACAATAACAGGTTTGGTCCTTACTCTGGAAACAGATAACATTATTTTTATTACGATCATAACAAAGACATATGTGTATAGACTTATCACGGAAAACAGTAGACACCTGAGAGTCACTTACTCACTTTTAAACCAACAAACATTCCTCATTTTAATCAACCCACTTTCTTTTGGTCACTCCTTCGTGAGTGAATCTTGAAAACCAGATCCGTTTCCCACCATTGTTTCACTGCAGCTGTACTGAGGTGGACCGGGAACACTGTGTGCTGGTGGAACTTCACAACTAAATTACACATAAGAGTAAACTGGATGTCACATAAAGTAAAAGGCAGGCTGTTTGTTTTTTTTTTTAAACTCATAAATGCAGATATTTTAAGACACCATACCTCCTCCAGCAACTTTACTGGCGACAGCTCTGGTCACCTCTCCTTCTCCACTCTTTCTTCGATCATGTCGACTGGAAGTGGAAGCCCTCGGGAACACGTATTCAATGAAATATGTGCTGATAAAAAAAGAAAAGATATATCATGGACTAATGTTAAAAATACAAACCACTTTCTTTCAAAATTGTTCAAAGAATTGTAAAAAAAAAAAAAGTGCTTACCACTTCTTACTGGTTAATGGTCGAGGAGGTCTCCCTTTACTGGAGGCTTTTCTCGGTGTGGTATTTGTACTGCCTGTAGGTACGTTCAGGGAGTCGATGGTCACTTTTGCCAAACGGATCAAATGCAGCAAAGTCATCTGCTCTGAACTCAGGCCAGGAGGAACACCAGCAGCATCTGCAGACTGCTGAAGATCTGAATGTGGACTGCAGAGTCAAAACAAGATAAACTGTTTTAAATTTGCAAAATGTGTCATTAGCTGAGATTATGTCTCTAATTGTATTTCTGTGTGGTAGATTTATGATCCCAAACAAGCTTCTTTAAAATTATTTCTCTCTAACTTTGAAATAAAAGAGGATGAATTCTTTAAAAATAAAGATAAAGCCTTCAAGATCAGGTCAGACTATCATAGACCCTTTTGGAGCGGCTACATTAGAGAGCTAATAGTTAAAATTATGGTGTTACAGTTACTTCAGGACTGCTCACTAGTTGGGTTGCTTTCAAAGCAGTATAGACTGATGAGCACAAAGGAAAAGCTTACCGTCCACCACTCTGAGGTTCAGGCTGTTTTGGCCCTTTTCGACTAGAGGGCGCTGTTCCTCGATCTCCAACATCAGGACCATCTGATGTCATATCTGAAATCTAAGAGACAAAAAGACAAATATGTTCCTCAAAGATAATCAGGAAAACTGGCAGTGAAATATTTTTTATTAAATGAACTTACTGGAGTTTTGTAGAACAAATTTTCCAATAAGCTCTGATCATACTGAGGATCATTGAGCTCACTATCCCCACACACACTGTCATGGTCAGACAGAGATTCAGGAGAGGAGCCCTCTCCATCCCAAAGAGGCAGAGGAGAAGTGTTTAGGCTAAAAAACATTTAGACAGAAGAGTTCAAGAAACAAAACTGAAAATAAAGTGTAAATACTCAGTAGATTTGTTTGTGTGTACCTGCCAAGCAGCAGCTCTACAGCTCTGCTGTCCACATCAGCAGGACAGTCCAAGCCACAGTCTTTCACTGCAGCAGCATCCTCGGAGTGCTTTAGTGCTGAATCAGCATGAAGAATATTTTGAAGAAACATCCCAGAGGGAGAAGGGGAGGGCCTGCTGACACAGCAATAAAGTAATATAGGCTATGCTGCTAGAAGGTGACAAAAACATTGTTCTAACTTTTTTAACACTTACTTGGGAGGCGGCAGGATGTTGTCTTTTGGAAGAGGCAGAGGCGCATCTTTAAGAGCCAGGGCAGGATCTGTATTACAACTGAAAGCTGATTCGACCATGGCGTTTCTCAGCTTGTTTCCACGCTCTAGGATGACTGAGGTGGAGAGAGTTAGACAGTATTAGAGAAAAGGCAAAATGCAGGGTCTTGTGGCTCTGTAGATCCTATTTTTAGTCATCTTGCAACCAACCTGAGAGAATGTCACTGGTTGTTTGGCCTCGGGGCTCCTGACTTGAAAGATTCACAGCTGAATGACTGTTCTGAGATCTGCTGGTTCCTGGAATCTTGTTTTCCAGCGACTCTCCTTTGCCTTTGAGTGTTTGTTCATTTTGAAAATATAAGTGGTCTCTCCCTCTGAAAACACACAGCAGTACACACACTTAGATTATAATGCTCTGATTTCATTAACTACTTGAGAGCTTTTGCTTCTGCACTAGACAAACCTGGGTGTGTTTCTTCCGCTGCTCTCTGCTGAGAGTGTTCTGGGCTGCGAGGGCACAGTCAGTGTCGTGGCTTGCGGTACTTCAGTGCTGATATCTGTGGCAGGACATGAACTGCTGCTGTCATAGGCTTCTGTTAGAGGCTCCAGACTTAGGGACACCTAAGGGGGTAAATGAGTAAAATTTGGATTTCAATGATTGAATTCAAAGAGCTCCTTTCCTTAAAGCTGTCATAAAGTTTTCACTTACTTGTAACTCTCCCAGCTTTTCAGAAGTGGGAGACACAAGAGTGTAAAATCCACTTATGGAGTGGGACAGAGAGAGACGAGAGATTCCTGCAACCTGTGCCCGAGCAACTGGCAAATGATCCGGTTTGGTCAGAGCTTCCAGCACCAGTGAGCCCATATCTGTTCATCAATCACATGTCATTGTTTGGTATTATGGAAGAGTGTAAGGGTAGGATGAGCCATTTTTCATATTTCAGATCACCACATCAAGGTTATCATAGTTTTGTCTCTAACTAGAGTATATTTCAAGATGTTGTGCATCCCTGCAAACCGACGGAATAAGTGTATAAAAGTCAAACACTCTCCCCCGCAGTGTTTTACAGAAAACAAACTCATCAGATGCTTTGGTCACCTGTTAGATATGAGGTGAACTGCTTTGGCCCACAGCGGATGGGGAATCGAGCTGTGGTCTTGATGGTCCTCTGTGACAGCTGTGATCCATCTCTGGGTAAGAAGTGAGTCCCGGTGGAGGACTCTCCCCACCACCGCAGCCTGATGAATGTTGCAGACGGAGGTTTGTGAACCGTCCACAGAACTCGGCTCACGGTCACCCGCAGGAAGCATCTCAGCTGACCCTCAACCAGGGGAGGGAGGCTGGTGGAGGGGGACACATCGCTGGGGACTGTGGAGGATTTCGTTTAGGATTAATTTCAAACATAAGATAGACAAAGTTGGGTTTATAATTCAACTCTAACGTCTGACAGCTGACACAAACAGCCACCGTGCAGCTGTGATGCTAACAGCTAGCTAGGCTAACAACAGTTTACCTTTCTTTTTGCTGCCGCCAGCTTTAACGGACTTCAGTTTTCGGCTCTTCATCCCGCAGCTCAGTAAATATAGGTGGTGAGTAACAGCCTAGCCGTAGCAGAGGCTGAACAGTTGGCAGACATGATTTTTATCTCACTCCGGCAAACTAATAATCCGTTTAACTCCGCGCACACACACATACACACTCACTCACACGGACGGCAGCGCGCCCAACTGTTTCCGAGCAACAAAATCCAAACGTCCCGCCTCCACTGCCGCGTTCCATGACTGATGCACTCTGGGAAATGGAGTTTGTTTACCTCGTTAGTCAGAAATATGTATATAACTTCTTTGTTTTATTGGCGGTTGGCAACCAACTTAAGGAGCATATTAATAATGATAATAAAATCATAATGAAATAATAATGATGGTAAATGGAAAAACAAAAATGAGCAGGAAAAAACAATAAAATCTATAAAAGGCCTAAAAGGTTAAATAAGAAAAGATTATAAGTAAAACAAGGGCTAAAAGGACACTAAGTCGAAATAAGATAGAGGTAAAAGAGATAAAAGAGAAAAGATAAAAGACTCACCGTCTTTTAACATCTTTTGGCCTCATTCTAATGGGCATTAAAGTTCAATCATAATATAAAGTTAGTATTATAACAATATGATGATGATTTTAATTAAAATAACCAATTTATTCAATCCTGGATTTGTAGTCATAGATTTTATTTTCAATCATTTATAAAAAATAATCTTTTTGTGATTCACACCACTGCTTCATATTTACGTGTTGCTTTTTAATTACCAGCAGAGGGCAGCACTAGTCTCTTTTTACTTGAAGGGTAACTCTTATTCCCTGCTCTCAGATAATAAAGAGGTTTGGTGAATTGTATTCTAATTTTCCCCCCTTTCCACCTTTCCTTTTGCCCCTTTTCAATGTTTAGAAAGGTTTCTTGTCAGTTCATGTAAATGCATGTTCTGTTGGTTGTGCTCTCTCCAAGTCATCAGTCTGTTTTTAACTGTTTCATCATATAAGGGCTGTGTTATGTACTCATTTACAACTCTACACATGCTGAGTCTAACCTATGATTTTGATTTTGTCATGGATGTTTTAGGTAGTTTGGGCTCAGCTGCTGCTTAGCAACAAGTATCTCTGCAGCCATGTTTGTTATGATGATCATAGTAACAGTAAAAGTTCAAAATAAAGCCCTTTGAATTCTGGGAAAGATGGTTTTTAGATTGTTAGAGGGCTCATGAAAAGTTCAACCTTTCTGCTCTCTATAATTTTCTAGTTTATTGCGTCACAGCTTGTAAAGAATGAACTCCTGTCACCTCAAATTAAACTGAAAAAGAAAGCAATGTGAGTCATTTCAGTTTATTTCACAATTTACTTCAATGTGGTACATTATTTCCAAACGAATTTCACATCACTTCCATTAACTCAGTAAACTTTCGGTGTAAATTAAATCATTTCAAGTTTTTACCATAAATTAATGGTATAAACAGATAAGACAAAGCTTTAAAATAACAGGTCTTTACACTCATCAGCTTCAAGGAAAAAGTCCTGCTGTTAAGTTTCCATGCAGGAATGTGTGATATGCATCCAGTGTGTGGTCTGCTCCTATACTTTCTTAGTGTCGGTTTGTGCTTGAAGACTGTGTGTGTATGTGTACACAGAGGGGAGTTTGAGGGGGACTGTTGAAACCAGAGTCAGACTGTTGTTCTTTAATTTAATTTGCAAGACTCCCCCTCAAAGATCAGATTCACAGGCTTTCTAATTCACTGTTTTCAGATGGGTTATGATTCAGATAAATCTGAGATATTCAAAGGGTATGCAGACAGTGTGAGTTCAGACGTGTTTCCAATCACTTGGTGTGCAGCGTGTGGTTAGTAATGCCACGTTTCTAAAGCTAAATAAGAGGCTGACGGATCGGGTTCATCTGTCACTTCAAACAGCCAGTTATGAAGGAGTCTCCCACAGGCAGCAGTGATCACATCTTTCAGTCAGCTGCGAGTAAACTGGCACAATGAATGGCTCCTCTGACTCATGAATAGGCGTCTTGAGGTCACAGATAACCCATCACAGATGAGCTTCAACCAAACATGTTCAGTATCAGCTTACCCGAAAATCATCATTTACTTCTGGCTGGACATAACACCCATTTTAGAGGCTGTGAGCATTGTGTGAGACATATCAGCGATTCAGTCAGACTCTTAGTATATCCATGCAAACTTGTGCAGGTAAACATTCAACATGAAGTTCTCACAGAGTTGAGTGGAGCTGATTTGTACTGACAGATCCCAGAGTGGGTCCAGTTTTGAAAGGGGACTGCATAAGATGTCCATTTTTAAGGGAGCAGGAGCAAACAGTCTTTCACAGTAAACTGAAACCAGCTCAGTGTGCGAGTGCAGAGGCCTCTCTCCAGACTGCAGGAACTGGCCAGTCGTAGCAAGAGAGCGTTTGGCCTCTGGGGGCTGATTGCAAACGGCCCCTCAGCCGTGTGCTGTCCATGTCCACTGCAGCTCTGTGCTGCACGCTTCAGGCTCCCTGAGGCCCCGGGCTCCAATCACAGATGCAGGCTGCCCTGAATGGCTCTCACCTCCCCTGCCCGCGTGTTCCCTGTCTGGCTCCCTCCTCCTCCTCTCCGCCTGCAAGTGTGCCCCCATATTGTAGAGGCAGGGTCTTGTACTCCAAGAGGCCCATCTGCCGCTCCGCCCTCCCTCCCTCACTCCTCAGGGTTGAGGCTGCAGCGATGCTGGAACTCTTGGCCGTACTCGTGGATCCACTTGTTTGCCACTGGAACAAACAGAAACGTGCGAGAGTGTTGAAATAATGTCTACAAAGATTCATTTAGAAACTTGGTTAATTATGTTTGGCAAGTGCTGCCTAAACATTCGCTGTGATGATATATGTAGTTGCTTGAAACAACAGCCACCAAATGCTTTCGCAGCTGCTTCACGAAGATTAATATCCTCCTGCTAGTTTAACTGGGTCCCCGACACGTTTCAGTGTTCAGGGCCAACCGGCAGCAGATGTTCACCTTTCAAGATGAGCGCTCAGTGTCTGGACTGCACTCTGTTACATCTCCAAACACATAATTCAGCACAGATGTGACCCAGCTCTTGGGCATCAGCTTCTGTGTAACAGGAGAGCTGAATAACAAACTGTGATTTAGATGGAGGAGAGCATTATCTCTTTTAGGGGATCAAGTGTTCTGATACGTTATGCAATTTTCCATATTCAATTTTGGGTTATTTTGACAGCATCATCACATCGTATTAAATCTACTGACTCTCACCCCATTTGTCTCCAATGAGCACCGGACAGCCAGCGTGCAGCGTGTCTTCATCTCCTTCACCATTTCTGTGGAGGTTCCACCAGAAGACAGCAGCTCTCTGTGAAGTTAAAAATCTAAATTAAAAGCTTTTACCAACTTAAAATATTGTCAAAGTCAAAATTAATAACTATCATCAAGCTGGACCACTCTACAAATTTACCAGAGTGCAACAGCTTTCTGGGAGGGACAGTATAGAAAATAAGAAACACAGTTTTGTCAAAGTAGCATTTACAAAACACCCAGTGGCGAATTGCTGCAATTATTTGTTTTTTTTTTATAATAATAGCAGTAATTATTGTAATTATTGACGCTACTCTCTTACATCAGTGTTTGTGTGAGGGGAGTGATGCTTTGTCTACAAGAGAAGATCTTTGTGGTGCAATTAAAGTTTATATCAGTGAGTGTTTGACTCATTATTTCAACCATGAAAGTCTGTATGGTATCATAAAAGGATTTTACACAGATCACCTAAGCATCATAATGCTGCAACCGGTGTTTTCAGGTGTGATCTGCTCCTTGGTTTTTGGTTACGCTGTGGGGTAAAAGCAATCCTTCCTCTTATAACCCTTCATATGCTAAATATTGAACTGTGGTTGTAACCCTGCCTCCCTTTAATCCCATGTAGAGTCAGTACTGACAGACATACAGGCATCTTTCTTGTGTTTGTATAAGTTTGAAGTAAAAGGCCAAAAGAATCGTGGTTCATCTGTCGCACCTCTACTTTTGTAAGTGACGCTTGAATCATTTTTTGACAGACTATTTCCTCTTCACTGCATTTGCCTGACTGAACGAATGCACAACGTACTTTTTCACTCATTCATTATTTGCTCATCAGTCAAAATTAACTAAAATTTTTTACTGGAGAGATTAAATTTGAAAATGAGTAACTCAAAGTTAATCAAAAACGCAGCTTACATTGATACTCTACCTTTTAACAGTTTATTAAGTTTAGTTTTGGTGGGTGTGAACTTCCCGGGAGCCGGATTTCAATAAAATCGAAGGTGAAAGGTGAGAAACAAAGAGAGGACCTCGTAATCTTCACACTGGAGCTCATGTGTCCGCTAAAAAACCGCCTCATCCTCCCCCGAAGCCCCATCAGTTTTTAACAAAAGCTTTATTGTTAGAGAAATCTTGTGCTGTTGTTCTTGTAAACTGACCCTTCAGCATTTTGACAGCTGCATCAGAGAATTTGAGTGGGACGCGGATAATCCAGCTTGAGACAAAGATGACAAGAGGACAAAGGAGGCTCCTTTTAGCTCATCTCAGACACGTGCAGAGAAGTTACCTCCACGACAGGAACGCTGAAGTTGGCGTAGATGAAAGCCGTGGATCCGCCCGCCTCCACCGAGCTGAGCTGTGGAAATAAATAGAGATTTTTCAGAGTCATGCCGCTCATGTTATAAAAAGCAACTCTGTCTGCTGCACGATTATAAAAGCCTGAGAATAGGCCTTCTTACTTAAATTGCTGTTGAATTAAACTGAAACGATCACAGTAGGTTATAAAGTGCATAGCAGTTCCAAAAACACAGTCAAGGTGCACTTAACAGATTAGTCATAATGGAATAAATAAGCTCATAAAAGGGTAAAAAGTAGGTGATATTCAGGGGAGCAGGGAGAAAACAAGCTGAGGTTATGTCGGTTAAACGACAGAACATCAATAAAAGTTTATTTCAGGCAGTGAGGTCACTTCACATCACGTTTCTCAGGACTCATGGAAAAGGACCAACAGGAGCAGGAACCTGCCCAAGAACCTCTGGCTGCTGTTTGACTCACACACACATAGCTAAAAAAGTAGTGAGAGCCTCTTAACTCACGTATATCATGAAGGTTGCGAGTCGATTCCCAGTTTTCAGCTTGAAGACAGGACTCGAAGGTGACTGCAAGTAGATAAACCATTATTAATGTGAGCACAAGCAACATCAAATTTCAGTTCCGTGGCAACAACAATTCAACAAAGTGATCGCCTTACTGTAGCGTGATCAAAGTGAGGCTCATAATGCCCGCCAATCCCATAATTCACAACTTGAAGGTATTCGCCGTACGGATGTTTCGCGTTCAGGCCTGTGAGCATGGAGATCCTGTGATCCAGCCTCCCAACAGTGGACTGTGCTGAGCCTTTCAGCCATGCACTTCAAAAAAAAAAGACAAAAAGTTTCATCATGTATAATTTGAAAGTAGTTGAGTTTGTCACATCACATATGTTTTATTGGCATCGCAGCAAAGCAGACAAGCATGAAACTGAGCCGAATAACTGAAGCGTACCATAACAAACAAAAGCATCATGAGTCATTTGTACCTCTTGCTGATGCGATACTCTGCCGTTGCTTGTTTCTCTCCAGATGCCACAACCGATCGTCTCAACTTCAAAGCAAAGACAGAAATTTCGGAAAGAAACGTTGTCATTGAAACTGCAGCCAAACTTTGATTTCCAGCTGCAAAACCCTCCAGAAACGTGAGCAAAAGCATTAAACTACACTCCAAATATGTGTCGAGGATGAAAACAAAGAGAAAATCAAAAAATGTTGATTTAAAAGAAGAAACGATGGATTGTAAAGGGGTAAAAAAACACTTCCTGTACTCAAATCATCATGAATAAAGAAAAAATACGGCTATAGCATTTATACGATCTTTCTGGAAAGGAGTCAGAGGAAGTCCAGATGTTTTGGACTTCCTTCTCAAATGTAATCCTTTGTGATTTATTTGGACTTGCTGGACGATCATACGGTGTTTTGCTAATTTAGTAGAGCATGTTTTCTGATTTACAGTGGCCACATACTCTGATAACTGGAGACAAACTGGTAACACAATATTTTAGGTTAGCTGCAGATCAAGCTCTTGATCACTTCCAGGCCATGACTGTGATCAACCCTGACTATAACAGGATCACACAAACTACTCCAAAATGAAAATGGTAAGAGAAACACTGTCATTTTGAGTAATAGATGCAAAGTAAAAACCACATGCATGGTTAATAAATTCTGATCTCTGCCTCAAACTAATACCATACCCCAGGCCTGTTTCCAATAAGGCCACGAGCTGACATAATGATGGAATAAATACAGGGGTTTCCATCCCAGCAAAGGATGGAAATCACATCCAACAAAGCCAAAACCTCACAGAGACTATAGGGCACTGGCTGAGTTAGCCCACCAAATATTCCCTGAAGTCACTGAATCAGCTCAGTGTGGGGACAGAGGACTGCGAGTTTCCATGAGATGAGCAAAAACTGTTGGATTTTTCTGATACATGCTGAGACTCGATGAAAGAGGGGAGAGAATTAAACAGAGGAGCCGGTCTGTGTGTTTTGGACAGTTTGACACGCTCAGCCAAGTTTTCCCAGTAATGTATCCCTCATGCCTTTAAGCCCTGCTAAATGTTTTGGAAGTGAACCAACTCTTCTTCCATAGGGTCTTTCCAGGACCTTTCCAGAAGGAAAAGGAACATGGTTGGCTGGGATCTCAGGACTTACTATGCTTGTTGATTGTCAAATAATATTTACATTGGAATATAATACACTACAAATAGTTTGAGTATTGACTTTACAGTCACAGATTTTTACCGTGTGTGGCTGAGCTTTTAAAATGCAAACCTACAGGTGAACACAGCTACATTACTTTATGTTATAAGTTAGAGTAAATATTAAATATGTAGTGACAGAGATGATGGTGTGGTGTTGTACTGCAAGTGCATGTCTCAGTAACAGGCTGCTTACATCTGACCAGATGTCCAGGAAGCCTGAGGAAAGATAAACATGCACAAGAAAACATCCCAACACAACAGTTTCACAAACATAGTTGAGATCAGAAGGGAGTTTCTCGAGACAAATTACATCCATGGAGAAGCTAAGAGTAGAAAAGAGTTTTCTGGTGGCAATCGCTTTGTAAAGTGTTTAATTTTTGTGTGTTTGTGTAATTTTGACCTCAAAATCTCCACTAGCCTCTTCTGACCTCTTGCAGACTTTCTGAGTCCTACATGGAGGAATTCATCCTCATATTTGTTGACAAAACTCCACAAAACATTGGACAATGTATCTCATGTATCAAAGCACAGCATTAATTATAAAAATATGACTCTCTCAGCTTAGGGACCAGATGTTATGAGGCAGACACTGTAAACCAGCTGCACTTACTCCTAACTGGGCGAGCTCCTTGATGTCCTCGGCCTCTTTGTCAGTGATGAAGTCGTGGTAGAGGACCACATATGGCTGCAGGCTCAGCACTTCACGTCTCACCGGCGGCAGCAGCAGACCCGGATTACCGTTGGTGAAGAAGTCGCAGAAGAGTCCGGGGTTTTTAGAGAGCGTCTGCTGCTGGGAAAGAGAGCAGGCATCTGAAGTCAATAAAACAAGATCAAAACAGGATTTGTGTTTCTTTGTCATCCACAAACAATTATACTTAGTATTGTTCTCGTCCCACATACAGCGAGCTTAAAAGCAAATGTGACTGCAGGATAATCTTAGAGTTTTTATGGGAAACTCAAATTACAGACTTCTGTTCCTATAAACCCTGGGAAAATGCTCAAATGTTTAAACAGGAGCTTTTTGGCCTTTTGGTTGAGCTACCAAGACTTTCAGGACAACGGGACTGAATGAACTTTGTATTTCCCTCAATCAGTCAGATTTACACATGTGCAATAATTTGTTTTTTGACCAGTTACTTGCAGAAATCCTTTCCTTCCATTCAGCTTGAGCTTAAATAAGCTGCATCCAAACAAACACTTTTATGTTGAAAGGCTCACCTGTCACAGATGTAATTATCATACTAGCTAAACATTAGCATGCCAGGATTACCACTGTGACCCTGTTGACAATACTATGTAGCTTAAGAGCTAAAGGCTAAAGTCATTAACATGACTGCGGACTCTTCACTCCAACCTAATTTTTTGAGCCAAGATCTGGGGCGTGGCCAGAGGGTTGGCACAGGCTGTCCCAGAATTCCATGACTGTGATTGGCTGTTTTTCTTATCAAGGGCTGGAGGACAAACCAATTAAAACCAATTATTTGGACGTTTCTGCAACAGGTTGCTTGTAGGGATGTGTCATGATTTCTAGATATTCAAATCGTCATTATCTTCACATATCAAAGAAAATCATCTCATATCGAAAATACGTTCTCTATTGTTTTTATTGAATTTTCCTCAAGATATCTCAAAATGTAATTCGGTCACTTTTTTACCTGGGAAAGGTGGAGTATATCTACCTTTCAAATCCTTACAGTTATGAGCATTGAAGATAAACTATCCCCATTCGGCATGCCATTTTAAATTTGGGTTTAGTACTCTGCTCCTGGAGGATAAGATGCTTTTACAAAAACTGAATCCTTCTGCACATTTGGTAAGTATTAAACAGTTATGAACAGGATAGGTGTTGGATTCACTCGCTCTTTTCCTCACAGCGAGTACGCGTCCAGATGATTCCGTATAAATACCTGAGAGCCTTGGGTCTGGCACAGTTTCTCATAAGTGTCTCTGGTCCGTAAGTATTTGGACGAGGGCCTCCTCAGCCCATCACTGCTGAGTGACCTGGGTGGAGTCGAAACCAGGAGCTTTTCATATTTCTCAACATTCTGCAAAACTCGTCCATTCAGCGGATCTGCAAAGAAGCATGTAAATGCATCATAGAGCAAATGCATCATTTTTTACAGAATAAAGGAAAAGGGAAAACTTAAAACTGAACAAAAATCTTTACCATGATGCAGAAGCTCCTGAGACAGACTGAGAGCATAGGACACGTTTCCTGTCTGAAACAAGAAGAGGGTGTGATCCATCAATTGTCTTCTGAGTGGACTTTTTTTCTGAGTGTTTTTCTACATACTGCACCTTAAAGTGAGAGAAGGCCAGGTGATCCAGGGCGTCCTCTAAAGTCCCTGCATTCTCCGTGCTCCACTCGCCTCCTGTTCCCCTGAAGAGACGCACCGATTCCTCCAACCACTGCACAGAGTGATAGTAGTCCTCCTGCTCATAAGCCACCTGTGAAAATAACACCACACTAAATCAAATCAACCCTATCTTGAGCACAGTTTGTCTCTGAAGTTAAAAAGTTTTGCAGTTTGTGTTTTTTTTAATCTGCTGCAGGTTGTTTAACTGGAAAAATCAGTAACTCAATTTCAAGTAAACTGGAGAAGCAGAAGAGGTCCAGCCCAAAAGCAGCCTGAAGCAGCATGCCAGCCGGGGTAAAACATAATGCCAGGTGAGTGACGTGATGGATTTGGCAGAAGAAGCTGGTCTGATTCTTGTTACTGCTTCTGGATAAAGCCAGTCTGACCGACAACTGCTATTTGGAAGTGATTCTCGGCCAAAATCAGCCACAACCTTGAACTGGACCCAAATCTGGCAGTCAGACAAGGACGGCAGAACAGCAAAGAAACCGTTGGATGAATCTGGTATTTTGTTTCTGGTGCTTTCTGAATGTACTCATGTAGCTGTCTGATTCTCCTTCTTATTTACTCAGCTGCACCCAGGTTCCTCTTAATCGGATTATCTAAGAATGTCATCATGAGAGCGTCTGGATTCTATGAAACATCCACAATCAAACACAGAGTTTGTTCAGACTTGATTTTGTTTTCATTTAGAGCTGACTTCATGGTCTGCACAATATTTTCTGCCCCAGATGAGTGCAAAGAGACACTGGGGTGTGTTCGTTTTGTCTTTCCAGTTAAAAACAAGCAAATATTTTCTGCCTTCAGCCATCCAGAGATGACAAGAAGAGGGAAAACTCTCTGACAAAAAAGCAGATATATTTCTAAATGTTTGCTTCACAAAATGACGCAGAGCGATCTTTTAGTTCAGCCAAGTGCTTATAAAATGAAAAAAACAAACAGTACAATCTGAAGGGTTCAAAATGAAAAGAGAAGACCAAATAAAAGAGGCGGTCCTTCAACAAAGACCCAGAACTTTTGAGAGTGGGTGCAGATCTTATTTACAGTTGTAGGCTGTCCCACAGAGGGCCAGAAGTGGATCCTGCTTTTGCTATTGTAGACTCTTCTCTTCCTGGTTTTTCAAGATGGTTGGTAATACATATTTGGTAAGTCATATAAAAGCAGTCAAAGTTGTTTTTAGTTTACTTCATAAATGTAAAAAAAACTCCTTATAGGAGCTTTAACGTCAGACTTGGCATTTCTTGTTACACCTGCCTCACTTACACTCTGGATTGAGACACAAACAAGAACACCTTATGCATTATTTTTACACAAACACAGGCTGCAGTCTCCCTCCTACCCTCTCCTCAAACCCTTTTTGCGACAGTCTTGACTTGATTTATTTAGTGCCGGCTGCAGGCCTGACAGCACCCGCACAGAGACGGGGTGACATGTGGCTCCTCCCAGCACAGATTACATCCACAAACCCTCCAGACGGCACACAAACAGAAATTCCAGTGTGCTATTAAACCCCCAAAACACACACACACAACACACAAACTTATCACTTAGCTCCACTTAACACTAGCTTATCAACCCCGCCATGGATTTACACCAAGTTCACAACATAACACACTGTAATTTGTTTCCGTTTTGGACAAATAAATTCTTAAAATAGTAAATAATCTGCATGTTTCAGTGTTAATGAGAGAGAATTAGCTTGTTACACTAAAAGAGGGCTTTAAAATCTTGCACACTTATCAGTTTAACAGCCGTCTGGAGGTCCATGCAGGCAGCTCTGTCACTGACAACACCCTCAAACCACAGTACACATCTCTGTTTACAGATGGCCTCAGATAATCTCCGCCTCAGTACAAGTGAAGGCAAGCCGGCCTCTTTGCTCCAATCATGAGATAATGTCTTTTCCATAAGAGTGGAAATCTCTCCCACACAGCGCCCTGCCCATACACATCAGCGCTGTACATAAACAGAGGAATTCACTGCAGGAGAAACCGTTTTTTTTTCTGTCCTGGAATGAAAGTATATTCATCATCACGTGAAGCAGATTCCCAGGCACGCACTGGGAAGATTTCCACTTTTCCAGGCTGACTGTCTGGATTCCCACCACCCAGTGACGGACAGGACAGGTTCGCAATAAAACTATCTCACAAAGTTCAGGAACGAGGAGTTATGGAGACTTTCCCTCCAAATTGCTTTCAACTTTGCTACTTAAAAAAAGGATTTGTCGCTTTTTTTTACAGGGAAAAGTGTCAATAAAGGATGACAGGCTGGTTTCAACACACAGTGATCTTGTGTCTTTGCTGTTTCAAGACAAAGGTGCAAAGTACATTATTTTTAATAGTGTTTCTTACAAATGCCATTTTTTAACTACTGATCCAGATATAAAAAGGAAATACCACTTTAATTCAAAAGCTTTACTTAACAACAAGCGGCACTGACGGAGCTCAGGCCTGTGGATGCAAACGTGTCGAGCTTTTGACCCCTTTTACAAAAAAGAAACCTGTTTCCAGTTTAGACCTCTCGTCTTGTTTCAGATTGCCAGGATTTCGTATCAGTTCAAACAAAGAAATATTTCCCCTTTAGAGCCCTCAGATGGTTCTTATTTACAGAGCTGTTTCAGGCGTCCAGGGATTAAATTCTCCATTATTCACATTTGTAGAACAAAATGCTGATAAATCATTTCATTAGAAAAAGCTGTGCTCTCTGGAGACGGGTGGACCTCTATATTTTTAATGTTTTATGTTCTTTTGTTGAATTTATGGCTTAAAGAGCCACCCCACCTAGCTAATAAAATATAATCTGCATACTCATCCAAAATATAACAACTCAAAGCTGCTGCAAAAAATGAAGCAGGTTTAGTTATAGAAAGTAACTAAAGCTCCTATAAGGAACTTTGTGTCCATTTTGTGAAAGGACCTTTAGCTGCTTGGCTAACACCTACCCCCTCACAGCGATTTCAGGGTTTAACAGTTCAGGTACAAAAATCTTCAAGCTTGTTGCTGTTGGTCTTATTTGCTTTTGGATATCATGAAAAAACATCGACACAAATTTTGGACTATTCCATTAACATAAAAAAAACTCCTTACAGGAGCTTTAAGTATCTAAACACTTTGGGCTATAAGTTTAAAAGGTACATTATGTAATATTTAGCTGTATTGACAAGTTGGTACAAGTTGGAAGATAAAGAAGAGGAGCATCACTGCTGTTGTGAACAATAGAATTTAAGCTGATTGATACTGTTTATGGCAAAAATTTGACAAATGGAGGATTAAATTTATCATCTGTCATCGGAGCTTCTTGTCCTCAAAGGCCACCGTTGTTTCACTGAACGGTGAAGTGAGCAGGCGAGCTTTTCAGTCAGAATCTGACCATCAAATATTCATTTTTAACTCACCTCACCTTTGGGTTTTAATCACCCAAGTATCAATGTTTAGAAGTAGTTAAGTAAAGGGACGGACTGTTTACCTTTCCGACCAGAAAGCAGTCATCACCAGACAGCAGGATAGACACTGTGGGCAGGTAGACATCAACTGGCACGCCTTCAGTGACCCTCTGGAAACGACCCCTGACCAGACTGGGTACCTGGAGAGCGTACACATCCTGCAGCCTCATCAGACCCTTGGCGGCCCCCTGCAGGTCCTCCAGTTTGGGTAAACCTGCCTCCTCTTCCTCGTAACTGGACCTGAGGGCTGGACAGCAGAAGGCCAAAAGGTGAACTTAGCTGGGGTGGAGTGGGGTGGGGTGGGGTGGGTGGTGGACAGCTGAGAAAAGAAACAGAGGGGTTAGTTTTCATCACCACATGTGTGTGCAAAGACACAAACCTTGTGTGTTCTCCTGAGCTTCATCGCTGTTGACCACGTTCAACCACTCTGAGTGAAGCCGCTTGATCAGAGTGAAGGCTGCCAGAGGGTTCGCCATGGCAGCCGCTGGGCCTTTGTAGAGTTCGGCGTGCAGGTCGGACACTTTGGTGTAAAAACTGTTCAGGAAAAATCATGGTGGGTGGTGGTCAGAAAAGACTAAAAGATTGTTTAGAAATGATTATTCCCCAGAGAAGACGAGCAACAGGCAGTTTTTACTCAAGGGTCCCTGCGCTCTGATGTTCGACTGTAGCTCATGCTGATTCACACAGGGTTAAACTCCACATTTGGAGGAAAGGGGAGTTACATTCGCTCCCTTTACCACCTTTCATTATCATTCACACACTGTTAAAACTGATGCAAAAGCTCCTGACAGACATTTCTCATTTTTCCAACCCCCTCCGTCACAAAAAAGCCCCCACAATAAGGTTTCTGTTTAAAGTTTTATGGTCAAACACGCTCCACCACAAAAAGAGTGCCAGTCATTTCCACAGAGGAAGGAGCTCTTCAGTCATGAGTGGTGAGAGGTGGTTCAAAAAGTCTTGTTCCCATGTCAGACATGCATTTTTTTTCTTTTTGATTGAGGAAAATGCAGTTAATTAGAAAATGTGTGTATTTTTGTTACTGTTTGATTCAAGAGACTGCTGCAATCGTTGTAACTTTAGACACAGCTTGTTGAGTTTTTTGCTGTGAGATCATAATGAGGTTAATCCTCAGCTGTGGGTCTAAAATCTTATTATATCCTGGTCAAACCTCCACATGTCCACGAGCTTTTTCCATCATTATTCACCGTCTGTCTGTGGAGGAAACTCAGGATTTGTCACTGGGTGAAATCATCACCAGAGTATTGCACGTCCATGTAAACTGTACCACAGCTCTGGATTTTGACGGATTTTCCCTTTAATTCTGATTTTTCAGTTTTTTTCAGTCTTCAAACCTTGAAATATTTTACTTTATATCATTAAAAAAATTCATACATCTCCACAGTGTCATCATCATTCACGCCACTCACCGCCTGATGTCCTCCAGTCTCTCCTGCTCGTTGTCAATATACGTTTTCAGGTGATCGATCAGTTTCCGTTCCACGCTGATCGCCTGTTTCACGTTCAACAGCGACGTGTACATTTCACCCACGGACACGTGGATCACCACCACGGATAAAAAATAATAACAGAAGCAAAAACGCGCAAAGTAACTCATCCTCATCCTCGGTGCAGTTTGTGAGTGTGTCCTGGTCTAAGATCAGGATCTGCAGGGTCTGAGGAGAACCAGCCTCTGGAGTCCACGCGGGGATCTCCCTCATCTGGTCTGAGATCAGTTTTCACCCTCAGATCTCTGCAGCCTGATACTTCACCGGACAATAGGAGTTTCATGGACGAGGACACATGCAACAGGTTTATTTCCTCTATAATAAAATTAACACATTAGATTTTATTGAGTTGGAGGTCTGGATGTGTCGGATTTAACGAACCTGCAGGTTTAAGGCCTACTTTGATTTTATTCCGGCAAAGAAGTAATAAATAAAATAAAACACATAAAACGATAAAATTCTACCCAACCAGGAAGTTAAATAAGTTCTTTTTTAGTTTGAGGTAGATATCTCACTCTCCAAAGAGAAAAAAGGTTCCACAAATGTGGGTTAAAATAAGTGCGACGCCTGCCGGTCAAAGCCGTGTACTACAACCAGGCAGTGATTTCAGAGCTGATCAGGAGTGTGAGGAGTTACCTTATTCATAATGTGCACTGAGGAAGTCAAATTAAATAATGCATTTACATAGGATTGTATTTAGAGCGTATATATATATATGAGGAACAAGAAAGACCTCCAGAGGGTAACTAGGATGGCTGAGAAGGTCATCGGGTGCTCTCTGCCCACACTGGAGGACCTTCACAGTTATGATACAAAAGACTGGAAAAACAGCTTTCTCCCAAATGCTGTCCATCCCATCAATGCCTCCATGACAGCCAGATGATATGTTTCTATGTATTTATGTGTGTAGTTTTAATTCTTTTACTAGTTTTAACTCCGCACTGGTTTTACTGTTTTAGTGTCTAATGTTTTATTGTCCCCTTTTTTTTAATGCACTGACTGTAAAGGCACTTTTTAATTTTGTTATGCTTGTCACAGTGACAATAAAATTCTATCTATCTAATAAAATATCAAATGATTCTTAAACCACTTCAATGTTTCTCCAAAAAACAAACCTTTTAATGATCCGTCAGAAACAGAAAAGATTTTACCTCAAAGAAAGTTAAAAAAAATAAGTAGTAACCATGCTCTATTGAGTCTTTTGTAAATTTTGTCCTTTAAAGCAACTATTACCATTGCAAACCTGTCTTTGAAAATGCTCTCTAAGGCACTCTGCACTTTACTCTTGCATTCCTGCTGCAGTGTGCCTTGAAGTTTTTATTATGGAGGATGGTAACCATTTTATTCTATTTTCAAAGTTCACTTTTTACCACCCCTTTACAAGAAATCTGTACAACTTTTAGTCTGTACAAGACACTAATTTAGTGCATTATCTCTCCAGTGTTTTTAACAAAAAAATGAACATGTGAAAACTGCAATTTAGTTTTTAAAACATTTACTTTAGCTATGGTGACAAAAGGTACAAACATTGTTTTGCATTTGAGGATGGTGCAGTCATTTGTGCATGCACATCTCTAAGTAACAATCTGCAAAATGGTTTCAAAATAAAACCAAATTTTTATAAACTGAAACATTAATTTTTAAAGTTCAATTTCAGTGGGTGCAGAACGCAACAGGCCCACAGTCCAGTTAATGATAAATCCTGCATGATCAATGCTGCACACTGGGCAAATTTAATTCAGGATAACCTCAAATTCTCTCACACAGTTTAGCAATCTTCATTGATAATGCTGGCACATGAGTAAGGTCGCAATCTGGTTTATGTTTAACGCAGCAGATCTCTATGTATCCACAAAAGGGTCATGATTGCTTAGAGTAACAGTCTGATCAATTTATGATCAAGAGATTTGGTCTGGCTTTCCTCTTATCTAACTATCAGTTCAACAGCCTCTAAATCTTTTTACAAAATGCACATCAAACTGTTTTAAAGATTAGTTTAGGAAGATAAAATCAAACATATCAGATTTATTTTTAAAGGCCACATTAAATCCACCTGTTTCATTATCACATCCATTGAAAAGCATCAAGTACACTTTGGGCTTAGATTATTGGTGATCACAATAAACATAAACTTTCTTTCCTGCATTATGTAAGAAACATTTCTTACCGTATAACTTATCTTCTCACTTTGAATAAGTGATACCCCTCTAATACCCTGACACTTTTTTGTGGAAACATCACAAATACATTTTCCTGACATTGCAAAGCCATCATAACAATTTCAAGAGGCAGGAAAATTGTCCCGCAGCTTGCCTCTGAAGTGGGGTCTCACTTTGTTTGAGCAGCGGAGAAACATTTTCACGATGTAGGCCCTGAGAATCTGATCCCTGAATCCATAGATGAGCGGGCTGAGAAAGCGGGGGATCAGCATGAAACAGAAGTAATTAAAAAAGGCGATGTCCTCCGGTAACCACTTCACATGCCTCACAATGAAACTCTCAGTTAGGGGGCTTGTAAAGGCCAACATGGAGAGCAGCAGCTGAAAGCCGTGCAGCAGCACAGTGTGCAGGGCTTTGTCCACTGACACTCGGTCTTGTCTCAGCTTCCTGGTCTCCAGCAGGATCCTCATGTATGTAAAGAGGATGATGACAGCCACTACTGCGAAGAAAATAATATTTGTGGCAGCTTTAAATAATGTCTGGATTGGAGATGAGTTGACAGCGCTGGATTTGCAGACCACAGGCGTGAAGAAGTCATTCACAGCAGGATCCGGTTCCCTCATGGCGCTTTCGATGAGTGGGGTGCTGCAGCTGATGAGCCACAGGGACAGAATAATGACCCAGATGCGGTCTGAGCGCCAGGCTGCCGGGCGCTGTAAGGGGTAGAAGATGGCAACATAACGCTCCAGGGACATTGTGGCTAAGAGTAAAGGCGTGATCTGGAAAGTGGCGGTGGAAATAAGGAGCATAGGAACACAGTAGACAATGGCAAACTTGACCTGACCCATGACAAAGAGAAAGAGCAGCACAGAGGATAAGAGGTGGAGGGTGTCATTAATGAGCACGTGAGCAAAGAGGATGTAACGCGAGGTGTCCAGGAACTGTCTGTGACACGCAAAAATATGCAACATGACACCTATGAAGCAGAGGAAGACGCAGAAGAAGGGGATAACCACGCACACCTTGATGATCACAGACAGAGTTTTGTCATAGGTCGAATTACCTGGAAACTCAGTAAGGTTCTGCATTTTTCAGGTGTGTTACCTGGTCAAGACACATAAAAAACACTCATGTCAACACTTAAAATACATCCTCAATGGTACATGATGATATTTCATGTAAATAGTGATCAAAACTTACATGTTTATCTCTTTAAAACAGGGTATTACAATATCAAAACCCTCTAAAAAACACAACTATCATACAAACACATGAAGACAACAAATACAGCGCTGCAAACAAAACACAATACAGTCTACACAGTGCTCTTCTCTTACCTATCCCCTTCATCAGCCTCATGAGGTGACCAAGCTTTCTGCTCCTCACCGTAAACTCTGTCATCATCTGCGGGATGTTCCTCTTCTTATAGGAAATGTTTCATTCCACTAAGGTCTCCGTCCCTCCAGAGATTTATCCATGTGATCATCATCATTATGTTTCTTGCAAACATCAGATTTCACTAGGGATTTTGAGGTTTGAATTTCTGATTAACTGCAGAAGTTTTACTGAAGTGTGTTGGAAACTTTAGGTTCGTAATGTATGGCGTCAAAAAACACCAAAGGGGGCAGCGATAGAAAGAAGTCAGGACTGTTGTTTCGCTGAACTTTGTCAACTTAGGATAGTTACGGTTAATGCTCAGACTCCAGTGCGAGTACGAGCTAGATTGAGCTGTTTTGTCTTCTTATGATTCTCCTATCCTAACAGAGGCGTATACTATCAAAGTCTTTCCTTAAACTAGCTGTGAAATGCAGAGTCCTTATGCACTAGACTAGAGGGCGCTTTAGCCAGATGCTTGTTCACTTATATTTCACTCGTTAACCCAGCAGTTATCCACAAATATTGTCACCATTACAAAGTCATCTAACAGTTGACGAAGTATTCTTTTCCAGGTGTTACTGGACTGTGGAGTGTTAATTATGATGGTGTGTCGCCTCGTCAGGCCCAAAGGAAGAATTAAAAGTTCAGTCATTTTCAAAATGTTTGGGTGCTGTGGTGGGCAAAAACATCCTACAAAAGAAGTCTAACTTCTAATAAAGAGAAAAAGGCCTCTGATTGGCTGGATAAAAGGAGGCTTCTGATTGGCCAATTGAAAGTAGGCCTCTGAGTGGCTGGTTAAAAGGAAGCTTTTGATTGGCCAATTGCAAGCAGGCCTTTGATTGGTCAGATGAAAGGAGCTTCAGATTAGCTGACTTGAAGCTGGTCTCTGATTTGCCGGATGATAGAAGCCCTCTGATTAGCTGACTGTAAGCTAGTCTCTAAATTCAGGGAAATGCAAATAAAATATTTGAGAGCATAAGTGTGAATAAAGTGTAAATACAGTAATCTATGTTTAATCATCCTTGTAGAGTCACTTCTCCAACAGCTGAGTTGAATCCACACTGGAACTTCTTTATTATGTTTTTATATTATATTGACAGGTTTTTAAAAGACGAATGTTGTTGACTTTGACAAAGGATTACTCAAAAAGTACATCGTCAGAATACTTCATAATACTTAAAATGGACCTAGAAGGGGAGAGACAACAAAGGCCAAGCCAGAGAAGCTACTTTTTTAATTGATTAATTTGATTTGCGATCTGTAAAATAAAACACCAAAACAGATAATTAGCCAAATACTGAATGTTGGCCCCCATATAAGTAAGAGCACAGATAAATCAATTTTTAAAAAAATGTTTGTACAATGTTATTTTGTTCAAGCATGCTAAATGGTAAGATTTACTGCTATTCTTTTCTAAACTCTCACATTCACAAGTGGTGAATTATATGTTAACATTGTGCAGCAGACCCTGCGCTGGCGAACATCTGTGAATTATTAATTATTATGTCTGAAATAAAGGTTTTTAGAAACAAGGTGGACCCGACACCAGACTGGAAACCTTCATCTGTGGCCGTTTAAGGTGCCTGAAAGTTTTCATGTTTTTGCTAATGCAGTCCAAATTTTCAAGTCACTGAACTGATCTGTTTTCCAGCTGGATTGGGACGATTGATTTTTGGCACAGTGTTGATCCTGCTGATTGGACCATTTTAAGTCACCTGGGTCAGATGTTCCAGCTGAGTCCTGTATCATGCAGTTTGGAAACCATTGATCAAAGTTTTTTTGGCAGTGTCCCTAAATGCTTTTAACTTTTGTGTGCAACTGTGCAACAAAGTTTTAAGTTGCAGATGGTCAGTCCTTTACTTGAAAGAGATCTGGGGCCTGAATTTAAACTTTGTTTGATTTTAAATAAGCTGCAAATGTTTGCGAAATAAACTAAAATACTGCACACATCCACATTATTGTTCTCTATCAGACACCTGACAGGCTCACGGTTTAGTCCAGGTTGAGGACACTGCAGATCACACAGCTATCAATGTGTGTTTTCATGGACACATGAACTGTATGGCTCAGACAGGGGAACAGGGTCAGATGTTGTTGACAGTCAATATAAAGATAAGTCCTGTACATTTCAGGGCTGTACATATAAACCTGTTTATAGTTTTATCTGGAGTTTTGCCAGTCCTACTTTTCCTGCTTGGAAACTGGTCTTGGCTTAAGAATCAGTCAATTAATCATTTATCTTTTTATTGGGCCAAGTCACATATCTCAAAAGTTTGGAGCGGTCCAATCAGGAGAATCTTAATATTAACCTTTTATAAATACAATGGTTACTGTATGAGTTTAGACTTCTGTAAGCTGTCGTTTTTAAAGACAGATTTTTAAGAAAACCCTTACACCTTTACACAAAAAGTCTGATCTGGGATAAAACATGTTACTCTTTATATTAACCGTATTGAAAGCAGCAGTTTTACTCTGCCTTAACATTGTTTTGAAGAAGAAGATGATGAATCTCAGTGTTATGAGGTGCTGGAGTCTCAAGAGCGTGTCCTGTACCCCCTGTTTAGTAATTAACAGACTGGCTGATTATTAACATTACGCTCCAGAGTCTCACTAAACAACCCGAAAGTTTCATGTTTTTGGCAAACAAGTTGACTCTGTTGGAATGGGCTCGTCCCCTTTTTACGCAAGGCCTACGTCAGCAGCAGGACTGAGGAGGATCAGACCAACAATGAGGCCAAAACAAACTTCATGCGTCAGATCCTGATGCGTGCCACCTCAGCAAACAGATAGTTAGAGATAGTCAGGCTGAGTTATTGGGACATATATGGTATGGAGTAGTGTGACATTAAAAAAAAAAGTTATTTTTAGGAAAATGAAGAGGCAGATGTACAGAGGGAGATCAAAATATCTTATTTTAATGCCTGTATCTTCAAAACAAGATCAGATCAGAATCAGAATCAGAAATACTTTTGTAATCCCCAGGGGGGAAGTTGCTTTTGTCACGGTAACTCCAGTGCGAATACAATAAAACGGGAGATAAAATAATAGACAATATAAGTAAAAATAAAGAGATAAATAGATAAAATAAGTAAAATAAGTAAAAATAAAGAGATAATATACAAGTATGATCGATCCAGCACTACCGATAAACAGGGATCTTCATGCACAGCCAGATAACAACTCCACACTGAGCAACAGACAGCCATTAGACGTCTAGTTTTTTTATTTTAGACGTAATTTCAACCGTCCAGATTCTGTTTATTTTTAGATGGAATTTAGACGTTGCACTTGGACTCATTATTCGATAACTATCTATTCCAAAAAGCAACTGTGAGTTGCATAAATGATCTCCAAGGACTTAACCAAAATAATTATGATAGCCATTGAGCAATATACCGTGTAATATAGATATAGCCCAGATTTAGATTTAGCTTAAACTTGGTCTAAATTTAGACATCTAAAAAACTTTCAATTTTTGACCTGTTGTACCAGTGATTTTAGACCAGTTATCTCGGCAACATTTAGACGTCTATTAGACCTCTTTAAACCAAAAAATGCTCAGTAGGTCAGGTGCAGAACATAAAGACAATGAACAAGAAATAAGTCTGAAATGATTTTACTGCCACTTTATCGTGAGCAAACCACGTTTCGCCTGTGGCTTCTTCAGCTTCACCCCTCACTATGATGCCCCCTTGCAGCTCCCTCCATCATTTTGAGAAGGAGTCACTTGATTCCAATTTAGCATCTTTTTATCCAAATGCAGCTGTTCTTACCTCCACACCACAGGCCTGCTGCTCATGCTGGCCTTCTCAGGTCTCTTCAGAGCACCAGTCAGTTTTGCTCATCGAAACATTTAGATCCAAATCCAGATTTTAAAAAAGCACTTTATTTGTGGGATTTTCCAAAAGTTTATGTCTCTACTGAACCTGTCACCTTTATATTCCCAGGCAGCAGCTCTAACCACTACAACACCGGCCCTCTTGCTTGACCTTGTCTTCTCAGGTTTCTTGATTGCACCGATTCACAATGTTTTAGAAAAGCTGAGCTTAAACTGCACTTTATTTTTTGGTTATTCAACAGCCCATGTTTTTGGAGGATTTGAACCTGTTTCTCTTCATTCATAGGCAGCAGTTTTAACCAGCACACCTCTGGCCTGCCTCCCTGCTTTAGATTATCTCATCTGTTATCTTGTTTTATTGCTGCTTTATTTATCCTTGGATAATCATAAATTGAGTTTAAGGAAAGCATTCGATTTGTATGTCACTTCAAAGTTGTAGTTCTTGCTGGTTTTGAGGTTTATTTGTTAAGGTTTATCCTCTTTTTATTGCACTGAGTTGATTCAAAATAATTGTCCAGACCTCAGTGAAAGGATCCAGGACTAACTTTAAAGAAATCGGTCATTGTTAGGATTTGAACCCAGGAGGAACTATAAACTGTTTGACTAGTCCAGGATCATCTGCTTTATTTGCTGGAAGATTTTGATGAAAAGAAAATTAATTTATTGGAGGAAATCTGAAGTTATTTCTAAAATAAATTTTAATAGACTGTAAAATTAAAGACTTTTTTTTACAGGATAGGCCACAAAAATGACAAAGTTGCCACAAAATATTGATTTTAAAATATTTTTATTAGTTTAAAAATAGCTTAAAAAATAGTTTCAGTTCCAGAGATGGTCAAGCTAGAAAAAGGAAAGTTCTAACTCCATTCTGTCTAGGGTTTGTTTTATGTTTTTTGTCACAAAGTAAATCTTCATTTCCATCCTCATGTCTTTAAACCACTCCTTTTTTTCTTCTTCTTGTCTTGTCAGCTGCTGACAATCACGAGTTTTTCTTGCATGATTATCAAAAATATCCTCTAGTTGTTTACTGATTCACACTGCTTTTGTCACAGTGTCTGCATGCAGAGGGTGAAACGTGCCAGAGTCCTTGTTGTTGATTGTTTGATTTGATGTGTGGGAACATGCTGCAGTTTTGCAACACTTGTCAACTAATACCACACCTTTGCTGTGGGAGATCGGTTAATCAAAATCAGGTATCTAACATGACCAGATAATATAAAAATAGTATCATAATACTGCTTAGTTATAAGCCTTGTGAAAATTAACTGTTTTCTACTTGCACCCTCTGATTCGCATCAAAAACCCATAAATTATCTGAATACAGGAAAATATTTGATGCATCAACTATTTTGGTGGGAGGGAGCAACCAAGCACTATGTCGATGTAAAAGAGGCTTGTTTACATGTTGGACAGCTACAGTATTTGATATTTGAAATTATGAATAATTACCTATTAAATGAAGGTATAAAAACTGTTTTATTTTAACTTCATAAACATTTTGTCCACAGCTGCAGCTGACCCTCTTTCTCATGCACACACACAAACACAATGAAGGAAGAGACAGAGTGAGAGGCCTGGACGTAATATCTTTCCCTTTGGCCCCTCTCTGATAAAACCAAATACGTACATTTGCAGGCAGAGTCAACAGATCAATGCCTTTTACGTAATGACATGGTTCCTGGGCCCTATAAATACTGACAGGAATCTCAGTCAGACATCATCGTCGAGCTGACTCAAAGACTGCAAGCAGCAAACAAGAGCGAAAACTAGCGAACATTTCCTCTGCTTTAAAAAAGACGAGGCGACTACAGCAGAACAGCAGGTTCATTTAACCTTCAGAGAAAACCTAACTGACTTCCAACAGTTACTGTGATTGCATAGAGTACAGTCTTAGTCACAGTCTGCAACAAACCTGCAAAATGCAAGCCGTTCGTCAGTGTTCAGTGTGTGCTGCAGGAGGACTTCTGAGAAACCAGACAGACTTTTCATTTCTGCGGACCAGCAAGAGTATGCTCAGGAGAGGAGCAGCCTGCATCCGCTCCATAAGGTAGGTTAAAAAGTGTTCATAGTGGCCAGTTTTCCACTTTTTAGGATGCATGTCATTATCAGCATACTAACCTGCTTGTATTCTGCTCTTTATTTTCTGCAGCATTTCTGAGAGCGGACAGTTCAAGCCTGGAGTTCAAAAGTTAGAGGACAAGACAAATACTGCACACATGAACACTGCACCAACAAGCATTGCCCGTGGACTCAACACATTCCCCTTCACGCAGGTTCGTCCTCTTCTCATGCCAGAACAAAATCGATCCTTATTTATGAACTGAAGGAAATTGAAGAAAGATGTTGAGATACTGAGTTTTGACCCTTCCTTCCTCAGCAGGTGGAAAACCTCTCTCACGAATCCCTGATCAGAAGAGCAGCCTCTGTGGCGACAGATGGCTCCAGCGCCTTCCTCTCACAGACCACCTCAGCTTTCATTGACGCCCTCACAGACTACTCAAAGGTAGGTTTCTTCATCGTTCATGTAGGACTGTAGGATGTGTAAACCACTGCAACAATGAGCCTTTAAAAATGACCCTGCACTCCCCCTGACTGTCTGCCGTCTCTCTGTTTGATAACAGGCCGTGCACACTCGTACCACTTTCCAAAGACGCTATGTGGCGACCCTGGGGAAGCTGACCCCAGCAGAGGAGGACTCACTCCTGGAGGTGATCAGTGTCAAGCGTGCAGAGGTAGGTTTTGCATATCTTTTTTTCCCTGCAAAAATCAGCTCCAACTATTTGCAGGCTCAAACTAAATATACTTGTTATTTACTTTGTCTCATCTGTTTGTCCCAAAAGGCCAGTGAGAGACTGGAAGACTGCAAACGCTTTGAGTCTACCTGGATCAATGCTGTCAACTTGTGCAAAATGGCAGCCGAGGCAGCACATAAATCAGGTAAATAAAATGTGTGATGACATGAATATGTAGTTTTGAGGCTTAATAAAGTAATTCAAAAGGAACTAAACTTGCTGTCTTGTTGATTGTTGAATTTGAGCAGCATTTTGACAGAATCTATGTTTTCATGTGTCTCCAGGAGCTGAACACGCGTCCATCGCAGTGAGAGCAAACATCCAGGTGGCCCAGTCACAGGTGGAGGAGGCTCGTAAACTGTCAGCAGACGCAGATAAGAAGCTAGCGGAGACCAAGGTGGAGGAGATCCAAAGAATGGCTGAATGTGCTGCTTTCAGATGGGATAGTGAGGAGCATGAGGTGCACGAGGCTTATCTTAGAGAGGACTGAGGCAAACAGACACTTTCTGTTTTTATCTCTTTTCTCTGTCTCTTTCCTTTTTGGATCCTGTAATATTGTTCAGCCTGTAAGACTTACTGTATCTAAAAGGGGAAAGTATGAAATATATATAACTTAATCCTTTAAGGTTGCCTAAATTATTATTTATCACTATTTATTTGATCACTGAGTGTCAGCTACTTAAAAACAATTGAAAAGTGAGAATAACATCTCCTGTTTTGGTATTTGGCTGCAGTGAGATTGATCCATCATTGTAGCACAGTGTTGTTATTGTATGATTTTGTGTGAAAATAAATACATTTAGAGAAAAAGTAATGCTTTCATTGTCATATCTCCCATAAGACAGGAGAAAAGGAGTATTTATTCAGATAATTGTTTTTTTTCTGGCCATGTCTGCAGTTCCTTAAATACAAGCCTTTTTTTTTTTTTTCATATTTTCATCAGCGTCCTTCTGGCAACTTGCTTATAAACTGGTGTTGAATTTCTCTTGAAATAAATGGAGAGTAATCTGCAATATTCGGACGAGTTGAGGGAGCAAGCTCTTTATTTGGGAGAGCAGCCCCCTATACCTTTGGGTCTCAAAACATGTTCCCCCATGCTTTCTAAAGTACTGCACAATATTTGTTAAAGTCCAAATTTATGGCATTTCTGAAACATCAACAAAACTAGAGGGATCTTTTAAAATTCACAAGTGTGCTGAAAAGGCTCTGGCTAAAACATCTGTGCATAACCAAATCCCCTTTGTGGAGGAGTGCCGTTCTGACATCTCACGAGATTTCTCTTGTTGCAGCCAGGAAAACAGAGGATACAGTATGTGACTGAGAGACCAGGAGAGTCACAGAACGGCTCCATACTGGACCAATTTCAGAAACTGCTCTCCCCATTAGGCATGCAGACACTAACACTCAGAAAAATAGGGCCCAGGTTGTAAAACATCGACTTCCCTTATTGCATTTGCATAAATTCAACAATTCAATTATTAAACAATCAATGCGAGTGTGATTTCAGTTGAACACAGTAATGACAAAAAGCTCTTACAACTTTAATATTTTTATTAAATTAATTTTATTAATAACATTTACAAGATGTCCATTGTTTTCAGAATCAACTCATATGTAAGTATGCATTAAACTGAGGATAGGACTGAAAAAAAGCACATTCATCTGAATGAGTCAAGATGCTTTCTGTGTAATCTTAAAGCAATCACAGTTTAACACGAAACCAAGAAGACAGTTGATAGCAAAAGCAACATCAGCAGCTGTTAATAATAAAGAATTACTATTACGATATCTAACTCACTTTCTAACTCACTTAAATAAATTCAGCACCACAGAAATAAAATGAAAATGTCACTGATATTTAAGCCCACAACTAAAGAAGTCATTGATAACTGTGAGTTGAATTCATCATTAAAAAGCTGGTGATTCCTTGTATAAGCCACAAAAGAGATTACATTTCAGAGCACGAAAAAAGGCTTCATCCCTGAGGCCGTAGATTAGAGGACTTAGACATCTTGGACCTAGAATAAAAAACACATAAGTAAAAGTCCTCAGGTTTCCAACTACTACAGTATCAGGAATATGGAGATTAGCTTCTATGAGGGGTATCCAAAGCTGCATCAGACAGAGCAGCAGCTGGAAGGCATGTAAAATGACTGTTCTTAGACCTTTCTGTGTTGACTCTTTGTTATCTCCTGATGCCACTTTGGCCACTTTCATTATTTTAACATAGCAGAATACAATGATGACACTCATGATCAAGAAATAAAACTGATACACAGCTGAGTGGACATGTCGTGTCCAGTAATGCATGAAAATTCGTGTCCTTTCACATATTTTGTATTCGAAGTAAAAGCTGACAGGTGATGAGGAAAAGATGACAAAGAGAACAATCAAGCAGGGAACTGTGCTGAGGCCCTGTATGATGAAGATGCAGCAAAAAGTTCTGCGCATGGAGCAGAGCTCTTCATGACGCAGGGGCATGCAGATGGACACATAACGCTCCAGGGTCATTGCTGTCAAAGTAACTGGTGTTACAACAACCCACAGAAGTGTCACAGAGCAGATGATCATACAAACCCATATTGGCAATGTGACTCTAAAATAAAACAAGACAAGCAGGATATCACTGATGATTAAAATCAGACTATCTGAGTGTAAGGTAACAGCAAATAAGATGTAGCGTGCAGTTGTGTTGAAGCACTCCCTCTGGAAAAATGTTACAATTAAGAAAATGTTAATGCAGAGAAAAATGACAACCACAATCTGCACAATAATAACAAAACGGTCTGTAAATAGCTGAAGAGAGAACCCAGCACCATCCAGCAAGGTGTTATTTGCCATCACTCTCCTCAGCAGGTAGCTGTTAAAGCAGTGAAAAATGACAAACTGTGATAATGCTTTTGAAAGAGAAAAGGTTAAAGGCAAACCTGCATTCATTCTAAGATAATCATTCACATAAAGTCCTTTACCAATATTCATTGCTGTGCCAAACCTCTTAACCTCAGGTTTCCAAGGACTGGTGATCGTCTTTGAAGAGTTCAGAGCAAGTGCTGTCCACAGATGACTTCACATGAGTGACCAGGATACAGGCAAAGTAACAGCAAATTTAACCTCTCTTAAAGCACTGTTGTCATTCCTGCTCACTGTCTGTCACCCTCAGTGGTCCCTCCCTGTACAGGCTGTATCGTGAAGTAAACAAGGCATCATTATCCCAGTGGCACACAACACACGTGACACTGAGAGTTTTCCACTTTTTCAGCTCTACAGGCTCAAGGCTTTGTGTTTGGACAATATGAATATTCATACTGTATTTCATTGAAATTGATTCACCTGCTACTGAGATCAATCAATAAATCAATGAATCAATCTTTATCTGTATCCCACCAATTTAATACATATATTATCTCATGAAGCTTAACAAGAAGAGCTGGTCTCCACTCCTCTCTTCATGATATTCACACAGACCCAATGTGATGATGGGTTAAGCTTTGAGCAGAACCAGACCCATGTATGACAGACATCTGCTCCTATTGTAGTGGGTTTAGAGAGGAGATAGAGGGAGAAGCAGAAAAGAGAGAGATGGACAGAGACCAACAATTACAATAATACATATGTGTGGTTACACGATTAGAGACATGTCACCATAGGTCAAATCATGGCCCAAAAGGTCAGAGTCAGGAGTGTACCTGCACCACTGTTAAATGGCAGTACATTAAATTATAGTCTGTTTCTAGTACTCAACTTTGCTTTCTAAAATGGTATTGATCCTAGAGATACACAGAGGAACAAGAAACAGGATTGATACACAGGGGAAAAAAAACTTGTTATTCCACAGCAGTTAATTTTCACTCACCTGAGGCCTGTGGTGCACTAAAGTAGACCAGCCCACAGAAGGTTATCATTGTACTTATTGAAAAAAGGCTGAGATGTGTATGGCTGGGAGAAGAAGCTGAACAGCAAGAATTTAAGTAAGTAAGTGTTGGTCCAGTAGAGGTATGATGAAGAGGGTTCACTGTAACTATCAAATGACTCGGAGAAGCTGTTTACCTCTTTTTTATCTTTCTCTCTGCTCTTCTCTCATATAGGGGAGTAAGTGGAGCGAGAGCATGCAGCCCAACATGGCAGATCTGATCTCTGACCCAACCAGGCTTCATGCCCTGGCCCTGGTTTCCCTATCCTCTTTTGTACATCCTTGACTCTTTCTGTTCCCTCTCTGTTCTCTCCTTGCATCCCGTGTCAAAGTGGGGGAGTAGGGGGAGGTAGATGTGTACAGACTTGTTAGGGTGATTTTCTTAAGCCAGTCATGTCAGCCTTTAGAGTGGTGGAGCTGTGTCACTCAAATACCTCAGATACTTTGGTACTAGATTTCTGGAGCCATGGGCCTCCAACAACTTTCCTCAACAAGGACCTTGTACCCATGTTTAACATCACTCGGGCTCCCAAAATATGTTGTGCTTTGTTATTACCTTATATGGACTCTCCTTTAGGCCAACGAGATGCAAGTGGAATGTTTGGAAACGTGGACGACTTTATACGTATACTTAAAGAGTCTCAGACCATTCTTTGTTACACTTAGGTGACACTTGTGTTACACTTATGGTACACTTGTGGCATGATGAAGCTGTAACCCAGATCTGCAACCAGTAAAGCTTGTCAAAACGATCATTCTTGTGGACCTTCCATTTTTTAAAGTGTGAACATGGGCGAGGCATCCTTACAAGACTGACCTTGAAGGGTGAGCTCAGGCCTAAACTGGCTTCTTCTTCTGGCTCTGCCTTCCCTCTTCTCTTTCTTGCACCTTTTACTTTTCTGTTGTTATTTCTCACTTTCCTTCCTGTATCCCAGAACGGAGTGGGCGAATAAGGGGAAATAGAGTATACAGCCAGAGTCCAGTAAGGGTCAGCTCTGGCCCAAAAAGGCCCACAGAGGCTCTACTTTCCCTGTTGTCTATGAAGCATCTCGTGCTTTCTTATTTTCTTCCTCTTCTCTTTTTGCATCCCTTATTGTAGTGATGAGGTAAGACTAAGATTTTTGAGGTTTTGAAAGATAAATCCTTCTTTAAACAAAACATTGAGAAAAATCTCTCATCAAACTTTTGAGTGTTATCTAAGTTTTCAAACAGTGATGAAGTGTTAACTAAGTCTTCAGATGTTTTGCACCAACAGAGAAGTCTTTGCATAATTAATGAAGCCATTAAACAGCAGCTTAAATTGGTTTCACTGGAGTTTGTTTTGTCACACAGGAATACAGACAGTGAACTTGTTATGGTCATTATTGCATCAAAGTTACACAAGACAAGACATCACACCAAGAACTTTTTCCCCTGGATGATGAAATTTCACTTTGAGTGTCTCATGCCTGTGTAGGCCAGATAGTTTGAGTTTACAGACTTTCCTCTAAAGTTTTCTAGCCTTGATTATAAAATTATGTCATAATGATAGAATCTTAAAAGTATCTGGTTATACTTTTGTAAATATTTAAATGTCCATGTTTTAAGAAAGAGGTATCACATAGCTGTGATAGTATGTATCTGAAAACCTTCAACTTTCATTTGATGTCATTGAATGAGTCAAGATTTCTGACTGTTTTGGTCATATTTTACAATGACTATCTTTTTTTTCACTGTCAATCAATTATACAAGTAAGGTTATGATGGTTTTGATCATAACAAATACTTATTGTAAAAGTAAAAAAACAAGTGGAAGCCAAGGCAGCTCATACATCAGGTAAATAAATGTGTGATGAAGTGAATCTGTAGTTTTAAGGCTGGAAACACATGACTTCAAAAAAACTCAACTTGCTGCCATGTTGCTTGTCTATTACAAGCAGTATTTTGACAAGATTTGTGTTTTCAGGTGTCTCCAGGAGCTGAACACACATCCATTGCAGCAAGAACAAACATCTAGGTTGCCCAAAGAATGGCTGAATATGCTGCTTTCAGATGAGATAGTGAGGAGCTTGAGGTGCATGAAGTTTATTTTACAGGGGACTGAGACGAACAGACACTTTCTGTTTTTATCTCTCTTCTCTGTCTCTTTTCTTTTTGAATCATATAAGATGGTTCACCCTGCAAGACATTTAAAAGGAGAAAACGTGAAATATACATAACTTAATTTTTAAGGATGTTTCAATTATTTATCACTATTTATTTGAACACTGAGTGTCAGCTACTTTAGAGCCATTGAAAAGTGAATGTAACATCTCCTGATTTGGTATTTGGCTTCAGTGAGATTGATCCATCATTGCACCACAGTGTTGATAATTGTATGGGTATGTGTGAAAATAAATATATCTGGAGAAAAGTAATGCTTTCATTGTCATGTATAAGACAGGAGAGAAAGGAGTATTTATTCAGATAACTGTTTTTTTTTCTCACCACGTCTGCAGTTCCTTAAATCCAAGTCTTTTATTTATTTAATATATTTTATTGTCTTTATCAGTGTACCTCTGATGACTTGCTTATCAACTGGTGTTACATTTTCGTGAAGTGGAGAGTAACCCCATAGCTACCTGTGGGGACTGGTTTAATAAACACTCTGACTAAAAATCCCTACTTTGAAAAATCAAACTTCCTAAAAATGTCTTTTTTCCATGTGCTTCTGTGTATTTGACTGTCACAGTGAACAATTTCTGGAGCTGGTCGAGGATTGAAGGACAGCGGAGCTGTAGCTAGCAACCGCGGAACTCGCTAAAAACATCTTTGTACAACCAAATCACGTTTGTGGAGAGTCCTGTTGTGACATCTCGCGAGACTTCACTTGCTGCAGCCAGGAAGACAACAGAGGATACGTGAGTGGAGACACTGGAAAAGTCACAGGACGGCTCAATACTTGATCAATTTTAGAAACTATTTTCCACATCAGACGAGCAGAAACAAACACACAGGAAAATAGGGGCTAGATGTAAAAACACCGACGTTCTCCGTGATCATCGTTTGTGTATTAAATCAACGAGGCAGTTATAAAACCTTTCAATGAGAGTGCGCATTCAGTTAAACTCAGCAATGACAAAAAGCTCTTACAACTTTAATATTTTTATAAAATTCATTTAATTAATAACATTTAGAAGTTGTGCAATGTTTTCAGACTCAACTCATACATTAGTATACATTAAACTGAAGATAAGACTGAAAAAGAAGCACAGTCAGTCACCTGAATGAGTCATGATGCGTTCAGTGTCACTCTTAAAGCAATCACAGTTCATCCTAAAACAAGAAACCAGGTAAGGTTAAGGTTTATCCTCTTTTTATTGCACTGAGTTGATTCAAAATAATTGTCCAGACCTCAGTGAAAGGATCCAGGACTAAATTTAAAGAAATCGGTCATTGTTAGGATTTGAACCCAGGAAGAACTATAAACTGTTTGACATCGCCACACAATTTACTAGTCCAGGAGCATCTGCTTTATTTGCTGGAAGATTATGATGGAAAGAAAATTAATTTATTGGAGGAAATCTGAAGTTATTTCTAAAATAAGTTTTAATAGACTGTAAAATTAAAGAGTTTTTTTTACAGGATAGGCCACAAAAAATGACAAAGTTGCCACAAAATATTGATTTTAAAATAGTTTTATTAGTTTAAAAATAGCTTGAAAAATAGTTTCAGTTCCAGAGATGGTCAAGCTAGAAAAAGGAAAGCTCTAACTCCATTCTGTCTGGAGTTTGTTTTATGTTTTTTGTCACAAAGTAAATCTTCATTTCCATCCTCATGTCTTTAAACCACTCCTTTTTTTCTTTTTCTTGTCTTGTCAGTTGCTGACAATCACGAGTTTTTCTTGCATGATTATCAAAAATATCCTCTAGTTGTTTACTGATTCACACTGTTTTTGTCACAGTGTCTGCATGCAGAGGGTGAAACGTGCCAGAGTCCTTGTTGTTGATTGTTTGATTTGATGTGTGGGAACATGCTGCAGTTTTGCAACACTTGTCAACTAATACCACACCTTTGCTATGGGAGATCGGTTAATCAAAATCAGATATCTAACATGACCAGATAATATAAAAATAGTATCATAATACTGCTTAGTTATAAGCCTTAGTTATGACTTAATCTGTATGTAGAGGATCTCCAACAATGAGACTTTAAAAATGACCCTGCACTCCCCCTGACTGTCTGCCGTCTCTCTGTTTGATAACAGGCCGTGCACACTCGTACCACTTTCCAAAGACGCTATGTGGCGACCCTGGGGAAGCTGACCCCAGCAGAGGAGGACTCACTCCTAGAGGTGATCAGTGTCCAGCGTGCAGAGGTAGGTTTTGCATATCTTTTTTTCCCTGCAAAAATCAGCTCCAACTATTTGCAGGCTCAAACTAAATATACTTGTTATTTACTTTGTCTCATCTGTTTGTCCCAAAAGGCCAGTGAAAGACTGGAAGACTGCAAACGCTTTGGGTCTACCTGGATCAGTGCTGTCAACTTGTGCAAAATGGCAGCTGAGGCAGCACATAAATCAGGTAAATAAAATGTGTGATGACATGAATATGTAGTTTTGAGGCTTAATAAAGTAATTCAAAAGGAACTAAACTTGCTGTCTTGTTGATTGTTGAATTTGAGCAGCATTTTGACAGAATCTATGTTTTCATGTGTCTCCAGGAGCTGAACACGCGTCCATCGCAGTGAGAGCAAACATCCAGGTGGCCCAGTCACAGGTGGAGGAGGCTCGTAAACTGTCAGCAGATGCAGATAAGAAGCTGGCCGAGACCAAGGTGGAGGAGATCCAAAGAATGGCTGAATGTGCTGCTTTCAGATGGGATAGTGAGGAGCATGAGGTGCACGAGGCTTATCTTAGAGAGGACTGAGGCAAACAGACACTTTCTGTTTTTATCTCTCTTCTCTGTCTCTTCCCTTTTTGGATCCTGTAATATTGTTCAGCCTGTAAGACATACTGTATCTAAAAGGGGAAAGTATGAAATATATATAACTTAATCCTTTAAGGTTGCCTAAATTATTATTTATCACTATTTATTTGATCACTGAGTGTCAGCTACTTAAAAACAATTGAAAAGTGAGAATAACATCTCCTGTTTTGGTATTTGGCTGCAGTGAGATTGATCCATCATTGTAGCACAGTGTTGTTATTGTATGATTTTGTGTGAAAATAAATACATTTAGAGAAAAAGTAATGCTTTCATTGTCATATCTCCCATAAGACAGGAGAAAAGGAGTATTTATTCAGATAACTGTTTTTTTTCTGGCCATGTCTGCAGTTCCTGAAATACAAGCCTTTTTTTTCATATTTTCATCAGCGTCCTTCTGGCAACTTGCTTATAAACTGGTGTTGAATTTCTCTTGAAATAAATGGAGAGTAATCTGCAATATTCGGACGAGTTGAGGGAGCAAGCTCTTTATTTGGGAGAGCAGCCCCCTATACCTTTGGGTCTCAAAACATGTTCCCCCATGCTTTCTAAAGTACTGCACAATATTTGTTAAAGTCCAAATTTATGGCATTTCTGAAGCATCAACAAAACTAGAGGGATCTTTTAAAATTCACAAGTGTGCTGAAAAGGCTCTGGCTAAAACGTCTGAGCATAACCAAATCTGCTTTGTGGAGGAGTGCCGTTCTGACATCTCGCGAGATTTCTCTTGTTGCAGCCAGGAAAACAGAGGATACAGTATGTGACTGAGAGACCAGGAGAGTAACAGACCAGCTCCATACTGGACCAATTTCAGAAACTGCTCTCCCCATTAGGCATGCAGACACTAACACTCAGAAAAATAGGGCCCAGGTTGTAAAACATCGACTTCCCTTATTGCATTTGCATAAATTCAACAATTCAATTATTAAACAATCAATGAGAGTGTGATTTCAGTTGAACACAGTAATGACAAAAAGCTCTTACAACTTTAATATTTTTATTAAATCAATTTTATTAATAACATTTACAAGATGTCCATTGTTTTCAGAATCAACTCATATGTAAGTATGCATTAAACTGAGGATAGGACTGAAAAAAAGCACATTCATCTGAATGAGTCAAGATGCTTTCTGTGTAATCTTAAAGCAATCACAGTTTAACACGAAACCAGGAAGACAGTTGATAGCAAAAGCAACATCAGCAGCTGTTAATAATAAAGAATTACTATTACGATATCTAACTCACTTTCTAACTCACTTAAATAAATTCAGCACCACAGAAATGAAAATGAAAATGTCACCAATTTTTAAGACCACAACTAAAGTAGTCATTGATAACTGTGAGTTGAAATCTTCATTAAAAAGCTGGTGATTCCTTGTATAAGCCACAAAAGAGATTAAATTTCAGAGCACGAAAAAAGGCTTCATCCCTGAGGCCGTAGATTAGAGGACTGAGACATCTTGGAGCTAGAATAAAAAACACATAAGTAAAAGTCCTCAGGTTTCCAACTACTACAGTATCAGGAATATGGAGATTAGCTTCTATGAGGGGTATCCAAAGCTGCATCAGACAGAGCAGCAGCTGGAAGGCATGTAAAATGACTGTTCTTAGACCTTTCTGTGTTGACTCTTTGTTATCTCCTGATGCCACTTTGGCCACTTTCATTATTTTAACATAGCAGAATACAATGATGACACTCATGATCAAGAAATAAAACTGATACACAGCTGAGTGGACATGTCGTGTCCAGTAATGCATGAAAATTCGTGTCCTTTCACATATTTTGTATTCGAAGTAAAAGCTGACAGGTGATGAGGAAAAGATGACAAAGAGAACAATCAAGCAGGGAACTGTGCTGAGGCCCTGTATGATGAAGATGCAGAACAAAGTTCTGCGCATGGAGCAGAGCTCTTCATGACGCAGGGGCATGCAGATGGCCACATAACGCTCCAGGACCATTGCTGTCAAAGTAACTGGTGTTACAACAACCCACAGAAGTGTCACAGAGCAGATGATCATACAAACCCATATTGGCAATGTGACTCTAAAATAAAACAAGACAAGCAGGATATCAGTGATGATTAAAATCAGACTATCTGAGTGTAAGGTAACAGCAAATAAGATGTAGCGTGCAGTTGTGTTGAAGCACTCCCTCTGGAAAAATGTTACAATTAAGAAAATGTTAATGCAGAGAAAAATGACAACCACAATCTGCACAATAATAACAAAACGGTCTGTAAATAGCTGAACAGTCAACCCAGCACCATTCATCAAGGTGTTATTTGCCATCTCTCTCCTCAGCAGGTAGCTGTTGAAGCAGTGCAAAATGACAAACTGTGATGATGATTTTGAAAGAGAAAAAGTTAAAGGCAAACCTGCATTCATTCTAAAATAATAATTCACATAAAGTCCTTTACCAATATTCATTGCTGTGCCAAACCTCTTAACCTCAGGTTTCCAAGGACTGGTGATCGTCTTTGAAGAGTTCAGAGCAAGTGCTGTCCACAGATGACATACATGAGTGACCAGGATACAGGCAAAGTAACAGCAAATTTAACCTCTCTTAAAGCACTGTTGTCATTCCTGCTCACTGTCTGTCACCCTCAGTGGTCCCTCCCTGTACAGGCTGTATCGTGAAGTAAACAAGGCATCATTATCCCAGTGGCACACAACACACGTGACACTGAGAGTTTTCCACTTTTTCAGCTCTACAGGCTCAAGGCTTTGTGTTTGGACAATATGAATATTCATACTGTATTTCATTGAAATTGATTCACCTGCTACTGAGATCAATCAATAAATCAATGAATCAATCTTTATCTGTATCCCACCAATTTAATACATATATTATCTCATGAAGCTTAACAAGAAGAGCTGGTCTCCACTCCTCTCTTCATGATATTCACACAGACCCAATGTGATGATGGGTTAAGCTTTGAGCAGAACCAGACCCATGTATGACAGACATCTGCTCCTATTGCAGTGGGTTTAGAGAGGAAATAGAGAGAGAAGCAGAAAAGAGAGAGATGGACAGAGACCAACAATTACAATAATACATATGTGTGGTTACACGATTAGAGACATGTCACCATAGGTCAAATCATGGCCCGAAAGGTCAGAGTCAGGAGTGTACCTGCACCACTGTTAAATGGCAGTACATTAAATTATAGTCTGTTTCTAGTACTCAACTTTGCTTTCAAAAAATGGTATTGATCCTAGAGATACACAGAGAAACAAGAAACAGGATTGATACAAAGGGGAAAAAAAACTTGTTATTCCACAGCAGTTAATTTTCACTCACCTGAGGCCTGTGGTGCACTAAAGTAGACCAGCCCACAGAAGGTTATCATTGTACTTATTGAAAAAAGGCTGAGATGTGTATGGCTGGGAGAAGAAGCTGAACAGCAAGAATTTAAGTAAGTAAGTGTTGGTCCAGTAGAGGTATGATGAAGAGGGTTCACTGTAACTATCAAATGACTCGGAGAAGCTGTTTACCTCTTTTTTATCTTTCTCTCTGCTCTTCTCTCATATAGGGGAGTAAGTGGAGCGAGAGCATGCAGCCCAACATGGCAGATCTGATCTCTGACCCAACCAGGCTTCATGCCCTGGCCCTGGTTTCCCTATCCTCTTTTGTACATCCTTGACTCTTTCTGTTTCCTCTCTGTTCTCTCCTTGCATCCCGTGTCAAAGTGGGGGAGTAGGGGGAGGTAGATGTGTACAGACTTGTTAGGGTGATTTTCTTAAGCCAGTCATGTCAGCCTTTAGAGTGGTGGAGCTGTGTCACTCAAATACCTCAGATACTTTGGTACTAGATTTCTGGAGCCATGGGCCTCCAACAACTTTCCTCAACAAGGACCTTGTACCCATGTTTAACATCACTCGGGCTCCCAAAATATGTTGTGCTTTGTTATTACCTTATATGGACTCTCCTTTAGGCCAACGAGATGCAAGTGGAATGTTTGGAAACGTGGACGACTTTATATGTATACTTAAAGAGTCTCAGACCATTCTTTGTTACACTTAGGTGACACTTGTGTTACACTTATGGTACACTTGTGGCATGATGAAGCTGTAACCCAGATCTGCAACCAGTAAAGCTTGTCAAAACGATCATTCTTGTGGACCTTCCATTTTTTAAAGTGTGAACATGGGCGAGGCATCCTTACAAGACTGACCTTGAAGGGTGAGCTCAGGCCTAAACTGGCTTCTTCTTCTTCTGGCTCTGCCTTCCCTCTTCTCTTTCTTGCACCTTTTACTTTTCTGTTGTTATTTCTCACTTTCCTTCCTGTATCCCAGAACGGAGTGGGCGAATAAGGGGAAATAGAGTATACAGCCAGAGTCCAGTAAGGGTCAGCTCTGGCCCAAAAAGGCCCACAGAGGCTCTACTTTCGCTGTTGTCTATGAAGCATCTCGTGCTTTCTTATTTTCTTCCTCTTCTCTTTTTGCATCCCTTATTGTAGTGATGAGGTAAGACTAAGATTTTTGAGGTTTTGAAAGATAAATCCTTCTTTAAACAAAACATTGAGAAAAATCTCTCATCAAACTTTTGAGTGTTATCTAAGTTTTCAAACAGTGATGAAGTGTTAACTAAGTCTTCAGATGTTTTGCACCAACAGAGAAGTCTTTGCATAATTAATGAAGCCATTAAACAGCAGCTTAAATTGGTTTCACTGGAGTTTGTTTTGTCACACAGGAATACAGACAGTGAACTTGTTATGGTCATTATTGCATCAAAGTTACACAAGACAAGACATCACACCAAGAACTTTTTCCCCTGGATGATGAAATTTCACTTTGAGTGTCTCATGCCTGTGTAGGCCAGATAGTTTGAGTTTACAGACTTTCCTCTAAAGTTTTCTAGCATTGCTAAATAAAAACATGTCATAATGATAGAATCTTAAAAGTATCTGGTTATACTTTTGTAAATATTTAAATGTCCATGTTTTAAGAAAGAGGTATCACATAGCTGTGATAGTATGTATCTGAAAACCTTCAACTTTCATTTGATGTCATTGAATGAGTCAAGATTTCTGACTGTTTTGGTCATATTTTACAATGACTATCTTTTTTTTCACTGTCAATCAATTATACAAGTAAGGTTATGATGGTTTTGATCATAACAAATACTTATTGTAAAAGTAAAAAAACAAGTGGAAGCCAAGGCAGCTCATACATCGGGTAAATAAATGTGTGATGAAGTGAATCTGTAGTTTTAAGGCTGGAAACACATGACTTCAAAAAAACTCAACTTGCTGCCATGTTACTTGTCTATTACAAGCAGTATTTTGACAAGATTTGTGTTTTCAGGTGTCTCCAGGAGCTGAACACACATCCATTGCAGCAAGAACAAACATCTAGGTTGCCCAAAGAATGGCTGAATATGCTGCTTTCAGATGAGATAGTGAGGAGCTTGAGGTGCATGAAGTTTATTTTACAGGGGACTGAGACGAACAGACACTTTCTGTTTTTATCTCTCTTCTCTGTCTCTTTTCTTTTTGAATCATATAAGATGGTTCACCCTGCAAGACATTTAAAAGGAGAAAACGTGAAATATACATAACTTAATTTTTAAGGATGTTTAAATTATTTATCACTATTTATTTGAACACTGAGTGTCAGCTACTTTAGAGCCATTGAAAAGTGAATGTAACATCTCCTGATTTGGTATTTGGCTTCAGTGAGATTGATCCATCATTGCACCACAGTGTTGATAATTGTATGGGTATGTGTGAAAATAAATATATCTGGAGAAAAGTAATGCTTTCATTGTCATGTATAAGACAGGAGAGAAAGGAGTATTTATTCAGATAACTGTTTTTTTTTCTCACCACGTCTGCAGTTCCTTAAATCCAAGTCTTTTATTTATTTAATATATTTTATTGTCTTTATCAGTGTACCTCTGATGACTTGCTTATCAACTGGTGTTACATTTTCGTGAGGTGGAGAGTAACCCCATAGCTACCTGTGGGGACTAAAAATCCCTACTTTGAAAAATTAAACTTCCTAAAAATGTCTTTTTTCCATGTGCTTCTGTGTATTTGACTGTGACAGTGAACAATTTCTGGAGCTGGTCGAGGATTGAAGGACAGCGGAGCTGTAGCTAGCAACCGCGGAACTAGCTAAAAACATCTTTGTACAACCAAATCACGTTTGTGGAGAGTCCTGTTGTGACATCTCGCGAGACTTCACTTGCTGCAGCCAGGAAGACAACAGAGGATACGTGAGTGGAGACACTGGAAAAGTCTCAGGACGGCTCAATACTTGATCAATTTTAGAAACTATTTTCCACATCAGACGAGCAGAAACAAACACACAGGAAAATAGGGGCTAGATGTAAAAACACCGACGTTCTCCGTGATCATCGTTTGTGTATTAAATCAACGAGGCAGTTATAAAACCTTTCAATGAGAGTGCGCATTCAGTTAAACTCAGCAATGACAAAAAGCTCTTACAACTTTAATATTTTTATAAAATTCATTTAATTAATAACATTTAGAAGTTGTGCAATGTTTTCAGACTCAACTCATACATTAGTATACATTAAACTGAAGATAAGACTGAAAAAGAAGCACAGTCAGTCACCTGAATGAGTCATGATGCGTTCAGTGTCACTCTTAAAGCAATCACAGTTCATCCTAAAACAAGAAACCAGGTAAGGTTAAGGTTTATCCTCTTTTTATTGCACTGAGTTGATTCAAAATAATTGTCCAGACCTCAGTGAAAGGATCCAGGACTAAATTTAAAGAAATCGGTCATTGTTAGGATTTGAACCCAGGAAGAACTATAAACTGTTTGACATCGCCACACAATTTACTAGTCCAGGAGCATCTGCTTTATTTGCTGGAAGATTATGATGGAAAGAAAATTAATTTATTGGAGGAAATCTGAAGTTATTTCTAAAATAAGTTTTAATAGACTGTAAAATTAAAGAGTTTTTTTTACAGGATAGGCCACAAAAAATGACAAAGTTGCCACAAAATATTGATTTTAAAATAGTTTTATTAGTTTAAAAATAGCTTGAAAAATAGTTTCAGTTCCAGAGATGGTCAAGCTAGAAAAAGGAAAGCTCTAACTCCATTCTGTCTGGAGTTTGTTTTATGTTTTTTGTCACAAAGTAAATCTTCATTTCCATCCTCATGTCTTTAAACCACTCCTTTTTTTCTTTTTCTTGTCTTGTCAGTTGCTGACAATCACGAGTTTTTCTTGCATGATTATCAAAAATATCCTCTAGTTGTTTACTGATTCACACTGTTTTTGTCACAGTGTCTGCATGCAGAGGGTGAAACGTGCCAGAGTCCTTGTTGTTGATTGTTTGATTTGATGTGTGGGAACATGCTGCAGTTTTGCAACACTTGTCAACTAATACCACACCTTTGCTATGGGAGATCGGTTAATCAAAATCAGATATCTAACATGACCAGATAATATAAAAATAGTATCATAATACTGCTTAGTTATAAGCCTTAGTTATGACTTAATCTGTATGTAGAGGATCTCCAACAATGAGACTTTAAAAATGACCCTGCACTCCCCCTGACTGTCTGCCGTCTCTCTGTTTGATAACAGGCCGTGCACACTCGTACCACTTTCTAAAGACGCTATGTGGCGACCCTGGGGAAGCTGACCCCAGCAGAGGAGGACTCACTCCTAGAGGTGATCAGTGTCCAGCGTGCAGAGGTAGGTTTTGCATATCTTTTTTTCCCTGCAAAAATCAGCTCCAACTATTTGCAGGCTCAAACTAAATATACTTGTTATTTACTTTGTCTCATCTGTTTGTCCCAAAAGGCCAGTGAGAGACTGGAAGACTGCAAACGCTTTGGGTCTACCTGGATCAGTGCTGTCAACTTGTGCAAAATGGCAGCTGAGGCAGCACATAAATCAGGTAAATAAAATGTGTGATGACATGAATATGTAGTTTTGAGGCTTAATAAAGTAATTCAAAAGGAACTAAACTTGCTGTCTTGTTGATTGTTGAATTTGAGCAGCATTTTGACAGAATCTATGTTTTCATGTGTCTCCAGGAGCTGAACACGCGTCCATCGCAGTGAGAGCAAACATCCAGGTGGCCCAGTCACAGGTGGAGGAGGCTCGTAAACTGTCAGCAGATGCAGATAAGAAGCTGGCCGAGACCAAGGTGGAGGAGATCCAAAGAATGGCTGAATGTGCTGCTTTCAGATGGGATAGTTAGGAGCATGAGGTGCACGAGGCTTATCTTAGAGAGGACTGAGGCAAACAGACACTTTCTGTTTTTATCTCTCTTCTCTGTCTCTTCCCTTTTTGGATCCTGTAATATTGTTCAGCCTGTAAGACATACTGTATCTAAAAGGGGAAAGTATGAAATATATATAACTTAATCCTTTAAGGTTGCCTAAATTATTATTTATCACTATTTATTTGATCACTGAGTGTCAGCTACTTAAAAACAATTGAAAAGTGAGAATAACATCTCCTGTTTTGGTATTTGGCTGCAGTGAGATTGATCCATCATTGTAGCACAGTGTTGTTATTGTATGATTTTGTGTGAAAATAAATACATTTAGAGAAAAAGTAATGCTTTCATTGTCATATCTCCCATAAGACAGGAGAAAAGGAGTATTTATTCAGATAACTGTTTTTTTTCTGGCCATGTCTGCAGTTCCTTAAATACAAGCCTTTTTTTTCATATTTTCATCAGCGTCCTTCTGGCAACTTGCTTATAAACTGGTGTTGGATTTCTCTTGAAATAAATGGAGAGTAATCTGCAATATTCGGACGAGTTGAGGGAGCAAGCTCTTTATTTGGGAGAGCAGCCCCCTATACCTTTGGGTCTCAAAACATGTTCCCCCATGCTTTCTAAAGTACTGCACAATATTTGTTAAAGTCCAAATTTATGGCATTTCTGAAACATCAACAAAACTAGAGGGATCTTTTAAAATTCACAAGTGTGCTGAAAAGGTTCTGGCTAAAACGTCTGAGCATAACCAAATCTGCTTTGTGGAGGAGTGCCGTTCTGACATCTCGCGAGATTTCTCTTGTTGCAGCCAGGAAAACAGAGGATACAGTATGTGACTGAGAGACCAGGAGAGTCACAGAACGGCTCCATACTGGACCAATTTCAGAAACTGCTCTCCCCATTAGGCATGCAGACACTAACACTCAGAAAAATAGGGCCCAGGTTGTAAAACATCGACTTCCCTTATTGCATTTGCATAAATTCAACAATTCAATTATTAAACAATCAATGAGAGTGTGATTTCAGTTGAACACATTAAACTGAGGATAGGACTGAAAAAAAGCATATTCATCTGAATGAGTCAAGATGCTTTCTGTGTAATCTTAAAGCAATCACAGTTTAACACGAAACCAGGAAGACAGTTGATAGCAAAAGCAACATCAGCAGCTGTTAATAATAAAGAATTACTATTACGATATCTAACTCACTTTCTAACTCACTTAAATAAATTCAGCACCACAGAAATGAAAATGAAAATGTCACCAATTTTTAAGACCACAACTAAAGTAGTCATTGATAACTGTGAGTTGAAATCTTCATTAAAAAGCTGGTGATTCCTTGTATAAGCCACAAAAGAGATTAAATTTCAGAGCACGAAAAAAGGCTTCATCCCTGAGGCCGTAGATTAGAGGACTGAGACATCTTGGAGCTAGAATAAAAAACACAAAAGTAAAAATCCTCAGGTTTCCAAGTACTACAGTATCAGGAATATGGAGATTAGCTTCTATGAGGGGTATCCAAAGCTGCATCAGACAGAGCAGCAGCTGGAAGGCATGTAAAATGACTGTTCTTAGACCTTTCTGTGTTGACTCTTTGTTATCTCCTGATGCCACTTTGGCCACTTTCATTATTTTAACATAGCAGAATACAATGATGACACTCATAATCAAGAAATAAAACTGATACACAGCTGAGTGGACATGCTGCTGCCAATAATGCACAGTGATTTTTGGCAAGACACATATATTGTATTCATAGTAAAAGCTGACAGGTGTTGAGGAAAAGATGACAAAGAGAACAACCAAGCAGGGAACTGTGCTGAGACCCTGTATGATGAAGATGCAGCACAAAGTTCTGCGCATGGAGCAGAGCTCTTCATGACGCAGGGGCATGCAGATGGCCACATAACGCTCCAGGACCATTGCTGTCAAAGTAACTGGTGTGACAACAACCCACAGAAGTATCATAGAAAGGATGATCATACAAACCCATATTGGCAATGTGACTTTTAAATATAACAAGACAAGCAGGATATCACTGATGATTAAAATCAGACTATCTGAGTGTAAGGTAACAGCAAATAAGATGTAGCGTGCAGTTGTGTTAAAGCACTCCCTCTGGAAAAATGTTACAATTAAGAAAATGTTAATGCTGAGAAAAATGACCACCACAATCTGCACAATAATAACAAAACGGTCTGTGAATAGCTGAAGAGTCAACCCAGCACCATTCATCAAGGTGTTATTTGCCATCACTCTCCTCAGCAGGTAGCTGTTAAAGCAGTGCAAAATGACAAACTGTGATAATGATTTTGAAAGAGAAAAAGATAAAGACAAACCTGCATTCATTCTAAGATAATCATTTACATAAAGTCATTTACCAATATTCATTGCTATGCCAAACCACTGTACCTCAGGTTTCCAAGGACTGGTGATCATCTTTGAAGAGTTCAGAGCAAGTGCTGTCCACAGATGACTTCACATGAGTGACCAGGATACAGGCAAAGTAACAGCAAATTTAACCTCTCTTAAAGCACTGTTGTCATTCCTGCTCACTGTCTGTCACCCTCAGTGGTCCCTCCCTGTACAGGCTGTATCGTGAAGTAAACAAGACATCATTATCCCAGTGGCACACAACACACGTGACACTGAGAGTTTTCCACTTTTTCAGCTCTGCAGGCTCAAGGCTTTGTGTTTGGACAATATGAATATTCATACTGTATTTCATTGCAATTTGTTTCACCTGTTTCTGAGATCAGTCAATAATTTATTGCATAATTAATGAAGCCATTAAACAGCAGCTTAAATTGGTTTCACTGGAGTTTGTTTTGTCACACAGGAATACAGACAGTGAACTTGTTATGGTCATTATTGCATCAAAGTTACACAAGACAAGACATCACACCAAGAACTTTTTACCCATGGATGATGAAATTTAACTTTGAGTGTCTCATGCCTGTGTAGGCCAGATAGTTCAAGTTTACAGACTTTCTTCTAAAGTTTTCTAGCCTTGATTATAAAATTATGTCATTATAATAGAATCTTGAAAGTATCTGATTATATTTTCGTAAATATTTAAATGTCTGTGTTTTAAGAAAGAGGTATCACATAGCTGTGATAGTATGTATCTGAAAACCTTCAGCTTTCATTTGATGTCAATGAATGAGTCATGACATCCAATCTCTTTAGTCAGATTTTACAGTGACGATTTTGTTTTTCTCTGTCAGTACGTATTACAAGCCAGCTGATGATGGTTTTTGTTAATAACAAATACTCATTATAAAAAGTACAATACAAGTGACAGCCAAGGCAGCTCATAAATCAGGTTAATAAAATGTGTGATGAAGTGAATCTGTAGTTTTAAGGCTGGATGAAGTGCTGAAACACATGATTTAAAACAAGCCTAATCTGCTGTCTTGTTGATTGTTGAATTTGAGCAGCATTTTGTTACAATCAATGTTTTTGTGTCTCCTTGAGATGAACATGCGTCCATCGCAGTGAGGGCAAACATCCAGGTGGCCCAGTCACAGGTCGAGGAGGCTCGTAACTGTCAGCAGATGCAGATAAGAAGCTGGCCGAGACCAAGGTGGAGGAGATCCAAAGAATGGCTGAATACTCTGCTTTCAGATGAGATAGTGAGGAGCATGAGGTGCAGGAGGCTTATCTTAGAGAAGACTGAGGCAAACAGACACTTGCTTTTTTTATCCCTCCTCTCTGTCCTTTTTTTTTTATATAAAACCTTTCAATTAGAGTGTACATTCACTTGAACTCAGCAATGACAAAAAGCTCTTACAACTTTAATATTTTTATAAAATTCATTTAATTGATAACATTTACAAGTTGTCCATTGTTTTCAGAGTCAACTCATACATTAGTATACATTAAACTGAAGATAAGACTGAAAAAAGAAGCACAGTCAGTCATCTGAAAAAATCATGATGCGTTCAGTGTCGCTCTTAAAGCAATCACAGTTCATCCTAAAACAAGAAACCAGGTGAGCTATTGATAGTCAAAGCAACATCAGCAGCTGTTAAGAATTAAGAACTACCATTATGATTTCTTACTCACTACTGGTCTGACTTTGACATATTTTCAGCAAAAAAGGAAAAAGTTGATTGCAGTTATATATTAAGCACCAGAGAAATTAAAATGAAAATGTCACTGATATTTAAGCCCACAACTAAAGAAGTCATTGATAACTGTGCGTTGAATTCATCATTTAAAAGCTGGTGATTTCTTGTATAAGCCACAAAAGAGATTACATTTCAGAGCACGAAAAAAAGTGTCATCCCTGAGGCCGTAGATTAGAGGACTAAGACATCTGGGAGTGAGAATAAAAAAAACATAAGTAAAACACTTCAAGTTTGCAAGTACTGTAAAATCATTTATACGAATATTAGCTTCTATGAGGGGGAACCAAAGCTGCATCAGACAGAGCAGCAGCTGGAAGGCATGTAAAATAACTGTTCTTAGACCTTTCTGTGTTGACTCTTTGTTATTTCCTGATACCACTTTGGCTACTTTTATTATCTTTACATAACAGAATACAATGATGATACTCATGATCAAGAAATAAAACTGATACACAGCTGAGTGGACATGCTGCTGCCAATAATGCACAGTGATTTTTGGCATGTTACATACTTTGTATTGAAAGTAAAAGCTGAGAGGTGTTGAGGATAAGATGACTAAGAGATGAACCAAGCAGGGAACTGTGCTGAGACCCTGTATGATGAAGATGCAGAACAAAGTTCTGTGCATGGAGCAGAGCTCTTCATGACGCAGGGGCATGCAGATGGCCACATAACGCTCCAGGGTCATGGCTGTCAAAGTAACTGGTGTGACAACAACCCACAGAAGTATCATAGAAAGGATGATCATACAAACCCATATTGGCATTGTGACTCTAAAATATGACAAGACAAGCAGGAAATCACTGATGATTAAAATCAGACTATCTGTGTGTAAGGTAACAGCAAATAAGATGTAGCGTGCAGTTGTGTTAAAGCACTCCCTCTGGAAAAATGTTACAATTAAGAAAATGTTAATGCAGAGAAAAATGACAACCACAATCTGCACAATAATAACAAAGGTGTACGTAAATAACTGAAGAGAGAACCCAGCACCATCCAGCAAGGTGTTATTTGCCATCACTCTCCTCAGCAGGTAGCTGTTAAAGCAGTGAAAAATGTCGAACTGTGATAATGATTTTGAAAGAGAAAAAGATAAAGGCAAACCTGCATTCATTCTAAAATAATCATTTACATAAAGTCATTTCCCAATATTCATTGCTGTGCCAAACCTCTTAGCCTCAGGTTTCCAAGGACTGGTGATCGTCTTTGAAGAGTTCAGAGCAAGTGCTGTCCACAGATGACTTCACATAAGTGACCAGGATACAGGCAAAGTAACAGCAAATTTAACCTCTCTTAAAGCACTGTTGTCATTCCTGCTCACTGTCTGTCACCCTCAGTGGTCCCTCCCTGTACAGGCTGTATCCTGAAGTAAACAAGGCATCATTATCCCAGTGGCACACAACACACGTGACACTGAGAGTTTTCCACTTTTTCAGCTCTACAGTCCCAAGGCTTTGTGTTTGGACAATATGAATATTCATACTGTATTTCATTGCAATTTGATTCACCTGCTACTGAGATCAATCAATAAATCAATGAATTAATCTTTATCTATATCACACCAATTTAATACAAATATTATCTCATGAAGCTTAACAAGAAGAGCTGGTCTAGACTCTACTCTTCATGATATTTACACAGACCCAATGTGATGATGGGTTAAGCTTTGAGCAGAATCAGACCCATGTATGACAGTTATCTGCTCCTACTGCAGTGGGTTTAGAGAGGGGATAGAGGGAAAAGCAGAAAAGAGAGAGATGGACAGAGACCAACAATTACAATAATACATATGTGTGGTTACACGATTAGAGACATGTCACCAAAGGTCAAATCATGGCCCAAAAGGTCAGAGTCAGGAGTGTACCTGCACCACTGTTAAATGGCAGTACATTAAATTATAGTCTGTTTGTAGTACTCAACTTAGCTTTCAAAAAATGGTATTGTTCCTAGAGATACACAGAGAAACAAGAAACAGGATTGATACACAGGGAAAAAAAAACTTGTTATTCCACAGCAGTTAATTTTCACTCACCTGAGGCCTGTGGTGCACTAAAGTAGACCAGCCCACAGAAGGTTATCATTGTACTTATTGAAAAAAGGCTGAGATGTGTATGGCTGGGAGAAGAAGCTGAACAGCAAGAATTTAAAGTAAGTGTTGGTCCAGTAGAGGTATGATGAAGAGGGTTCACTGTAACTATCAAATGACTCGGAGAAGCTGTTTACCTCTTTTTTATCTGTCTCTCTGCTCTTCTCTCATCTCATGTTGGATGTGGGAGTAAGCGGAGCTCGAGCATGCAGCCCAACATGGCAGATCTGATCTCTGACCCAACCAGGCTTCATGACTTGGCTCTGCTTTCCCTGTCCTCTTTTGAACATCCCTGACTCTCCGGTTTCCTCTCTGTCCTCTCCTTGTTTCCCATGTCAAAGTGGGGGAGTAGGGGGAGGTAGATGTGTACAGACTGACCTTGAGGGGTGAGCTCAGGCCTTAACTGGCTTCTTCTTCTGGCTCTGCTTTACTTGTTCTCATTCTTGCACCTTTTACTTTTCTGTTGTTATCTCTCACTTCCCTGTATCCCTTAATGGAGTGGGCGAATAAGGGGAAATAGAACATACAGCCGGAGTCCAGTAAGGGTCAACTCTGGCCCAAAAAGGCCGGCAGAGGCTCTACTTTCCCTGTTGTCTATCTAGCAACTTGTACTTTCCTATTTTCTTCCTCTTCTCCTCTTGCATCCCTTATTGTAGTGATGAGGTAAGAGGACTTAGATTTTTGAGGTTTTGAAAGATAAATCCTACTTTAAACAAAACATTGAGAAAAATCTCTCATCAAACTTTTGAGTGTTATCTAAAGTTTTCAAACAGTGATGAAGTGTTAACTAAGTCTTCAGATGTTTTGCACCAACAGAGAAGTCTTTGCATAATTAATGAAGCCATTAAACAGCAGCTTAAATTGGTTTCACTGGAGTTTGTTTTGTCACACAGGAATACAGACAGTGAACTTGTTATGGTCATTATTGCATCAAAGTTACACAAGACAAGACATCACACCAAGAACTTTTTCCCCTGGATGATGAAATTTCACTTTGAGTGTCTCATGCCTGTGTAGGCCAGATAGTTTAAGTTTACAGACTTTCTTCTAAAGTTTTCTAGCATTGCTTAATAAAAACATATTATTATAATAATAGAATCTTAAAAGTATCTGATTATACTTTTGTAAATGTTTAACTGTCCGTGTTTTAAGAAAGAGGTATCACATAGCTGTGATAGTATGTATCTGAAAACCTTCAACTTTCATTTGATGTCATTGAATGACTCAAGATTTCTGACTGTTTTGGTCATATTTTACAATGACTATCTTTTTTTTCACTGTCAATAAATAATACAAGTAAGGTTATGATGGTTTTGATCATAACAAATACTTATATTTAAAGTAAAAAAAAAAAACAAGTGGCAGCCAAGGCAGCTCATAAATCAGGTAAATAAAATGTGTGATGCAGTGAATCTGTAGTTTTAAGGCTGGATGAAGTGCTGAAACACATGATTTAAAACAAACTCAACTTGCTGCCATGTTGCTTGTCTATTACAAGCAGTATTTTGACAAGATCTGTGTTTTCAGATGTATCCAGGAGCTGAACACACATCCATTGCAGCAAGAACAAACATCTAGGTTGCCCAAAATGGCTGAAAATGCTGCTTTCAGATGGGATAGTGAGGAGCTTGAGGTGCATGAAGTTTATCTTAGAGAGGACTGAGATGAACAGACATTTTCTGTTTTTATCTCTCTTCTCTGTCTCTTTTCTTTTTGGATCATATAAGATGGTTTACCCTGCAAGACATATTTAAAAGGAGAAAACGTGAAATATACATAACTTAATTTTTATGGATGTTTAAATTATTTATCACTATTTATTTGATCTCTAAGTGTCAGCTACTTTAGAGCCATTGAAAAGTGAATAGGCCTATAACATCTCCTGTTTTGGTATTTGGCTTCAGTGAGATTGATCCATCATTGCACCACAGTGTTGATAATTGTATGAGTTTGTGTGAAAATAAATATATCTGGAGAAAAGTAATGCTTTCATTGTCATGTATAAGACAGGAGAGAAAGGAGTATTTATTCAGATAACTGTTTTTTTTTCTCACCACGTCTGCAGTTCCTTAAATCCAAGTCTTTTATTTATTTAATATATTTTGTCTTTATCAGTGTCTCTCTGATGACTTGCTTATCAACTGGTGTTGCATTTTCGTGAAGTGGAGAATAATCCCGTAGCTACCTGTGGGGACTGGTTTAATAAACACTCTGATTAAAAATCTCTACTTTGAAAAATTAAACTTCCTAAAAATGTCTTTTTTTCCATGTGCTTCTGTGTATTTGACTGTCACAGTGAACAATTTCTGGAGCTGGTCGAGGATTGAAGGACAGCGGTGCTGTAGTTAGCAACCGCGGAACTAGCTAAAAACATCTTTGTACAACCAAATCACGTTTGTGGAGAGTACTGTTCTGACATCTCGCGAGACTTCACTTACTGTCGCCAGGAAGACAACACAGGATACGTGAGTAGAGACACTGGAAAAGTCAAAGAACGGCTCAATACTTGATCAATTTTAGAAACTATTCTCCACATCAGGCGAGCAGAAACAAACACACAGGAAAATCAGGGCTAGGTTTAAAAACACTGACGTTCTCCGTGATCATCGTTTGTGTATTAAATCAACGAGGCAGTTATAAAACCTTTCAATGAGAGTGCGCATTCAGTTAAACTCAGCAATGACAAAAAGCTCTTACAACTTAAATATTTTTATAAAATTCATTTAATTAATAACATTTACAAGTTGTCCATTGTTTTCATAGTCAACTCATGCATTAGTAAACATTAAACTGAAGATAAGACTGAAAAAGAAACACAGTCAGTCATCTGAAAAAATCATGATGCGTTCAGTGTCACTCTTAAAGCAATCACAGTTCATTCTAAAACAAGAAACCAGGTGAGCTATTGATCGTCAAAGCAACATCAGCAGCTGTTAAGAATAAAGAACTACCATTATGATTTCTTACTCACTACTGGTCTGACTTTGACACATTTTCAGCAAGAAAGGAAAAAGTTGATTGCAGTTATATATTAAGCACCAGAGAAATGAAAATGAAAATGTCACGGATATTTAAGCCCACAACTCAAGTAGTCATTGATAACTGTGAGTTGAATTCATCATTTAAAAGCTGGTGATTTCTTGTATAAGCCACAAAAGAGATTACATTTCAGAGCACGAAAAAAGGCTTCATCCCTGAGGCCGTAGATTAGAGGACTCAGACATCTGGGAGCTAGAATAAAAAACACATAAATAAAAAACCTCACTTTTCCAAGTACTAAAAGATCAGGAATATGGGTATTAGCTTCTATGAGGGGGAACCAAAGCTGCATCAGACAGAGCAGCAGCTGGAAGGCATGTAAAATGACTGTTCTTAGACCTTTCTGTGTTGACTCTTTGTTATCTCCTGATACCACTTTGGCTACTTTCATTATCTTTACATAGCAGAATACAATGATGACACTCATGATCAAGAAATAAAACTGATACACAGCTGAGTGGAAATGCTGCTGCCAATAATGCACAGTGATTTTTGGCATGTTACATACCTTGTATTGAAAGTAAAAGCTGAGAGGTGTTGAGGATAAGATTGCAAAGAGAAGAGCCAAGCAGGGAACTGTGCTGAGACCCTGTATGATGAAGATGCAGCACAAAGTTCTGCGCATGGAGCAGAGCTCTTCATGACGCAGGGGCATGCAGATGGCCACATAACGCTCCAGGGTCATGGCTGTCAAAGTAACTGGTGTGACAACAACCCACAGAAGTGTCACAGAGCAGATGAGCTGCTTGGCGGAGGTCTGCGCTCTCCGAGTGCTTTTCTAGTTAGTTAGTTAATAAGTTTGTTTATTTGTCTTTTAGCAACTTTACGGAGAAAGTAACAGACGGATTGACCTGAAATTTTCACCAGAGGTGCGTCTCAGCCCCAGGACGATCCCATTACATTTTGGTGGTGATCCGGATCGCCTTCTGGATCCAGGAATTTTTTGAAGGATTCTTTATCATTGTGAGATAGGGCAAATTTTGGAATTTTTGCATTTAACTCTAAAAATGGCCAGAGTCTTTAGTAAAAAAATACACAAAAGGATCTCAATGAGTTTTATGACCTGTCAAAGGTTGATCCTGATCCAGACAAAATTCTGGATACTGTGAGCTGATTGGCGGAGGTCTGCGCTCTCCGAGGCTGATGACAATTAAATGTCATCAGCCTCAGTATTGGCCCCATGATAACTGATCTCTTAATTGAGTTCCTTATGTTTTATTATTGAAGGTCTAAAATGTGGTTGCATGTTGCGTCAACGCCGTCTGGAAGCCGCCTGAATCTTTTTTAGACTAGTTGGCCAGTCTGATCATTAATTTCTGTGTGACTAGCCAGGAAAGCTGTAGTAGGGTCCAAAAGTAAGAGACCACAGGTGGATTAAGGAGGTAATCAGGGAAAATGTACAGCCATTCAGTTTTTCATTGGGGGGGGAGACATGGAACGAAGGTTGATTTTGGGTCAGGCAGCCTACAGGGAGCTCATGATTGAGAGCTGCAGGTCAGTTTGTGTTAAAAAAAAAAACTTATTCCATTTGCACTAACCTGCGATGCACCGTGGTAGACCAGCCAACATAAGGTTAACAGCGTGTTTCATGCACTTATTGAAAAAAGGCTGAGATGTGTATGAGTGGAAGAAGAAGCTGAACAGCAAAAATTGAAATCAAGTGTTGGTTCAGTGCAAGTATGATGAAGAGGGTTCACTGTAACTATCAAACAGCTGGGAGAATGTTTACCTCTTTTTATCTGACCATCTCTCTTTGGTGTTGGGGAGGAAGTGGAGCGAGAGCATGCAGCCCAACATGGCAGAGCTGATCTCTGACCCAACCAGGCTTCATGCCATGGCCCTTTATTCTGTCTCCTCTTTTGTACGTCCCTGATTTTCCTGTTTCCCTTCTGTTCTCTCCTTGCATCCCATGTCAAAGTAGAGGAGTGGTGGAGGTAGATGTTTACAGACTGACCTTGAAGGGTGAGCTCAGGCCTAAACTGGCTTCTTCTTCTGCCTCTGCTTTCCCTGTTCTCTTTCTTGCACCTTTTACTTTTCTGTTGTTATCTCTCACTTCCCTGTATCCCTGAACGGAGTGGGCGAATAAGGGGAAATAGAGCATACAACCTGAGTCCAGTAAGGGTCAGCTCTGGCCCAAAAAGGCCCACAGAGGCTCTACTTTCCCTGTTGTCTATCTAGCATCTTGTACTTTCCTATTTTCTCCCTCTTCTCCTCTTGCATCCCTTATTGGAGTGTGGAGTCTGAAGTCTTAGAATTCAGAGGTTTTGAAAGATAAATCCTACTTTCAACAAAACATTGAGAAAAATCTCTCATCAAACTTTTTAGTTTTATCAAAGTTTTCAAACAGTGATGAAGTGTTAACTAAGTCTTCAGATGTTTTGCACCAACAGAGAAGTCTTTGCATAATTAATGAAACCATTAAACAGCAGCTTAAATTGGTTTCACTGGAGTTTGTTTTGCCACACAGGAATACAGACGGTGAACTTGTTATGGTCATTAGTGCATCAAAGTTACACAAGACAAGACATCACACCAAGAACTTTTTCCCCTGGATGATGAAATTTAACTTTAAGTGTCTCATGCCTGTGTAGGCCAGATAGTTTAAGTTTACAGACTTTCTTCTAAAGTTTTCTAGCATTACTTTTGTAAATGTTTAAATGTCCATGTTTTAAGAAAGAGGTATTACATACACAGTAGCGGTTCTAGGCACGGGCGAACAGGGCAGCCGCCCGGGGCGGCATTTGTGTCATGACTCATGGGGGGCGGCACGAGCACTTCAAAAAAAATAAAATAAAAGATAATAATAATAAATCTTAACCGCAAAGCGGTTTTGTATTAACTCTTGTTGTCAAATTGGCGCCCCCCCCGCTGCTGTAGGCGCCCCTGTTTGCTCCGAAGGTGCTGCAGAGAGGCTGACAGACTGTGTGAGACGAGGCGGGGAGAGAGTCGCGGGGGGACAGCTCTGCTCTGTGTACGCATGTCAGCATATGTGTAAGGATGCCGAGCCCAGGTTCATACCAGAAAGAATGGAAGGTCCACACGAATGGTCAGTTTGACAAGCTTTACTGGTTGCAGATCTGGGTTACAGCTTCAGCATGCTACAAGTGTAACAAAGAGTGGTCCAAGACCATTCAAGTATATATAGAGGTTCACAATTCTAAACATACTGTTGGTATTTAGCTGACCCTAAGAGAAATCCATGTACGGTCAAAACAAAGGACAACATGTTTCAAAAGCCTTAGATGAACATGCGGAAGGTCCCAAGAAGGAAATATCATGGCAAACATATTTTGGGGACCTACATGGTGTAAATAATGTGTACAGGGTTCCTTGCTCAGGGATGGTTGGAGGAGGCCCCCCCGGCTCCAGCAATCTAACACCAAAGTGTCTGGGGTAGTTGAGTGACACAGCTCCAACACTCTAGAGGCTAGTATGACTAGCTGAAGAAACTCATCCTAACAGTCCTCACTTTTTTTTTTTTTTTTTTTTTTTATGTACGTTTATGTTATTTTTTACAGTTATCACCTGACCAGGGTCTCTTAAAACAAAAAGATGGGTTGAGTAAACAAATAGAAGAAGGGTCAGCCACCCCAAACCAGCCCACAACGGGCCGTAGGATTTGAGGCTGCCCTCTACCCTAGACCAACGACTGAAGCACCTAAACCCTACAAAACCATGAACAAAAGCCGCGAAAACAAACCTTGTCAACCCACCTAAAGATAAAACAGACTAGTCCTATATTTTAAGGAGCTATGACACTCAACAGGTCAGTATGAAATTAACCAGTGTCAGGCCTCCCCATCCCTGAATTCTTCAGATGACTCAGATGACGAAGAGGAGGAGAGCCAAGGTCCCTGTACGGAGGGGGAAGGGATACAATCCTTCTCCATCAGGAGTGTAGTCTGCACGAAAGACGTACTGACCATAGAAGAAACAGATTTCATGATTAGTGCACGGAAAATGGGAAAACAACAGCACATCACAACAGCCACAATCAAAATAATGACCATAACTGGACCTGCAAGGCCCATAACCCAGGCATAGAAGGAGCTACCTCCAAATAGGGCTGAGATATGATCCCAAGCCTTAAGTCCAGTAGACCCCCCTGTGAAGCGTGCATCTTTATTGGCAGTGACAATTCCCATATAGATGTCTTCCAGATTCTTAATGGCTATCGTCAAATTGCCCATTCCTTCAGAATCAGATGGTAAGTACGTACAACAGCCTTCTCCTACAATGGCACACACACCCCCTTGAGATGCCGTCAATGCATCTAAAGCAACGCGATTATCCGAGGTAAAACGGCGGATCAAGTCTAACTCAGCATATATGGAATTAAAACCCTGCAATGTGGCATTTGCCATTAATGCCAAGTCATGCCTAGTAAGCGCGATAAGATAATGATTCGTATATTGCAATTCCGTGTTCCAAAATAAGGTACTAAAAACCAATTGTGAATGTGTATATATCTGAAAATCATCACGCAATGCATAATAACGTGTGGCCAAGTCAGTGGGGTTCGAGTTCTTCACAAACTCCTTGCCAATAAGGGGGTATATAAGTATGAAGATGTTCCCCACACATCCAAACCACGTTGTCTAGTGCTGGGAAAGGGTTAGACGCCATTATATACAGTATGCGTGGACATCCTCGGACTGACCCAAGGATATAATCTATCTTAGAACCAGTTACAGGAGAAACACAAACCGATGGTAGTATTTTTTGAGATGCTTTAAGAATTAAAGGCTTAAAATCCTCATACATGTCAAAATCTAAATGTACATAAAAACCAGGCGTCATAGATTTCCATAAATTATTACAAAAGTTAACTGTGGGATACGATGTCATGGTATGAATAGGAAAAGGTCTTGCATCCATCGTCTCATTATTTTGGGATTGGTATTCGACAAATAGATTTATAGTTTGAGCATTTAATTGTAAATAAGTAACATTGTTTATATTATATGGTTTAGTCGCTCCTGCGGGTGTCAAAGCATAAAACAAACATTGTATTTCATGTTCACTGAGGGGTCGGTTATTAAGAAGACCGACATCTAAGTAGGGTGTGTGCTTTATTGGCTGTTTAGTCATAGCTCGTTTGACATGCATCATGATCCGCTGAACTGCTTGATCACTTTTCCCTTCCTTTTTCAATAGTCCTTCAAAATCCAAATCTAACCCACCTGAAGGTATGGTGCTGCCAATAGTGCCATAAAGGAGGGTATTGCATAATATCAATCCACCGAGAAAAACATATAAGATAACCACAATGTTAACGAGTGGATGCATAGATGTGTAGGTGTAGGTTGCCTTCCTCAATCGGGTTAGGGCAGTCCAGAACCAGGAGCAGTTGACGGGGGAACCGCTGGTGGAGCCGCTTTGAGCCGTGTCGCATGTATCCATTGTGGTTGGCCCTTAACCTTGACTGCAGTGCCCGTGGTGAGGAGGACTTGAACCGCAGGTCCGTATCGTGGATCTTTTCCAGTGGGATTCAGGCTGCGGACCAGAACGTAGTCGCCAGGAGAAAAGCTATGGATCGGCTGCTCTGAAGGCGACGGGATGGAATTTATAACCTGCTGAGAATACTTGGCGACAAAAGAGAACAAAAGTTTTACATACTCCTGTTGTGCTTCTTGTAAGCAGGTCAAATTCATGGCAGAGTCTTTAGGGACTTGAAGACATAAA